AAACATCTGATTCCAATATTGAAGTATTAGTGGTTTGGCCACCACGAGTACCCTTAGAAGTCAGCTGAATTGTCCCTCTGTCAGGTTCCAAAGGATTGGTACGTAATTCAACAGAACATTAGCATCCATAAATCTCATGGTGGTGTCCAAAACCATATTCATGGGGCTGATGACTTCTGACCTAAAGGACATTCCTCTCCTTGAAGGGCCTTCCCCATTCCAAGTTCAGTTTAAAGATAAGAAAGGAAAGCTAGAGAAACCTTGAAGCTGCCCATCAGCAGTTTAACTCCCTGACAGACTGATCAGCCACATCTGGCCTGTCTTCCCCACTATGATGAATGACATGGATTTTATTCCTGTTTAAAGACAGTGGGCTGTATCCAATTAAATTGTATTCAGGTCATGCCCACTAAAATTAATTAAATTACTTAGGTGTAGAATTAATCTATTTGGCTTCTTGTTGGTTGTCATCATTGACCTGTTGCTTGCATTAGATCCTGTGATGGGCCCTGGGGTTTGAATGAATGAAATTGTCTAAGAAGAAGAGTAAAAAAATGCAAGTGTGGTGTTGTTGTTGTTGTTTTTTAAAAAAGTAGTGTGATTGGTTCTTGAAACGAGACATCGGCAAGCTGTTTTCCAAGGTGGATCAGGAGCCTGGCAGCCCCAGCCTAGAGTCACGGTATCGTTGCTGCAGCTGGTGTTGTGAATCAGGCCGACACAAAGCGCATCTTACTATCCGGCTATTTCACTACACCAGGGTTGCATCATACCACTTGCCTTCCCTACGCATCCAGCATCGGAGAGGCTGCAGATTCACTCCAGTGTCATTTCCGTTGACTCTCTTCTGTTCCTCTTCTCTTTTGCCGCAGACTCTCTTCCCAACGCAGCTGGGATGTGAGTTTTGAAAATAAAGCTGCTTCAACGGCAAATGTGTGCGTATTTATATGTGTGTTGCTTCCATGATATTCTGAGTGTAAAAACCATGGACTCTATATCCAGGCTTTGGAGAGCCACTGGGCAAGGGTGGTCGTACACCCTCCTTTTCTGCGGATAGTCCTCTCTATGAAGGGCTGCCTGATAAACATCTGGTTTACATATCGCTCAGGAGAGAGAGCAGGACCATCAGCTGCAAACTCTGCTGGCGCTTGCATCACCTGGTCAAAGCCCTCCACACTAGGGGGAGATGGGCTGTATCTCTGTTTAGAGTAATTATTGCCCATTGCGTGTCTATGCTCTTTAAATTAGTAAAGACACCTTTTAGGCACATCTTTCTCCATTTTGAGGAGGTGGTGGCAGTGGTTATGGTGATGCGCAAGTAATTCCTGACTCCCTGGCTTTGCTGTTCCACTGTTTCCCCACTGTGCTGTGAGCACCTTTCAGCAGGGAGGCGCATGCCACACCAGAAAGTAGAGAGAGTTCTTCAGGGAATAGACCACAGCTCGGAGGCAGAGCCCAGACACTGTACACAGGAGGCTCCAGGTTCAACCTCTAGCATCTCTGCTTTAAAAAAAGGACAATTCAACAAGTAATGGGGAAGACTTCTCTTGGCCTGAAACCTTTGCAGTGGGAGGAGTTAGTACTAGCCATCCTGGCTATGCACCACCTCCATAGCTATGTTCTACCTCCAGTGTCAGAAGCAGTGTGCTGGGAATCACAAGTGGGGAGAGAGCTTGGAAGCTTGCAGGCTTCCAAGTGCCATCTGGCTGACCACTGTGAAAACAGAATGCTGGACTAGATGGGGCTTTGGCCTGATCCAGCAGCCAGGCTCTTCTCACATTGTGAGTGTGGTTTTCCCCAAAGCCCTAAATGAGAACAGCCTGGCATTACTTTGGATTTCTCCCCCTGCCTCTCCAATTGGTATCTAAAAGCCGAGTCCCAAAGCTGAATTGGCCCACCCTCTGAAGCCAGCTGTAATTTGCAAAGGCCATTTCTGTTAAGTTGTGGGTAGACATAGCAGACGACACAGCGATTCTTCCAAAGCAACTCTTTATTTGTAAGCTGGAACAGAACTGACTGAGGAGCTCAGTCAGCCTGCTTATATAGAGCTCCAGAACAATGTAACTGTTGCCATTTTCTAAAACTATCCAATCACTGAATGTCACTTTCGATCCTTCATTTGCATAACTATCTACAGTATCCCCCTGCTGGCCCAGGGTGAGAACTTCAGTACATAACAATTTCCATCTGTGAGAACAGCCTTGGCTTCTCAGTGGTTATCTAAGTGCCCTTGGAGACATGAAAAATTCAGCCATGGAGCCATGCAGTTGTAGCAGTTCTCATGATGGTGGTGACTGGAATGGGGAGAGGCTGTGTTTGTGGGCTGGTTCTTTGGTGTCATGGGAAGTACTGTAGTTCAGTGGCAGAGCCCCTGCTTTGTATGCAGAATGTCCAAGGTTCAGTACCCAATGGCCTCTTCAGGTAGGGCTGGACCGGTGGTCTGACAGGTTTAAGGCAAGGGTGAAACAGCAATGCAATCAGTAACCCCAAGTAGGAACTTGCTAACACAACAATCAGGACTCCTTAATAAAAACTTGCAGAACACAGTAGCTAAAATATATCCTGTTTTAAAAAAAATAAAATAAACATAAAGCCTACTGCATTCGACAAACACCCCAGAGGAACAGCAGAAACATTTTCCCATTAACGTGACGAAATGAGTCACAGTGCTGAATTTCAAGTGGCTTTTCCAGAGCCAGAACTGAGCTTTATGGCTGGGCTTTGACTGGCTGTCTCTCGAGATCCTTTATCAGTCACTGCTGTTAAATTGCCATGTGACTTTGGAACTCAGGCCTCCCAGTGCAATGGGCAAGAGCAATCTCGCTTTGCATAGTTTCCTGGCAAATTTTCTTAACTAGGAATGCTCATGATAGGCTATCCAGTATGCTCTGGAAATGAAACATTTTCAACATCACTGTTTTACTTCTAAAAGTGGTTGAGGAGGATTGGTGGAGGAGGAAGAAGAGGAAGATATTATTATTATTATTATTATTATTATTATTATTATTATTATTTGCATGAATATCTCACCTTTCCCTCAAGAAGCTGAAGGCAATATACACGGTGTCTGCTCCTTCCCCATTTCATCCTTACAAGAGGCCTATAAGGTTGGTTAGGCTGAGAGAGACTGGCCTGTGCTCACCCCATGCCTGAGAGCAGGATTTGAGTCTGGGCCTCCCCATTCCTGGTCTGATACTAATGGCAGCTCCACACTGGTCTTAGAATGGAATGAGGGAGGGAATGAATCTAGAGCCAAAACAATTTTGCTCACATAAATTCTTAGGATTCTCCACCATAAATTTTGATGCAAAATATTTCCCAGCTGTACTCTAAATACTGAACATTTTGTTGAATGTTTGACATCTTGATTTGAAATTGCAGGGTACTTGATTTTAAACCAGGCAAGTTGGCCTGTGCTTAGGCCTTTCAGATCTGAAAGCTGACCTGCAATGGGAAATGGCATTTTCCAGGGGGAATAATTCAGAGGTGATTTGGGGTGAGAATGTTGTGGTTTTTTGCAGAGGAGGATTAATCTCTCTTCCCGCAAAGTGTGGTCCCATTCAGGATTAGTTCCCTCAATGACTTAAACATGGGAGGAAAAACAAGCGAAGCACGTTTCACATTGCATCCAGTTTGGCTTTTAAACTATAGCACAGAAAATGTACTTGTTATATTTCCTTTCATATCTGCTGTTTATTTTAATTCTCTTTTTAAAATCCATTGTTAGATGTAATGGGGGGGCATTTGAAAATTGTAATTTGTTTTATTTATTATATTTTCCTACCATTTCTTGAAGGAGCTGAGCACAATGTGTATGCATTTAATCCCTTGTATCTTCACAACAGCCCTGTGAGGTAAATTAGGCTGAGAAATGGTAGCCAGTACAAGGTCACCCAGTGTACTTCATGGCTGAGTAGAGATCTGAACCCAGGTCTCTTCACTCTAGGCCCATTCCACCAGGCAACAATGAAACTGACTTTTCTAGCTCACCTGTTCTTTATTAGAGTTAATCATCACAATATTAAAATGTTGCTGAAACTTTTCATGTTAATTGTGCTTTTATTAAACATTTCAATAGCGAACAAATAAAGATCATTTGCTTGTTCATTGTTTCTTTCCTTCCATTAATCTTAACTTTTCTTATATTAATGTTGCAAGATTTAAGGATTTCTGCATCTCCTTTGGTAAGAATCATTGCATGGCTGTTCTGATCTTATCTGCCTTATGACACTTCCTTTCCATCTGCAGTCCAATAATTTGCAATGAAATGGGTCCGTGACTCTTATATCTGTGGCATAAAGTGGATTTAAGAGCTTTGCCACAACAACCCCTTTTAAAAATGGACATTTGTGATTAGGAAAGTGATGGGGAAATGCCCCCCCCCCCAAAAGTGAGATAATGGTCAATTGACAGGAAGACATATAACCTCCATGGAAAGAAATCAGGATAAGTGTCCATTGCTGTATAACTTCCCTGCAAACAAATCAGGGCAAATGCTTTATAAGCCTCCGTGGTAAGCTTTGTGCAAGCAAATCAGGATGAACACTCAGCCAGGAGGTCAACTGGAAGAGACCCTCTTCTCCTTCCTCCAAGGACATGCCTTGCCTGACCCAATTATAAAGGAAACACAATGTACCCAAACAGAATGAATCAGAAAAGTATCTCCATTCCAGTGTCCCACCAATACTGTATTTTTAGCTGATATGTCCTCAGGACTTAATTCAAAATCTGTTATCATAGACTTGATCTAGAACACGAGTTGGCGAGCAAGTCTTTAGCAATCCCTCCAGGCTACTCTTTTCAACAACCAGCTCAGGATGGTTTGAGCCAATTACTTCCCTCTGTTAAGAGTTAACTGAGCAGCAGGTTGGCCAGTTTTTTCTGGTTTCACGGGGTATAAAGTTTCCATGCCCCCCTAGATGTTGCAGTAGATGCTCAAAATCTGCGCCATCCCTTGCCTGTGAGTTGAAGGAGAGGCAAAACGAAGAGCAGAGGGCCATGAAATGGCTGAATCGCAGGTGATGGAACGGACTGCCGACCCGGCAAACTCCAACGGCAGGTTCACCATCAGCACCCTGATCAGCACCGAGGACAGAGGCAGGCCTCACTATGGCCAGGGGGACACGGTTGCCTACGACGCTGCCCAAGCCAACCACCTCACCCACAACACTTTCTACATGCGGACCTTTGGCTACAACACCATCGAAGTTGTTCCCACTTACGAAAACTATGCCAACACAAAAGTCTCCGGTGAAGCCAAGAAGACCAGACCTACCTTGTCTGATCTACACTCATTCCTCAAGGTAAATTGAAGCCAGTTTGGTTCACAGAATGTCTGTTGCACAGAGTCACAAACATAGGAAGCTGCCTTATAATCATGAGTGTATCTATTTCAGTATATCCAGCTCAGTCAGGGGTCTCTCCTGCCACTAGGGATTCCTCTTGGGACCTTTTGCATGCAAAGCAGGTGCTCTAACTACTGTTCTTTACAGGTCTGCCCCTGCCTGATCACAATCTCCATCTGGTCTTGAGCCAGGGGGACAAAGCATTGAATCTTGCCCCACATTCTTTCCCAGCTGGAAGAAAACTTTTCCTGATCTGCATTACTTGGATCACAGAATCATTGAATTGTAGAGTTGGAAAGTATCCCAAGGTTCTTCTAGTCCAGGCTCTGCCATGTAGGAATATGCAGGTGGCCCATATGGGGATGGAACCCACAACGTTGTTCTTATCAGCTCCACACTGTAACCAATTGAGCTAACCTCAACAGTGGTTGAGGATGGGTAGCTCAGAATGCCTCTTCTCTGGGGGACTCTTTCTTGAGGTCTTTAGCAACTCTGATTTCTTTTTTCTGCCTTTCCCCACTAGCTCTTATGGAAATAAGCAATACTGGCCAAGAGACATGTATATATTTTTAAAAAATAAAATAAAAATAAGATCATAGAGCTATTTTGTTCATTGCATTTTAAAAAATGCATATAGAGAAGTGGCATGAAAATAGCCCCATCTTAGTGCCCTATTGACATCCGCATGCTTGGATCGAGTTTTCTGCCTGACAGTCTGATCACACATTCATTTGAGACAGCGGGGGGCGGGGGGTCTCAGGGCACAGATCCAACTTCTATTTTCTTTTTCTTCAAACAAAGTTTTTTAAAATATAAAAGCAACAGCATAAGCAAAAAATAATCGGTTACAAAACAGAGGTGCAGGAGGCTGCATTTCCCAAATAAACAAAGAACAGATAATTAGAAAAAAAAATAAAAGCAGAAAAACGCATCAAGAAAGCCAGATTTCGCAATTTGGTGGGGGAAGAGAGTTTTGTATACCTGAATTTGACACATAAGCAATGAGTTCCTGCCAAAAAGTGTAGAAATGTTCTGCGTCTTCCTTATCCTTAGAGATGCATAATTTGTGTGTTATTTTCTCTGCTGCAGCCAGAGTATCCATATTCCTGTGCCGCAACAAGAGGTTTAAGTCCTAAAGGTCTTTGGCTCTGGGTCAAAGCATTCATGTAAGACCTTCCATAGATTGGGAAATTGCTTTTTGATCATCCCATAAGTTCAAAAGAGCAGGATTGTGGAGAATCCTTGACATCTGTTTTCAGTATCAGATTAAATCTGTGCACATGAGAAAGAAGGTGATGCCTCTGAGCATGTGCAGAGAACTTTCCTCCCCCAATGTCAATATGCTTTTTTCATGGCTGATCTTCTAGCAGTGCAATGGATGTCCCAGAGCCTTGTGACCCCTTAAAAGACTAGCTGTTTTAATGTGGCATCATATTTTCTGTGCCAGCCTTCTCCAGCCTCGTGCCCTTAATATGTTTTGGACCACAGATGTTCTGGCAGGACCTGAGAGGAGCCATAGTTAAGAAGAGTTGGGGCCATCAGGCAGGGGAGGTTTTAACATGCCTTCAGGCAGGTGCAAGAAACTGAACCAGCTTTTTTAACCAGGGTGAGTGTCAGCATCAAGCCTGGTGTCCTGAGCAGGACCAGGTGGCTGGTCTAGTAAAACAACAACAATAATAATTTCCCACAATGGCGAGGAGAAGTTCCACATCAGGGGCATTGTGGGAAATAAAAATGGTGGCTACATTCAGCTGCCAAGGTCCGCTTGGAACCCTGCTGTACACCATCACCACAGCCTACCAGGGTTCACTAATGTAGGACAGGGCTGGAGAACTTCATGCTGAGGGGACAAATGTGGCCCTCCAGGCCTCTCTACCTGGCCCTTGGAACACTCTCCAGGCCATGTCCCTCACTGGCCCTGTATCACATCCTAAGCTGGACTCTAATAATGCCTTCTGACTTGTCTGGATGGTGGATAGATAAAGGTTTGTAGAACCAACCTGTGGCACAAAGAGAAAAGTTTCATTTGTTGTTCCGCCCACTTTCCGCTTTGAACCTGCCCACCAATGGCCCTCAGAAGGTTGCCCAGGAAGGAACATGGCCCTCAGGCTGAAAGGTTTCCTCGGCCCTGAGGTAGGAGAGGGAACCCAGAGATGGTCATTTTCCCAGGTCCCCCTCAAGCCTCATTCTGCCTCATTCTGCACCAGCAAGGCAAAGCCAGTTCATGCAGCAGCCATTTGGGTTCTGGACACAACCAGGTCATGGCCAGACTGTCCACTATGTCCCAATAGAGCCATACTCCTCAGCCACCCAGTTCTGATGACCTCTGCATTGTCCTTGCTGGCTGAGTCAGGATGTTCTGTACCTCAGGTGTCTCTTTATCCCATAATTTTTCTCGCTTTCCCCTGCCCCCAATTTTGCAGTCTGATTGCCATCAGACTCCCATCTCTTGCGGGGGTGCAATTAGTGCCAGCACCGTCCGTTAAGAGTTTGGGTGTAATCTTCGATACCTCCCTCTCTATGGAGGCGCAGATTACAGCTATAACAAAGGCGGCATTTTTTCATCTCCACCAAGCTAAGCAGTTGGCTCCTTATCTCTCTCGCCCTGACCTAGCCACTGTGATCCACGCGACGGTCACCTCCAGACTGGATTATTGTAACTCGCTCTACGTGGGGCTGCCCTTGAGACTGACCCAGAAACTCCAGCGGGTGCAGAATGCTGCAGCGAGACTCCTTACGGGGTCTTCGCTGTGAGATCACATTCACCCGGTGCTATACCAGCTGCACTGGCTCCCGGTGGAGTACAGGATCAGGTTTAAGGTGCTGGTTTTAACCTTTAAAGCCCTATACGGCCTAGGACCCTCGTACCTACGGGACCGCCTCTCCTGGTATGCCCCACAGAGGAACCTACGGTCTGCAAATAAAAACATCCTGAAGGTCCCAGGCCTCAGAGAGGTTAGGCTGGCCTCAACTAGAGCCAGGGCTTTCTCGGCTGCGGCTCCAATCTGGTGGAATGCTCTGTCACAAGAGACTAGGACCCTGCGGGACCTGACATCTTTCCGCAAGGCCTGCAAGACAGAGTTGTTCCACCAGGCCTTTGGTCAGGGCCCAGCCTGACTCCCTCCTCTGGCAACCTGCACAGAACTTTGCTTAACAGTTGCCATTAATTTGATTTTAATTAATTTTTATAATGAAATGTTTTAGAATGTTGGATTATTTGATTGTTTGATTATTTGATTGTTGTTAGCCGCCCTGAGCCCGGCTTTGGCCGGGGAGGGAGGGATATAAATAAAATTTATTATTATTATTATTATTATTATTATTATTAGTTGTTGTTGTTTGGTTCCAGCAAGAAAGTAGCCATCTCCACCCGCCAGCGTACGAGCTCCACAGGGACATCATATTTCCCGAAGAAGGAACCGAGGAGGAGGCTGGTGAGGGGGATGCGAAGCCTCAGGAGGAACCTGTCCGTTTTGGGTGGGTTAAGGGGGTGATGGTGAGTACCATTGCTTAGTTCCCCACTCCTGATTTAAAGGATGTCCTGGGCCAGGGCCTTTTCTGTAGTGGCTCCATCCCTTTGGAATTCTCTTCCCAGGTAGATATGTATGGCCCCCTCTCTACTGGTTTTTAAGGGAACCCCATTTTATTTCAGCCAGCTTCTGAGTGGAGGAGAGACAGAAGCATATGAGTGTGGAGAAGCTAGGCTACTATACAAAGGTAGAAAGTGCATTTGTTGCTCTGCCAGCTTTTGCCTCTGGCCCCGCCCACCAATGACAGGTGGCTCCTGGAAGGCTGCGCAGGTAGGAGTATGGCCCTCAGTCTGAAAAAAGCCTTGCTACTCCTTGCTATAAATCATGGTATCGACATATCACACAAGAGTTCTCTTGGGTGAATTGCAAAGGGGGTTTATGGAATCACAGAACTGTAGAGTTGGAAGGGAGCCCAAGGGTCACCTAGAGCAACCGCCTACGATGGAGGAGTCACAGCTGAATTGCCAGGCCACAAACTGTGATGGAGAGACAAGGCAAGGTGCAGGGAACTGTCTTCCTTCCAGACACCCCTTGTGACATCTTCCTTTACCAGACAGTTCTTGTCGCTTATGCCAGGGGTCCCAATGCTCCTTTTCTGACTAGTGCACTTCAGGCACTAGGTATCTTTTAAAAGAAGGAAATGTTTAAACATGTGCACCCACCCACACATGCACACCCTTCAGTCTGAAATGGTACAGTCCAGGGAAGACTTGACCATATTGTTCTTCCGATGCTATAAGCAGACCCAGAGGTGTCAGGGCACTGGCTCATATGTTTTAAATGACTAGATCAGAAGATCCTAGGTCTCTGGTCCTCCTCACAGGCCCTGAGGTGCCTATATGCTTCAGTTATTCTTCCCAGTTACCAATTGCTGCTCCCATAACTTTCCAGATCCGTTGCATGCTTAATATCTGGGGTGTGATTCTGTACCTGCGGCTGCCTTGGATAACTGCACAAGCTGGAATAGGTAAGTCCTGTTGAATACTTCTCTTACTGCATGGTTGAGACAAACATATCTTGGTACATACATGAGGGCTTATCCACACTTCCAGCCTCAGCAGTTGGAGAGGTGGCAGCCCAAAGAGGACATTTTCTTTGAGAGCTCCCAAGTTGTGGAGCCCCTCTGTAGGAATTCAACCATGGTCTTAATGTCTAAGCAGTATAATCCAAAACAACTGCTTTTCTTCACAGCACTGACTTGGGTGATCATCCTGCTTTCTGTGACAGTGACCACCGTCACAGGACTGTCAATCTCAGCCATCTCCACCAATGGCAAAGTTAAATCAGGTAGTGTTTTTTGCACATCACCTGTAGAAATATTGACAAAGTTGCATGGGTTGGGTTAGCAAGTGTGTGTGTACGCATTGAACCTCTACTTCACATAGACAAGTCTCATCATTTTTTAAAACAAACAGACAAACAATGTCCCACCAGCTTCATCTATCAGAACCAGATGAGACTTCCTTGAGGGGGGCGGGTGGACCCATTGCTGGCATGGCTGAGGCTCAAGAGGTGTGGGAGGCATTTGCAGAGGTGAACAAAATGACTTTGCCACCTAGGAAGGTTCTCCACTCGAGAGACTGACAGATCCAGGGGATCCACGATTTTTTGATGTTTCTCACCTGCCAGCTTCAAATCCTACCAAACCGCTCCCAGGAGGAGGGATCTGAGCAGGGGCCCAGAACTAGATGACCATTTGGGTCCCTTCCAACTCTACAATTCTAGGATTCTATGCCTGCTCAATTGTGGTGCAGCAGTTAGGATGCTGGACTAGGTCATGAGAGACTAGGGTTCAAATTCCCACTTGGCCATGAAGGCCACTGGGTGACCTTGAGCCAGTCAGCCTCACCTACCTCACAGGGTTGTTGTGGGGATTATATGGGGAAGAGGAGAACCAACTTGCATGCCACCTTGAGATTCTTGGAGGGAAAAGTGGGATATCAATGCAATAAGATCAAATATATAATTTGCAGTAGGTGAGCTATACAAGCCTTTGTGGTGATCCTTGTGTTCCCATATCTCAGGTGGGACTTACTTCCTTATTTCACGAAGCCTTGGGCCTGAGCTGGGAGGCTCCATTGGCCTCATCTTTGCCTTTGCCAACGCGGTGGCTGTGGCCATGCACACGGTGGGCTTTGCAGAGACTGTGCGGGACCTGATGCAGGTAAGCCGGGGCAACTTCTGCCACCAGGCTATGAGGGAATCTCTGCAATCTTTGAACCATCATCAAGGACAGCAAGAGGAAGCCTGGTGCAGTGGTTAGAGAGTTGGAGCAGGACCTAGGACACCAGAGTTTGAATCCTCACTCAGCCATGAAGCCCACTGGGTGACTTACCACACAGGGTTGTTGTGAAGATTAAAAATGAGGAGGGGGAGAACTATGGTGGAAAGGTGCAGTTTAAATGCAATAATAAAATAAATAAGGATAGCTCCACATAGAGCACAATGCCATTGTCTAAGGCTCTAAGCAATAGGTTACTGGCCCATAGATCTGTGTGAGCAGGCTGTCCCAGGAACATCCAGAACTGAAAACAGGCACTGTGCACCACTGAAGCCACCAGGGCTCCCAGCAGCAGTAGAGACTAGGAGTTTTTCCAGACCATGAAAGGTTGGCATCAGAATTTATAGGTTGAATCAGAACAGCCCAGGAGATTCTACCTATTTTTAAATTAAAATAATAACTTCTTTAGCTGTGTCCAGACATTGCAGCTAAAAAGGATTGATTTTCAGGCCAAGGATTCAAATCCCACTCTGAGCCAATTATTGGGGGCAAAATGACACAGCGTGTGAAGTCTTGAGCACTCTTACATTTTGGGGTACATTAGTCAGCACTGATCTTTTAACCAAAGATCTTTCTATTCTAAATGCAAGCTTTTCTCTGCAGATGGGAAGCTGTCATATCACGACTCCTTTCATCTCTGCCCATTGCCTATGCTGACTGGGGCTGATGGGTCCAGCAGTTTGTGTTTTTTAAAAAACACATTTAAAAAATAATAATAACCGATTGAACGAAAAGGTCTTCACTTCACCTGGCACAGAAAATACCATAAAGAAGATGCTAAGCTAGCCTCTCTCAGGTGGACATTCCACAACCAGGTCACCACCACTAAGAAGGCATAAGCATATAATTGAGCCATGTTCCTTCTGCTCTGGCATTGCCTCTTCCAGATTTCTGGAACTTTTAGGTGACATTTAGTTATTAAATCATTAAGAAATCGTTTAAAGTAAATATCAAGAAAACAGGATCACGAAAACAGAGATGCAATATACAGTAGTACCTCGGGTTACAGATGCTTCAGGTTACAGACTCCGCTAACCCGGAAGCAGTACCTCGGGTTAAGAACTTTGCTTCAGGATGAGAACAGAAATCGTGCAGCAGCGGCGCAGCGGCAGCGGGAGGCCCCATTAGCTAAAGTGGTACCTCAGGTTAAGAACAGTTTCAGGTTAAGAACAGACTTCCAGAACGAATTAAGTTCTTAACCTGAGGTACCACTGTACAAGTGAAACAGTAGCATAAATTCATATAATGGCAGGAATCCAGTAATAACAGTTTCTGATCTTATGGGTCAAGGAAAGCCTGGGCAAAAAGGTATGTCTTTGCAAGACATCTGAAGCAAGTGATGGATGATGCTTCATGTATGGCAGAAGGAAGGGCATCCCGAAATGGAGATGCCAGAGATTGAATCTAGAGCCTTCTGCCAACAAAGTACTTTTTCTGCTGCTAACCTACGGCCCCTTTCCAACCCTGTGGACTTCTCTGCATCACCCCCTTTCCCAGATTGTGCCTTGAGTCCCCAGTGCACTCATTCTGATGCGCCCTGTCAGCACTGACTGTTGATGTTTTTTCTGCCCAAGGAACACAACTCTACCATGGTCGATCCCACAAATGACATTCGCATCATTGGGGTCATCACAGTGACTATTTTGCTTGGCATTTCTTTGGCTGGGATGGAGTGGGAAGCCAAGGTAAGAGCTTCGTTATGTATGTGTTTGTTTTTTTAGAAGGCCTGGGACAGGGGCAGGTGTGGCTAACGGGGAGAGAGCCCTATTCTGGTCATGAGGAGCAACCCATGGGGCAAGGCAGGTCAGTGATCCCAGCACTACAGAGAGCTCCAAGGGGCTGGGAGTAGATTGAGGTCTTGGGAGTCTCTGCCTCCAGCTCGCCTCTATTAGGCTCCTCCCCTTTTGGAGAACCAGGGTCTCTTAAAAGACCAAACACACGGCCTGAAGATGGTCTCCAACATGAGGTGCTCCTTGTGCTGAAAGGTACCTAGTATGGGGACACTCAGTTCCCAGTAGGGTTGTCATTGTCACAATGGATTTGCTTGGTCTTTGTAGGCACAGGTTCTTTTCTTCTTTGTCATCATGATCTCCTTTGTAAACTACCTTGTGGGAACCATCATTCCAGCCAGTGAGGAGAAACAAGCCAAAGGATTCTTCGGTTACAGGGGTAAGATGCTGGCATGAGTGGCTGAGGGAGGAGAGGACTGTTCATGAACTGAAGTACTCCAGAAGAACTAAGTTGGTGTAAGGAAGCAGTGGAGGTTGGAAATGATGCAGAAGGGCCATAACCCAGCATGAAGGCATCTGTTTTACATGTGGAAAGTCCTGAGTTCCATCCCCAGTGGCATCTCCAGGTGGTCCTGGGAAAGGCTGCCTGCCTGAAATCCTGGAGAGACCCTGTCAGTCTGTGTAGACAACATTGACCTAGATGGACCAATGGTCCAACTCAGTGTAAGACCGCTCCCTATTCTGGTGTTTAAACAGCATGTGAAGTAGCTCTAAATATATAACAGGGCTGAAGTTGTGTTTGTGACTAGCAAGTCAACAAGATAAACTAGATTAGTTTTAAATAGTAACAACAGGAACGTTTGAGTTTGGTTCTCTCGCCCAAGGAGTGCATTCAATCCTCAAAACATAAGACGAGCCCAGCTGGATCAGATTAAAGTTCTGGTAGCTGTGGTAGAATAATAATAATAAATAAGTTGAGATGGTTTGGAGTGACCAGACAGGTTTACATCTCTCCACCCAGTCCAGTGCCCTGAGGGAGATGGAAATTGCCCTCTCCCAACTCATTGGATTGATCATCAGATGTAAAGTTTGCATACACAAACACACACGTGACAAAACCTTCTCTTTTCCAGCGGACATCTTTGCGCAGAACTTTGTGCCAAACTGGCGTGGGCCTGATGGCAGTTTCTTTGGTTTGTTTTCCATCTTTTTCCCATCAGCCACTGGCATCTTGGCAGGAGCCAACATTTCAGGTGATTTGAAGGTAGGCGGGTCTGGCTGCTGAAGCCCAGGGGGGCAGGAGGTGGGGTGCTGGAATTAGCAGCCTCCTTTTGGAAACATGGCCCAGGGCAATAGTTGGTGTCAGAAATTCTGGGTATTGGGGCAGAGGGTTCGGTGGGTCCCATTCCAGCCTCTTTCTATATATAGCCTGTTGGGGATGCAGAGGGACAAGTCTTTCATTACATAAATATATTTCTCTCTCTCTCTCTCTTTCAGTGAGGGGTGACTTATTACAGCTAAGCATGAAAAGTTGCATATAAGTTGAATCTTCTTTCCTTCCACCCATGTTTCATTTGGTAGAAGCCAAAGCCCATGCAGTTCTATGCAAAGCTATGTGTGTGTTTGTGTGTGTTCCTATATACATAGAAATGTAAGGTGTCATAACGCTTCAGTTTACCAAACACAAACTCCAGCATGACAACAGAACATCAGGCAAGCAAGTGTGAGAAAGGAGGGGGAGTTGCTTCAGGGAGCAGTTTGGCAAACCTGTCTCTGGGGTGCCTTCCCACCTCCATTAAATCTCCTCAAGTGAGGAGACAGGCAGAGTGGGGACTCATCCACATTTAGCTTTTGCCTCGCACTTTCCAGGCACAGGTCCGCACTTTAAAGCTCCATGTCCTAGCGCCCCCATTTTTTCACCCTGAAGCACAACAAACAGTGATTTTCTGCAGGCTGCCGTTTGCTCCTGTTCAGTGTTAAAAGTGTTAAAAGAGCAAGTTTTCACTGGGAAAGCTCCAAAGCAAAAGAAGAAGAAAACGAGTGCTTGGAAAATGGAGCTTTGAAGCATGGGCCCTGCCTGGAAAGCACAGAGGAAAGGTAAGGTGTGGGTAAGCCTTAAGTGAGTGAGCCAGTGGCCCAGGCAGGCACGTGAGTGATGGAGAGGCACAGGTGAGCAAAAGGGAGAAGCTGAAGGAGCTGGAGAGGTTTGGGTGAGGTGTAAATGGGTTGGCAACAAGGTGGGGCAAGCAAGGTTGGTGAGCCCCTAGTAGTATCACAATTACTGGTTAATGCAGTGATGCCTATGGAAGGCATTTTCCTAAATCTCATTTATCCACTTGGGTAGGATCCTGCCGTGGCAATTCCTAAAGGGACCCTCATGGCTATTTTCTGGACGACCGTGTCATATCTGATTATATCTGCGACTATTGGTAGGTAATGGTCAGGCATTAATTGTAATCAGCAAGATAAATGTAGTACGTTTCTGAGCACAATACAAAGTGTTGGTGCTGACCTTTGAAGCCCTAAATGGCCTTGGCCCAGTATACCTGAAGGAGTGTCTCCACCCCCATCGTTCTGCCCCGACACTGAGGTCCAGTGCTGAGGGCCTTCTGGTGGTTCCCTCATTGTGAGAAGTGAAGTTACAGGGAATCAGGCAGTGGGCCTTCTTGGTAGTGGAACCCGCCCTGTGGAATGCCCTCCTACCAGATGTCAAAGAGATAAACAACCACCAGACTTTTAGAAGACATCTGAAGGCAGCCCTGTTTAGGGAAGCTTTTAATGTTTGACAGACTATTGTATTTTTTGTTGGCAGCCGCCCAGAGTGGCTGGGGAAACCCAGCCAGATGGGTGGGGTATAAATAATAAATTATTATTATTATTAATCAAGAGAAGCTGCCCCTGGATGTTTTTGGACTGAGTATGGGCTCAGGAGCATTATGACTTCTTAATTCAAGGTGTATTTCCTGAGCTACTGCTGTCCACTTGATTCTGGTTGGTGGGCTTTACCTATTTATTCTGTAGGATTCGTAAAGCATTTAATTGTCAAGACCAGTGAGCAGTTTACAAGGGGTACTGGTAGTCAGAGTAAACCTACTAAAGTTAAAGTTGTTTTTAATGTTTGGTGTTTTATCGTGTTATTAATATTCTGTTGGGAGCCTCCGAGAGTGGCTGGGGAAACCCAGACAGATGGGTGGGGTATAAATAAATTATTATTATTATTATTATTATTATTATTATTAAACAGAATTAACTAATTTCAATGGGTCTGCTCTGGATAGAACTTAGCTGGATACGTGAAAATTACTGATAAAATCAGATATTTAAAACATTTCAAAATATAATCAGCAGCTTTAAAAATATACATGATAAAATAAAATTGCATATTAAAATGCATGTCAAATTTACATATCTGAGTAGGCTTGGTTAAAGGAAAGGAAAAATTTCAGCCATTGTCAAAAAGAAAGCAGCAAAGGCACCTGCCCAGTACCAAAGGGCAGAGAATTCCAAAGTGTAGGCACAGATGGCCCGAAGGATTGAATCCTTGCAAATGTGGAATGAACATTATATGGTTTATTTAACAGGATTTATACATTGCTTAATTTGCCAAGGTCTCTAACTGGTTTGAGCCTCTGGTGAGAAAAACAAAGTAGATCCAAGCAGCCTGAATTTTTGCCCCCCTCTGCTTAGAGTGGCTCATGGGTCTTTGAAATTAAGAGCCCACGCTGTGGAGGAAAACTGTCAGAAATGATGCTAAATTATCATGGTCCCTTTCTTAGGGGCGTGTGTGGTCCGGGATGCCTCTGGAAACGTGAACGACACCATCTCTGTTAGCTCTGTGGGCTGTGAAGGGATCGCTTGCAACTTGGGCTGGAACTTCACGGAGTGTGCTCAGAGCCACACCTGTAACTTTGGGCTTATCAATTTTTACCAGGTATTATCAGCCGCACTGCCGTAGGGAAGGGTGTTTTTTATTTGACACCTGGGCCTTGGGGATACTTGGAAGGGGGACAAAGACACTGCCTTCTTCCATTTAAATCTGTTGCAGCCCAGGATCCAACCCTACCAGATGGGTTGCAATCTCTGATCAACCATGGGCATGATGGCTGGGTCCATCACTTAGCTATGATTCCTGCATTGCAGGAATAGTTTGGGTCCCTTCCAACTCTACAGTTTTATGCTTCCATGACTACTGATGGCTTCTCTGCTGTGAATAGATCTCCAGACTGGGTTGGGGACAAAGCCAGCTGCCTTCAGAAATGGGGAGGCACAATGCAGGGAGGCTGGTTTAGTGCCTAGACCCAGCAGGAATCGCTGAATAGTCCATCATTCTGCCTTATATTAGCCCATGAAGCTCAGTATTCGATAACCTAGTGGCCATGAGCAGCTGAGCTCCCTAACTTCAGATATGGGAAGAGGCTTGTGGAAGCTGCCATCTCTGATTGGCTCTTCCTCCTTCCACCAGTGCCCATCCCTTTCCCCACTTCCCCTGGGTCCAGGCTGAACTCCTGAGAGGTTGTGGAAAGCGGGGTATGCTTCTCCTCCTTGCTCTGATCAGGGCCCACATGTAGGGAGAAGAACCCTAGAATCACAGAACTGCAGAGATGGAAGAGACCCCAAGGGCATCTAGTCCAACCCTCTGCAATCCGGGAACCACATCCTTGACAGATGGCCATCCGAACTCTGTTTAATAACTTCCAATGGCAAGGCAGCAACAGCAAAGAGGCTCAAGAGAGGGACCCCTGATTGGGTGGGGGCCATGACAAGTGTCAAGTGGTACACACACACACCCATGCTGGCCTGTGAGAAGAAGCCAAGGTGTCCTCTCCTGGTTTTGACAGAGCCCATAGGGGACCACACAGGTTGGTAGTTGCAGCACCAAGGACAGTTGCAGGCGAGAGCCCTTGCTCTAATCACATTGGCGAATGAACCAGTGGTGGGTTTTGTGTTTCTGGGGGCCGGATCTGAAGGTTTGGAAGAGGCTAGTCTCTGGACTGGCATATCCTCCTTTCTAATGAGTCCTTTTGTGTGTATCACATGCACTGATATCATGAGCTGGGAACATGGGTCACTGGTGTGGAGGCGATTGGTTCCTCAGGGGGTGTAGGCTTAGAGGAGACAGACTTCACAGGGGCTGCTCTGGGGTGTCTTGGACTCCAGAGCCCATTACCTAGGTTTGGGCTGTGCCTCAGGGCTGGCTGTAACCCTGGAGCCTGGGCTGCTGTACAGATAGATTGGACTGGTCTCTCTGAGTTTTGGAAGTCCAGTTTGCTGCTCTGCATCATGCACAGTACATATGTGATCCATTGTGTTTCCTTGCAGAGCATGAGCATGGTGTCTGGCTTTGCACCACTAATCACAGCTGGGATCTTTGGGGCCACCCTCTCCTCCGCTCTGGCCTGCCTTGTGTCAGCCCCCAAAGTCTTCCAGGTGAGAGATGGGGACAAGTAGGACTGCTCAGCTAACCAGGAAATTTGGATACCCCTCCCGACCACAGTGCTAGGATCTGACTGCTTTGGGGCTGAGCTTGAACCTGCAGGAATGTGCTCTGAATCTGAATGCAAATGACCACAACTGTCCACAAAGTGTGAAAAACCACCAGCCTTATTCCCCCCATCAGGAAAAGAAGATGACTCCACATCTTCCTTGGGATGCTCTGATGCTGACTGTGAGATAAGATAGTGATATGTCAAGCTATGATACATCAAGCATTTCATTGGGTAAAACTGCTCTAAAAATGATGATGAGTTTGAGCATGTTAATGAAATACAGAGCCCATTCCTTTTATAAATGACAGGCAGTGGGCCATGATCCATTTGAACAGTTAAACCCCATATAGAGGTTGATATTCTGCCTGTTGTAAATGTATTTTATCTTCTACAGAGATTTTATATGAACTATTGACACTTGTATCAAATAAAATTTATTTACAGAAGAAAATTAATTAGAAAGAAAACAGCAGCAGGCCCCCCAAAATGGATTCATACCAAACCAGAAGCTACTCACACAAAATGGAAGCTAAATTTCATGAAAAGTCTGAGAGAACAGCAATGATTTCACCTGATAACTAAAAGACATTGATTAGAGTACCAGGTACATGTGTTTAGGAATGGAATTCCATAATTCCAGTGCCACCACTGAGAAGCCCCCCTCTCCAGTCATCGCCCCACTAACCTCAGGATGTGAAGGACACGGAGAACTGCCTCCAGTTTAAACCTTGACATTTCTGGGCATGTTCCTGATGGCTCGAAACCTTGTCACGAATAGCCATTTTGCATCTCCCCAACAGTGCCTTTGTAAGGACCAGCTCTACCCTGCCATTGGCTTTTTTGGGAAGGGTTATGGAAAAAACAACGAACCTATCAGGGGTTACATGCTGACATACGTCATTGCGATTTGCTTCATTCTTATTGGTAAGTAATTCAGGGGGTCATGAAGTGAGGGAGGGGCAGAGTCTGATTTGACTTAGGGTGGGGCAAACAATGGCAATAGGATGGTCTTTAATTCTGTGTTGAAAGTCTTCAATGTTATGATTTAATAAATAACAACTATCCTACAAACACCTGATTCTGCGCTTTGAATAATTTGCACAAATGAACGGAACCTCCCTCCTTCTCTCTCCTATCCCTGCAGCTGAACTGAATGCCATTGCCCCCATCATCTCCAATTTCTTCTTGTGCTCCTATGCACTCATTAACTTCAGCTGCTTCCATGCGTCCATTACCAACTCCCCAGGTAAGGTGTGCTATTTATTCATTTATTCATTGACTCTATATCCATCATGTTCTCCAAGGAGTTCAAGGTGACACACACGGTTCTCCTTGCTCCTTATCACAACCCTGTGAGGTTGGTCAGTCTGAGAGGCAATGACTGGCCCAAGATCACCCAATGAGCTTCATGGCTGAGTGGGGATTTGAACCCAGCTCTCCCAGGTCCTAGTTGGACACTCTCACCACCACTGGCTCATGGTGCTTAGCATCAAAAGTAGCACACTAGGTCAGGTCCTAGGCCACTTCCAGAGCCTCACTGTCCTGAAGATGGGAAGCTGTTCCTAGCAGATCTAAACAGGTTTGTGGGCCATGCACTTGGGAGCAGGAGCTGAGCCCTTCAGTTGGTGTATGGCCTCATTGTCAGCCACTTATCATTCAGGATAGTGTAGTGGTGAACAAGCAGGGCTGCAACATCTGGAAGTTGGGAAGCCTGATTTGGCTCATCCCTATAGCCCAACTGCCTTTCCATATTGGGGTGTTTCTCCCCCTCCCCATTTAAATTTTATTACATGTTTACATTAAGCTAACATAATTTATCCAGCAGTGTCCTAAATAGTAGATACAGTGGTACCTCGGGTTACAGACGTTTCAGGTTACAGACTCCGCTAACCCAGAAATAGTACCTTGGGTTAAGAACTTTGCTTTAGGATGAGAACAGAAATCGCACAGAAGCAGCGGGAGGCCCCAGTAGCTAAAGTGGTACCTCAGGTTAAGAACGGACCTCCAGAACGAATTAAGTTCTTAACCCGAGGTATTGTGCATCAAATATATGTGGCTGAATGGATAGATTGAGAGATTGATCTGCACCAGCTACCCGCTATTGAAATGTGTATGAAGTACAATAATAAAAAATCAGGTTGCACTCATATCCTGCCATTGTGAGAACAGGATGCTGGACTAAATGGGCCCTCTTGATCCTGATCCAGCAGGATCTTCTTATGTTCTTAACACAACTGAGCAAATAAAATGGCCAAACTAAATTAAAAATTACACAATTTAAAACTCAGAGAACATCTCTAGGCCTTTATTTTAATGACAGTCACTAGAAACTTTCCATTCTTTGCTATCACCAGCTGATCCAAGATCCTCATGGAGAAAAACGATATAATAATCAGCTGGATGCCCTGGATGAGATGATAATAATAATGTGAATGTGTGAGTAATCTAGGCTCATGACAGGTATTTAGGTTCTTTGCCCTATTTTACAAAATTACTCCAACGGCAAAGAAATAGTTCCCATGTTTCCCCTAATATAAGATCCATTGATCTTTGGGGATGGCAGATTAGTATTATCTGCAAGGCGGTTGCACAAGAAGATTGCGTGTGCGCAGTGCTTTGATCGCCAATAATTCTGGTTCTCTTTCATTGCCACATCCACCCAGGTTGGAGGCCCTCCTTCAATTACTACAGCAAGTGGGTGGCTCTCTTTGGAGCCATTGTGTCCGTGGTCATCATGTTCCTGCTGACCTGGTGGGCTGCCCTCATCGCCATTGGAATTGTGGTCTTCCTGCTTGGATATGTTCTCTATAAGAAGCCAGGTATGTAACTGGGGAAACTCGGACCTGGCATGGATGGGCAAACATCTCTTCATCTGGCCATCAGAACTCTTCCTGCAACACGCCCCCTCCCAGTCAAAGCCCCTTTCCCCCTTTTAATGTCCTGCCCACTTTTGCCTCTGACCCCACCCATCACTGGCATGTGACCCCCCTAATGTGGCTCAGAAGGGAATGTGTGCAATCCAGGAGGTTGGACTAGATGGTGCTTAGGGTTCCTTCTGACTCTGCTGTGATTCTGTGAACACCAGCTACCATTAAGCAAAAATAAGTGCTCTGATCCTGCTTGGCTGTTTCTCTCTAGGGGTGAACTGGGGCTCATCCGTGCAAGCCGGTTCCTACAACATGGCCCTGAACTATTCTGTGGGACTCAACGAGGTGGATGACCACATTAAGAATTATAGGTGAGGAAGTGTACAGTGCTATCTTCTTGGTGGTTATTGAAGACCCTCCTTTTCCAAGAAGCCTTTTAGGTCAATATTTTTTTATCTTCGTCTGTGGGCCTGCAGTAAAGCTGAATGTCAGGCAATTCAGGACTGAGAAAATGAAGTGCTTCTTCATGCAGTGCAGAGTTAAACCAGCAGGCTCTTCTGATACCCTTATGTTCTGTATTGGACTTGAAATTATTTTTTATGTGCTTTTTTAGTAATGTTTTTATTGTTACATTATTATGGGATTTTTTTATGGGAAGCAATTCAAAATAAATGATGTCAACAGTCAGGGTAAACAGGGAGCTCTTCAGCTGCCTGAGAAAGCGCCCCACTGTTGGTTCTTGTCTGAACTCCACAGGGAGCTCATTCCACACAGTGGGAAGAGCAACAGAGGAGGCCTCAGCCGGCACAGTCAAACCAATCACATCAACTTTGGAGGACTAGATGGGAATAGGCCTTCCGAGAGATAATCTGGTCCCAAGTGCAGCCTATGACTTCTCATTGTTTCTCCCTCAGACCTCAATGTCTGGTGCTGACTGGCCCTCCCAATTTCCGCCCAGCCCTGGTGGACTTTGTGGGCACCTTCACCAAAAACCTGAGCCTGATGATTTGTGGGAATGTGTTGATCGTGAGTATTTATCACCACAGGAGAATCAACTTTGCATGTTGTCGACATGTCTGTCTGCCTGTTGTATACTTCTGAGGGCACCAGGCTATGAATGGTTTCATCCAGGAGCTCTTTTGGAGACAGCTGATTCTCTATGAATCAACCACCTACAGTGAACCCATGAGATGTGAAGGCTAGCATACAGAACCCATGGTCTCAAAGCAGGGACCTTGGTGCCAAGAGAGGGCGATTTCAGACCTCCAGGTCAGTTTGTAAGCAAAAGAAATAGCTAGTTGGGCTGATCTCAACTGTGCTACAGCACTGTGGGTGGTCTGGAGTGGTACTGCAGATTCTGGCTCAGTAGGGATCAGGAGGCCCCAAAAGCCAATTGAATCCCAGCATGAGCCTGTTGAAATGCTGGTTCTGGCTTCCTCAGTTTGATTTACTTGCTGCTACACCATGCAATCTACCTGTGTAACCTGCTGCTTGCTTATGCACCAGCAGCCCTGCCAGGCAGATGCCTAGAACACCCCCAATGGGAAGTTGGCAGTGACCCCCACCCCTCAACTCCCATCTCCAGATGTTTAGGAGGGACTGGAGCACCTGCCTTTTCATACTTTGTGTTCGCAGCAGAAAACAACTGTGTTCATGCTGGAGTGGCCACAGCAAATCTGGTTTCCCCATCAAGCAGGATGAAAGCTGCATTTGATTCTGTTTGTTCCCCCTGGAAGGATAGTCAGCTAATTAAGCAGGACTGAATGATAGGCTCGGAAGATATGGAAGGCAATCACTTCCAGCTGCAGCTTAATTGCCAAGGCAAAGATCAGAAGCTGCTTTTTGAAAGCAGGGCACATTAATCACAGGATGGCATTCTGCTTCCAGATTACCTCTTATTCTCTGCCTGAGGTGCAGCAATTGCAGATGTGGTGGCTGATCAATGGGGAAATGATTGGCCCCTTTGCATTATTAAGCTGGCCAAGTGCCAAATTTAAAAACAACAACACAGAGGTACCCCTTAGCTCAAACTTCCTGGGCTCTGAAGGCCTTTCTGCAAACTGCAGACACGAGGAAGTGGCATGTGGTTTCTCACTGGTATAAGAAGGAGCCTCTGTGCATGCTCAGAGGGATGGCTTACACCTTTTGTGACTGAAATAGGATCCTAGGTGCAGGTGGCACCCATGAGACAAGCCCAGGGATGGGATCTGATCATAGGCTCTGTGTCCAGCTTGGACTTTAACTCGCATCAGCCCCATTCAGCACAGCCAACAGTTAGAAATGGTGGGAATTGTAGTCCAAAACATCTGGAGGGCGCCACATTAGTGAAGTGCAATTTGGATAACTTGATGGTCACATGAGTCAGGAAGGGTGTGCCTGTCTTAAGCCAGCTACCCTTGGGTCTCCCACTGTTTTCTTCTGCTTTCTCACAGGGGCCAGGCAAACAGATGATGTCTGAGTTCCGTCTTGCTTCCAGAGGCCACGTCAAGTGGCTGACCAAGCGCAAAATCAAGTCTTTCTATACTGATGTCTTAGCTGAGGACCTGAGAACTGGAGTTCAGATTCTTATGCAGGTAAAAATCAAACAAAAAGAAAGAAATCTTGAAATGCTGAAGGTAAGTAGGCAGCCCATGTCTACAACGACTGCTACATTGAAGAATCCTTAAAACAATTTTTGTGAAAGTTCAGTATTCATTGGACAAATAAACTGTTGTATCTTACTGTCTGTTTTCAGCAGCCGTACTTTGTGGCAGAATGCGGCATGCTGGTGGCATTACTGAGGGCATTGTCCTGCTGCTTTCTCCTGAGGAAAACTGCTCTTTAGCACTCAATCAGAACAAATGGCAATTTGAGTTTTCTCTGGCTTGATGTTTCCTTTGATTTAGCACTAAAGAGCAGGTTATCCCTGGGAAAAGAGTGGAGGAAGGGGAAAACCATTCAGACCTGTGGTTTCTAGGAAAAGGACAAGTGTGGATGAGCCCTGAGTTAAGTTTAGAGAAAAGGCGAGTAGGAGGTGACAAGATAGAAATTTATAAAATTATAAACTTGGCTAGAAAATCCCCACCCTCCACCTAGTTGTTTCCACCCAAGTTCTTAGTTCAGCCCCTTGAGGAATGAGGAGGGAGTGTCTGTGTGGCCCTGAGCCCGGCTTTGGCTGGGGAAGGCGGGATATAAATAAATTTTATTATTTCTTATTATTAATGATACCCCCTTTTTCTCTGCTTTGATAAAGGCTTCCGGTCTTGGGAGAATGAAGCCCAATGTCCTTGTGATTGGTTACAAGAAGAATTGGCAGGCTGCCCATCCACAGACGGTGGAAGAATACATTGGGATTCTGCAGTAAGTTGGGTCATGGCATGGGATCCATTTAAATGAATCAGCAGCTGCAGCTGTCTGTGGCCACCATTAGCACCAGGGATGGGCAGATGTGTCTGTTTATGACTTGGGCAAATTTTCCATATGTTCATTTATAAATCTGCTCCCGTCTTGACCAACACTGAGGCTAAGGAAGAAGAGGAGGCTGACAGGCAGGGCCATCCTATGAGCTGCTTGTAAGTAAGAAGGCAGGTGGGGGGTTGGCTGCAGGGCAGATGTGGGTTGGTGGGCAGTGCCCCATTTGCCTTCATGGAGACCAGCCTCTGCTGATTCCAACCAGGACTTCTGAGATCTGTCTTACATTGACTCTGGCAGCCCTTTGGTTTTGTCTTCCAGTGATGCTTTTGACTTCAAGTATGGCGTGTGCATGATGCGGATGAAGGAGGGGCTCAACATCTCCAGGCTTGTGCAGTCTCACAGTGAGTTTCTCCACCACATACTGTCTGGGCCAGAGGCTTCCTGTAGTTGAGTTGATTTGCCTAAAAAGGATGCAATTAGGAACAGAGGAGGCAGCCTCTAGCAGCAGCTCTCCAGAGCTCTCCAGAGTTTGAGGCAGGTGTTTCTCCCAGCCCTACCAGGAAATGCCAAGGATTAAACCCGGGACCTTCTGCATGCAAAACAGATGCTGTAACCACCGAACTGTGGGACACAGAAAAGAACACAGGAAGCTGCCTTTGGATTTGGACCATTGGTCAATCTAGCTCGGTGTTGTCTACGATGACTGGCAATAGGGCTGTAAGATTTCAGAGAGGGGACAATTCCTAGACCTATTACAGACACTGCCGGGAATTGAACCTGAGACTTTTGCATGCAAAGCAGATGCAAAGCAATGACCTGTTCCTTCATCCTAACTCATGAGGAAGGTAGGGGCTTCCCAGATGATATGCTGCACTCAACATATTATGTTAAACAGTGGCTCATCACAAGCCATTGTTCAGTGTTAGGCACCAGGCCAAGAGGCGAGGCAAACAAACACAAAAATCAAATAAATCTGATCTTGCTTCTTTTGGCCCTTCTCACTAGTGTAAGGAGGAAATGAATCACAATCCTTGTCACCATCCAATTGCTGAGGGGGTGTTCTTTTGCTCCAAGCCAACCTCCAGAGCAGCTTTTCCAAACTTGATGCCCTTGTGATGTTTTGGACTACAACTCCCATCAGCCCCAGCCATGGCTGTGTTAGCTAAGGCTGGCGGGAGATGTAGTCCTGGGCAGCTGGAGGACACCAGGGTGAGGAAGAGTGATCCGTTGTGTTCATTGCATATTCTCTTTCCTCTAGTTAACCCCGTGTTTGACCCAGCAGAAGATCCACAGAAGAACATTGAAGAGCCTCCTGTGATAAGTACATGTCAGTTCCCAGCAGGTTCATTTCTGTGACCTCTAGTGCTCGTCTTTCTGTTAAGACTGTCTTACCTGTGGGGAAAGTGATTGACTTGGGCCACAGATGGAAGGCCTTTGAAATCAGAGTGTGCCAACTCAGAGGTTTGATTTCTTCTCCTATAACACAGGAAGAGAAACCTGCCATTTTGGGCCCTGTCTCGACCATTCTCCTGTCGTGTCCTGCTTGTGACCTTTCCTCATTGATCTGGTTTGGCCACTGTGAGAACAGGATGCTGGACTGGATAGGCCTTAAAAGGATCTAGGACAGTACCCAGAGTAGCCAACATGGTGCCTTCCAGATGTTGTTGAACTACAGCTCTCATCATTCCTGCCCATTGGCCCTTTTGACTGGGGCTGATGGGAGTTGGAGTCCAACATCTGGAGGATTACAAAGTGAATATTTCATTCTGTTGGTTATGCTTACTCCTAGGATTTATGATTTCTGCCCTAGCTTTGCAAATAAAAACAATCCCACATTCATTTTGCCCCCCCTGCCCAATTTGGTTACTCTCTGAGTCAGGACCACATCAGCCCCATGTAAACATCAGCTCCAAGTTGCCATCATGTTCTACTGTCTCCTACAAGGCCTGTGTTATGCCAAAATTATTGAAACACATTTTACCATGTGATAAGAGCTGCCTGTGAGACTAGGGATGGCATTTTCTGAAAACTTCCATGCTCTGTTTCTCGGCACATATTTTCCCCCCAGTTCCCATCTGGCTCCTAGATTTCAACAAGAAATGAGTTGTTTATTTACCAGTCACACTAAAAATACAAACTATTCTCAGATTATATATGCACCATCATAGTATAGTATGTATAATTATATTATATGCATACTATATATATATATTCCGTGTTTCCTAAACTAACCAGAACATAAGCCAATGCATACAGCAATACATATAACTATATAAAAATACTTACATATTAATAATAAATATACTTACATAATAATAATACTTACATATTAATACTTATAAAAAAAATGTTGCAGAAATACATGACAGCATGGGACTTGGCTCTTTTATACGTAGTTAGTCCCACTCAGAGGAGACCCACCGAAACTGATGGCCTAACTTAGGTACATTAATTCTGACGAGTCTATTCTAAGTAGAACATAGCTGGATACGACTCAATATATAATTTGCATATTTTTATATATAATTAGATGGTTTTTGTTTTTTTTAAAGTTTCCTAATGAACAGAATGGGAAGTGGAGCATCTCAAGAGGGATTTCATAAGCTTGCAAATTCACTTGGTGAGTGGCATTTGAAATCCTGGGCACTCTCTTACTCATGCAGTGGGGATCCTTTTTATTATTATTCCTAGTGGACCCTGATGCCTTGGTAGCAGAACAGCAAGCAAGCACTGCCTTCCAGATAGAGCAGGGCAAGAAAACCATTGACATCTACTGGCTCTTCGATGATGGAGGTAATTTCAGCATCCTTCTCCCACATAGGTAAGGATTTGTGGTACCAAAGGAGTGTTGCACCTTCTGGTCCAACCCCCTGCTTGGACCCATCACTGCCATTTTTGCTTTGGGGCTCCTGGGTCAGTGGTGTCCCTTTTTCATAAGGGAACAGTTAGGGCCACAGGCGCCAGCTTATGAGGATGATGGAAGGGGAAACATCACATGCACCATGTCCCAATATTGCACACATGAGCATTGTGCCTCCCTCAGTAAACTGGGTAGAAGCTTCCCGAGCTTTGGGAAGGAGGCAACATGCTTTAATACTTTAATACTCTAGTTTACTGAGAACATTTAGGGGACTAGCCTAGTCCCCCTAAGGCCTGAACCAATGGATTCAAAGTACAAATAACAAAAAAGGAGATTCCAGCTAAACATTAAGATGAATTTTCTGATGGTCATAGCAATTCAACAGTGGAACGGACAACCTCCAAAGATGGTGGACTCTCTTTCATTAGAGGTTTTAAAACAGGTTGGATGGCCATCTGTCAAGGATTCTTTAGCTGTGATTGTGGCATTGCAGAGGGGTGGACCAGATTACTCCTGAGGTCCTTTCTCACTCTAGAGTTCTAAGATTCTTTGGTCCCAGGGGCTGATCTGAGGCACATGATGCAGCAACCTTGCTAAAGCTAAGCTGGTTTGGGTTTGGCCACTCCTTGGATGAAAGGCCACCTGGGTACCTTGCCTATAGCCACCATAGGCTCCGTCTTGGAAGTACAGTGTGATATAAATCAGTATTTGCCAACCTGGGGCCCTGGAGATGATGGGAGTTGTAGTCCAAAACATCTCTAGGGCACCAGGTTGGGAAAGACTGAAATAAACGAAGGATTCCCAGACTCCATTTTCTCTGCAGTTATTTGATCAAGAGCCATTCTGTGTTTTTACTTGGCAGGCCTGACGCTCCTCATCCCTTATCTCCTTGGGCGCAAGAAGAGGTGGGGGAAGTGCAAGATCCGGGTGTTTGTCGGAGGGCAGATCAACAGGATGGATGAAGAGCGCAAGGCGTAAGTCTAGGACCGCTTGTGGCCTCGGTTGGATTTGTATCCCTTGTGCTCTGGGAGAGGGCTGTGGTAGTTCTCAGGCCCTGCTTGCGAGCTTCCCATTGGGGCATCTAAAAGGCTGTGGTTACAAAAGTAATTAGGCTATCTATAGAGTTAAAACAATGCAAAAAAAATATGTATCTATTAAAATGACAGGAGGGTGCCCGGTTGAGGAAGGCTGGTCCAAGATGCATAGCAAAGTTCCTAACATGAAGAGAGGTTATCGCATTTTAGTTATCCTCAGAATGTAAAGAATCAATGTGTGCACTGGGCATAGGAAAACATAAAAACGAAACTGCTGCCCCCTGCAAAAGGTACTACCGGTCTCTTTCTCCTCTTGCAGGATCATCTCGTTGTTAAGCAAGTTCCGACTTGGGTTTCACGAGGTCCATATTCTTCCCGACATCAACCAGAAACCCCGACCTGAACAGTAAATCAAGACTTAACTGTAGCTTCTTGCTCATCCAGTTTAATAATCTGCAATTGACTTTTTTATTGTTATTTTGTTTATTTAAACATTGATGGGTGTTGTTTTTTTACTTATTCCTTAAATTTTAAGGTTTTTAAAAAAATATAAATAATAATAATAATAATACAGGATGACTGTGTTAAATGCATAACATGACCTCCTGTTTTTTGCAGTGGTAATATATATATACATATATATATATATATATATATATATACAGTGGTACCTCGGGTTACATACGCTGCAGGTTACATACGCTTCAGATTACAGACTCCGCTAACCCAGAAATAGTACCTTGGGTTAAGAACTTTGCTTCAGGATGAGAACAGAAATTGCATGGCGGCAGCCGGAGGCCCCATTAGCTAAAGTGGTGCTTCAAGTTAAGAACAGTTTCAGGTTAAGAACGGACCTCCGGAACAAATTAAGTACTTAACCCAAGGTACCACTGTACATTAAAGATCATGTAATAATTTGTATCAGAAGCACCTAACATTTTACATTAGAAAAATTAGCTATAAATATGACTTTTAAAACTATGTGGAAATGTGGTGAAATTAAGGCTTTGATGGAGGATAGGGCTGTCAGTGGTTACTAGCCACAATGACTAGGTTTCTCCCTCTACTGTTGGAGGCAGTTTGCCTCTGAATCCCAGTTGCTGGAAACCAGAGGGGAGGGGATTGGGCTCTTGTGCTCAGGTCCTGCTTGTAGGCTTCTCTCAGGCATCAGGTTAGCCACTGTGAGAACAGGATGCTGGCCTAGATGTGCCACTGGCCTGATCCACCAGGGCTCTTCTAATGTTCTCAAGGCTAGAAAAACAAGACACTGAAACTGAGATTTGTACCCAACTTGGTATTACAGACCTGTATGGGTCCCCACAGCTGACAGTTTCATGTTGGATGGTGGAATGTTCTGGGGAAGAGAGATCCTAGATGGTCTATTTGGTTCAGGCAGAAACAATGCCACCTGGTCACTTACAAGATCTCCATGGTTTTGTTGACAGTGTGAAGAGATTTGACGACTTAATCGCCCCATTCAGACTGAACGATGGCTTCAAAGACGAGGCGATGGTGAACGAGATGAGGCACGGCTGCCCATGGAAGATTTCCGATGAGGAAGTCATGAAAAATAAAGCTAAGGTCTGATGGTCTCGCTGGCCATGTGGAGAGTGGGCTTTGCCACCACAAAAAGTGAAAAATAATTGCTGTCTCCTCTCAACGGGTCCCAAGGCCTTTAATGCAGGGGTGGCTGACCTGTGGCCTTCGAGATGGCACTGGACTTCTGCATTGTTTAGCATGCCCTTCTTCCCTCTCCCATTCACGAAGCATCACCCGTCAGTTGCTTCAGGCAACTCATAAAGGCATCTCTTTTTGCCCTGACTTTCCCTGACCCACAAGATTGGACTATCTTATTACTGAATTCCCCGTTGTTGTTTTTTAATTACACTGTTTTGTTGGTTTTCAAATTGTATCTCTGTTTTTATACTTTCATTGTTTCTATGTTGCATTTTTTAATACAGTGGGCCTGCAACTTACATGGGGTGGGGGGTGGTCCATGAGCAAAGGCAAAACTGTGTAGAGTCAGCAAACCCCTGGAATCTCCCTCCCAGCTGTGCAACCATCCCTACCCGTCTGGAGTGGGTATTGCCCTCCATCTCCCTTTCCAGGCTCTTGTAAAGTCGTGCGACCTTCCCAGTGCCCAGTAAGCAAGACAGAAGGCCCAAAAGCTCCACAGTGGGAAATAACTTTTTAAGCCCCCCTGTCTTGCTTATCGGATTCTGGGAAGGTTGTGGAGGATCTTGGGTGGCTCCTTCTGACTCCTCACTCCCAGTTTCCAGTTATTTATTTCCCCCACACAAAGCTGCAGTGACGTAAGTAAATTACATGTAAATTGTGGGACCACTCTACCGCCGAGAGATTTTTTAGTGGTTTACAATGCTTTTAAATAAAAAGAAACAATAATAAACCCCAGTTGGCATGGACAACAGTCAGGTGAAGTATAAGTTCAGCAACATCTGGGCTGTGGGCACATGACGCCTTTAAAGCACCTTCGTAGCACATTCATTCCCTCAACAAACTCTGGGCACTGTAGTTTATGCCTCACAGTTACAATTCCCAGCAACACTTAACAAACCACATTGTTCAGAGTGGTTATACAGCCAGCCCCTCTTCCCAAGGAACACAGGGAAATGTAGCTCTGTGAGAGGTAATAGGAATGTCCGAACAACTCTCAGCACGCTTAACTAACCACAGCTTCCAGGAACCTTTGAGGGAAACCATGACTGTTTAAAGTGCTATCAAAACTTTAAATGCATGGTGTAAATGTGGCCTTAATCTCTGTGTTTACTGTCTATTCTCTCTTCCGCCCTTCAGTCACTTCGACAAGTGAGGATGAACGAAATCTTGCTGGATTACTCACGAGATGCAGCCCTCATCTTCATGTGAGTAAGACAAGCCACCAACCGAGTTTTTGCAAGTGCTTTGTGAAATGTTGACCTTACAAAGAAGTATGGCTGGAAATGCATTGATATGGGCTAGTCCTGCACAACCCAGCAAGTTGAAGCATCCATGCATGGTGAAAATCAATCCTTAATAATAAAGAAAACTGTAACAAAATAACATAATGAGAGAAACTAAATACAACAACAGGAGGCAACAGACACTGAAGGGGAGGGGCTGATTCTGAAGCAAAACACACAAGCCCTACCCACCAGATAACAAGCACTATACTATTCAAATTAGGCCCCAGTGGTTTTTTTTACATTAACAACTCTCCTGGGACTGTAGTCCCGGCAGGCAGGATTTGCAGGTGCCCCCTCTCAGGTCCCTGGAGGGTTGCCATGCGTAGCTAGGGTGGGCTGCATTCAGCACAACACAGCAGATGTTGTGCAGGCCAGATTTAGATTGAGCAGCTGTGTCCCCAGCCTGGTAAACCTCTAGATGTTCTGGGCTATAGCTTCCGTCACCCAGATACTACAGGTCTCTGGCCGTGCCATAAAAATAAGAAACCAGCTGTATTTACGACGAACAAACACAAGCTGCTCTCTGCTTTCTCCATCTTTTCTTTTCAGAACGCTGCCGATAGGCCGAAAGGGAAGATGTCCTAGCAGCCTCTATATGGCTTGGCTGGAAACCCTCTCACAGGACCTGAGACCCCCCGTCATCCTGACCAGGGGCAACCAGGAGAATGTCTTGACCTTTTATTGCCAGTGATTCTTGGGCAGCTGAATCAAGATGAAGTTGTTCCAGGCCAGATCCTGCTCTTAGGACTTGGGCCTCCTGGAGGGTCTGTTTCTGGTGGTAGAAGGTCCACAATAAAAGACTTGTGGTGTGAATTATGAATATTCCTGAGCTGTGATGTGAATTAGGAATATTCTGCCCTGCCACAAATTGTTAGGGGAATAATCTGACCAATGGTCTCTGGTAGATTTTGATGGATTGCTGAGGGGATGTAGTTCACCATGTGTCCTGCTGTACGGAGGAGAGTCCTTGAGTTGAAGGCATCCTCTACTTCAGGTGTGGTGGTATTTCCTTCCCCCCAGATGTTGCTGAACTACAACTACCATCATCCCCTGGCCATGTTTGCTGGGGCTGATGATGGGAGTTGTAGCTCAACAACATCTATAGGGCCAAAACTTGCCAGCACCTACTCTAGTTGAATGGTTGCTCAGTCTAAGTTAAATAGGGTTGCCATATTTCAAAAAGTAAAATTCCTGACATCCGCAGGGATGGGGTTTTTTTTGGGGGGGGAGGGGAATAGTGATTTTAATCTTCTGGAGCTGTTCCTGCTGTTTTTCCATCACATTGACATACATCCAGGTTTTTCCTGGCATTTTCCCCGACGCCACTTTTACACCTGAAAACCAGGACGTGTCAGGAATTTTCCTGACGTATGGCAAGCCTAAAGTTAAAGACTAATAAAATTATGGTGGGGGGCAGGGCTCACAGTAGTCCATCATTAATTAGAACCCAGATGGCAGATTGAGCAGGCATAGAGGTTGACACCTTCCCCACTATGGTGAAATGGATTGTATTTCTATTCAAACTGTAGCAATTCTTTCCAAATTTGCATCTATACCTATAAAATAGCACATGCACTGTTCACGCAAATCTGCGTCCTCTTTTTTGCCAATGCTCCAGTGACCACCCTATGAGCAGGAGGGAAGAGCCTTCCCTCAAAATGTTGCATAATTGGTCCTCTCTCCCCCTCCCATCCCTCAAAAAGCTTCAATGTTGTCAGGACAACCAACCTGCATCAAGTAGGTCCATCTCCTGACTATCCCACTGGGCACTCGTCATGGAAAGGGGCTCTAGGCAAAAGGCCCTCTGGTGGGAGTCCCCTGCTCCATCAGTGGCCCTTGGTTTGCTTAAACCTAATTGGGTGGGAGGACCTTGCTTCAGCGCAAGGGATGCATTCCCTTCTGGGCTACCTTCCACGGGGCAGCTATGGGTGGGGCAAGAAGCAATGAATGTAAAATTTTGCCTTTTGTATGGTGAGCTATTTTCTTCACCCACACACTCCTCAATTCCCCTTAAAAGGAGCAAGAGGCATGACCAGAGTTCAAGGACACTTTCCGCCCAAGCAAAAACACTTGGGATGCAAAGCAAGGCAAGTAAGGAGTATTCTCAGGTCCAGACAGAGAGGCCTGGAGGGACGTATCCAGTGCCTAGGCTTAAGGTTCCTCACCACCAGCTTACCTGGTGCCAACAGTGGGTGGTAGTGGTAGCAGCAGTGGTAATGAGCAATCCCATGGGGCTGGGTCTTGTTGCCACTTTACTTCCACACAATAACCCTCCACACTGTATCATCCTAGAGCATTGTGGGAAATTCAAATGGTAGTTACATCCAGCTAATCCAAAATGCGGCAGCCAGACTGGTGACTGGGAGTGGCTGCTAAGGCCATATTACACCGGTCCTGAAAGACCTACATTGGCTCCCAGTACGTTTCCGAGCACATTTCAAAGTGTTGGTGCTGACCTTTAAAGTCCTAAATGGCCTCAGCCCAGTATACCTGAAAGAGCGTCTCCACCCCCATCGTTCTGCCCAGACACTGAGGTCCAGCGCCAAGGGTCTTCTGGTGATTCCCTCCCTGCGAAAAGTGAGGTTACAGGGAACCAGGCAGAGGGCCTTCTTGGTAGTGGCGCCTGCCCTGTGGAACGCCCTCCCATCAGCTGTCAAGGAAATAAACAACTATCTGACTTTTCTAAATGTCTTCTAAATCTGAAGGCAGCCCTGTTTAGGGAAGTTTTTAATGTTTGAAGTTTTATTCTGTTTTTAGTCCTCTGTTGGGAGTCGCCCAGAGTGGCTGGGGAAACCCAGTCAGATGGGAGGGGTATAAATAATAAAATTATTAATTACCGGTATTATTATTAGCTATCTGGTGCTGCAGTTTAGACTCTGGGATGCATTTGGGGACCTTCTTGCTCATTCTGCTGAGTGGGGTGGGGCCATGGACTGTTGTCTCAAAGCTCTGCCCTGATGGGGCAAAGTCTCCAGGAATATATATATATTTTAATGGTGTGTGTGTATTAAATAGAGTAGGCATCTCAAGGGCACAGAGTTCTGGGATGGGGCTCAGGACGATAAAATCCTGGACACCAGTTTGGAAGGTGACTTGGAAGTCTTTGTGATGAAGAAGAGCAAAAGATTACTCACACCCCACAGCCCACCAGTCCATCTCATATCTGATGAGAGCTCCACAGAGCCCCTGTGACTCTTCTGCATATGAGAAGGGCAGGCCTTCCTGCAAGCAGAGATTCCCCTTGGCCTAGAGCCAACGCCTACAATCCCACAAGGAGATCAGTGTGGCATTTTGGCAATGAACTCATGTACAGCCCCAGGGCGACATGTGGGGCCTGCCAGAGAAAACACAAGGACCAAACGGCACTGGGGGAAACAACTGCCATGGTTCAAGGAAATAAAACAGCTGTCTCTTTTTTTCTAATCACATCCTGGCTTAGACCCAACCAAGCAGTAGCTTTTCTCCCTATTTTCCAGTGGCAGATCACTGGGGGAAAATGATCATTGTCCCAATGTACTCTTGCATCATTTCACATGTGTTGACAGTGGCAACTCTCTCTGCCTTATTCTGCCCACCTGTGCCTGTCTGTCCTCCCTATTGACTTGCAAAATCCCAACCAGTTAATCACATCCATACCATACAGCTGAATCACATGGTTCTCCCATCAAAAAAAATCCTGAGACCTATAGGTTCTTAAAGGTGCTAGGAATTGTAGCTCTGTGAGCTATAGCTCCCACAATTTTTTTTTTCCGTGGGGGAGGGGGGAGCCATGCAGTTTAAATGTGTGGTGTGGATGTGACCTGAGATTTACAACAAAATGTTGTTGTGTGGAGCCAGCCTGCCATGCCCTTTTCCAGGACACTTCATTCCCTCTCCCTTTATTATTATCATCAGTTGTTGTTGTTGTTATATTTGTTTGCTTTTTACATCTGAAAACAACTTCCAAAATATTAAAATCCATCACTGCCTCCTGTGGGAGCAAATTCCATAGATTTGCACCATGGAAAGAAGACTTTCTTTTCTCTGTCCCGAATCCTCTAACATTCAGCTTCCTTGGGTGTCCACCACTTCTAATGTTATGAGAGAAGGAGGAGATTTTATTCTCTACCCACATTCTCCATGCCATGCATAATTTCATAAACTTCTATCATGCCACCTCTTACATTTATGTAAACTGAAAAGCTCCAAATATTGTAAGCTTTTCACATAGTGGAATTGCTTCTTTCCCTTGAATATGCTGGCTACCCTGTGAGTTTCATTAGGGCAATCAAACATTTCAAATGTTTTTTGCTCAGAAAACGAATGTTTTAATGCTTGGTCACAATCATCAGTTTGTCGGCCAAGATTCAGACTTATATTTTTCAGTTACTATGATTTCCTTTAGGGTGTATTCACAAACACTGAACACTGTACATCTTCACCCTTTGTCAGCATAGTGTGTGTGTGTGTGTGTGTGTGTGTGTGTGTGTGCCCATGTACTATTTATGTGTGTTCCTATATCTTTGTAAATAGTTTCAGGATTGCATCAGCCGTTTTAACCTGTGGTGGAGGGTAGGGGAGCATATCCATTATTGAACAGTGTGAAACAAACAGCTGCTCACAAAGTTCTGTGCAGGTTTCCAGGACACTTTCTTTGGTGATTGCTGGCAATGGGCTGCGCTCAGCATGTAGATAAGCAGGTGTCAGCTTTCCCCTCAAATGCACCTATTTAACAGGTATGACACACCTGAATGTCCACTGGGTGTTCTCAGACAAAGTGGAACAGCACACAGTGGATGCTCACTGTCCAAGCATTGTCCCTACAAATGCAGTCAATGCTGGCAAGTGAAAGCAGCAGTTTTGAGGCCATAGGGAGCTGCCTTCTGCTGCATCTGTCTTAAATCTATCCAGCTCAGCATTCTCCACACTGAAAGGTTCCAGACATGGTTTCCAGGGTTTCAGAACAACACCTACCTGGAGATGCTGGGGACTGAACTTGGGACCTTCTGCATGCAAAACATGAGCTATGGCCAGCATGATGGCTCCCCATTACACCATTGGACTTTCCACTCCCTAGCACTTAATTAATCTATGCCCATGCCTCTTGCTCACACCATTTTGAGCCAGGAAATCATTCTCCCCTCTTCTCAAAACCTATTTGCTCATATGCTCCAAAGCATAAGAATATAAGACCCCACTGGATCAAGCCAATGGACCACCCAGTCCAACATCCTGCTCTCACAGTGGCTGAACAGATTTCTGTGGGAAACCAGCAAGCAGGATTTGCGCACAAGAGCCCTCTCCCCCAGGCGTGTAGCATTGGGGGGGGGGTGCTGCTGCCAGGACAATCATCCCAGAAGGCCACTCATGCCATCCTCCCTGAGCCAGCCTTGCACCACTTTGAGAGGCTGGGGAGGACAGTGTAAGAAGGAGGCAACAGCCTTGCGCCCTTCGATCCCAACCCCTTGAGCTAGATGGACCAATAGTATAAGGCAGCTTACTATGTTCTTGGGAAAGGCTGTAGCACAGCACCACAGCACCTGCTTTGCATGCAGAAGGTCTCAGGTTCGATCCCCAGCATCTGCAGGTAAGGTTGGAAATGCACCCTGTCTGAAACCCTTGAGATCATTACTAGCCAGTGTAGACACTACTGACCTTGATGGACCAATGATGAAAGGCAACTTCTGCTATGCTTATTTAAAAATCAGCCCGTCTTCTTTTTAGAATCATGAGGACTAGAAACTTATTTTTAGGTACAAGCCCACAGCTCAGAGGTAGAGCATGAATAAGATCGCTAATTCAACCCCCAATGGCAGCATCTCCAGACAGGCCTGGGAGAGACACCCTGACTGAAACCCTGGAGAGCCGCTGCCGGTCAGTGTAGACAGTACTAGATGGACGTAAGGCTCTGACTCAGTAGAAAGCAGCTTTTTACAATCCCACGGCAAAACAAGGCATCACGTGACATGTAAATATAGAAAACTGCAGGTCCCGGCCGAGTTTGTTTCTTTCCCCCTTTTGGCCACGCCTCCCCCTTTGGCCACGCCCAGATAGGCCTCGCTCTCTTTCCTACCCCTCCATCTGCCTCCGGGCAGACAGGCGGCTTCTGATAGGCCCACGTTTCGAGCCGGCGGCCAATCCGTGGAGGCCACAGCGGCGCCGCGAGGAGGGCGAGGCTATATAAGTAGGGGGCCGCGGATGAGGAAGTGAAGCTTAGCTTTTGAAGTGGTGGAAGCGAGAATTAAAAGCGGAGAATCGATGGCGGAATCCCCGGTAGGGCCCGGCCGGATTCCGGGAGGCGAGGCCGAAGGGGAGGAGGTCTCGCTCGTGGTCAAGAGCCCCGCGCAGCGGCACCCCGACCTCCGCCTGACCGCCCAGCGCTCGTGGACCGTCCGTCGCCTCAAGGCTGAGCTCCGCCGCCGCCACCCGGATGCCCCGGTGAGTCTGCGAAGCTCGCTGTCCTCCTCCTCATACGGCACTTCCCCACCTCTTCCTTGCTTACTTAAAAAAAAAATCTGTTACGGGCTACACTGCTCCTGAGCGGGGAGGCTCTGTTTGAGAAAACTCTCTCCTATGGAGCCTCCAAATTCAGACGCAGCCTAATTCGGAAGCTGCCAGGGTGGGACAGACTGGGGGTTTTCTGCCTTTGTGCTCGGCTATTGTTGGCGACTTGGGGGTTGAAATTGGGAGATGTGAACTTTTAAAGGGGCGAGAGTAATGTTTGAGGGATGTTGATAGTGAGCCAGAGGCTGAAGGCATGGACGGACGTAAATAATACCATTAAGCCAGCCTTCCCCAATGCAGGGACCTTCCAGATTTTGGGGCTACAACTCCTAACGCCCCCCGGGAGCGCTGGCTGTGGCTGTTGGGAGCTGTAGTCCAACAATATCTAGAGGGCTGCATGTTTGTTTATTTGCATTTATGCCCCAGCATCTTCTTCAAAGATCTCAAGGTGGCACGTATGATTCTCCCTCTCCTCATTTAATCCACATAACAACCCTGTGAGGTAGGTTGAGTGAGTGGCTGGCTCCCAAGGTCACACACAGTAAATCGCCAAGTGGCGATTTGAACCCTGATCTCCCAGGCCCCACTCTATTCACTACACTGTATTAAGCAGAGCAGGAGATTGATGTTTAATCTCTTCCCACAACCCTCCTTTTTGAAAATTTAGGACTCTGAAACCAAATATGGCCTTGGATGACAGCCTTCCTGGATCACATCTGTGGTCCTTCTAGCCCAGCTTTCTGCCGCCTACAGTGGCCAACAAGTTGTTTCATGGAGGGCATGAAGGCAGAAGTTTTCTTCCTGCAGTTGCTCTTCTGTGACTGGTGTTCAGTGGCATACTGCCTCTGCACCTGGAGATTCTATGTTGCTGTCGAGTGGCTGGTGATAAACCTGGTTGTTGTCCAAGATCTTCCCTCTGTCATGGAATATTAGTTGCTGGCTGGGGAGACTTCTAGAGTTGCGCTTTTATTCCACTTAGATTTCCCATAGGCATCTGGTTGGTTACTGTCAGAAGAGAGCGGACTTGAAAGGCCTTCAAGTAGCAGCACTCTTAGCACTATGAAAAGATTAAGCTTGCTCTTGTATTGCTCATTTTTATTTATTTCATGAAATTTATACAACACTTGATTGCGGGAGAAAGCCTCAAAGTGGTTTGCATGGTACCTGCCACCATATTCACCATAGTTCCTTTCTTTCAATTCTTCCCACAGTCACTGATTTTTGAAGCCTTTATCTCTTTTACGCTCAAAGGCCTTTTTCTGTTTTCTATTTGCTTTTTTATGTATCCATTATGTACCTTGGCTTTTCTCCAGTGATCTGAGTACATGATGATATCTGCTCTTTCTTCCTGCAGGTAGGTTAGGTTGTGGGGTGGAGAATGGCTCAAGGTGCCTCTGTGACCTTCATGGCCAAGGAGAGATTTGTCTCCGTGGTCCAGTGTTCGTTCGCTGCATTGGCTTGTTCTTCCCCCAGTTCTACCTCTCACCTTATTTCTTTTTCCTCATCCACTTCCCCCCTCCTTTCATAGTTGTTCTTTCTGCTTAGGCTGGTATCTCCCATTTCTGCAGCCTCCATCCTGTTCATGTTCTCTCCAGGCATCTTGGCCTGTTCTTACTCTCTAAACAGCCTTTATATAGCAGCAGTTGGAATCTTAACATTTCTCACCAAGGACTAGGAAGCTGCCAGTAGTGTTTTAACAGACTTTGGAGCATAGAATGCCTGCAAGTGCAATGTGGTGATTTTGATTAAAGTCATCATTGTGATCATCTTGGCCTTTGTCCCCCCTTGCTGTTTATCCGCTTAGTACTGGGGTGATGTATTGCTTTTGCCAAATGTGATTTTTTTCCATCACCCATGCCCAGAGCAAAAGGCTCCCTCCACATCAGCAAGCAGTGTTACATAACCAAACAGTCTGGGCACCTCTTGGCAGCTGGTCATTCTGTTCTGGGAGCTTAAGCTTCTTTGAACAGGGTTTTTTCACTCTTCTGCCAAACAGATGATGCAATAGGGCTTAGGTCTTACTCACTTGTCGCTCTTGATTTATTACATTTGGATGTCAGATGCTGAAATTGCCGAATTCATGGCCAAGGCAAATGACTTCATCATTTTGTGGCTTACAATAAATGATCAGAGATCCTCTGTCTGAAGAAGCTTAAACCAGCAAAAATCCCCTTATGAACATATGGGGTTATTTTTGTTCCATTCTATTTTTCAGATTAAAAAGCAGCAGTACTTTGTCACTTTCTTTGCAATGCAAATGACCCAGCTGGTAGACCAGTTTGCTATTTTGGCAAGGATGATTTGAAAAACCAAAAAAGGGTTATTAGTGCTGCTTTTCTCTAGTACAACTAGTAGCAAATGCTGTGTTTGAATTCAAAACAGATTGGGACAGCCACGTAAACGTTATGAAACTAACTCTTCCCTTTTGGTCTGATACTGACACTACTTTACAATGTTTTAGTTTGTTAGCAACAAGAAAAGATGGATCCAGCTAGTAAGTCTAGTTTATTTTATTCTTCATTCAGTTTACAAGAATGACATGACCAGCTTTGGATCCTCCCATTGTGCTAGGCGCATTTTGCGACAAGAAGTTCATTAGCACGAGCAGTTTCTGAGCTCTGGGTGCAGTACTGCGCCTAAGATTTCAGATTAAAACTGCAGAGTGGAAGGAAAGGAGGACCTTTTTCTGTCTCCCCACTTCCAGCCACTCTCTGAAGGCTGGAGAAGAGACCCTCTTAAGAACGTTAGCGGGGCAGGCAGGGGAAGCATGGCTTTGTTTTTTGCAGCCTTCAGATGAGGGCTAGACCGTGTGAAAAATGAACATAAGACTTTAGCTGCAGTTCATTCATTTTCAGCTTTGTATTGCTATATAAAAAAAGTATGCCTAGACTTTCCGTTGTTGTGCCCATAACCTAGGTTGAAGGTGCCATTTAGCTCCTAGCTTTCATATCTCAGTTTCTAACACTGAACATGACGGATGCATTTTGGCACAGCAGTTAAAATATGGTATGTTAAAATAAAAATTAAAATACGCTAATTCACAGATTAGGTACCAGGACATGCTAGCGTACCTCAAAATTAAATTAAAGGCTCCTGTGCATTGAGTACCCATCCCCAGAAGACGCCACCCATTCTATCTTATAGATAAGAAAACTTACCTTGTTATTTTCTAACAGTGAAAAAGGATTTATCTTCACATCCATTCCCTCTGCTAGCATGTTTGCAGGGGTGGGGGTTCCTACTGTGGAATTCATACTTGACCCTCCAGCAAGTAAATTTGTCTCTCATAACACTTCAGTTAGACCAGTTTGAAATTTCCAGTAATGCTGCGGTGTCAAGAACTGCAATTTCAAAGAAGTCTGGCACAGTTAATTTCTAAATATAAGTACCTTAAGAGCAAAATAGGGGGTTACTGGTAATTCTGAGATTGAAATAGTCCTACAGAAACCCTATTTGCAATTAGAGAAAAGAGTTATAATAAGGTTCCTAACTGGAGATAGTGATTGACACTGGCTTCTGTCAACCTGGCCAAGGTTTCTCATAGTTAGCTGGAGGTAGAACTTTGGTCAAAGTGGACATTCTTGTCTGATTTTGCAAGTGGCTGACCATTGCACTTGTCAAAAACACACAATAAGGATTCAAAGTTTTGTTGATGAAATCTCTACAACTGTCTGATATAAACAGAAACTGATGTTATTGTCTGGACTCTGGAACCAGTTCTTAGCAACAGCAACAACACTAAGCTAGGGCTAAAAAATGAATTAAAGGCTTGCTGATGGTGGGTGCCTTGTCTATCAACACCAGTATCTTGGCTTATATTAGAGGGTTGTACTTCGTGCCCCATAATGTAAATGCAGTCTTATTTTTCACTCTCACTCAGTCACCAGGTTGATGAAGCAGGTGTGGAGTTCTTAGATGTGGGTATGTCTGAAACTACATCTTCCTTTTTGGGGAATATGTGTCCCCAAAAGGTCTTCTCAGACCTGACAGCATGCATCTGTTCTGCCTCCTAGAAGTCCAGCAAGCAAATCCAAAGTAGTTTCCAAGCATTACTATAATTGAGGATCTCAGAAATGCTAAAATGCATAACTTGCTCATGCAGTAGCTTTGTATTACAAATAAGTTTGCTACAAGAAGGATGGGATGTAAATACTCCAAATCAGACAGTTGTGTGTTTTTGTTTTTGCGTTGTTTGCAAAGGTACTTTGTTAAGATGGAAGTTGCATAAATCAATAAATATGGCACATGTTAAGTTCTGCATGGCTGTTCTGCATAATTCAACAGAATGGGTCCTGACCATTGTGTTCTCTTCCTCTTAAAGCCTGAAGACGTTCAGAGACTGATTTATTCTGGGAAGTTGTTACAGGACCATCTTTACCTGCGAGATGTGCTTGCCAAGGTACTTGGATGCTGTATGCTGCTAGTATTGCTTTTGTTAACTCTAGTGGATCAGCAAGTAAATGCAATAAACTGAACTCTTGTTTGAAACTTATTTTGGTTTATATTTCAGCAGGATATGGTGCATGCTCTCCACCTGGTGTGCAACTCAAAACTGCAAGAAACAGACGTGAAGGTATTTATAAACTGATAAGTTGTTCAGATTCCTACCTTACCTTTATCCACAATTTAGGTATAGTTCCCCTTGGAGCTGTTACTACAGCCTTGTAAGAGCATGAATATTGCATTGCTCTGTAAACCATAGCAGGTCCACCACTTGCATCCGTTAGAGTCCTGGGAAGCTCACTGTTAGGCCACAAGAGAGGTAACCACTCCCAGAGGTTTGGTGCCTTTGGTGCAGCTTTGTTTTTAGCTGTCATGCTATTGACACACCCATCCTCAAAGACTTTGGAGCTTCAGTTTGAAAACCATCTGAATTAGTAGCCATCTCTGAAACTTGTGGCCTTCAGAATTAAGCTGTAATGGTTTTCTCCCTTACCTGGCGGAATGGAGAGAACCAGTGGGATATGGGTTAGTTCTGGATATAAACTCTGTAGGAAGGACAGAGAAGGGTGATGATTTCAACTTGCTGATTTCACTTTTATCCATGTGATGGTTATATTTGTCATAATGTTGAAATAAAGCTGTTGCTGGTGTGTAAACAGAAGCTCTGTTCATATGTGTGGTATGTTTCACCCCTCAGTTCATTCTACTTGAATGCTTGCTATGGACATTTGTGTCTGCACACCTGAAACTTACTTCTTTGTGTTTGGGGAATAGGCCCTCTGGGAACGTGACTGACGGGGGGATTTCATTTGGATGCCAGGAGGACTTCTCCCCGGCTGTATTCTGCTATTCTGTTGTCAGTCTAGTAGAACTGTCCCAGAAACCAGCACACTTACCAAACGAAACAGGAGCAACTTATGCGTAGCACTTAGTAACTTTAGGTAGCAGAGTGCCCTCGTAAGGTGCTTTGGTGGGAGCAATAGAAATTCAAGCAGAACTTTTCAGAAAAAGAGTTGTTAATGAAAAATTGTGAGGTAAATTACTAAAGTCTTGTCACAGAAGGTGGTGTGGGGAGGGAGAAATGAGGTGAAGGCAAGCCAAGAGCAGTTGTGTAATGGTGTTTGGGGGAGGAAGGAACAGGGTTGAAACCATGGAGGGTACAAGTTATACCTCCCCTTCCTCGCAATTTGTCTGAAAATCCTCTCAAAAGGGAGGGAGAAGCTCCCATGCAGACACATTCTTAAGTTTCAGCTGATCAATGTTTTCCTCAGGTTGTTGAAGCCAAGCATCAGCCAGCAGCCTTTAGCCAAGACCCGCCTTTGCTTCCTTCAGTTCATGCTTTGAGTCAGACGGACATCCTCGGCAACCAGCCCCTTGCAGCAGAGAATGCTGGCGATAGGTACGTGTGGTGTGAGTGGCTCGGTTCTGCCTGTTGGGTACCTGTTTGTTGCCTGCTTGTTCAGACAACTTGCTCTGGAATCTGTGTACCCTTGAGATGGCATCTATGTACCCTCTTGGCAGCAGCTCGTGCCCCTGGCCTGCTACTGGAATGGGTGCCTAGCAGTGCACCCTAACTCCACATGTGAGGTACCACTTTGGGGAAAGCAAAGAACTGTGCAAATGAGAGTAATGCCTGTCTCTCCTTCAAGCCTTTGGCTTTGACCTTCTCCAGCACCCAGCGCAAATACAGTGGTACCTCAGGTTAAGAACTTAATTCATTCTGGAGGTCCGTTCTTAACCTGGAACTGTTCTTCACCTGAAGCACCACTTTAGCTAATGGGGCCTGCTGCTGCTGCATAATTTCTGTTTTCATCCTGAAGCAAAATTCTTAACCCGAGGTTCTATTTCTGGGTTAGTGGAGTCTGTAACCTGAAGTGTCTGTAACCCAAGATACCACTGTAAATAAATGCCTGCCTTCTCCTTGCAAGCCTGCTTGGCATGTGAGAGGCCTTGGGGAGGAGAGAGACGAGTTGGTGGTGAGCATAACTAGCAGCTGGCTAGCAAGCCAAACCAAAGACTCCTGAGCCCCTAGTATAGGGATAGTCAACTTGGGGCCCTCCAGAAGCTGGACTGCAGCTCATGCATCCCTGATCATTGGTCATTCTTCTTGAGGGTGATGCGAGTTGTGGTTCAGCAACATGAGGCCCAGTACGTCAGCATGTTTTCCCCAGTGGAACTTTGACTGCAGCACAGTTTAATTCTTCCTTCTGATTCGTTGCTGATGCATTTAAAATGTTACAATCTAAAAGGCCTGACACACAAGGATTGGGGAAGAAGGGAGGGCGAGGAAGGACACCCAGGGACGAGTTCCTTGTTGTAAGGACTATGTAACCAACAGCTGGAATGAAAAGAGCTTAGAGAGAGGAGCCACAAATAGTTAGTCTTTTACCAGAGCAGAGATGCAGAAACCCTGCCAGTCCATTCTCTTTTCCACTTCAATAGCCTTAAGATTAAATGCTGATAAAACATCCTTGGCCTGGAGGGTACAGCATTACAAAATCCTTGCCATATTATTTTCAGTGAGGGCAAGGGAGAAAAAATAGTATGCCTGTCCTGATTAAGCATATTTTCTTCTCCTCTGCATCAGATCTGCACCGGCGCAGCACTGCTTTCAACGCTATTCATCCTATACAACATACCGCATGCTGCAGTTCTGGTTCCATCAATTTTATGCAAGACAATACTACATGCAATAGTAAGTTGCTGTCTTCGTTGTGATCTATTTCTACAAGGAGCTAAATCCCAAGCATTTGGACAAATTTGCATACTGGTGTGATGTGGCTGAAAAGCTAGGGCTCTCGTCTGTATGTATTCAGTGTTAGCTTATATCAAACCCCTGGCACAAATAAGCTATGGTGGTCCTTGGTGATTCACTGAATCAAATACACCCTTGAAGTGCACCTGTTGTTGGCTTGCTGTTTTGAGGCTGCCAATTTGTTTCATGCACATCAAAGTTGAGCAAGCTCTCACCAGCTTTCTAACTGAGCTCATGACTTTTATCTTGCATCTAGCATGGCTGCCAGTGCTGTTTCTGGTGACGTATCCTCTACACGAAGTACGCAGGAGATCCCAGTTGCAGCCCCGGTTGCGGCCCCAGCTCCTCTTTCTGGTCCTTTTCCTGCTGAAAACCAGGCCGGAAATCAAAACGTTCCCCCTCAGGTAAACCCAGGGGTGAACCAGAACCTTCGCATGAATGCCCAGGGAGGGGCTTTGATGGAAGAAGAAGAAGAAGGCGGCAATCGGGATTGGCTGGACTGGCTCTACTCAGCAACCCTCTTCTACGTCTTCATCAATATTGTGTATTTCTACTCCAGTATGAGCAGGCTTCTCATGGTGATGGTGGGCACCCTCCTGATGTACCTGTAAGTTTCTGTGGCCTCATCTTATCTCTCTCACTTTTTACCACTAATCTTGGTGCACATTATTTTAAAATAAGTGCCTGCTGGGGGAGACTAGTGGCCAAGTGTGGACATGATGTCAAACTGTGATCAAGGCTTTGGGGTTGCACAGTCGCTCAGCCAGGCCATGAGAAGATAGCGAGAACGTACCACCTAAGAACATAGGAAGCTACCTTATATATGAGCCAGACCCTGTTGGTCTAGCTCAGTATTGTCTTACCTTGGCTGGCAGTCATTTGCCAGTATTTTAGGCAGGGCTGAAAGCCTGCCCTACCAGGTCCTACCATTGGGGAACTACATGCAAAGCAACAGCCTCCAACCTATGGTTGGTTGACAAAATATCATTAACATCCAAAGTGGAGGGCAGGGCAGCTTAGTTTTAAGCACAACTTTTTAACGTGTTGGGATCATAAACCACAATTTAATTTGCTCCACTAAGCTTATTTCTTGGTAGGCTTTGGTACAGAAAACCGTGGTTTACAACAAGAAGTGAAAATTTCCTATTATGGCTGGCAGGGAGCATATGTGAGCAGGCCTCTGTATATAAAGCTAAACTGTGGTTTCCTGTTTTATCTGAGCTGGCCCACAAACTCTGCTGGACATATTTCTGCAGCTCCCTTGAAATCGTTGTAAGGAGCCTAGTACTTCAAACATTTACATCTACTAAAATACCACTTGTGAGGGTTTAAAAGGAAACATGCACCACAGGTAAAATAACTTGTTTTGCAACCTGTCGCTCATTTTCACTGTTGCACATACAAGAACTGCACGCTAAACACTGACATCTGAACTTGTCCTAGTAAACTATCCTCTCCTTTGGATGCATTTCTCACCTGTGGGACTGTAGCTCAGACAGCTCTTTACTATACTGAATGCAGTTTTTATACATTAGCAACAGTAAAAGCTCCTCAGCTTTTGCAGTTTGTTAGTAAACTTGGGTAGACAGCCATTCAGTTTATGTTGGCAGCCCTTTAAAGGGACACAGATTGGAACAAAATAACTGTCTTTGGTCTTTTTTATTTAGCAAAATTTATAAGCCGCTTGATTGTTTTAAAAAAGGAAAACCTCTTAAGCAGTTTACAAAAATATAAAAAACTAATAAAATTACTGATAAAACAATTAAAACCTATTAAATATTTTCAAAAGATGATTGCAATCAGCTGCTAAAAAGAAATGAAACATATAACTTCCACATGTCTGGATAGGCCTGATATCAATAGGCAGGGAGTTCCAAGGCGTACTTGTAAGAAATTGGTATTTTAGTGTGGCCACAAGTATAATAATAATAATAATAATAATATAATTATTTATACCCCGCCCACTCTGGGCGGCTCCCATCGGAACGTTAAAAACACCTGTGCCAGTTATGCAGATGGAAGCAGTTGAGTGGGCATATATGGGATAAGGTGATTCAGCAAATAACATTTCCCACCTTGAAAGTCACATTACGGATGTCATGCAGTGCACAGAACTCCGAGCTGTCTTCTATGAAATAACTGGAAAGGCTTGTACAGCAGGGGCTAAGTCAATTGCTCTCCTCCTGTCCTTGAATATTGAATGGAGACTCTCTCCCATGCCAAATGGTGGGTTATCCTGACAGAGGGTTTTTTCAGACTTCCCTTTGGCATTCTGTCCTATACCTCACTGGTTTTGTCTTCTCAGGCACCAGGTTGGATGGTTTCCTTTCAGGCGGAGGCCAGCTCAGCCTGCTGAGAACTATATTCCTCTCCAAGCAGCTGTTAACCAAGACCAAAACAACAATTTACAGGTAAGTTCCTAACAGGATATAATTTCCTTCATAAGCACAATTTTGAATGTTCTGATGAACTTTCCAGCCCAAACCTAAGCAGCTCAGAATGAATGCCACTCATTCAGAGAGACGTGCTTCCTGGATAATTAAGCTTGTTTAGGGTTTCAGCATTGCCTCAGTACCGTTTCTAAAACACCTCTTTATATTTTGTCCACATATCTTAAGTGGCTTGGCGCTTATGTACTGTAAATTGTTCTGTGTGACAAAATAATTTAGGATGCAAAGTGTGCATTCGGTATTGGCTTCCACTTAGCACAGTCGACGTGCTAAAATTATGTTGTAGAACTTGAGATAAATCAAGATGTTGAATCATTTGTTGGGCATTTTCCTGATTTGGTGGTGCTGGTTCTACTGTACCACATAATGCACCCTATTCTTTGTATGTGAGACCCAGCGCTGGGCAGCAACAAATATTTTGGTCCTTCTGGGGTGGGGCATTCCTTTTTCAGGCAGCTAAACCATCTCCAGCTCCTGGCTCTTCCTGTTGACTGAAGGCTTTGGAGACCTGATGATGGAAAATGTCCATCTCCCAGGCCCTAGATGTCACTGCTAACGTTAAATGAGCTGTAATGTGTTGAATTAATGCAGCAACTGTGTGCTATCTCAGAAATGGTTTTTGGATCCTGCATGTTGTTAATACATGCTTGGAGAGCAGGTTGCTCCCAGCTTCTAATGAGGTCCTTTCATGAAGTGCTCTCCCTCCACAGAGTCTGGCTAGCCAAATATATCTAGTTCATGTGACTTATGACAAAGTAAACCTACAACTGGTAATATTTGCCAGTGTCGAATCTAAAGCTACCCAGGAAGAAAGCCGTAGCGCTGCAGGAGAAGGTCAGTTGATGATCCTGTCAGGGAATTATTGCATCTTTCTCTTTCCTTGGTTTAGCAGGAGGAAAATGCGGGGGGTCAGGGTGAAATGGAGGCACCTGACACCACACCAGAGAGTCAACCAGCACCGTCTTCGTTCATGAGCACTGCCTGGCTTTTCTTCAAGACTTTCTTTGCATCCCTCCTGCCTGAGGGACCCCCAGCTGTGGCCAACTAGCTGGCTGCTTAGCCACATAAATAGCCAGTAAACTGCAGCTGTCTGTTTGCTGTGAGACCTTTGGCTGAGCGAGGACTGGACTGGACACCAGTTTGAATGCTGGAAGTGGCCTGGTACCAATGGACGAAAAGGAATTACTCTGCTTTCAGAAGCGAAAGACAGAGATTGCAGCAGCCATAAGACCAAAGTACAGAGTACCAGTGAATTGTATGGGAAACACTGAGTGAAGGCCTACAGCAGTGTGCAATTCTGTACTGAATGCAAGTAAGGCTGTTGATAGACCAAGAGTGAGAGAAGCACATTGCTTCTGCTGGTGTAACTTGATTCCTGTTGGAATGTATCTCATGCTTTAATTACACTGAGTGTAGTATCTTGCGCAACCAGTGAATTGCTAGATATGTATTATAAGAGTTTTACAGGGAAGATTTATGCCAAAAATAATTAAAAGCTGTGCTTGCGCTCAATAAATGTAGGGAGCTGTTTGCATAAATAGCTTCCTACTGAAGATTCAGTTGAGCTTTTTATACTAAACAGTATAGCAAGAGCAACCAACCCACACGTACAGGTTCATGTCAAGAACTATCACCCAGTTTTATCAGTTGGAGTGATCATGTAGATCCAAGCATTCTTTCCCTTGATAAAATCTTCCAGGCTGCTTTCTGTTAGGACTTCTGATAAGCATCTAATCAAAAATATTGTCAGTTGTTTTTGCCACCACCTTACAAACTCAAGATATCTGCAAACTAGAGTCTTTTGCAAGCAAGGCTTAGAAAGATGATGGCCCATCTGTCTGTTCCTGAATTTCAGCAGTGGAATATTTCTCTGCATTCTGTTTTTTGTCCATTGTATTAAATGGGTTTAAAAAAAAAAGTCTTCCAGAAGAAGTTCTCTAAAACATGCATTATGTTACTAGCTTAATTTCTAGTGGTTTGTATTTTAAAAGAAGCATGCAACTATGCAAGTATGAAGAAGACCAGGGAAGGGAAATAGGTATTGAAAATGTCATATTCACATTTTAAAGCTTGTGCTTTTAAAGGGTAAATTGTTGAAGAGCAGTATATTTTGTGCCTTTGGGATCTGGAGATGTTTTTCCTTTGCTCCTTATACTTTAGGAGGCATTCCTGATACCTCCATTTCTGTTAATCTTTGGCTTGCGTCTCCTAGAACTTAATGAATTTGCATTGAGAATCTTTTCAGCTCAGGGATAATTTTTCTTAGATTATCTTAACACACAGGGCCATTGTCCTGCATATACATTTTGAATATCAAATGATGCTGAATTTATTTTTTCACTATTGTAGATTGTAAGCCTTCAGTTCATATCAACTTCATCTGTACAGCTGACCACTTTCTCTTGTATAATACCTGTTGAACAAAGTTTAACACGCAATGACTTAATTTTATTAAACTTAGATATTGCTGTCTAGCCGTTCATTTGTCGGTCACTGCACAGGTAAAACTGTACAAGAAACACTGTCCAGTCAGGCATTAAGGACAAATGGTATAACTGAGTGGCTGAGAATCTGAACTCCTTTCCCTGTACTTCTCATTACCTGGCTCGATTACCTGGCAGTCTCTTCCAACTTTACTCCAGGTCTGCGATGCTGAAGGCTATCATCAGTACTTCATCATAAGATGAATAAGACAAGAAGAGCCCTGCTGGATCACACTCTAGCATTACTTTCTGGGCAGTGCTGCCAGCAAGGCTGTTGAGAACTGTGCTGCTAAGGTGACAAAAGCTCCCGTCCTTCACTTGTAAGGATAGAGAAAACACCAGTCTATGGGAAACAATTGAGGAAATAAAGTGCATGTCGTACATACAAGCAAACCCTCAATCAGTAGTGGCAAACTGCTGGAGATATTTTGTGGGATGCAGCCATGAAATTCGCTACTTGCCTTGGGAAGGTAGTGGATGCAGGCAACTAGCTATGCGGCAAAATCTTCCACTCTTCCTCTTTTGCCCCCTCCCCAAGTTGGTATGGTCTATGCAGTGGTAGGTGTATATGCAGCTGAAGTCCCCTGGATGGTGGAATCTGCAGGGGGTGGGTTTTCAGCTGCTTTCTGGGCTGCTCACAGTAAACAGATGGTGACCCTTTGCAACAAAAGTGTTTTGCATCAAAATTGTGAAATAAACATATACAAATAATTACAATGGAGCATTTCGTTTTCAAAACAGCCTGAGTCTGCAATTGAAGAAAACTCTAAATGAAAAGGCAGCTGCTGATTTTTGGGGTGTCCTGAATTTTGTTGGTGTATTTCTTGTGGGAATTTTCTGCTCAGGTATAAATATAACTTGGCCAACCTTGGCAACCTTAGCAGCTGAACTTGGTTGGTTGAGGTGAAGCCATTTGCTCATTACACTCCAGGCTGCAAGGAGCTTGGGCAGGGTAGCTGTGTTTGAATCTAAAGCACAGGCATTTATTCTGAAGACTTCTCAAACTCGTGATTGACTGACCACAAGGTGGCAGATTGAGTAAAGACCTGAAAGCAGCCTTGCTGAGCTGCTGCTCTCCTTGCCTTCAAGTAATTTAGGGTTGTGATAAGTTTCACCCTCATTTTACCTCCCCTTTTTGGGCAAGGTCTTTGAGCGGGTGCTCATGGCCAGATTCAGGCTCTTGGATAAAACTTGATTTCCTAGATCCCTTTCCATCTGGGTTTAGGCACTGAAACTGCCTTGGTTGCACTGTTATGATGAGCTCTGTTGGCAGAAAGAAAGTGGAAGCATGTCCTTATTAATTCTTGATCTTTACTGCAGTTTCCAATACCATTGACAGTGCTCTTCTGCTGGAGTGGCTGTCCAAGTTGGGGGTGGGCGGCACAGCACTGCAGGGGGTTCCAGTCCTACTTGGATGATTGTTCTCAGGGGTGGGGATGGGTGTGTTGCTCAGCTGTGTGAAGCCTGCAGTGTGCAGAGTTTAATTCCCCTCCCCCATGTTGTTCAACATCTACATGAAACTGCTGAGTGGGGTAATAATGAGCTTTAAGGGCAGGGCAGGGACTGGCACTTCCTAGGTCTCCCTGTCCCAATGCTAGAAATCTAATCACTGTACCATGCTTGGCCTTCCAGGGACCCAAAATGTATGTAATGGTACCCTGCCTTCCCCCAAAACCTATTTTAAAATAAAGCCATGGGGAAATAAAATGTGAGAAGGAACACATAGCATTTGAAAAGCCATGGTGTTGGTGGGAGCAAGCAGGTAGAGAAAGGGTTAAGTGCCCCCATGCATCCCCTGCTGCTGCTTCCATCATTTCTTTCTCTCCCCCAAACCACTTTTCCTTTACTAAACCGTCTTAAACATGGGTAGGCAAACTAAGGCCCGGGGACCGGATCCGGCCCAATCACCTTTTAAATCCAGTCCACGGACTGACTGAGAATCAGCGTGTTTTTACATTAGTGGAATGTGTGCTTTTATTTAAAATGCACCTCTGGGTTATTTGTGGGGCATAAGAATTCGTTTATTTTTATTTTCAAAATATAGTCCGGCCCCCCACAAGGTCTGAGGGACAGTGAACCAGCCCCCTGCTGAAAAGGTTTGCTGACCCCTGGTCTTAAGCATAGAATATGTTAGCCCCTTGATCTTCCTGCTGCCAGCATCCTCTGAAGGAATTGGTTCCGGCGTTTGAAACTTACCTCCTTGTTGAGACCTTGCCAAGGGAACTCTGGACCATTTAACTCAGTATTGTCCATGCTGACAGTGGCTCTCCAGGGTTTCAGGCAGGCTTCTTAGCAGGAGACACCAGGGATTGAACTCTAGACCCTCTGCATGCAAAGTTTGATACTCTACCGGTGAGCCGTGGTCCTACCCTGTGAGCAGTTAGGATATTACATAGTGTGGATAATAAGAGGGAATTATTCTTGTCCCAAGGCCCTCCACATGGAGCTGATTAGGGGACCTGGGCAAAAGTGTTGGCTCATAAGAAAATAGGGCAGTTCCTTTACTGGGGCCAACCAGAAAGTCGCCAAGCAGTGAGCACGTTTTCGAGTTCTTCAGAGCTCTTCATCAGGTTGCACAACAGTGAACCTCCCTGGGAGGGCTTGACATGGGCATTTTGCAGGCTGAATTTACTTTCAGAAAAGGGTTCATGGATGGCGGTTGGGGTGGCTGAAAGGCAGATGGAGGCCACATGAAGAGAGAGGGCACTTTCCTTCTTTGGATAAAAGGACTTTATTTTATGTGCCATCCTTTGTGCCTGCTGGCATGGCTCTCCAAATCTTGGACAGATAAGAATGCATCACCCACATTCTGGGGTGGTGGTGGTGATCTCTTGCCTTCTTCATTCCCACTCAAGGGGACTTGCTTCCAGCCTGCTGGCCTTCTGCACACCTACTCAGGAGGCTTCTTCACTTCCTTTTAGGCCCAGTGGCTTCCTGCATTGCCACCCAAGGGTGCTTGCTTCCCTTGCTTCTATGAGCACTGGCCTTCTGGATCCCAGCCCAGGATGTGTAATTTCTTGCTACTACATTGATTACTAGAAGGACTAATAATGGAAACAATTTACTTTCCATAAAGATTTGATGAACAGAGGTGAGGGGTGGTGGAAGGGCAGATGGACACCTCTTATACCACAATTGAAAAAGGTAAGAAGTCTATTTTCCTATTCCCAGGCACGCTGGTCTCCTGTACCCCCTCTGCCATGGGTCTCTTCCCTTCCTTACATTCCCACCAGCCTTCTGGATCCCAGCCCAGGAAGTTTCATTTCTTGCTGCTACTTTGATTTTGATTTTTCTTCTATGTAATAGAAAGTCTCTCTCTCCCTCTCCCCTCCCCACATCTCTCTGTGAAGTCTACCTCACAGGATTGTGGGGAGCATAAAAGTGTGGGAAACAACACTCCACAAGCAAACTACCCTGAGCTCATGGTAGAAGGGTGAAGTCTATATTGGAGTGAGAGGCGGAAATAAATAGTTGTATGGCATTGCTGGGCTCACTGAAGTAAGAACCCAAGGAAGCTGGCATTGGGATATGCTATATAAAGCGATGCCATAATGAGGATATGTACCCCAAATCCCTTCCACAATGCAGTGGATTGTGATATGCAGGAGGAAGGCTTTCTCAGCATCCCCTGAGATGTGGTCGGGGGTCCTGGCCTGCACCTTTTGGGGTCATTTGGTGTGGCAAAATGTTTCAGGGCTGGCCCTGATTTGTGTGTTCCCTCTTGTACCACTGCAAAATACAATAGAGCTTATTCTGCAGTACCTGGAAATAAATAAAAAATCTATCTCAGGAAACAGATGCTCAGCAACAATGACTTATTGGCCTAACTTCCAGTGATTTAGATTAATGGACAGGGAGAAGCTTTTGTTGTCATTGAGGGGAACTGCATGGCTGGCCTTTGAGCAGAAAAACAAACCCAGGGATTGATAACTCCCAGTTGGGGACCTACAAGGAGGTCTGTGTGACCCGTGTCTAGTCATCCTGACATAGTGGAACAAGTTGTACCTGTTACAACTTGTACCAAAGGGCACAAGCCATCTCAAGTCAATACTCATTAACATTTGTCAGCATTCCCAGTATAAATATTCTTGTGAGGAGTTTTCTCTGAGATAATGCACCTTTGTATGGCATTGTCAATAATATAGGCACCTTTATCTAAACTTTCCTCTACCATATGTATTTTTTGAATGCATGTTTTGGTTATACAGCTGCATTGCAAAATTTGGAGAAAAGCAGATTCTGAATGATAGCTGTGCTTTGGTTTGTGTAAGGTTTTTTGGAAGTGCAAATTAGGTGAACTTGCACCAGAAAGCAAACCAAAGTATCACCCTTATCCCTATATGAAATCCCATGGTTTTGAAAGGAGATATTTAAGCCAATGGGATATTTCCCCCTCTCCTAAGGATCGTTGTTGCAGGGGCAGAGACATAGTGGTCTGGGGTCACAGGGAGTTGAAAACCTGCTACTGTTTTTGCACCAGGGTCCTAGTGACACCCAGTCAGCATGAAGGCACTAAGATGCTTTCTTACCCTTAAAGCCAATCAAAGAGTCAGCCGCTGATGTTGGGCTCCTAGGGTCACTCTGGAGAAGATGTGTGGGGAAAACACAGAGGAGGATTTGCTCTATGCTCCAAAGCTAAGCTTTTGGTAACGCTAGAAACACAAGAGGCTTTCATTTCAAGAGAACGGTGTGCAACAAGGAAAGCACAACTTAAGTCACTCTGAAAGGAAATATTGGCGCACTCCAGATCATTTACCCATGTATGTACACAGCAAAATAGTATGTGTTGGCTGAAAGGGAACACATGGGGAACTGCACTGATTGTTGCAATGCATCCCCAGTTATTAGTATGTTTAATTATAAGATCATACAGTAATATTAGTGGGTTTCATAAACTTAGAAGGGGGTGCGGTTGTGACGATCATGAAGGGACCTTGCACTTAAGAATTTGCCACTGTACTACTGCACACAGCTGCAGAAGGCAGGCTGAAGCTTCTCCTTGTGGTCCTGATGAAAATCAGTCACCCTCCCGATGCACCTAGTATATTAATTTATATTAAAAAAACCCGTGATGTGGTTACTCACCCCACACAATTGTTGGGTAGCGTGTCTCCCACTGAAATCAGTGGACCTCCAAATGTTTGGCTATGTGGGTGTACAATATGAGAAATCTTACCCTCCAGCCCTTTCTTCTGTAACTATACATATACATAGTGTGTGTGTATGAAATAAGTGTAACCCATAACAGAATTTGCTGCATTGAATAAAATAAACTGCCCTGGGATTATAAGAACCATGTGTAAACTCTGTTCTTCAAACCTCCAAATTCAGTGAAAGATCAGGTCCCTACTTTAGTGATGTGAATGTCCGGCAGTAACCCTTGAAAAGGGTATCTGAGGCCATTCACTCTTTCAACTCAGGATGTCTGCTTCCAGAAGCAGAACAAAAAGGATAATGCTGGAAAGCATTATTGCTATTTTTAAAGCTGTAAAGTTTCTAGCCAGTGGCTGGAATCCAGCTAAAGTTACTCACGGTGAAGATTCATCAGTGGGAGAAGTCAGTTGCTGTGACCATCTTACAACCATCTTCTACAGAACCTGTAGCAAAATCCTATGCATGTTTACTTGGAAGTCTATCATAACCAAAGAAATGAGCATAGGAAAACAGCCTTTGGCTTCCTCTATATGGTCTGTTTACTGAGCACTCATCCTGATTTCATTGCCCAAAGCTTATGTGGTGTTTAGATTAAACCTCCTCTTTATGGAGCATTCATTTAGATTTGTTTGCAAAGAGTTTGTCCAGCAATGAGTGCTCATCCCAAATTTATGCCAATTTGCATTGGGATGGGATTATGAGACTTCTCAGTAATCGTTCACTCATTACACACTTTTTGGTGATGTTCCTGTAACTTTTCTAACTGCAAAAAGTCAATATTGAGTCCGAGGTGCCTTTAGTTCTGTCTCTGATGGCTCATCCACACTTCCATTTGGTCCGTGTTTCATTGCCCTTGTCCCATGCTTTCTCGGCATAGGTCAGAGAGGTTTCTCTTCTGTCCTGTCGCTTTCCCCAGGCAAACTTACTGTTCACCGCTGAATCAGAATAAATGTCAGTCTGCAAAAACTCGATGGACTTTGTTCTGATTCAGTGGTAAATTTCAGGTTTCCCAAGGGGAAGCGATGGGACAAATGAAAAAGCTAGAAAGCACAGAACAAGCAGAACAAGTGTGGATGAGCCCTAACTTTTCTTTGACTTGGACCCAAGGGTTAGCTTGTTAGCATGGATTAGTGCATCAGTCCCCAAACTCTGTCCCAGGAAAGACCTGCATATCTACAGTGAGATATCATTCAGTTAAATACAGTGGTACCTCAGGTTATGAAGTTAATTCATTCCGGAGGTCCGTTCTTAACCCAAAACCGTTCTTAACATGAGGTACTCTTTCGCTAATGGGGTCTCCCGCTGCCACCGTGTGACTTCCGCTCGCATCCTAGGGCAAAGTTCGCAACCAGGAGCATCTACGTCCGGGTTAGCGGAGCTCGTAACCCGAAGCATTGGTAAGGAGGACGGTACGTAACCTGAGGTTTCACTGTACTGTACTTCAATTTCATTCAGGGCCAGGTTATATTACCATTACTTCAGGGCATCTTTTCCTCCACCCTTTGCTAAGCCTGAGGGAGCCAGTTTCTCCAGTAAAAGGTTGCCAGGAGTCATTCACCTCTTTTGGCTCAGGATATCTTAGCAGAACACAGCAACAATTGGAGCTGGATCTGCATGGAGAGCTCGTACACCCTGGACTCCACGGACAATGGAAAGGCTTTGCAGGAAGATAGTGGCAGATTTATAAACACCAAGCAGGGACAATCTGAAACTCTCCGTCAATTTAGCAGTCAAGAAGCCATTGATGGCAGGAAGAGAGATAAGGCTATTCTTGTGCAGGCCTTTTTCTGCTGGAACTGAAAGTGCTTTTTTCAAATCACGTTGCTGAAATTCCTGGAAGTTCCCAATTGGATTTTTTCCAAGAAAGAAATGCTAAGCAATCCACATAGTGTGTCATTTATTTAGTGTGCTGCTTTCCATCAGAAGTGACCCCAAAACAGTTTGCATACAACAATAAAACTCCACCAACAAAATACATAAAATGCAATTAAAAATAGCAAGAAAACAATAACAATCCCTATAAGGATGTAAAGAAGGGTGAAACTGAACTATGTTTTGCCTCCAACACTTGAGAAACAGGTGAGTCTTCACCCTTTGAGGGAAGCCCATTAGTAATGTAACCATTAGTGTTGTAGTTGAGGGAATCCCACAGCTGGGGTGCTGCCACAGAGAAGGCCTTGTTCCACATCCCCACATGACACACAATATCCACGGTGGAACCATAACTAGGGCCGCTTAGCTGACCTCTGCTCTAGGTTTTTGGTTCTCAAATAACTACAGCAAACATTTTTACAGATAGAAGAGCCTGGCTGCTGGATCAGACCAGGGCAGGCAAGTCCCCTCAATGCTGGCCGGGCAGCCCTGACTCTCCCTCCTCCCCTAGCTGCTGCCTTGCAGGTGGTGTGACAGCCCATAAATCACTGTTCCCCTCTCCTGGGTCACTCTCCTGGTTTCCTGGCACACTGTCCTATCAGTCCCTGACTGCCTAGTGGGATGGCTTCTACCACCAAAGGATTAACCCTTTGGGGTCCTCCTGCAGGATGCGATGAGGACTGGCTGTGGATGGTTTTGCTTTAGGGTATGAGTGGGAAAGGGATGCGGGTGCCCCTGTGGTCTAAACCACTGAGCCTCTTGGGCTTGCCGATCAGAAGGTCAGTGGTTTGAATCCCCGTGACGGGGTGAGCTCCCGTTGCTCAGTCCCAGCTCCTGCCAACGTATCAGTTCAAAAGCACACCAAAAAAAGTGCAAGTAGATAAATAGGTACCACTCTGGTGGGAAGGTAAACGGTGTTTCCGTGCGCTGCTCTGGTTTCGGTGTTCAGTTGCACCCGAAGCGGCTTAGTCATGCTGGCCACATGACCCGGAAAAACTGTCTGTGGACAAACATCATCTCCCTCGGCCTGTAAAGCGAGATGAGTGCCGCAACCCCAGAGTCGTTCATGACTGGACTTAACTGTCAGGGGTGCTTTACCTTTTTTATGAGTGGGAAAGTCAATTCACCTGACTTTGAAGTGGGATGTGAATTTCTGGAGAGCTGTGTCCATGATGAAAGCATAGTTGCAGCTCACGAAATATGATTGCTGGGTATCTGCTGATTTTGTCATTGTGTGTTATTTTGATTCATTTATTCTACACATTATTTTTTGTTGTATTTTACTTTTGTTTTAATATGTTGTCCATGACTTTGTGGGCCTTTGGACCAGAAAGCAGTAAATAAATAAACCATAGCATAACATGCACAAACGGATGTTACACAAGCCACAATTAAAGAAGGAAATTGACAACCTTTGTGTCTGTTTTAGGGGCTTCCCATTGAGAGATCTGGTTGGCCACTGAGAGAACAGAGTGTTTGGCTTCCCCAACATGATGCCCTCCAGATGTTTGGGACTATAACTCCCATCAGCAGCAGCAGCCAGCATGTTGGGCTGAGGGGAGCTGACATCCGAAACATCTGGAGCCTGCTGTAGAGACTTGGAGAAGATCCACATTGCGCCTTTTAAGTACAATACTTAAGTACAAAGAATCCTGGGAGCTGTAGCTCCCTCCTACAGAGCTATCATTCCTAGCACCCTTAACAAACTACCTTCCCAGGATTCTTTGGGGAAAGTCACATGCTCTCAATGTGTGTTGGATGTGCAGAGATTTTAGTTAATTCATATTTAGCTCCAGATGTCTCTAGACAGGCAAAATCATGGTTCTGCAGGGGTTAAGTGGACTGCAAAGAGGCTGGTCTGGAGCAAGGAAGTGGGTCATGTCCTGCCTGAGGAGGAGTAGAGAGCCATGGGGAGTACAAGGGAGGCAGCTACCTTTCTGGTGGGGACAGTGGAAGGCGGTTGCTCCCGGGATTTGCAACTCGAGGGCATTCTGCCTTTGGCAAGTATCAGAAAAGGATGGCAAGGATCCTGATTATGTTAGTGAGTCTGCTCAGCAGCTCATTGGCTTGCAGTGCTGAGCCATCATCTTACAGCGACGCGAGTGTTGTCTTCCGAATGACGAAGCCAGCTGTACTAGTGCGTAAGTCATTACAGCTCTCTCACTCTCTCCCCGTGTGTGTTTATAATATCAGTTACCTTTGCTCTTGCTGTCCCCAATCTGGTGCCCTCCAGATGTTTTGACCGATGACTCTCACTGGCCCCAGCCATCTCTGGAGGCACCGTATTAGATCTGGCACGCTGGCGCTGAATTGTGGGGTGAATTCAGTTCTACTGATAGCGCCGTTGTCCCTCACAGCTGTGATCGCATTCTCTCTTGGCAGTCAATGAGAAAACTGCTCATGTCATACAGACAGCCTTCCAGCATGCAGACTACCCAGACATCAAGGGGGAGAAGTCTGTGCGGTTTCTTGGGAAGATTGCCTATGGATTGAAAAAGTAAGTGTGGCTCTGCTTAAGCTCCCTTGTTTATATCTCTCCCATCGCAAACCTGTTTAGTTCTGTTTTGCTGAGTTTCTCATTTTCCTAGTCCCAAGTTTGGTTCTCCACATAGCTGCATATGTATGCCTTTTTTTTTTAAAGTCCTTATGATTATTTGCCAACATTTTAGTGTGATTCTCTTAAAACAAACATTTTATACACACTTTTGCCTAGCATATATATTTTGCAAATATTTTTCCCCAAATATAATTTATTTATAAAAATGATTTAAATAATAGAATCATAGAATTGTAGAGTTGGAAGGGACCCTGGGGTCATCTAGTCCAACCCTCTGCAATAATAATAATAATAATAATAATAATAATAATTAATAATAAATTTTATTTATATCCCGCCCTCCCCAGCCGAAGCCGGGCTCAGGGCGGCTAACAACAATAAAACAGTATAAAAGTATAGCATAAACAACACTCTAAAACCATTCATTATAAAATTAATTAATTCAGGCCACTGGCAACCATTGGGCCAGAGCTCCGCGAAGATTGCCGAGGGAGGGAGTCAGGCTGTGCCCTGGCCAAAGGCCTGGTGGAACAGCTCTGTCTTGCAAGCCCTGCGGAAAGATGTCAAGTCCCGCAGGGCCCTGGTCTCTTGTGACAGAGTGTTCCACCAGATCGGAGCCACGGCCGAAAAAGCCCTGGCTCTATGCAGGGATCTTAACTAGATCATACAATACAGATGGCTATCCAGCCTCTGCTTAGAAACATACAAGGAAGGTGAGTCTACCACCTCTCATGGGAGTCTGTTCCACTGTCGAACAGCTCTTACTGTCAAAAAGTTCTTCCTGATGTTTAGTCAGTATCACTTTTTTTGTGACTTGAATCCATTGGTTTGTGTCCTGCCCTCCAGAACAGGAGAAAACAAGCTTGTTCCATCTTCCATGTGACAGCTCTTAAGATATTTGAAAATGGCTATCATATCTCCTCTGAGCCTCCTCTTTCCCAGGCTAAACATGCCCAGCTCCCTCAACCATTCCTCATGAGGCTTAGTTTCCAGACCCATGATCATCTTGGTCACCTCCTCTGCACACGTTCCAGCTTCTAATATCCTTCTTAAATCGTGGTGTCCAGAACTGGACGCAGTACTCCAGGTGTGGTGTGACCAAGACAGAATACCACTATTTTGGGGGTGGGGACAGAGCTGTTTATAACAATTACCTCAGGTAATTGTTTATAACCTGATACCTCAGGTTAAGCACTTAATTTGTTCTGGAGGTCCGTTCTTAACCTGAAACTGTTCTTAACCTGAAGCACCACTTTAGCTAATGGGGCCTCCCGCTGCTGCTGTGCCGCCAGAGCACGATTTCTGTTTTCATCCTGAAGCAAAGTTCTTAACCTAAGGTAATATTTCTCGGTTAGTGGAGTCTGTAACCTGAAGCATATGTAACCTGAAGCGTATGTAGCCCGAGGTACCACTTTATATGTAAAATAATACCATGAAACCATTTAAAATGTTAAAATCAGAAATCAGCTCTTAAGCATTTTGTCATGCACTTTTATATTAAAATGCATTTTTTGAACGTTATTTTCACTAATGTGCTAATTGTGTATGTTTGTGTTTGCATTTTTGCTCTCACTATTTGTTTGGAGAACTGTATTGCAAAATTCGTAAAACTGCAAATTCTGAAGGATGGGTCTGGTTTTAGTTTGCATCTTGTTTCAGAAAGTTCACATTTGGTAGATTTGCCTTTAAATATGAAGTAGGTCCAATTTCTCTGCCAGCCTTCACCTTGCCTTAAAATAGGGCTCTTAAAAAGTTGCTGCACCATATCCCAAGTCAGACTATTTGCCAGATAACGGTGCTGTATATTCCAACTGGCAGCAGCCCTCCAGTTCCTCAAGCAGAGGCCTATCCCATCTGCTCCTCGTTGGTCTTCAGCTACTAGGTTTGAGCCCATGGTTTGGATCACAACAGCAGCAGCACCTCATAGAAATGGATAGTAAAAAATCTACTTCATGCACAAATACCTGGTAGCCTTTTACTAGCTGCTGAAGGATGGGAATTACTGCAAGATGGAAAATTGTTCAGGTCTGCCTTTACAAATTGGCTTGCTATGATTTGGGAGGTAGTTTTAACCGAATGTTCAACACAGCATGGCATAGTGGTAAGAGATCAAGCTACCACAAAACAAAAACCCTTTGGTGTTGCCTGGTTTCTGTTCATTTCCTATGCCAATAAATCTGCATTCCCAATTAAACCACCTGCAACACAACTACTCATATGGAGAGGTTTTGTCTCTTTATTTTAGTACCGCATACTGAAAAGATGTCTGTTATGTGGTTGAATGATGGTACTCCACATTTTGTTTGCCCTTAATATATGTTTACTGAAATTCAATGCAACACATATGTTTTTTTAAAAAAGGGAGAGAGAAAAGAAATGTGCCAAGTGTGAGCTGGTTGCTTTGCTGGAAGAGAAGGTGCAATAGCTTCAGCCCCACCTATCCACATTTTGACTTATTTGATTATTAATTTCTGGATTGAGCAGAGCAGCCTGTCCTGGAAGAGTGACATGGGGGGGTGCCTCTAGGGAAGAGGAAGCTCAACAAATGCAGGAGGCAAACACTTGGAGGAATGTGATACTCGGAAGCAGAAGCGCTTCTTTGCTAGCTGGGGCTGATGGGAGCTGCAGTCGAAAACATCTGGAAGCTCAGGGAAGGCTGGTGCCAAAGGCTATGATAAGATGTGCAGGACTTTATACCATGACTGTGTCACTTCCATATATGATGTGTTGTGCGTGACCCACAGCTAAAGCTACCATGCAGGATTACACTAGCAATGGGAGGGCTTGGATGTGGTCAGTGAGTGCATCTGATCCCAAGGGGACTTGGGGGTGTCTATGTGCCTCTTCCAGTGAAAGAGCCCAGCCTGCTTCAATTGTACTAAGCCAGCCATTCTTTGCTTCCCTTCTGCAGCATCCATATTGGAGAACTGACGATAGAAAACACCACAGTTGACCTCAAGGAGGACGACACCATCGACATCGGAATTCAGAATGTTTCTGCTTCCTTCCAAGGAACCCTCAGCTATGGCTATGTGGGTGGCTGGCTGTGAGTATTTCCAGAGAAGTCCACATCTGCCAGTTTGGTCCTTTTGTGGGGGGAAATGATGAGGGTGTGAAAATGGAAACATCAGCTTTTCATTTACCACACAACCCCCGACTGCATCACATCTAAACAGCACGACGTTGGCTGGCACAGAGCCTAATGTGTGCAGTAGCGCATGTGCTCTGTTCCAAAAACACCATCCTTCCTGGTTAATTCTACCTGTGTTCCACATGTTCGCAAAATATCACACTGACATTCTATCTGAGAGCATCTCTGCAACAGATGATGTTGTTTGGTGATTATCATTGTTAAAAATATTGTCACAGGGTGAAGCTCATCCATTCTATTGACTTCGAAATTGAGTCATCCATTGATCTGCAGATAAACGTTAAATTGTGTAAGTAGCGGAATATTCTTGGCTATTGAGACTGGTTAGAATGAGGGCTTAATATGCGCAAGAGGCAGCAGGTGGGTGTCTCCTTGAGATGAGATTCAGAGGGAGGGGTTAAGGAAAGCCAGTTTCTCCTGTGATGTAAAGTCTGGTTTATTATCTCTGGTTTACAACCCCCTTCCTGGAAAACTGGGGGAAACTATTGGAAGGGAGTACCCAACTGACTCCTGGTTCCTAATAACTTGAGGCATTTGCTTCTCTATTGGACAGTGTCGGATGACGGGCGTGTGATAGTGGACACCTCGGACTGTTACCTGACTTTCCACAAGCTGACCTTGCATCTACAAGGAGACAAAGAGTATGCTTCATTATTTGAAATCCACACCAGGGTTTAGTAGTGCCTGACTTTCACTTGAAGGACTCCCATATTCATCAGGCTAGAAACATAAGAAACTGTCTTATACTGAGCCAGAGCATTGGCCCATCAAGCTCAGTGCTGTCCACATTGACCAGCAGCTCTCAAGGGTTTCAAGTTCTCTCCCAGCCCTACCCTGGGGATTGAATCTGGGACCTTCTGGTGTGCTCTATCACCAAGCTACAGTCTTTCCTTGTGTAGTCTTATGTAGCTGCTTTGCCACTATCAACCTCCCATTTTGCTGACCCATGAAATCAGAAGCCTAAAAGCCAAGCTTCCCATAAGATTAAGCACATCATTAGCAGTTAGTTTCAATTAATAACCTGTGCAGAGGTGTGGGAATGTTGTGGACAGTAGGAGAGGATATATTGATTAAATATTATCCTTTCTCACTCACGCTAGTGAGTCAGTAGCAGAGTACCTTCCCCAGTATATTGCAGGAAGCTAGTTGGTGGATTCATTTGAATCTCTTTACTTAAGCAATCCAGTCTGGCTTGTCCAGATTGGGTTTATTCCTGGTAAATCCCCTTTGTTCCGCTTAAAAAGAATAAAGACACAACTCTCCTTTCTTAAAAGTAATGATAAGAAGTTTACTTACATTCAGTTCACAGTGGTTCCCTGAAGGCAGACTTTAGCTTGAAGTTACAGAAGAGAGTTTGAGTTCATCCCATATGAGAATGAGCCCATGTGCTGCTGGCTGAGAGCCAGCACAGAGCAAAATAGCATCAGTATCAGAAGAGAGCAGCAAAAGAGGAAGATGGCTGTGTGACTGGTCCTTTTACAGGGTCTCACAGGGTCACGACCATCTACCTGGTCACACGTGGGGTAGGGGTGGGGAGATGCTCCAGACAGGTGTGACAGGAAGTCCTCCTAGCTGGAGTAACATCCCCCTGTGTGTCCACTCTGGGCAAACAGGAAATGTTGTATTTGACTGCTACAGTGATGCCACATCCCACAAGAAGGGCATTTTCTTCATGATCCTGTTGCATGGGAAGGGGAGGTTTCACACTTACAGGCTGGTCCTGACTGAAATTCTGCCTCAGAATTGAGGGTTCCACATTGCTGCTTGAAAACAAAAACAGAGAGACATTCTAATTTTTTTGTGTTTAGCAGTACCTCAAGTCTGGCCTTGAGCATCTTTTACGATAAACCTTATTAAGAAGGACAGCCTAATACATTTTTCTGCCCAGAGCAAAGTACAAGATGGCAGCCCCTCCCAATCCCACACCCAGAAGTCCACTAGACTGACAGCTGAATCTGACCTCAACACTACTGATGGGCCTGCATACACCACCACACCTGAGGCAGCAGGCTAGTTAAGTGGGGCAGGCCAGGTTGTGACTGATGGGCAGCGGAATGGTTGGGAGGTGGCTTATGAGGAACAGTCAAGAGTCTGCCACCCCAGCCCCACAGCTTCTGTTATCTGAGGCAGGCGCCTCACTTTGCCTAATGGTAGAGCAGGCAGTGCTCTGCAAGGCTTACTTGCTTGCCCTGACTTCCAATCTCCAGGGTGAATTAGACTTTGGAAGCTTTAAGGTGAAAGGTGCTCTTGATAGTTAGCATTTTGATCATCTTTGCATTTGGATTTCATGTTTAGATTTTCTCTTTATGTTGTAGCTCACTTATAGCCCATTAGATAGTGTAGGACAAAAAAATCCAAATCCAAATGTGTTGTAATAATGAACTTCTTGAGCTCACATCCAGTCTTTCTCCATGCAGCCCAGGATGGCTAAAACAGCTTTTTACAAACTTCATCTCGTTTACTTTGAAGCTCGTTCTCAAAAACCAGGTAAGAGACATGGAAGGGTAATTGACACAGGGCTGATGTATGTTAAATGTCATGCATGCTGGGCAATTGATTAATCAGGCTGCACTATGGCAAATGAAGATATGGAAAGACCTAATTTACATGATCTTAATGAAACCATCATTTATCTGGCTTTCCTTTTAAAAAGTGACTCGGGGTTTAGCTTTCAAGTCCTTGGGAAACAATAAAAGAAGTGTCGTTTCCTTGCAGACTGCAGTCTCTGCCTCAGCCTCCTTTTAAACTATGGACATATTTCCAGGTGATTTTCACAAAAATATGCATTTTACCCTAGCATTGCATTTTTTTGTACACATTGATTGGAGAACTGCATTGCAAAATCTTGAGAAGTGTGAATTTTGGAGGCTGTTTGTGTTTCATTTTGCATGTTGTTTTGGAAAGCGTGAATTCATAAATTTGTGTTTAGATGTGAACTGAATTTAATTCCTCCTCTGTCTCAATTCACATAATACTATTCAATGGTGCTGCTTCACACATCCATCTGTGAGTCATTTAGGAAACTGCCTTATGCTAGACCATCTAGCTTAGTATCTAGCTTAGTACTACTTACACTGACTGGCAGCAGCTCTCCAGGATTTCAGGTAGGGGTCTCTCCCAGTCCTAGCAAGAGATGCCAGAGACTGTACCTGGGATCTGCTTGTTGCTACAATAATGAGCTACAGCCTTTCCCCAAACATGTGTTTGAACACCTCTTTTCCCTCTTTTACAGGTGTGTAAAGAAATTAACTATATTTCTCAGCTACTGGCAGATTATGTGCATGAGACGTCAGGTAAATCTCTGTTCACTTTTGTTGCTGTTCCATTTCTAAAAATTATTATTAAAAGCTCTTACTCCTCCATTTATGTAACAGTCTCACATGGTATGTATAGTCTGCTGCTATAGTCTTCAGGGCTACACTTCAGTCCACACACTTTGCATCTGCACCCAACTGGATTTCAAATGTCCTTAGCTAGAAACTAGAAAAAAGTAAAGTAGCAGGGTTGGCTGGGACAGATCCTGCTGCCTGCCAAATCTCCCTGGAGTCCTAATTTTAAGGCCCACTGGCCATGTGAGGAATGGAGTAATATATTCTAAAAGACTTGCGGGAGTATCCTGCAGGGGGTAAGATGCATTTGGGTCATGCTTTGCTTGAACACAAGGAAATGCCCCCACCAAAAACAATCCCCTGGCTCCAAAACATGGCCAAAAATATGACATTTAGGTCAAAATGACCTAAACTTCCCTATGAAGGAATGTTGCAGCATTTGGGACTTCTTAGTTTAGAGAAGAGGCAACATGATAGAAGTTTATGAAATTATGCATGACATGGGAAAAGTGGCTAGGGGAAAGTTTTTCTCCCTTTCTCATAACTCTGGAATTTGGGGGCATCAAATGAAGCTGATTCAGGACAGATAAAAGGAAGACTTCTTCATGCAGCTCAGCATAATTAAACTGTGGAATTTGCTCCTTCAGGAGGCAGTGATGGCAACCAACCTGGATGACTTTAAAAGAGGATTAGACAAATTCATGGAGGAAGAGGCTATCAATGGCTACTAGTTAAGATGGCTGTGCTCTGCCTCCACAGCTTTCAAATTTCAGTTGCTGGAAACCACAGGAGGAGCGGAGAGGGCTCTTTGCTTGGGATCTGCTTGCGGGTTTCCAACAGGCATTGGGTTGGCCACCGTAAGAACAGGACGCTGGACTAGAAGGGCCATGGCTCTAACTTAGTAGGCTCCTCAACATATTCTAAAAGCTCACTCTTTAATTTTCTGGTAGCCAACTTCCTTAAAGATGGGGATATCGGAGTAGATATTTCTGTGACCGCATCTCCGGCAATCAAAGCAAATTACATAGAATCGCACCACAAGGTAAGACAATTCCCACAAAATAAACTTCCCTGTGTGAAGGAAAGGGCAATTGTTGATGACGCAAACCCTGCCTCTTTATAGTTGCTGCAGGTGAGAGCCAGGTCACCTCCACACAATGGCTTCCCTCAAGAATCCTGAGAACAGTAGTTAAGGGTGCTGAGAAGTGTGGTTCTGAGGGATAAAATGACAGTTCCCATAATGCTTGGGGAGGGGAGGGGAAAAGCCATGTGCTTTAAATGTAGAGTGTGAGTGTTGACTAGAGGTGTTCTTAGGCTTCCAGTTAAGGACAGATGCTGCTACTAATGGAACTTAACTGCTCATTTTAATATAAAACACAATTGAGGACTAAGATGAGCAGGGCCAGAGGTAAAAGTAGGTGGAGCAATGGACACCAGAGGTTTATACACCCCTCTGCCCTCATTGAGGCAAGCAAGAGGGAGGATTGCAGTGGAAAGGCAATCCTGATGAGGCAGAAGTCCTGGAGGAGAGACAGTGAGGGTGTGGCTTAGCAGGCCCCCACCAGGCTAGACAGAGAAGCCTAGAGGGCCACATTTGTCCTCTAGGACTGCGATTCCCACCTGTGGTTTAATATGCCTCTAGCCTTCTTCCCAGTCACAAAAATACAGGAGTTCCATGCAATTCCTGTGGAAGGTGGATGATTCCGTCCTATTATTCTGAACTCGTCATTCTCCCAGTGTCCTTCTCCGCACAATGCCGCATTCAGCAGAAGTCTTGGTGTTTCTACCAACCAGGGCTGGCCCACCCATGGGACCAGGTGAGGCAACTGTCTCGGGTGGCAGGGTCCATAGGGGCAGCAGATCCTGATCTGGATATTTCTTTTTTTTATATATAAATATTTATTAAAATTTTCACAATATTACATAATGAAAAAGAAAAAAGAAAAAATACAAAATAAAAAACAGTTAAAAACAATTCCATCTTTTTGTCACTTATCTTTCATTTGCTTGTTTCCCGGACCTCCTCATACCTCCCTTTTTTGTATTCCAGTTCAATTTATTAGTTCAGCAATTCCTTTCCCTCCTTATTTTATCCTAATCCTTAAGCTTAATATATTATAGCATTAAATTTTTACCTGTTAAAAATCCAATTCTTTCATATTCTTTTATACCATTACAGCTAGAAACCACTTAACTTCAATCCAACATCATTCTAACATTCATTAATTTTGCAATATTTCTGTAAATAATCTTTAAATTTCTTCCAATCTTCTTCCACCGACTCTTCTCCCTGGTCTCGGATTCTGCCAGTCATTTCTGCCAATTCCATATAGTCCATCAGCTTCATCTGCCATTCTTCCAGAGTGGGTAGATCTTGTGTCTTCCAATACTTTGCAATAAGTATTCTTGCTGCTGTTGTGGCATACATAAAAAAAGTTCTGTCCTTCTTTAACACCGATTGGCCGACTATGCCCAGGAGAAAGGCCTCTGGTTTCTTCAAGAAGGTATATTTAAATACCTTTTTCAATTCATTATATATCATCTCCCAGAAAGCCTTAATCCTTGGGCACGTCCACCAAAGGTGAAAGAATGTACCTTCAGTTTCTTTACATTTCCAACATTTATTATCGGGCAAATGGTAGATTTTTGCAAGCTTGACTGGGGTCATGTACCACCTGTATATCATTTTCATAATATTCTCTCTTAAGGCATTGCATGCCGTAAACTTCATACCTGTGGTCCATAACTGTTCCCAGTCAGCCATCATTATGTTATATCCAACATCTTGTGCCCATTTAATCATAGCAGATTTCACCGTTTCATCCTGAGTATTCCATTTCAGCAGCAAGTTATACATCTTTGACAAAATCTTAGTTTTGGGTTCTAACAATTCTGTTTCTAATTTTGATTTTTCCACCTGGAAGCCGATTTTCTTCTCCAAATTGTATGCCTCCATTATCTGATAATAATGAAGCCAGTCTCGCACTTTGTTTTTTAGTTTTTCAAAACTCTGCAATTTCAATCTATCTCCATCTTGTTCCAAAATTTCCCAATATTTCGGCCATTTGGCCTCCATATTGAGCTTTTTCAGAGCTTTCGCTTCCATCGGTGACAGCCACCTTGGGGTTTTATTTTCCAATAGGTCCTTGTATCTTATCCAAACGTTAAACAATGCTTTCCTGACAATATGGTTTTTAAATGCTTTATGTGCTTTGACCTTATCATACCACAGATATGCATGCCATCCAAATACATTGTTAAAACCTTCTAAATCCAAAATGTCAGTGTTTTCAAGAAGCAGCCATTCTTTCAACCAGCAAAAAGCTGCTGATTCATAGTAAAGTTTAAAGTCTGGCAGGGCAAATCCACCTCTTTCCTTTGCATCAGTTAATATTTTAAATTTTATTCTAGGCTTCTTGCCCTGCCAGACAAATCTAGAAATATCTCTCTGCCACCTCTTGAAACAGTCCATTTCTGATCTGGATATTTCTTTCCCTCTTGTTCCTGGTGTTGATACTCAACTCAACTCACCCCTTCTTCCCTGGCCGGGGGGGGGACCATTTTGTGGTTTGCCTCAGGTGGTCAAAATATATTGGACTGGTCCTGTCACCAACCAATATGACAACAACAGCAAAGTTTCTTTAAAACAAACATATGTATTATGGCACAAGCTTTTCCGGACTATTGTCTGCTACTTCATCACTTGCATGAGGCATCAGCCCTGGGGCCTCTAACTACATGGGATGTTAATGAGGTGATTAGCGATCATGCTATGTGATTTTTCTAAATTAAATACCAGGTGAAGAGGGAACAGTTGTTGCCAAGATTGCCCACAGGCTGTGATGAAAGGGAGGGTTTGTACTTTGTGTATGCTTAATTTCAGTTTGCGTTTACTTCTGCTGTTTTTCTTTATATTTTTGTTCTTGCGTGGTATTGAAGTGTCTTGTTTAAAAAATTTTAAACACAAGCAAATGTGTTGGATGCATTTTCCTACAAGGAGATTGTCGGTCCCTCTAGACATTGAGGTGTTTATGTGTGACTCCCACATTTCAATAACCCTTTCACACTTACAAATGTTTTTTGGGGGAATACCAATTCAGTGCCTGTCCCATCACTTTCTGCTGAAATCACAAAACTTTTCGTACTGCAAATGTTGTGGGTTGTGTGTGTGTGTGTCCCGTTTTTGTTGCTCTATAGCACTGGAGTCACCCCTCCAGATGTCAACGATGCTGTTACACTGGGGAAGTATCGCAGAAGACCGAATACAGCAAAATGATGTGTGGAGGGTCCAGAATGAACCCACTGCTAATGCACTACTGTTGAGTCAGTGAAATGTTGCAGAGAACCTCCAGTCTGGAGGAGCCCTGCCTCTCTGCAAGAAGCAGCCCCCTATCCTCAGAGGTACACAAGGAACATCTGCAGTTGGTTTTCAGTTCATAAAGCCCACTCACATTTTCTTCTCTTGAAAGGGCCTCGTCGTGTACCAGAACCATTCAGGCATCTTCCATGACTCTGCCTTCACACCGTCTCTGCTGACTGATTCCAAAATGGTCTATTTCTGGTTTTCAGGCCAAGTCCTCAATTCTGTGGCCTTGGCAGCTTTTCTAGATAAGCGCCTGGAGTTAACACTCTCAGGGGAAAAATTAAAGGTAATTTTTGCAGGTGCCCATTTGACTTGGCTTCAGTTGTGGGGTTTGGATGGCAAGGCGTGGTCATCTCATGCTAGCAAGAAGCACCAGTTTCACCCAGTTGGTTGGGCCAGGGAGCTTCTTATAGGGGGGCGGGGGTTGGGATTCAGGGCACAGCACCTCACCTCACCCACTCTGGCCTATCAGGGTCTCTCTTGCTAGTGTGGATGACCACCCTGTAGTTCCCCTCTTGGTCAGGTGGTGGTGCTTGGGGTCAGTTGCAGCCTCTAATCACCCAAGTTGCTGATTTAGTCCCTTTTGCCGGCTCAAATCAAGATACTTAAAAGTGCTCAAAAGGGGCTCCCTTTTAAGGAGGGCAAAGGAAACAAACAAAAGTTCATTCAACTCATTGCTTTTCCCACCCAACCTTCTATATATTCCACGTGTGTAAGACAACATACAATTTCTTCTTGTGCTTGGGACACATAAGCTGTGAATTTCCCTTTTTAGGGATGTGCATTGGATACATTCATTGTTTTTGTTATATGACGGAAGATTCACCTCTTCACTTGAGTTTTCCATATGCGTGTGTGTACACCCACCCAATTCGTGATTGCATATTGTTTTCACTGATTTTAATCTTGTATATTTATACTTTGCTGTAACCTACCCTGGTGGTGGTGGTGGTGATGATGATGATTCCATGCATAGAAGTAGAACTTAGTACATCAGAACTGCTGTGATTCCCACATTGCAGGGCTTGAACTAGATTGCCCTTTGCACCCTTCCCAACCCTACAGTTCTGTGATGCTAGGAAATACAAGTACATTTTACTTCTTCATCTTTTGTGTCTTTTTTTAAAGGAAATGTTTGAAATTGAAGAGCTGAAAACTCAGCAGGAGATTGTGCAAAAGGTAACTTTTGACCAAATCCCAACCTATCATTTGACGAGTAGGTAGCACATGGTATTGCCTGGATATTGCCTGAACTATTTTCAAGTCTGATTCTTCTTCTTCTTAAAATCAAGCTCTGTTGCTTGGCATCAGCAGCCACACTATGTCTGTCTTTATGCCCCCCAGATTTTTCGGGGTGCCTCCTACAACGACTCCCTGGCTAAGGTGTGGAGCCTTGACCCTCCTCAGATTATCCTCCAGCCCGAAGGAACCATTGTGAAGTCATCTGTGGCTGTGGAACTCAGTGTTCCTCTGCAAGGCGAAGGTCCCCCCTCTGTAGCTTTGTATTTCGAAAAGGTAAGTGAATTTGCAGTTTGCATTTTGGAGACAGGAGCCAAAGGCCCACTGGTCACAAATCAGCCACCATTTGCAAGCGCATGTGATGTGGAACAAAGCGGGCGTCATGGAATATAGGAAACTGCCTTATCCAGAGCCAAAGCCTTGGTCTATCAAGCTCAGTATTGTCCACACTGGTTAGCTGGGGCTCTTTGGGGTTTCTGGAAAAATCTCCTTCAGTCTTACTTGGAGGTGCTGTAAATTGAACCCGGGACTTTCTGGGTGCAAAGCAGATGCTCTTGCATGGAGCTATGGCCTTACAATTCTGTTAGGATGCAGGTGGGCTCAGAGAATCAGGAAGAGAGCACTGCTGGATCAGTCAGCTCAGGAGCTCTGCCATAAAGAGAACATCTCACCTGGGAGAGGGACAATGGGGAAGGTGTCCCTGTGAATTCTCATTGATTTCTCAGCTGCTTTCAACTTTTATTACTCCAGCATGTAATTAAAAACCCTAAATTCTTCAATAAATCAGCTGTTGGATTGTCTGACGTGTTCTAACTTAATAGGTCAGTTTTTAAATATCTCCTGTAAATCTGTAATCATCCATTCATCAAGAGACGTGATTTATTTCCTGTCCCACACACAGTTCTTATTAATAAACATAAGAGCAGCTATTAATAAATTTACCATCATTTCTCTGTCCTCTTATAAAGCAATTTCTTTAATGTAACCAAAGTAACTAATAAAGTCATGATTTCTAATGCCTTCTATGTTTTTTTAAATGCACTCACAAACCTTTCCGTTCTGCCTTTCCCTCCCTGCAGGAAGTCACCGTCACAGTCCAAGCTTCGTATATGCAAAAAAACCTATACCTGCATCACTCCGAGGCCATGTACGTATTGCGCTTCCATTGTGCAGAGAGAGGATGGGGGCTTCCAGGTGGTCACTGTTTTGAGGTGGGATTCAATCGCATACTGGCAACCTCAGGTGCCACAATTAAAGTTGGTTTTGGCACCCCCAAAAGCAGACTTTTTGTGATGAGAGAAGTGCCAGGGAAATGCCCTGGGAAGCCTGGAATAACAATTGCTTGGCACAAGGATGCATAACCTCCTCACAAAAAAGAAAGCTGAATAAACAAGCCACCTGGAAGCATCTAAGGGAGATCCACACCATGCATTTAAAGTATACCCAATGCACATTTAAAACATGTGACTCCCCCCCCCCCAATCCTGCAAACTGTGGTTTGTTACGGGTACTGGGAACTGTGGGTCCAGGGCTACTGTAGTTCTCTGGATTCTTTGGGAAAGTCATGTGCTTTAAATGAATGGGTGTGGCTTTGCCACTAGAGTTCCTGGGTATGCAAAAGGGGCTGGGAAAGGTGCCTGCTCACACTTGCTTACACACTTGGCTTCTTATTTCCCTACAGGATAGAGATCAAAAAGCTTAAACGTGCCGCGCATATAGCTGTGGTGAGTATCCAGCATTCATGCTTCTGTGCTTAAAGTGTTGAGCTGAAACTAATCTCCCCCCTCCCACAAAGCTAATTTTTGCTCCACGAATTTCCTGTCAAATATTCTCTGGATGTACCAGTGTATCTATCAACCAAAGATGTTGCAGTAGCATCAGTACTAAGATAAATACCGAAAGAGCACTGTCCAACCTGGCAGGGTTGTTGTCAGAATCGCTGAAAGAATATATGGGAAGGGTTTCAGCATTTCAAAGCAACGCACATGCCAAGTGTCACAATTCTTCTGCCTTCTGCTGCTGGGAAAATTGGACAGGGGTTCACTCAAGATAAGCCCAGCTTGGCACCATAAAACAATCTTCTGCTTTAACCACCAAATTTGTCCAGGGATTGAAGCATTGGGAGATTTTTGCATCCCCCACAGCACAAAGCCTTTTGCAGAAGCGCAAATCATATTTTGTTTCAGTTACTATATTATATTTTGTTTGTATAATTAACAGAAAACTTTATTAAGGATATGCTTATACCTATATTTTAAAAAGCATAGGGTTGCACTGTCCACTATCTACAATCAATTGTTGGTCCGCCCTTCCCCAATCTATACCCCAAATATTTTGGGGTACAGCTTCTATCAGCCCCAGGCAGCATGTTGTAAAATGCCACATACATCAACGGCAGGGGTAGAAATAATGAACTAGTAGTAACAACAAAGACTTCTGCAATTAATGACTTTGCTTGCAACGTTTTAATTTCAGAATGATGAAACTCTAAAGCACATTTTGGAGAAAATCGTCTCAGTTGCCGGGATCCGAGAAGTGGTATCAAGTGAGTTTATTTGCTAAGTGTCAGTGTAGTAGCTCTGAGTCCTGAGTGGCAGCAAGGCAAAACAAGTGTGTTGGTGAGGGAATTCACTTCAGTGGACCTCAGAAATGACTTCCCAGGGCTCTTTTTAAAAAACCCATTTTGCAGGCCTTTGAGCCAACAACATACCCCTGTTGCTGGGTTTCTGAGATCTCCTGCGTGAACACAGATGGCTTCCCCACACTTCCTCTTGTCTTGCTGCTTTCCCCTGGGGGAAACTTTAGCGCTCAATCAGAGCAAATTCGGGTTTTCTCCAGATGGATGTTTGCTCTGATTTAACACTAAAGAGCAGGTTTTCCCTGGGAAAGAGGGGCAGGCTCTTCTCATGGCCTATCTGGCGATGTCAGGGACTGAACCTAGAACCTTGTGCACACAAAGTATGTGCTCTTCCCCCAGTGGCAGACCTACATTTGTGGGCCCCTGAAGCTTGACCTGTTACCAGCAGTGAGGTCTAGGAAACTACTGTTCTCTTCTTCGGTAGGGTTGTTTACCACAACCTCTTCAACATCTGTGCTACTGACTCTCAAACTCTGGGATTGTTGAAATATATACAACAACAAAAATAATCCATTTGAGTCATGTGACTCAAATTGTGTCTTCTAGACCCATTGTGTGTGTGTGTGTGTGTGTGTGTGTATCAATGTGGTCTAAAGTCACTTCTGCCCCCCCCGAAGACCTGAAGATTAAGTTTACTTAGTTTCATAGTAGATCCCTGCCCCTGCCTTCCACTCAATTATGACCCTGAAAACAGATGAAGCTTCCTTATACAGTGTCAGATCAACTGGCCCATCTAGCTCAGAACTGTCCACAATGACTTGCAGCAGCTCTCCACAGTTTCAGGAACAGAGTCTTTCCCAGCCCTACCAGGAGATGCCAGGGATTGAACCGGGAGCCTTCTGCATGCCAAGCAGAGGCTCTACCTCTGAGCTACAGCCTTCCCCAAGAGGGACCCTGCTTCTGTAAAACTAAATGGTGGTGGTGGTGGTAATTCCATTTCTTGCCCACCTTTCACCATGAGATCCTAGGGCAGCAATTTAAAAATACAATCTTAAAATTAATTTATTTTATAACAAATTACAATAAAAAGACAGGGTGGGGCCTAAATTATATACATCTCAGCAGAGCACGACTTTTTGCCTCATTATGTTGCACAAGCTTCATGGGAGGCAGGTGCAATGTAATAAATGTTAGCATCAGTCCCAGAAAACTTCCTCGCCCAAAACAACCACCACTACTTACCCATTGCTGCAAACCACGGTTATTACTGTGACATCAGACAAATCTGGTTCAATTTGGTTTCACAGGATTTGAGAGGAACATAAGTTCCCTGTTGAGCAGCAAAGGACTTGACCATTTCGACATCATTGATCCTGAGATAGTAACCAAAAAGGCAAGTACAGTTTGATGTATTGGGGCTTATATATCACCCAGCACTATGTCAGTGACCAAACAGCAAAAATATTTTGTGCTTGGCCCTTCCATAGCAGTGGAAAATCCAGGGCACCCATAAAAGGGTTGATTTCATTTGGAAGACAGATTCCTGAGCCAATAGTACAGCGGGGTGCAGAACCAAGCACACTGGATGTACCAGATTCATAGTCGAAGTGTGTCAAAAGTGCCTTGGCCCAGTATACCTGAAGGAGTGTCTCCACCTCCATCATTCAGCCTGGACACTGAGGTCCAGCTCCGAGGGCCTTCTGGCGGTTCCCTCACTGCGAGAAGTGGGGTTACAGGGAACCAGACAGAGGGCCTTCTCGGTAGTGGCACCTGCCTTGTGGAACACCCTCCCATCAGATGTCAAGGAAATAAACAACTATCTGACTTTTAAAAGATATCTGAAGACAGCCCTGTTTTGGGAAGTTTTTAATGTTTGATGTTTTCTTATGTGTTTAATATTCTGTTGGGAGTTGCCCAGAGTGGCTGGGGAAACCCAGCCAGATGGATGGGGTATAAATGATTTATTATTATTATTATTAGTCCCAGGCTGTGTGTGTCAACCCTAGGGCTGGCCCTGGATGTTTTGTCATTAGAGGCAGAACAAAAATTGCTGCCCCTGCCTCCTCCGCTGTACACCCACTGCCATGTGCCCAGCTGCCCCACACCCACTGTTATTTGTGCACATGCCGCCAGGCCCACAGCACAGGAAAGAGGAGGAGGCTGATAAGCACAGCAGATGATAAGCAGCACACTTCTTGGAGACTGGATCTGCTGCCCCTCCCAGCCATCCAAAGCCTGCCCCCCTGAGCTGCCTCACCTTGCCTCATAGGGTGGCTGGCCCTGGCCAACTGGTTTAGAAATGTTTCTTTGGTGCTTCTGCACTACACTGAGTTTGACACTCTTGCACTTTTGATGTCCACAGCTTCCACAGCATTCCCTGCCCGAAAACTGGGCTGGATGTGTCTGTTGTTGCTCTATCAGTTGTTGTCCTGTCTGCAGGCAAAGGTGTGTCCTACCATCCTGTGCATTTTCCATTGCAATTCAGTTTGCCCACTTCATCCTGCACTTTTCCCCCCATCCAGGGACACTTAATTCTCCAGATGGACTTTGGCTTCCCACACCATTTGCTTGTAGAGTTTCTGAAGACTACTTTGTAGAAGGAAGAGGAGAAAGAAAAATAAAGGTGATCCAGGTGTATGAGCAATCTGGATGCCCAAGAGAGCTGGCGGCCCATTTAGTTCCATCTCCTTCCCTGCGATCCCAGATGGATTTCCTGCCAGGACTGAGGCTCTGTCTGCGAGTTTTCTCCTTGACTGTCTCCTGCAGGATAAACTCTCTTGGAAAAGCTCTGGGAATCCCTGGCTCTTAGTGTGACAAGAAGCTGAGTCTCCACAGCCGGAGAACAGTGCTTCCAAAAGGGCTCGACACCCTCCCTACAGTGTTGAGCCCATCTATATTGGATGTGTGATGGCTTTGATCAGCTTTCTCCAACCAGGACAACAGCTCCCACGGGGAACGCATGAGCCTGGCTTGCTGGCTTCCATTTTCATGACGCCCCCAAACCCCATTTGGGAGTCAGTTTATGTGCATTGCTTAACTGCCACAATGACAGCAAGCTTTAGGAAATGGCCTCGATAATCTTGTCACTATGCACCTGAGTGTCTTGCCTTCTCAGACCACTCTGGGTCAGAGAAAGGACACCTTTCCACCAAATTCTGGAAAACTTTCTTTCTTTTTCATTTGAATGCCATGTGCTTCTTTTGTTTCCTAAAAATAAACCTGGTTTTCTGTTTTACCGCATCGCTGTGCCTGTTGTTGTCTAAACCTCCTTGTATACTTAAAACCCTCTGTACTGACTAGGGAAATTTAGGTACCTGCAAAGGCCTAAAGGGCTGTTAGAAAAGTCCTGATTTTCGGGGGGTTTGACTAGGTGAACATTTGGGTCCCTTGCAACTCTACAGTTCTGCAATTCTATGAGGTTACCTGACTCGTCTTGGTGAGGGCAGGGTCAGCAGAGGGAATTACAGTTTTGGAGAGCTTTGGAGTTTTTTTTATGGGAACTGGTTGTAGATACAAGAGGAGAAAGCTAACTGCAAAAACAAAACAAAAGCACCCCGCTACCCTGTGTAGTTCTGACTTACCCTACCAATATATCCTGCTTCAGAAAAGAAGGATCATCAACTTTCCTTTTTCACATTTCTCCTCCACAAATCAAAAATACCTCAGTCCTTGGTCTTCAAAAGGTGCTACTCCAGGGAATACTTCTAGATCCCCCTACAATTTGAGAAACCCAAACTGGTGTTATTTAATATGTTTCTATTTAAAAATTTAAATATCATTCTTAAAGATCTAAGTCTCCACATTGAGTCTGTTGAGTCATTTCCTTCTGACTGTATGAGCGGGTGCAGCTCAGAAGTGGAAGTTGCTTCAGAACCTAAATATCGACCAGAGGTACCAAAAGATTTGGCAACGTGATCTTTTAGAGAAATCAACACAAATACTAAGGGGTAACCAGGGGGCAAAAGATAATGGAATCATTCAAGAAAATATGGAAGGCGCTCATTGCTTACACAAGTATAAAGGATGATGTCTGCCTTCTGCCTCAATGTAACTCTTGATTATGAAACTTTTTAGTTATTTTCTCTCTTCATCTACAAATATCAAAAAGAAAATTTGAAGCAGAAAGAAAGTGTTAAGATTATCAGTAAGTAGAGATACCGTGCTGTCTTAAGCCTGTCATGTTAATACGTACCCTTTGCATGTTTCCTTTAACCTATTTTTTCTTTTTAAAAAAGTTATATATGCCCAACCTCAGGAAGGTGTGCTGATGCATGCCTGGATAAGCCTGCACTGATCCAGCTGGGCAAAGTTGGTGCGCATTGGCTGGGCTTGCCTTAAATCATTCAGAGATGCTGAGCTGCAGGCAGGCTGGTATACCTTACAAACACATGATTTCCTAGCAATGCCTTGCCTATTTCTGGCTAGGCCTTTCAACAGTAGCCCCAGTCAAGTTTCACTTTCGGATTCAATGCTGCTCTTGCTGCCAGGCTGACATGAGGCTGGGGCTGGCCGCTTTGCAGCTGCGTTGCACTTGCCGCGCCGAGGCATGGAGTAGACTGGGGAGAGAAAGTGGGTGCTGGCCGCTCCGAAGGAGAATGGCTGTCTTCTTACTGCCGAAGGTATGTAGGAGCTTCGGAGAGAGCGAAATACTGTAAGCGGACTGAGTTTCTGGTTTTTCCTGCAGTCGTGGGATTTCTCTGGCCACGAGATGGCGCTTTTGTCTGATTTCCACTCGCAGGGCTCCCTGGCGGCTTTGCCTTTTCTTCTGAGGGTATTTGGAAAATGGCAAAGGAAAGGAGGCGCGCGGGCTCAAACCTGGAAAGTCCTGTCTGAGGAGTTTAATGCGAGAAACGCAGCGGTGCAAAGGCTGCTTACTGGGAAGTCCTACCGACGCATGAGGATTTTAATTTGTAGAAAGAGCAAAAGGTGGTTGCGTGCCTTGAGATCTTTAAACCTCTAATCCTAGCTATGCAAGTCTTGTACTGAGGGAAGCGTGCACGTGGTCTGCACACGCTATTGAAATCGCCTTGCCCAAACATCCAGGTGTTTCCAAGTATCCTGCTAGGGCTGATGGAAGCACAGCTGTGCTGCCTGGGACTGAGGAGAACAGCGATGGGGTGGTCGGGAGCCATGGCGGGGGCGCACGAAGACCCCTTACTTTCTCTGCTGCCTGCAAGGTCTCTCGCTTTCCAGCCCTAGGGCCGCCCAAGAAGCAGGGAAGAGGAGCTTTTAGCCACTGTGTGTGCTCCAAAAGCTAAGAGCTGTTCGACAGTGGAACGGGCTCCCTCAGGAGGTTGTGGACTTCACTTCCTTGGAGGATTTTAAGCAGAGGTTGGACGGCCATCTGCCGTGGATGCTTCCTGGATTGCAGGGGGCTGGACTAGATGATTCTATTCAATGATAGGCTGTCATCCTCTACAGCGAGCTAGTTCTCTTTATTTTCTAGGTGAAGGGGTTTTTTCCCCTCTTGGTATGAAGACTAGACAGGAAGTGATGACGCCCACCACTGTCTGAGGTGACATAGTCTCCAAACAAAGGCAGACATCCTCAGTAAAACTGACGCCTCAGTGCCTTGGTTACTGCACCTGCTGCATCGCTCTCACGGGGACTCGCTGCTGTTATAGCACTTTGCACATGCCTTGGAATGTAACCATCAGAGTTCTCTGCTGTCAATAATAATAATAATAATAATAATAATAATAATAATTTATTATTTATACCCCACCCATCTGGCTGGGTTTCTCCAGACACTCTGGGTAACTCCCAACAGAATATTAAAAACATGATAAAACATCAGACATTAAAAACTTCCTTAAACAGGGCTGCCTTCACACGTATAACTAATGCAAGACACAGATTTCTTTTTTAAAAAAATAATATTTATTATTTTTCCAAAAACTTAAACACTAAAAAGAAAAAAAACAATACAATACAACACATCAAATTAACAAAACAAGACAAAGACAATAAAATAAATCAAACAATTTCATTATCCCATCTTTCATTCACTTATTTCCATGACCTCCTCGCACCTCCCTTTTTGTATTCCACTTCTGTTAATTATTTCAGCAATTCCTTTCCATCTTCCTCTGTTTTCTATCCTATAATTATCTTAACTCATTCTAACCTTATTTTTTCCTTTAATGCTCTATTAACCTATCTGTACTTAAATCCTTATAATATTTCTACTAAAGCCATATAACTTCATTTCAACATTTTTCTAACATTCATTAATTTTACAATATTTCTGTAGATAGTCTTTAAACTTTTTCCAATCTTCTTCCACCGACTCTTCTCCCGTGTCTCAGATTCTGCCAGTCATTTCCGCCAGTTCCATGTAGTCCATCAACTTCATCTGCCATTCTTTCCGGGTGGGCAAATCTTGTGTCTTCCAATACTTCGCGATGAGTATTCTTGCTGCTGCTGTTGCATACATAAAAAAAGTTCTATCCTTCTTTAACACCAATTGGCGTATAACTAATGCAAGACACAGATTTCTTTTTTTTAAAATAATATTTATTATTTTTCCAAAAACTTAAACACTGGTGTCATGTACCAGCTATAAATCATTTTCATTAAGTTTTCTCTTAGGGCATTACATGCCGTAAATTTCATACCTGTGGTCCATAACTGTTCCCAGTCAGCCATCATTATATTATGTCCAACATCTTGTGCCCATTTAATCATAGCTGATTTCACCGTTTCATCCTGAGTGTTCCATTTCAACAGCAAGCTGTACATTTTTGACAAATTCTTAATTTTGGAATCTAGCAATTCTGTTTCCAATTTTGATTTTTCCACCTGGAAACCAACTTTTTGTCCGAATTATATGCCTCCATTATTTGGTAATAATGGAGCCAATCTCGCACTTTATTTTTCAATTTTTCAAAACTCTGCAATTTTAGTCTGTCTCCCTCTTGTTCCAGAATTTCCCAATATTTCGGCCATTTGGCCTCCATATTGAGTTTTTTCTGTGCCCGATTTCTTTACCAGTTATGCAGTTGACTTCCTGAAAGGTAGGAAGCAAAGCCTAGTTGTGGAGTCTAGGCTCCAAGATTGCCTTGTTTTGTATTTTTTTTGGGGGGGTGTTTGGGGGATTTTTAACCTTTCTGTATTGCTTTGAGGGTTTAGCTGAAAGCAGCAAATGGATAAATAGAAATGTAATGCAACATAAAGTATCTCTTTGACTATTGAGTTAACAATTATCTTAAATAACATAAATAAATTTACCAATTGCAAAGGCCCCATGAACACACATGTATGAAAGGGACAGTTTCGGTTAATTAAGAGTTGGACAAAACTACCTGTCTCAGGAAGAGCCGGCTTTAGTATTTTATTATTCCTCAGATTTGCAAGTATGGGATATTTCTTACTATACTATCAAAATGAGAGTAGCATGCATAGGAATGGGGATGGGGGAAATTCAATTCAGTTCACATTTAAAGGCGACCCCACCAAGTCCACACTTTCCAGAACAATACACAACTGGAAGCACAGCCACCCTTTTAAAATGCACGTTCTGGGAAATGCAACATATGTTAAGGAAAATAAGATGCTGAATGCATTATATTACATTAGACAAAACTGCTTTGCAAAAATGTGTAAATTTGGCAGGCTTGCATACAAAAACTTGTATGTTAGAAGAAATTCACTCATGAGTTTTCATGAGGACTTTAAAAATAAATCAAAAACTGATATAGAAATGGGAAGAGCTGAATCCATTGGAAAAATGAGAAACTGAGAGAAACCAAAATTGACAGATTGGGCCATCCTTACATTTGAAATGTATAGAGTTTCAATACTGGAACATGCCCAGTTTCAAATTATGGGTTAGCAGTGATAGGAAAACAGGAAGGAGAAAGGACATTTGCATTGTTTTCAGTCAGATGGGACTCAAGGTGATAGGAGCTGGTCTCTCCTTGAACGTACTGAAGGGTATGTGTTTGTTTGCTTCATGAACTTCATACACTACTTTTTTGTTTAAAAAAATACCCTCAAGTTTATAAAAGCTAGAACAATAAAATCAGGAAAAATTTACAACCCTACTCTAAAACATACAAACATTAAAAATGCTAAACTAGATTGAAATTACCTCAACTTTCTAAGAATCTGGGTAGGCTTGTCTAAAGAGGAACGTTTTGCGCAGGGGCCGAAAAGGCCACGTGTTTGAATATTGTTCAGCAAACAGATAAAATGGAGGCTGGAAGGATCAATCTTGAACTGCAGTTGAAGAAGCAATTGAAGAAGCTTCTGTGTTAGTCGGTCAGTTGCATTAATCTGATCTTGCAAGATGTTTGTTTCCTTGATGGGGAAACGGAATCTCCTCCCCGGAGGAAGAGGGTTTGAATTGTAGTTGGATCTGTAACACAGGTTTGAACTTTTCAGCACATTTAAAGCTGAGGCCATTGCTCTGTGCTGTGGGATTTTAAGGCGAAATGATGCCCCTGGGCAAAGATGGTGGTGGCTTCAGGGGTTCCTGGTGCATCGCTGGCACTCACCCTCGCATTGCCTGCTCCTTCGTGAGCTCATTTTGCCCGATTGCTTCAGTCTCCCTGCAGTTTGTGGCAGTTGGTCTTTGCACAACTTTCTGTAGTGAGATCGGATGTGGCGTTTGCGTTCCTGTGTGGGGGAAGGAGTTAACACACTGCCTGGCGAAAAAATTTTGCTCCCCTGGTTAGAAATTACCTAAAATTGCCAAGTTAGCTGTGGTGCAATGCAGCAGGACAAAGTTTTGTTTAATCTCCCATTAGTCACCCATTTCAGTCCGATAAAGTTGTTAACTTTCAGCCGTAGAGTTTGGGGAATTCCGGGCACTTTTACTTTCACTTAGTGCCAGTCCCTTGGCACAGGCAGGCATGGGGAACATTTCATTGCCATGTTTCAGAAGCTTCAAACAGAAAAAGATGAAAGAGGCAAGAATCAGCTCTTCCACTCTCATTTCCGTGCTTTTGCTCTTTAATGTCTGCAGATTTCTGGTAGGTACCCAGTTCTTTGTTTCTTTGGCTGTCTTTGTTTAAGAAGGTTTTATGTCCTACATGACAAAGCAGAAATCTTCCACTATACGTCTCAGCAGGAACATGAGTGAAACTTCGCCAGTTGGACCTTTGTAGTACAGTGGTACCACGGGTTAAGAACTTAATTCGTTCTGGAGGTCTGTTCTTAACCTGAAACTGTTCTTAACCTGAGGTACCACTTTAGCTAATGGGGCCTCCCACTGCCACTGCACCACCGCCAAGCAATTTCTGTTCTCATCCTGAAGTAAAGTTCTTAATCTGAGGTACTATTTCTGGGTTAGTGGAGTCTGTAACCTGAAGCGTCTGTAACCTGAGGTACTACTGTACAGGTTACATACGCTTCAGGTTACAGGCGCTTCAGGTTACAGACTAAATAATTGTTGAAGGGTTTATGATGTTTTTTCTTGAATGCTGCTGAGGGCTGTCAAAAAAGACCTTATGGGCCACATGTGGTCTGTGGGCTACGGATTGCACCACCCTGAACTATAGCAGTTACAGAGGTGAATGCATTATACATTAAACTAAATAATACGTAATATCAGTGCTTTCTTTTCCTAAAAGAAATGTTTAGGGGTACTCTCATTTTGACTCACGAAAATTACCATTTTATAATTCAAATTGGGAATGAATAAATAAACAAACAAATAAATAAATAAATACAGTAAATGGACAAAAGTACAAAGATTCACAAAATGTTCAGGGGTACGCATACCGCTGCGTCCCTCCAGAAAAAAAGCACTGGGTAATGTCCCCAAAACTTTGGAGTGGAGGGTGGCGACCGAGAGTAGTCCCAACAAGGCATGTGGATTTATGTTTTCATGCATTGTGTTGCACTTAGTGCACAACAAAAAAGATCACTTTTTAAACAAATTGATCATAATCCTGCCTATTGTCTCTTACTCGAATCCTATTGGTCAGTTTGCCCATACAAGCAAATACTTTTTTTTAATGGACTAAGGCAGAAGTTTTTATTTTATTTTAATTTTTTATTTTTTAAAAAAATTCGTTGTTACCGTTCACATTAACACACCATACAGAAAAAGATAACAAATTCCATCACCACCAAAGAAAAAAAGAGAATTAATACATCAACTAATAACCTTCAAAACATAAAATACATAAAATAAGAGTGGTCTTTTTCTATGCTCCAGACTTCCCGTCTATTCCTTCTTACAGATTCTGTATTAATTGTTTGCTGCCATTACATAACGAGATTTGTTCAATTTCAATATCCCTTAATCCGTTCATTGGTTTTACCACATTTTTAACACTGCTACTGAAATTATTTGAACGCTGTGTATGACCTTAAACTACTATTATTATTTTTCAAGCATATTTTAAAAACTTCCCATTTTGAGATAAATACCTGTTTTGGTTTATTTTTTAATCTTTTCTGACATGCTATCTAATTCCGCATAGTCAGACATCTTTTGAATCCATTCTAATCTTGACGGGACTTTATCGCTTTTCCAGTTTGCCGCAATGAGAACTCTTGCTGCGACCGTATCGTGTAAGAAGATCTCTTTAGCATTTTTAGGAACATCTGAGTGTGATTCCCAAAAGGAAAGCTTCCGGTTTCCTATTTTAAAATATTTTAAACATTTTTTCCAATTCTATGTGGATATCCTCCACTTTTGGGAGGACATACAAGCAAATACTTTAACCAGACAGTCATCTAATGTTGGCAATCAATTCCTACCCACCCCCTGTAATGAGCAATAGATATACAGGTTGCACCCAGTGAGTATCAAACCATCTCCCTCTTGTCTTTTGGAACTGACTCTCTTCCTTTTCATCCCCAGGAAGTTTCAGCTGACAAAACATCTCTCTGCAAATGGCAAACATTACTCCCTGGCACAGATAATATGAAGCCCACGATGTAACATTCCCCCTGAGCCCGGAATAAGCAGGACCACTCCAACAGAGTCACTTTTGCAGAATGACGACGGTAGGAGGGGCAAGCTAAAAATTGGCCGCTGTTTCTTTAATGCTAAAAGAACTAAGTCAGCATGAGTCAGCGGCCTACAATGACTCATGCAACCTTTCACCAAATTGTACCTGTACACAGTGGTACCTCGGGATGTGAACGGGATCCGTTCCGGAGCCCCGTTCGCATCTTGAACGCAATGTTAGATGCGTCTGCGCGTGCACGGGTCGCGTTTTGCTGCTTCCGCGCATGCGCGTGACATCATTTTGAGCATCTGCGCATGCGCGAGCGGCAAAACCCGGAAGTAACGCACTCCATTACTTCCGGGTTGTCGCGGAGCGCAACTTGAACGTGCTCAACCCGAAGCGTATTTATCCCGAGGTATGACTGTATATAGAGTGGTCAATGTTAGTGTTTGGTGTGGGTTGGTTGGATGGTAGAAAACTGGTTGCGTTTGGTGTGTGCAAAAGCTGTCGGTCGTGGTTGGAGAAGAAGACTTTTTAAGAATAAAAGCAGCAATACTCTGCAAAAATACTCTTTCTCAAAGACTCTTTTGTGCCAGCTAAGGTCTGAGGACTAGGCAAAGGAGTAAAAAGGAGGTCAGAACATTTTCTTTTTCAGACACTGACAAGCTTGCTGCGATCTTCTTAGGGGTGGTAGTTAAGAGAATCACAGGGAATGGAAGAAGGTGTAAAAGGGGCCACAAGGGCATTTTTGAAATTCCCTTCATAGAACCATAGAATTGTAGAGTTGGAAGGGGTTCTCAAGGGCCATCTAGCTCAACCCCCTGCAATGCAGGAATCACAGCTGAAGAATCCCTGACAGATGGCCACCCAACCTCTGCTTAAAAACCTCCAGTGAGGGAGAGTCCGCCACCCTCTGAGGGAGCTCATTCCATGGCCAAACAGCTCTTACTGTCAAATCAGTTTTCTGATATACGTATTTGCATGAATTGTTAGCTGCCTTAGATGAGTATAAATCCAATTATTTAATTACAGTCATTCAAACCTACATTCACAGTGTTAACAAGTGATATATTTCACAAGAGGTTTTTTTAAAAAAAACTAGAGGTTCTTTCAATTTTATTTTTATTTGTTAAAGCAAACACTCTTGTTTATTGCCTTGGGGTGCATTTGAAGAAAGGGTGGGATTGACATTTATGGTGTTATGAGTTTGTGTGGGCCCTGATCCTCATAAATTTCTGGGTCTAAGAAAAGTTAGAATTAATCAGTGCTTGGAGGGTTAAACTGAAAGTTAGACTTTAAATAGCTGGACTCAGCCTTCCCTCTCCAGCAAACCGTCTGACAGAGGAGCCATTAAAAGATTATTAAAAGATAGTAAGGAATGGTTGAGTCATTGACCAAAAACAGAGAAAGGTGCCTTCAGCAAGTCTAAAACTATATGCCCCAGCCTGCTCTCTGACATTCAGTGAGTGAACAGTCTGTGTACATTCAGACTAGTTGATCTGTGCAAATCAAGAAGTGGTTTTCACACAAATCTTTCACTCAACTCATTTCTGTGTAGAGATAGCTTGTGTTCAGTGTAATGTGTGAACAAGCCTTTCATTTTGGGCCTTAAAATCCTGGCAGGGCTTATGTACTAATATTTGCTTCAGCCATTTGCAACCATTTCATCTTTCTTTTCTTTTCCTTCCAGCCTCCATTCTGGATGGACGATGCAGACGTCCAGAAGGTCATCAGGAATGCTTGGCCGCAGCTGGTGCACTTCCTCAGTCACCATCCAGAGTGGGTCCTGAGAAAAGCCAAGCAGCTTCTCCCAGGGGTGGCCTTGAATGAGATTGAGGGGACAGCCAGTTCCCATGAGAAGGTCTCACTGGTCCTGGACATGTTTCTGAAGGCTGCAGATGTTGATGCTCCCGTCTTCAAAGCCTTCGTACAGAGTGTCTGCATGGAATGCAACCTCCCCATGCATCTGGAAATAGTCTTCATGAGTGTGTCAGGAGAAGGTCAGAGGAGGGGTTGTGTCTCAGTGATGCTTTGCATGCTTTGTATTACAGAAAGCCCCGGGTTCAGTTCCTGGTGGCCTCATGTGCCTTCAGGCCAAGCTTTTCAAGCTTTATCCCTGGGCATTAGACCCAACAAATCAGACATTTTTTTATCCCCACAAAAACAAATGAATGAAAAACAAATGAATTTTTGTTCAGAACCAATGTGTCTGAATTCCCATTCATTCATTTCTTTTCCATATGTTTTTAAAGCCAGTACACACACCCCGCATGAGATGTGATGCAAGAGATGTGCAGAGTTTCTCCTCCCAGCTTTTAGTTTAAATTTAAAGCAGCTGAGAAGAAGTCTCGGCCAGTGGGGTAGTGGTCTGGGATCATGGAGAGTCAAATCCCCATTACTTTTTTTGCATCAAGGTTTATGTCTCCAGCTTCCTGGTGCCACCCAGTCAGTGTGGAAGGGGAGCTTTTTAGCCCCTGTATGCTGGAAAACAAAGCATTTAGGGACATGGAAGACACAAGGAGCTTCAGTTTCAAGTCAACGGGGTGCAAGTTCTGTTACATCCAATGCCAATTCATGGAAAACGCAGCTTAAGTAAAACTGCCACAAGTTATTGAAGCGCTCCAAATCATTGTCTCTGGGACCTGCACCAAAAATAGTAGCTCTTGCTCAAGGTGCTTTTTTCAGTTAAAAAGACACTGGGTTCCCAGATCTTGAAAAGTACTGCAATAGTGAAAATGCCTTCTGGTTCATGCCCTACACTGAGCAGAGAGTTGGCTAGAAGACCTCCCATGTCCCTTCAATCAGCTCTCAAAATGCTTATACTTCCATATGCTGCTTTTAATTGCAACTGAAAGGGAATTCATGGTGGTCATGGTAGAGTCCAGCCGTGCTAGACAAGGAATGACCACCCTTTATATAAGCAATTCATCAGGTGTTGGGCTGGTATGCTGACTCCAGTGGTGTCTGGTGCTCATTGGTGCTGGCAGGGCGGAAGGCATGGAGCCCAACCATAGGTGGCGCCAGAGCCAGTGTCGGGCAGATAATTGGGCAGGACTGAGGTTGGTTGGGCAACGTTTCCTTTGCCCTAATGGGCCAGCCTCTACATAAATCTGGTACATTGGTGCCTTGCAAGACGAAAAGAATCCGTTCCGCGAGTCTCTTCGTCTTGCGGGTTTTTTCGTTTGGCGAAGCAAGCCCATTAGCGGATTAGCGGATTAGCGCTACAGTATTAGCGGCTTAGCGGGCTTAGCGGATCAGCTGATAAGCGGCTTAGCGATCAGCTGTTAAGCGGCTTAACGGATCAGCTGATAAGCGGCTTAGCGATCAGCTGTTAAGCGGCTTAGCGGATCAGCTGATAAGCGGCTTAGTGGCTTAACGGATCAGCTGTTAAGCGGCTTAGCCGATCAGCTGATAAGCGGCTTAGCGACCAGCTGTTAAGCGGCTTAACGGATCAGCTGATAAGCGGCTTAGCGATCAGCTGTTAAGCGGCTTAGCGGATCAGCTGATAAGCGGCTTAGTGGCTTAATGGATCAGCTGATAAGCGGCTTAGCCGATCAGCTGATAAGCGGCTTATCGACCAGCTGTTAAGCGGCTTAGCCGATCAGCTGATAAGCGGCTTAGCGGCTTGGGAAAAAGGGGGGGGGAAAGGAAAAAAATCCCGCAGGAACTCGCAAGACATTTTTGTCTTGCGAAGCAAGCCCATAGGAAATTCGTTTTGCGAAGCACCTCTAAAACGGAAAACCCTTTCGTCTAGCGGGTTTTCCGTCTTGCGAGGCATTCGTCTTGCGGGGCACCACTGTACTAATGCATACAGACACATGCACACAAATATACAGAATAAGCTTTGTTATGAAATACTGCCTCTTGCGCTGATTTAAATTGATGATTCCAGGTCAAGGACGAGAGGATTTGGAAGGAGCTTCAGCTTGCTTCCCGTCAACATCAACAAGTAAGATTGCTTTTTTAAAAAATTCCTTTTCTCCCCCCCCCCAAATTTTTTATTAGTTTTCCACATTTATAACAAATATAACATATAAAACACACAGAACAAAACACATTACAATTCTAAAAAAAATAAAATAGAAACACATATTCCTTCTTATATTCATTTTAAATTCCTTTTTTTTATTGATACAACAAGGAAAAAGAAAAAACAAACCACAAATACCAAATTACACACAAGAACAACCACGGACACACAATTCTCTTAGCAAACAATAAAAACATATATTGGTCTTAACACTAAAGACCCAACCTCCCGTCTATTCTATATTTCAATTCCATATTACTTATTGCCAATACACACTTTTATCATAATTAAACTTATTCTTAATAAATCTAATTTCTTATATCTACCTTGCAACTATTACTGAAGTTCCTCAAAAAACCCCCCAAAAAACCCAAGTAAGATTGCTCTTGGTGAAATGCAATTGATGGTTTGAGTCTTGGGAAGGGCCCAAGTCAACCTTGGAGCAGAATGCTTGGACTCAATTTCCATTGAGGCGCCATGCCCACTTCATTCCTCTGGCAGTGTTGGACTCCTGCTAAGGACCCTTTCGTTTTTGTGCTCCTTGAGAAAAGCAACTGTTTCTGGTCAAGAAACAACCACACAATGCACCCACCCCAGTGTATTTTATTTTATTTTATTTATTTCATTGATGGAGGGGGGAACCCTCAACTGAGGGTTCCTCCCCTGCTACAGATTAGGGAATGGGACAGAGACAGTAATTAATTTGGGAAAACAGGGGCCTTCTCAGGGGCTGATCCAAGACTTTGAAACTCCCTTCCTAGAGAATTTAGACTGGCTCCCCTTTGTGTCCTTCGGTCAGCAGGTAAAGAGTTCCTTGTTCCAACAGGCTTTTGGGAACTGACAGTTTTTAAGGAAAGGACTGGTGCTCTGATGTTTTTATTGTAATTATCTGTATTCTTAATAGATCTTTCGTGTGTGTGTTTAATGGCTTTTAAATTATTGTCTTTTCTATGTTTTTAGCTGTTTCTATTTTATCTGTAAGTCACATTGAGTCATGGTCTACGAAAAATGCAGAATATAAATTTATTGTGTGTGTGGATGCCCAATGATTACTTAGTTACAAATCAATCTGGCTTCTAAGGCTGCATACACACCCTACCCCCAAGAATCCTGGGAACTATAGTTTACTTATAGCGCTATAACTCCCAACACTCTTACAAAGTAGAGTTCCCAGGATTTTTTGTGGGAGGGTGTGTGTGCTTTAAATGTGTGCTGTGGATACATGTGCTGTCCCTTTGCACAATGATGATGTCAATGTGTTTTGCCAAAATTGTGATCGGGGGCCTGAGCCAGAGAGAAAGTCTCTTGCTGAAGCCCAATTCCTATGAAAGGGAGCTGGTCTCGGGCCCCTCCAAAGAGGTGATGCCGCTGTAATGTCACTGTTGCCTTTGTTGCCCTACAGGACTTGAAAGACGCCGTCCATGGAGCAGCCCTGCCAACAACAACAACGGCAAACAGTCCAAACAGCAGCGGCTAGGCAAGTTGTTATTTATCATCATCATCATCATTGTTTAATAAATTTATAAGTCACTTTTTCTTGCTAGGGCAACCCAAAGTGACTTACACAAAAACCCCAACCCCAACCCCAACCAACCAACGCTCCACATACATACTTTAAAGGGGGGGGCAGAAAGCATTAAGAAGTGTGCATTTTATGAAAGAAGTGTGCACAAAATGTGTACTCTCAGGCAGAATGGGGTAGAACAGAACTCTGACAGAATGCCAGCAAGGCTTAAACAAGATGGAATTGGCTGCTCAGCCCACCCTTAACTTCCCAACATTATTTGGCAGAAGCCATAGCAACAAAATTAGTTTTCATGTAGTGTGGATCTATATTTGCTCCTTTTCTCCCTCCTCCATGTTTTATCAGATTCTGCTGAAAGATATCGGCAGCTCATCACCACCTCGATGCTTCAGAGATACGGAATGATCAGAGCAGCAGAAGCAACTGAACCCAAAGCTCAGCCGTCGCCTTTCAGCCAAACCTTCGTCAACCTGGTGATTCGTCAGAGCAAAGGTGGTCGGATGAGGGAAAGGGGGGAGATAGCTCTGCACGATACAGAGGAGCACAGGAACACCACCCTGAGACTGTCTGAGCTTTTTGAAAGTGTCCACATGGGGACCACCAAGGTTGTCCTTCTTCTGGGAAAACCAGGGATGGGGAAGACAAGGCTTATGCACCAGATCTGCCAGCAGTGGGCAGAGGGAGGCCTCCCACAATTCCAGCTGATATTCTTCTTTGAGTTCCGACAGCTGAACCTGATCAGCAGAAAACTTTCTCTCCAAGAACTTCTCTTCGACTTCTTCCTCAGGCCAGAAGATTGTCCTGATGCTGTGTTTGAACACATCCTAGAAGACGCCCAGCGCACGCTGGTGATATTTGATGGGCTGGACGAGTTTGTGGAGAACGTCCAGCTCCCAGGTCCTCCTCACACTATCTTCCCAGATCCTCTCAACCCTCTCTCCATATCAGACCTTTTTGCAAGTCTTTGCCTTGGGAAATTCTTGCCAGGCTCGACCGTGCTGGTCACGACCCGTCCAAAGATAGTCCCGGATGCTTTATTGAAAACAGACACCCTCCTGGCAGAAATCTGGGGCTTTGACCGTGAAAAGGTGGAGGAATACGTTGGCTATTTCTTCCACCAGCATTCCCTCAAGGAGAAAGCCATCGCTCACCTGAAAAGCAATGGCAAACTCCTGAGCATGTGTTATATCCCCGCCTTGTGTAATATCGTCTGCATTTGCCTGGAGTATCTGCTCCTCCATGATGCAGGGAGAGTCCAGCTCCCTCAAACCATGACCCAGTTCTACATTGAGATGCTCCTCACCTTCATAGGCAAGGATCAGAAGCTGAGGGCTTTGAGCGAAGAAGTCGACTTGAGTCAACACGAAGCGACTCTTGCAGGCCTCTCTGAGTTGGCCTTCAAGGGCCTGGAAGGAAATAAGATGTTGTTTTATGCTGGCGAGGTCCCAGAAGACGTGAAGGATTTTGCTTGCCTGTATGGGCTCCTGGTGTCCTTTGAGGTAAAGACCAGCAATGGACACACACAGGCTGGCTACACTTTTGTGCACTTCAGCCTGCAAGAGTTCTTTGCGGCCCTCTTCCTGCTGACAAGCAAAGCAGTTGATGGCAACTTCCTGAAGCAAAACTTCTTCCTGAGGTCTAAGTGGACGATGAAGAGAGAAGCAAGGGTGCCCTTCACAGAGAACTGCCACATCTTCCTGTCTGGCCTCTCGTCTCGCGGGTGCCAGAAGTTCCTCAGCTCTTTAGCCGGGCAGTGCGATGCCCAGGTCCAGGAACGTCAAGCCATCATTGTGCAGATGCTGAAGAAACTGGGGGATGCTTCTCTCACAGGGCCTAGGATAGCTGAGCTGTGCCACTGTGTGCACGAGACACAGGACCAGGAACTGGCCCGGCATGTCGGGAAGCAGCTAAACTTCAGGTATCAGTTCAGAAACCTCCGGCTGATGCCGCTGGACATGGCTGCCCTGGCTTTTGTCATCAGCAGCAGCCACCCTCACTTGGTATGCCTGGACTTTGTGGGATGCCCCATGGAAGTGGACTATCTGGATGTCTTTGGCAGCTGTGAAAATATAAAGAGCCTGAGGTAAGAAGCACAGGCCACCTTGACACTTCAGGCTCAAAAGAGGTGAGGGATCTGGGCCTCTCCAAATGTTGCTGGGCTGCAGTTCCCAGCATCCCTGACCATTGGCCACATTGGCTGGGGCCGTTGGGAGTTGAAGTCCAACATCTGGAGGCCAACAGATTCTCCATCCTTGCACAGATGAATAGGTGCATACCAGTCCTTCTTCACCTCGCTTTTACTTTGTATACTGTCTTTCTATATTACTATACACATGGTGGTTTACAGCCTGAAGAAACAAAATAGACAGCAAAGATTTCTTTCCCACCCACCAACACGAGCTCCCAGAGTGAGTTATGTTTCAACAGTGTAAAAACGCAATGCTAAAAATCAGTTTAAAACAATTTAATAGGACAAAGTGTTCTTGCACTCATGTCCTGCTAGCAGGTTTCCCATTGGTGCATCTGGTCAGCCACTGTTTGAACAGGATGCTGGACAAGGTGGGCCTTTGGGCTGATCCAACAGGCTCTTCTTACGTTCTTATGGATACAACTCGTTAAGTCATTTGAAGCAAGTCATTAATATGGAGCAACCATGGGGAAAGATGCTAGCTGCCTGCTGCAAGAATCAGGTGCTGAGCTCCTTATCCAGCTAGGCTGGAAGGGAAGACTGGTTGCTATTTTACTAACCACAGTTGCCTTTTGCTTTTATTCTTAGCTTTAGGAGCAGGAGATGTGGGAATGAGTTTGCCGCTGTCCTGTCCAAGACCCTGCCGAAGATCAAATGCCTGACAACTTTCCAGTAAGCATTGCCCCAATGTCACATGCCCTGTTTTGAATATTTTAGTGCAGTTTTTAATTCAAACCACCAGCTACATTTTGAGCAATAGCATCCCCAATGTAGAAGTGAAACTTCAGTGGCCCTCCATAAGCTTTAGATTGGCTCATCCAACATGTGTTGTTTCAGCAACAGCCAGCTCTAGACTGAGCTTTATATAGGAGTGACAGCTTCCTTTCAGTTGCCAGCTCCGCCTTTGGTGGGAGGAGCCTCTCCATTTTAAAGAGCCCCAGCCTGCATAAGCCAGCATAGACTCTAAAAATGGTTGCTCCTCAAGGAACCTTCATATTAGCTAATTGTAAATGAGAGGGGGTGGCTATTTCTGATCTTTTCCTATGCTCCTTCCCCACCGAAGAGCTATTATTATTATTATTATTATTAAATTATTGTTTATTAAATTTATATCCTGACATTCCTCTCAGAGGAGCCCAGGGTAGCGAACTTGAAAATGTTTAAGCAGCACAATGAAAACAGCACTTTTTTCTTTAACTGTTAAAAAAACCATATAAAAATATTTTGAAGGATGATGAAGTTTTCAGACTAGGACCTATGAGACCTGGGTTCAAATCCCCACTGAGCCATGAAGCTCACTGGGTGACAGACGCCAATTTGTGAGGGAGATGGGGGGGTGATATTGCCACCGACTGGGGGCTGCTTCTCCCCCCTTCCCCTTTATGGTAGGAAGAGAAGGAGGCACTAGTCATTGAAACCACACTGTTGCTGCATTCCTGACTCCTCTCATTTGACATGACATTTTTAACATTGGGGGGGCTGTCCCCTTCAAACAAATAAGGGAGGCAAAAGGGTGCAGCCCCCAGGAGTTGGCACCTCTGCTGTTTGACCTTGCGAGCCAGTAACAGGCTCTCAGTGGGACCTACCTCACAAAGTTGTTGTGGGGATTAAACGATGAGGGAGAGGAGAACCGTGTAGGCCACCTTAAGTTCCTTGGCCAGGGTGGGTGGGGGAAGGTGAAAGACAAATGCAGTAAATAAATAAATACATTTAAATGGACTCATGCACCCTCACAGTTGTTAATTTCTGGGTTGCCACAGCCAATTCCTATCAGCCGTCAAATGTCTGGGTAAACAGGAATGTTTCTAAATTTCTCATGAAAGTCAGAGTGAGGGAGATTGATGCACCTCACTAGCGAGAGTACTCCATAAATGGGGAATCACCACTGAAAAGGCCTTGTCATGGGTCAATGCCAACTGGGCAGTACCTGGGTGGGACCACCAATGACAGGACCTCCCCTTCCAATAATGGGGCCTGAGGGGGTTGATACTGGGGGAGGCGCTCTGTTAGGTATCTCTCAAACTGTTTGTTGACATTACTATAGTGATGTCACCTTTGGTTTTTCAGGTTAGCCGGTGGAAATATTTCAACCCCAGGACTTGAAGATCTGATGCGAGCTTTTCCAAACTGCCATCAGCTGGAAGACATAAAGTAATTTCACCTGTTTTGTCAAGGAGAAAGGTGGCCTGGTGGCCTGTTTTATTAATCAGATGAACATTTGGGAGGCATATTAACCAGTTGCTGCATTTTAGCTTGCAGGACAACAGACTGAAGAGGCAGGAAATGATCAAAACTACAGAAATATTTTCCACTGTGGATAAGCTCAAAAAGCTTGAGTAAGTACATAATAAAAAAAGGAAAGGGGAAAAATGATTCTAAAAAGGAAGTTTCAAGTAATAGTAATACTGATAACAGATTAGATCAACAGAACTAGAAAACAAGTAGACCTCATAAAATTACATGTCTGGCTGCGCATCCCAACCAGTACAGTGAAGACACCTGCCATATGTCAATAGGCAGGGAGTTCCAGAGCACAGGAGCTGCCAGTCTAAAAGACTGATGCTGTAAGAGGCTTAGTGGATGTGAAAAATCATCACACCCATTGCAGACCATCTGGGTTTTAATCTCTGTGGCGGGGATGGGGGGAGGGAGGAAGAGTAGGAAACCTGTAAAGGTAAAGGGACCCCTGACCATTAGGTCCAGTTGCAGCCGACTCTGGGGTTGCGGCGCTCATCTCGCTTTATTGGCTGAGGGAGCCGGCGTACAGCTTCTGGGTCATGTGGCCGGCATGACTAAGTCGCTTCTGGCGAACTAGAGCAGCGCACGGAAACGCCGTTTACCTTCCTGCCAGAGTGGTACCTATTTATCTACTTGCACTTTGACGTGCTTTCGAACTGCTAGGTTGGCAGGAGCAGGGGATTCGAACCGCCGACCTTCTGATCGGCAAGTCCTAGGCTCTGTGGTTTAACCCACAGTGCCACCCACATCCCTTCAGGAAACCTGTATGCCTGCATAAAAGACCTTGCTGAGGCATAGCAACAGCAACATTTTTTCCCCTCTCAAACAGCTTAAGCTATAACAAGCTTTCGGTGAGCACCGTCCTCGCTTTTTCCAGAGCTGCTGCCGTTTGTCCAAATGTGACCAAGCTCCATATCAGGTACTGGCTGCCAAGCGCTACAGAAGAGATTTTTCTCATTTCCACCTTTTCAGTTGCTCCTTTTCACTTCTGCAACATTGAAGCTAATCTGTTAATACTCTGCTGTAATCTGTAGAATCTATGACTAAGAAGTGAATAATCTGGGCCCGTTTCAGTCTGGCTTCAGGCCCAGTTTTGACCCCCAAGAGACTTAGCTGACTTGGTTGATGGACTTTATTGGGAGAGAGAAGGGAGAGTGTGACCCTCCTGTTTTCCCTTAGTCTCTCAGCAATTTTGGACACCACTGATTAGGGTATTCTCCTGGAGCAGTATAGTGGGTTGCGGGAACGAGGGACATAGTGAAATGGTGATTCCATTCCTACCTAACACATGAACCAACTTCTGAGAAGAGAATGTATAATTCAAATATATTGGCAATATTTTTCAGCATGTAGCATTTAAAATGCTAACTGGTTTCCACCTCATGAAAGCATTGGGGAGTATAAACCATCATATTACTTTCCATTTTTTCCTGCTCTCGCCTCCTTCCACATGCCACCCAAATCTGCTCCTCAGCAGGAATGGTGGAAGACTAATTCAGATTGCATTTCACAGAATCATAAAATCTTAGAGTTGGAAGGGACCCCAAGGGTCATCTAGTCCAACACCCTGCAATGCAGGAATTTCTAAAGCATCCATGACAGATGGCCGTCCAACCTCTGTTTAAAAAACTCCAAGGAAGGAGAGTCCACCACCTCTTCCACTGCTGAACAGCTCTTGCTGTCAAAGAGTTTTTTTCCAAATGTTTAATCGGAATCTCCTTTCTTGCAACTTGAAGCTATTGGTTCTAGTCCTACCCTCCAGAGCAGGAGAAAACAAGCATTCTCCCTCCTCCATGTGACAGCCCTTCAGATATTTGAAAATGGCTATCATATCTCCTCTCGGTCTCCTCTTTTCCAGGCTAAACATACCCAACTCCTTCAAGCGCTCCTCATAAGGCAGTGGTTCTCAACCTGTGGTTCCCCAGATGTTGTTGGACTACAACTCCCATCATCCCTAGCTAGCAAGTCCAGAGCTCAGGGATGATGGGAGTTGCAGTCCAACAACATCTGGGGACCCACAGGTTGAGAACCGCAGGTTGATGACCTTTGGTCATCTTGGTTGCCCTCCTCTGCACATGTTCCAGCTTTCAACATCCTTCTTATATTGTGGTGCTCTGAATTGGACACAGTATTCCAAGTGTGGTCTGACTAGGCAGAACAGAGTGGTACTATTACTTCTATTGATCTGGACACTGTACTTCTGTTGATGCAGCCTAGAGTAGCATTCTGTTTTGCACTTTTCAAAACATTATGAGGACTGAAAAACAGCCATCCTTCAAAATTCACATTTCTCCAAATTTTCCAAAACAGTTCTGCAGCCAACTAAATCTGTACAAAAATGTAGATGGTAAAATATGCATAAAAATGTATATATTACTGGGAAAAATTTAGGTTTGTGAGAACTAATTTATATGCATTCTAAAGCAGACGGAAAATATAAATATTAGGGGAAATGTGCTTTGTAAAAATGGTCATATTAGGAGAAACTCCCACTAAAACACTGATGACTTTTCATGAGGTCTTTGCAGTCAGTTACAGCAGTAAAAATGAGAAACTGTGAGGAACTGAAATTGACAGAATCACCCACTGCTACTCCTGAGAGTTAGAAGCTCCTCCAGAATGACAACTGATTTGGCACAGGGGCTATATTTTCAGGGGATGGAGAGGGGGAGGGAGTTGATGAAAGCAAAGATTGCAGTCAAAACTTGCACAGTCCAGAGCTGTGTTCTATTGGGGAAGGATGCTGTAGGAGAGCTTGAGTCACTGGCAGAGAAACTGCACATTTTGGCATTGTGGTCAACTCAGTATAAACAAGGGATGGAAGGCTCTGTCTATTTCAGTTTTCCTGGCTTCTCATTTTTTCAGCTTTAAATTCAGCTCTCCACATTTTGGAGCAGTTGGTTGTTTTTTAAAGTCCTCATGAAAATTCATCAGCGTTTTATTGTGAAATTACCTTAACAAGGACGTTTTCTTATGCAGTCTTGACTAATGTGCACATTTTTGTAAGCTAGCTGTCAACTTTTCCCTTTTCTTGCGAGGAATCCTATTCAGAATAAGGGAAATTTCCCTTAAAAAAGAAAACGTTGACAGCTATTTCTCCAAATATATTGTTGTATGTTATTTTCAGTCATATCTTCAATTTTATTCACACTTTCTCCTAACATATGCATTTTTGTAAACATTGTTTGGCCTCAGAGCTGCATCACAAAATTCAGATAAGTGCAAATTTTGAAGGATGGGTCCATTTCGGTTTGCATATTTTCCCCCAGAAATTCTGAATTTGATAGTTTGGCTTTGAATTGATTTTCTCCTCCAACCCTATAATAACGTTGCTGCTTTCATCTATTTTATTTGAGGGAGTTTCAAGCATTAATTTTCCATTTATTCACTATTTGTTTACAGGAAGGATGTTTTGATAGTCTCCTTCACCGGCCAATCCAGTAAAAGTCAGAGGTGAGAGAAGTGGCTTTTCAGGTGTTTCCAGAACATTCTGAATCATGCAGTGGAATTGGTTTTAGGGAAAGTTTGACTGGAATGAACATTGCAAAGGTACAAATGAAGAGGAGACAAGAACTGCTGTGTGGGTTGCTCTGGAGACTGGAACAAGGTGGGGTGGGATCAGTGGCAGGAATCTCAGAAGAAGGAAGAAGAGAAAGTACTGAAACCTGGGTGAAAGAAGTTGCAAACGACCCAGAAAGGTCCAAATGACATTAAATATGCCTTTGCAGAAAGTTCTGGTTTTTTTGCAATGCAAATCGCATCACGGGTGGGAGGGGGGCAACTAATGGTGATCAGAGCAGATGTGGGGCACAGGGAAACTGAAGAACATAAAAAGAGACATGCATTGAATTTAACCCAGGCTTCCTCAACCTTGGCCCTCCAGATGTTTTGAGACTACAATTCCCATCATCCCTGACTGCTGGTCCTGCTAGCTAGGGATCATGGGAGTTGTAGACCAAAAACATCTGAAGGGCCGAGCTTGAGGAAGCCTGATTTTACCCTTCCTTCTCCTGCTGTGGTCCTCAGGAAAAATATTTCCTCTGATGATGGTATTTGCTTGGGGATGGGGGTGGGGCGTGAGTAACCAATTGATACCACTGGGGGCGGGATTTCCAGCAGTGCAGCTCACCTCATTCAAGATGGCAGATAAGAGAAGTCCACCTTTCATCAATCACCACCATTGTTGTTTTGACATTCTGGTGCATGAAAGACCAGGAAAAGAAATTTATAAATGTGTTTTCGATTTCAGGTTGAAAGAAGAGGGAATAAAAGAAGAGAGAGATGTGCCTAAGCCTAGTACTTTAATATTACGGTAAGTAAGTAAATAAATAACTATAATAGCAAAATAAAACAACAACCCTCCACCCCAGTTTAAAAAGCCATAGATTGCTTAATTAGCTGAAGGCTTGGGAGAAGAGGAAAGTTTTTGCCTGGCACCTACAGATATGTAACGAAGGGGCCTGGGGAGAGCATTCCAACAAGTGGGAAGCCACCACAGAAAAGGCTTATTTTCATGTTGCTGCCCTTTGGACCTCTCATGGAGGAGGCACACGAAGAAAGGCTTCAGATGATGACTGCAAGGTCTCATTCATTTCATATGGGGAGAAGTGGTCTTCAGATGCAGTCCCTACAACTCCCATCAGCCAATGTGAGTTAGGAGTTCAGCAATGTCTGAAGGGCCAAAGGTACCCCATACCCATCTTAATGGATGTCTTATATCCATATATACAGATTGCAGGATTGCCAGTTCGATTCCCAGTGGGTAGAGGAGCTGGCTGAGGTTCTCCAGAGGTGTTCCCACCTTTCTGAAATTGAGTAAGTTCCCTCTTCCTCCCAACTGCCTGCTAACTGAGTGAGACCTTTGGATCAACCATGTTATTAAACTGTGAAAAACAAATGTCAGTTTGTCAGGTAACCGTCTTGGTGACGAAGGATGCAGGAAGCTGATGAAGATGGTGCCCAGAATGTGCATTTCTGGCCCTCTGAAGTAAGTGTTTCCTGAGAGTTTGCTTGCACCAGGTTGGGAAAGGTTGCCTTCGGCATACAAAGTGTGTGTCCTGTGAGAAATGTTGAATGTAGCAAACGGCCTTAAAGCAGGTAAGATTGTTTGCCTCTAACCCTTCAAGTAGGCTGGGTCTCTTGTGTCTGCTTGCACTAAGAATGCCATCTCTGTGTCCTTGGTGAGGGAAGTGACATGACTGGCCCATTGTCTGGTCTACCACCTGGTACCCCCCCCCCCCCGAGAAAGAGAGGATTCCTCATATCTGCTCAGAGAAGTGCTGGAGACGCAAAGAGGTGGAGGGAACGTTCTTTCATATGTGGTGGACTTGTAAAAGGGTAAAAGAGTATTGGGAAATGATCTATAATGAATTGAAAAAAATGTTTAAAATTACTTTTCCAAAAAATACCAGAGTCCTTTCTGTTGGGGATAATTCAGACTGAAATTCCAAGGTGTCAAAAAAGGTTACTTATGCATGCTATTTTTGTGGCCCATGCTTTGTTAGCCCAGAAATGGAAAACAAGTGAGGTCCCAACCAAAGAAGAATGGCAACATAAGTTGACAGAATGTGCGCAACTTGCAGACTTAACTTACAGAATAAGAGAACAAGAAGAACATGCGTTTAGAGAAGATTGGAAAATGTTTATTGAATATATGGGATATAATTGTGTACAGCTGAAAATTCTGGCAGCATTAAGATAAATTCAACAGTGTCAATAAGTTTTGATGGATGCAATAATGGAATACTGAATGGTATAGTTTTTGTAAAATATGCAGGGATTTATTATATGTAAAATGAACCATGGAAAGAGAGGAAGGGAAGTCCTTGGTATTTTAAGGATGTAAAAATGAGTATTTTAAATTGTAAAACAGAAAATTTAATAAAAATTATATATGAGAGAGAGAGAGAGGATTCCTTTGACAGTCCACTCAGTGCCTCCTCTGGCCCCTCCCTGGAATCCAATTCCTCCAGTTCCAGATTCTTATCCCAATCCTGCTCCCCCTCTAACCAGCCCTGCTAAAATGTTTTCACAGGACTCACCACAACTGAGACCTGCATTCAAAGCATGTGCTCTGCCTCTAAGCTATGGAGACTCCCTGGAGCAGAGGAAGCTGCATTGTATTGGCTCAAACCATTGGTCTGTCTTCCACTCCAATTGAGAGAAACTTTCCAGGGTCACCGGGTCCTTTAAAAAGGAAGCAGCAGCAGCTCTGCTGCATGCAGTTATTTTAAAGTAGAAATTAAAGAGATTTAATCTAAGAACATATAGCATATTCTACCTTTATGTTATTAAAACCTCCAGTAATGTATTTATTGCTGCAGGACTTTGCTGAAGCTAATGTGTTTGGTTTTTTGTTTTGGTTTGTTTTTTTGGTGATTTTATTTCCTGCAGTTTAAACAACAACCAGCTGTCTCTGAACAGCATCTTCTGTCTCCTGGAGTCAATGAGTCTTTGTCCAAATATAGTGAAGCTTAACGCCAGGTAAGCATACATTCGATCAAGAAAAGGTTCCCATCTCTTATTGACAACACAATCTCTCTCCCTCTTCCCTGCACCAAGTCACTGTGATATTCCATGGCATGTAGAAGGAACTTTTAGGAGGCAGGGTGTAACAGCTCTCTTCATTTCTCTCTTTTCCACTACATGATATGTAAAATTCTGCCAGCCTGGGTCTGTCCATTTAAAGATCAGGCCCACACACTGAGTGTACTTTTGCCTGGAAGGAAAGTGCCCTTCTCCTTAAACAGATAGTCGCCTTTAACCTTGCATAAACCACTACATCACACTGGCTCTCCTACTGGCTAGTTGACTGCTGGGGTGGAGAGATCTTTAGGGAGATGGGGAATTACCTAACAGTCTTGCCAAGACCAGGGATTCTTGGTTTGCTTAAGAAGAAAACACAGGGAATGCTTGAAGGGGGGGGCAGAGTTTGTGTTTGGCCCCTCACCTTCCACCAACATCCACTGGCCATACCCTCTGCTCATTCTGAACGATATTGGGACATTTCCACATGGTTGAAATTAGGGCTGTCATTCAGTTTAAAGCAATCCTGATTGATTTTATCCATTTTACTTACTTGATATATTATAGTGCAGTCATTACCATGTCTCCTCAGAAGTAACTCTCATGGAATTTGGTGGGGTTAAACTTCCAGATGAGTTACGTTAGGACTGCAACATTAATTAATCCTAGAATCATATGTCACCATAAAAGCATGGGACTTGCCCTTGTTGAAGGGAACAGGGGCAGCAGCAGGCATGATCCCAAACTATATTCCATGCAGACGTCCCACTCTGATCCAAACTTTGCCCAGGGCTAGGAAAGGAAACAGCAGCTCTGGTTTTACAGTCTTTTCAGGCTCCTGTTCAGCAAGCAGATTTTGGGTTTGTGGACAATTAAACCAGGTGTAGCATTATGGAAATCTCTCTCTCTCTCCTACCTTTAGTGTTCATCACCAAGCTGCAATCTTAACCCTCGTTGGCAAAGACATTGCTGGCGGCGCTCAGCCCAGGTACGTCATCATAAACCTTGCTTGTAGCTTTTCTAGAGTGAGAAGGATCACAAGCCCAAGTTCAGGTAGTCCAGTAAGCCAAGCCAAGGCTTTGCACAGAGCAAAGCAGGAAAAGGTCTGGAGGAAGGGCAAAGCCTTGATTATCTCTTCTCTTGCTCTCTCATTTGCAATAAACCAAGGTTTGGCTTAGCCACACTTGCAAACTTGGTCAGTTGTGCATGTTCATATTGCTACTGCTAAACAGTTATGTCCCATCACAAACCTATATATTTCCTTCCTTCCCCTTCCCTATCCCCCTTTAGTAATGCTTTCCCATTTTGTCCTTGCTGCAGGAGTTCCTCATTTAACACTGACCTGTCAAGCACAGGTGGACATCTCTTGGCGGCAACAGCGAGGAAAATATGGTACGGTGACCTCAGTTACTTCTGCTTACAGTTTTTTTCTCTTAGTCGTATAATGGCTCACTGCATGTTAACATGGTTGCAAGGCAGGCTCTGGGGGTCTTATATCAGGGACACTGGCAGAGGGATCCAGAAGCCTTTTTCCTCTGCCTCAGCATGGTAGCTTTTCCTGACTTCAGCACCACCACTGAGGATGGCCAGAAGGTGGTTTTGCAGTTCTCAGTTCAGTAGAGGCCAGGTGGTGCAAAGGGCCATGGTGGTTTTACCTGGCCTCTTGGCTGTGATCCAACTCCTCGGTAATTCAGGCACAGAACACCTGAGACTGCCCATCTCTGCCTGCTGGTCTGTTGGTAGGGATGGAGAGATCAGGTTATTTCTGGGTCCATGTCCATATTGCATGTGTTCACTCGTAGGTCTGTTTCATTTCTGCATTAATGTGCATTTTTAAAAAAATCAATATTAAAGTCCACGTTTCTTTTCTTTATTTCTTTTATTTAAATAATTTCAGTGCCACTTTACCTCTCCAAATAATTTTAAAGTTGTTTACAGCCTGTCTTAATACATCAGAACATCTGTGGGATTCTGTCCCCAGGCCTAGAGCCAACTTTGAACATTATTCAGCATTTTAGTGTGAAATTCTCCCAATGAGCATATTTTTGTGTATGGTTTTGACTTATGCACACATTTTTCCAAGCAGTTTCTCTTAATGTAATGCATTTCGTATGTTGCTTTTCACTAACTTATTTGTTTCTATGCACCCTTTCCTCCTAATACCTGCATTTTTGTAAACACTGGTCGGTTGGAGAGCTGCATTGCAAATTTTGGATAATTGTGAATTTGGAAAGAAGGCTGTGTTTTGGTCTTTGTAGAGATTTGGAAAGTGTGAATTTGATAGGTTTGGCTTTAAATGGAATCATTTTTCACCCACATCCCTAAGCAGGGCCAGTAGTTAAGGTGTGATGGGAGCTGATCTCTAACAACCTGTGGAGGGAAACCAAGTTAGGCTGGGAATGTCCCCTGCCTGAAATCCTGGAGAGCAGCTGCTGGTCAGTGTCAACAATACTAAGCTGGAGGACCAAACACTCTGACTCTGAGTCTAGAGCTGCTTCCTGTGTCCCTGGTGAAAACACACCTGGTTTTAGAGCACCTGGAGAATGATTTGCCTTCTCTTCCAGCTTGACGGACAATAATTTTCAGGGTGGAGATCTGAAGAACTTGTGCTTGGCCTTGAGGAGGTGCACTGGTGTAACTGAGTTAGAGTAAGTTCCTTTTTTATTTTCATACTTATGCCTTGCACTGAATAACCAGGCTTTGGTGAACGTTGACATTCACACGCCAACACAAACAATTCCATGTAAATGTCATGAATGTCTGAAAAGGGTGTACAGGCATCCTACTTTTTGGGTTCATTGATGTTCCCCTTGCTGTGTATCATTCCGTCTTCCATGAGGAAGAATGGAAATGAAAATAAATTGTACCTAATATAATTAATTCCGCCAGAAAAGCCATATCATAATGTATAAATACAAAGTGGAAATGTAATTTTGCCTTCCTTTCAATTGTAGCTTGTCCAGTAATTCTCTGGGCGACACAGGTGTCTTGAAGGTGGCTGAGCTCCTTCCTCATCTGAACGCATTACGTTCTTTAACGTAAGTAAAAGTCCAGGTTCTCTGTATTTAATTGACTGACAGGAGACAAACTGATGCAAGAGGAAAAGGGCCTTTTTGGTGGCTGCCCCCAAACTGTGGAACTCCTTGATCTGATTTATTAGATTCATATATTGCTTTATACTAAAAGAAGTCTGATATCAATTTCCAATGTTTATAAGATTATAAAAATACTAAATAGTAACAACTTATAAAACAACACACAACTTCAGTACAATAACACTTGTAAAAGGACATTCAGTCAAGTCTAGATTGAGTAACTGTAACCATTCAATCAAAGTTGCCCATATCTCTGGGATAATAAAGCCATTATTACCTGGTGCTGAAATTATAGTCCAGCTGGTGCCAAGGGTGTATTCCTGGGGCGAGCGTCCCACAGATGGGGAGAGCTTTTGTGGAGGAGTCCTCAGGAAGCTCAGCTGGCCCTCATTCTTGCTATTTTTCAGCAGATGGTGAAGACTTTAAAAAAATCCTGGTAGGCTTTTGTTCTGAGTACATAATGTTACTATCTCATGATTCTGTCTCATCTGCTGGGCCTGTCTGTTTTCTTTGACATTTTATATTTGATGGAGTGTATTATATTACTGTATTAAGGTTACTGACATAATGGTTGGTGGAGGCAGTGTGTGCCCATAGAACTCCCTGCACATAGAAACGAAGCATTTCAAGGGGAGAAGGCAAGACTGTGAGCCTTCTCTCTGAACTGCTACTTTTCTCCCTGTGGGGTATGGAGGACCTTTCAGTCGTGAGCAACCCAAACGTCCATGTTGAAGTGGGATGGCCCAAATTATTGCAACCTCAGTGAGAATCAGGACTCCAGGGGTACTTGCAGGATTTTCATAAGGATGGCAATGGGAACTCTCCTACCATTAGGTGATATCCCAGGTTTGCCACAGTCTGAATAGCTCTAGAGCGCTGAGTACGATTAATTGGACATCACTTGTTGTGAATTGCAGGCATAGGGGGATTTTGATTGGGGTTGTAGCCGGGGCAAAGTTAGTTAGTTAGTTTCTTGCATTTATATCTCACCTTTTTCTCCATGAAGCTCAAGGTGGCTTACATGTTGCATTTATACTCACAACAGCCTTATTGGGGAAAGCAAGAGCTTATCAAATAAATCCCCACCTTTATCCAAGCTACAGCTTATGTAACAAAACCAACAGCACCCTGCTTTAACAATCCCAAGAAAACGAGAAACCGTAGCTCATTTTGGAAATGCATCCCTTAGAACAACCTTTCTTAACCTTTAATGGGTCCCCAGATGTTTTTGGACTATGACTCCCATCATCCCTGCCGGTCTTAATGGGCACATGCCACCACCAAATGAATCTCCATCCACTAACAGGAGTGCTTTTGTGGAGACTCAGTTAGCCTGGACCCAGGGGCCTTGTAACAACATTTGGGGGTCGCAGAGTGACCTCCAAGGTCTCCCCACACAGTACTACCAACCTCTGATCTGAGCACTTTATATAGCAGTTTTCTTCTGCTGCAGACTTGGGTCTCCTTCATGCTTTCTAGGCTGGATCATAACAATATGTCTATGGACGGGGCCTTTCGCTTGGTGCAATGCTTCGCTGACTTGGAACATATGACGTCCATGGTGCTATGGTAGGTCCAGCAGCTGTTTCTCCTGCCAGAGCAGTCTGAAAAATAATAACATTCCTGCATTTGGTCACAGTTTTGCTCATTTGACCCTCCTTTTTTTAAAAAAAGAATATTTTTATTAAATTTGTAGTAAAAAATACAAATGCAGATAAGCAGAACAAGCAAGAACCATAAGCAATAACAACCACAGCAATTGTAGGACTACCCCTCCCCTTGGTACCTGTTTTTCCTTCATATCTTCTCAAGAGCTTATGAAATCTCTCCAGTAACATTAAAACATTTATATATCATTTTAGGAAAAGGCACTATCGGATATACCTAATTGTTGACTAAAATAAAAAATGACTATATCTGTGGTACAAAACAGTAAAATTGAATCCCTCTTTAAAAAAGAAGACTACAATATAGGGGTTCCTAGGGAAATATTGTTTGCAAAGATATTGGGGGAAAGGTAACTTATTAAAAACAACAGCAACTGTATATCTAATTTACCAAGGTATTCTAACGCATGTGGTTAAAACAGATTCAATCAAATTCATGAATTCCAAATTGATATTCTAATCTCTTTCTCATTGCAGTTTGGGAAGCACCCAGAAAGTTCACTTAACATTTGGGGAAAGAATAAGGTAAAGGTATTTCCTGTTGGTATACTTTGGGGTGGAAGACCATTGACCAGTGTGGTGCCGCAGGATTCTGTCCTGGGCCTAACGCTGTCCACCATCTTTATAAATAACCTGGATGAAGGAAGGAATAGAGGGGCTGCTCATCACATTTGCAGATGACTCCAAACTGGGAAGGTTAGCTAACACCATAGAAGATGGAATAAGGATTCAAGATGACCTTAACAGATTGGAGAACTGGGGCAAAACTAACAAAATGAATTTCAGTTGGGACAAATGAAAGGTTCTGCACTTAGGCAGGAATAATCAGGTATACAAATATAGGATTGGGGGGGGGGGCACATGGCTTGGCAGCTATACCTGTGAAAATGATCCAAAGGACTAAGCAGACTACGAACTTAATGTGAGTCTACAGTGTGATGCAGCAGCAAAAAAAGCTAATGGTATTCTAGGCTGCATCAATGAAAGCATAGTGTCCTGATCAAGGGAAGTGATAGCACTGCTCTATTTTGCTTTGGCCAGACCCCACTTGGAGTCCTGCATTCAGTTCTGGGCACCACAATTTAAGAAGGATATTGACAAGCTGGAACATGGGCAGAGGAAGATGACCAAGATGATAAAGTGTCTATAAACCAAGCCTTATGAGGAAAAGTTGAGGAAGCTGGGCATGGTGTGTAGCCTGGTGATATGGGAGTTATTTTTCAAATATCTGAAGGGCTGTCACATGGAAGATGGAGCAAGCTTGTTTTGTGCTCCCCCAGAGAGTAGGACCCCACCAAATTAATTCAAACTACAAGGAATGAGATTCCTAATCAACATTAGGAAGAACTTTCTGCGGGTAGATTATATTCTACAAAAAACAGTGATTGAAAATGGAGCGATGGAGAAGAATGAAGGATTCATAATGCACTGGTTTTTCACTCCAGAAAAAAAGGACCAGGGCGCTCAGATTTCCAGTCTTCCCCAGGGTAGAAATCCAAGTGAAGAAAATATTGGACGCATAATCTAAATGTCCCTTCAAGTTGACTAACTTGGTAGATTTTCTTTTCAGTCCCCAAATGCTCCATGTGACTGGTGAGCATAGGAGGGAGCTGCTGGATTCAGTACCTAACTCAATCTATGACCGTTGCTTTTGGTAAGGTGCTTCTCTCTGTGTGTGTCTGTGTGTCTCTCTCTCCCTGCCCCTGTGTTAGGAGTAAAGCAGCAATGTAGTGTCTGCTTGATGGTAAAGTGGATTACTTCTATTGCATGCCATGTTTGAGAGGTGAGATACTCCAGGGGATCCGAGTGCTTACCCTGGCTTCTGTTTCCTTGGAATGAAGTATTTTTAGGATATAGGGCTTTATTTACATATATACACAACCTGAGCATTGGATGGAGGGGCTCAAGGGTGCAAATGAGCATCCTTGCAAGGCAGCAGATCAGATCCCCAGAGATCCCTTCTGCAGCAATCAGCATTTAGCCAGCTGCCTCCCCTTCTTCCTTCTCTATTGCAAAACTGTTAACATGGTGCACATTAGCAGTAAAGGTGCCACCTCCCCCAAGCTCTACTGGATATCTCATTTGGAAACACAGGGGGAGTCCCAGCTACAAGAAGACCATCTCATAACCACTGGTTCTCATTGGTTCCCACTGGACTACTTGCCAGGAACCTGGCAAAGGAGTAGTCAGCTAGCGGCCATAACAGGATCTCCCAAATGTTCTTTTATACTTTCAAAAATATTGATATTTGTGTTCTGCTTTTTTCAAGAACAAATGCTGAGCTCAAAGTGCCTCACAATAATCACAGTAGCATTTAAAAACAACAACACAACACTGCAATTACTGTAATATCATTTAGATGCAGTAGCATCTAAATAAAGCAAACAAACAATATTCCTTTTCTTCCATTGTTGGAATCCTTCACAGACTTACAGAAAATACCTTTTTGTGTTTTTAACAAAAATAAAAAATCATGCTTGGACTTCAGAAGTTAGCCTGGATCTTAGTGAAAATGATATTGTTTCAGCATTTTTTTTTTATTTTTACTTTATTATAAGTATTTTATATTGCTTCAACATTTTGTTACTACTACTAATAACAACAACAATAATTATTAATTTGTTTCAACATTCCCCCCCACAAAATATAATTACATTTTACTGATGTTATAGGTTCCTGAATAAAGGACATGCACAATCCCTCAGTTTAACTCATCTCTTTCTCCAATAGACCCATCAAATAGAACTAAAGCTGTGCTAAACTTTGATTTAAATATTCGAAGTGCTAATCAGGCTCTGTGTTTCAGTCTCAAGGAAAGTATGATGGACCTAAAGGATGTTGACCGATTGTTTAAACGTCTAAGTACATGTTCTGGACTGACCAAGATCAAGTAAGTGATCAAGGTCAAGTAGGCATTGTGTGAATGAACCAATCTTATTCATTTAAAGCCTATAGACCTGCTCAGTTTATGTAGCCAGATTAATACAATAAGAACACAAAACTAAATTCCTATTGGTATCCAGTGTTTTAATGCATAATCCTCCCATAATGCAATTTGGGAATAGGCTGCTCTTTGGTAGGAAAAAATAATGCAAGTGAATATAGAATGAGCCTGCCTAAGTCCTCAGATTTCCTGGAGAGGTCCTTCTCGCAGCTCTGTCAATTCTAAGGCTCATTTGGGAGGGACATGAGGCAGGGCCTTCACAAAGGCTGCACCCAAAGTTTTGAATTCCCTCCCTAGGGAATTCCCTCCCCACCTAGCCCCTTTTATGAAGCTATTGGGCATGGCTTTCCCCTATCATACTTGTTCATAGTAGACTTCCTTCTTCCAACAAGTTTGTAGAACATGTGGCGTAGTGGTTAGAGTGTTGGCATAGGACCTGGGAGACCAGGGCTCAAGTCTCTACTCAGCCCATGTAGCTGACTGAGTGACATTTGGTCAGTTGTAGTCTCTCAGCCTGGTATACCTCACATGGTTGTTGTGAGGATCAAATGGAGAAGGGGAAAACCATGTACTCCACAATGCGTTATGCAAAGGAAAGGTGGATATAAATGTTTTGGTAATAATAATGTTTTGAATTTTCCACCCTGGCTGTGTAGCTTGTCTGGCAACTCGCTGAATGATCAAAGTGTTGAACGACTTCTGAAATTCCTGCCCTACTTCAACAGTGTGGAGCTCTTAAGGTGAGTCTGGGAGCCTCTGCTGGAGAACTGCTACCAGTCAGAGTGGACATTGTCGGGCTAGGTGGCCCAGCAGTCTCACTCAGCCCAAGGAAGCTTCACGTGCCAGATCCCCAGGGGTGACCCAAATATGATTATTTCTGTTTCCCCCTCTCACAGTCCAAGGCTGCCAGAGGCAAATAAACCCACAAACATCTTTCCTATTCCTTGGCAATAAAAATAAAATCGGTAATAATAAAAATACATGAGAAGATTCACAATTCATTGCTCTTTCATGACACGCAAATGCAGCTTGCTTCTGAGGAGGCCACTGCACTTTGTCAAATGATAGGGCCGGCCCTTCTGTCTTTTAAGATGGTGGGTTAGGGGAAGGATGTTAGGTAAATATCATGAGGACCTGTGCCTTGGAATGAGGGGTGGGGGAGAATTGGGGCAATGAGAAACTGAGGGAAACTGAAGTTGACAGATTCACCCATCCCTACTTGGTTGGGACTGATGGGAATTGTGGTCCAATTGTAGTCCACTTGGAGGACACCACATTGGTCAAGATTGCCCAGGTTTGCTACATTATATTCTCAATACTGGGAAACACTTAAGTATGGGCTGATTCACTCAAACCATTTTTACATGGAATTTTCCGTGGTCAACCCTAACATGTTGACCCCCTTTTTTGGTACACTGTCTCGTTCAGTGAGTGTTCAGTTCTTTGAGAGAGAATCACTGCAACTCAGCCAACATTTGAAAAATGCTTCTTGAAGATGTTGAGATGCCACCTTGGTGTGTCTTCCTGACACACTCACAAAACACACCAAGAAGTAAATATGTTTTTAATTTGAATTTGGTATCATGCATGCTTTCAGAATTATAAGTCACTTTGAGACCTATTTGTAGTAAGTAATAAATAAATGTAACAAATAGTAATAGAAATAATGAATTACTGACCTTGCTGATTAACTGCCATATTTGCAATGGCTCCATATGCACAGTTGATCTATTGACAGTTGGGATCCACAGACTGATTTTCAACTCAGCATTTGGACATTTCTGCTTCTTCCCACCTCTCTCCTACAGCATCACAGAGAGCAAGTTTTCATCACATTGTGTTTGCTTGCTGGCCAACTCAGTTAACCAGTGTAAGAGAATCTGCAGAGTGGAAGTCAGGTAGGTCAAGAATCCAGGAATATCAGGACATGGAGAACTTCTGACCTCCTCTCCCCTTCCAACTTGATCTCCAAGAGTCAAAAGAACAGAGCCTTCACTCCTGCTGCAATTCTAGGTGAAGAAGCTCCATAATATTAATCCTTAGATCAGTGAAACCATCCATGGCTACCAGCCACAATGGCTATGTTCTGCCTCCAGTGTTGGCAGCATCCTGCCTCTGAATACTAGAGAGGAGAGCACTGCTGTCGTGCTCAGGTCCAGGCTTCCCATACACATCTCATTGGCCACTGTGAGAACAAGATGCTAAACTAGACAGGCCATTGGCCTCCTCCAGCAGGACTCTTCTTAAGTTATTATGTTCTTAATTCCATCCCTTTATTTCTACAGTTTTCCTTTTCATTGCACCCAACAGCTGCAGAAATTCAGTGGAGTTGACTAGAATACACAAAACGGCAGATGTTCTCCTGTGCTTTCTTTGGGATGGGCAATTGGATGTGCATCCTCCTTGTTTATCACCCACCCCCGAAAGTGAAGTGGGTGGAAATCAGAGATGGGGGAGGCAGGGATCTGGAATAACCTTAACTTTAATCCAATCAGCCTCAGCCACAATAGCCAGTCATCTGGGAGGATGTGGGTTGTAGTGCAATAACGTCTGGTTGAAGGCTGCCTCAGTTCCTAGTCAAGGTATTTCCTTGTGTGTTTATAGATCAAGTGAAAATGCTTTTCTGCATTTTGTGAAAAGTGAAGAAAGCCAAGAAATATGCTGCAGGTATGTGCAAACCGATAATCCTTATTTCATGACAATTTTGCTTCTTTCAAACATGCTGAGTTTTCCCTCCTGGCCCTTTGGAAATCCTCTTGGATCGTTGGCTTTGAGCATGTTGTTCTCAGTCCACCTAAATAAATTTAGAAATGCTCATGCTCTTGAAGGATGGGATAAACTTCACCAGCCTTTATTGTTTTCCTTTTACATTTCCATCACATCTTTCATCATTTTTATTATTATTATTAATTTTTAAAAGACTAACCTCTAACTTTCTTACTTGTCTGCCCTCTAACAGACTAACTGATTGTGGCATTGGCAAGTGTGAGATCGTAGAGCTGTGCCCCATCTTTGAGAAGTGTGACCGTCTTGCAGAACTGGAGTAAGTGTCATCTCCATTGCGACTATGAATGCATCAACCATGATGAGCCAGGATCATGCCACACCTTTGCTGGAGACTTTTGAACCAAGGTTGGGTGGCCATCTGTCAGGAATTCTTTAGCTGCGATTCCTGTATTGCAAGAGGTTGGACTAGTTAACCCTTGGGGTCCCTTCCAACTCTACAATTCAATGATTCTATTATTTGGGCATTGCTGGGACACTAACTTTGACTCACCATAGAAATGTATAATGGACTGTTGTGGTGGCTTCTGTATACAAATCCAGGAGAGCTCTGTCTGCTTATTTCCTTTTCAGTCTTTCTGGAAACCATATTGGCAATGAAGGACTAAGTTGCCTCTTAGAACATTTGCCCAGGACCCACATTCCCTGCCTGATGAAGTAAGTAAGTGGGTGCAAGAGGGATAGCTATGGGATTGGGGGTGGGAGGTGTCCTAAGCCCACTTCTGGCTCTTTAACTTGCACATACACAATAACAGCTACTGACATTCTCAAATCATCCCATAAAGTGCTTTCCATCATCTGGAACAAACTTTGAGCTAACAATAAATCCTGGGAAACACCTTCAAGAGAGAGCACAGTACTTGGAAAGCTTTGCGCTTGTTTTCCATAGGTTTGTATCTCTAAGGAACATCCAGCCTGTGAGGTGAAGGGTTGCACTGTAACATGTAGTCGCCTCCTATGTTTCAGCCACACCCCAGTTTTCTGGTATCCTATCCCCGGTGGAACATCATTCCAATGTTCAGGCTGTGAGTGCCGTTCCATATGCAGCCAAAATGGCTGTGCCATTTAGGGGGAGGTGTCTGCAGGCTTGAAGGAATAACAAGGTTCTCAGAAGCATATGAAATATTTAAGGGGGAGCCCTAACCTGAGGGAACCCCCAAAACAACCTAAGGAGGAATCAGTGTGTTCAAGAGCCTGGAACACTTACTGACTGTTTGCAAGGTGAAAATAAGCAGCGTTTGTGTGTCAGTGAGGAAGGGGGTCTAAGTATATTAAAGACCCTCCATCTTCCTGTCAAGATTGAGTACCTGAATGCCATTAGGTTAATGACTGGCACCCAGGAGTCACGGGACCATTGCCTGATCAGGGGTTAGGATGGTGGATATAATCCCAGAAAGGTTATGGAAAGACCGTTTACATTCTGCTACCTTGTCCCCCTTTCCTTCTGGTATCCCTCTTGATCTGCTTTACAATGGACAAAGCAGCTTTTGCCTTGGGTGGGAGGTCCAGGCTGTTGAGCAGGTATCTGACCAGTCTTAGGAATGGAATGGAAAAAACTGCACACACTGTTGTAGACCACACTGAAAAATAATCTGAAACATTTTCCTCTTCCCCCTTCTGCATAGAATCAACCACAACGGGATCTCACAAGATGGCATTCTCCATCTCGCTCATGTCTTTGCCACGTGCCAAAATGTGGCTGAAGTTCATGTGAGGTATAATTGCTTGTAATTTCTCTTCCCCAAGCCCAACACATACAGCTTGTGCCTTGGAACTAAACTGGAGTTGGAGTGTGTGTATATATATATATATATAATTTCTTATTTTTACCCCACCCATCTGGCTGGGTTTCCCCAGCCACTCTGGGCAGCTTCCAAGAAAGATTAAAAATACATTAAAATGTCACACATTAAAAACTTCCCTGAACAGAGCTGCCTTCAGATGTCTTCTAAATGTCAGGTTGTTGTTTATCTCTTTGACATCTGATGGGAGGGCGTTCCACAGGGCGGGCGCCACTACCAAGAAGGCCCTCTGCCTGGTTCCCTGTAGCTTTGCTTCTCGCAGTGAGGGAACTGCCAGAAGGCCTTCGGCGCTGGACCTCATATATATGGTTGGGGGATAACTTAATACGAAAGGGTTTTTAATGTGGATTCAGAAAGGGCTGAACTTTCAGATATGGAGGCAAAGTTTACAATTGCACCTAATGGGAGCATAGCAGAAAGCATAAAGAAATGGGTGGGAGATAGAGGGAGTGGCTTGATTGACTGCCGTGCATGTGTGGAATGAAGAGACTGGGCACTTTGAGGGCTGGGGCTCCTACCATAAGCTCCTCCCTTCAAAGGCCACATTCATACCATGCATTTAAAGCATTGTGATACCGCCTAAAGCAATCATGGCTCACCTCAAAGAATTAAGGGAGATGTAGTTTGTGAAGGGTGCTGGGATTTGCTAGGAGACCCCCATTCCCTTCACAGGGCTACAATTCCCAGTGTGGTTTAACGGCCAGTCCCTCTTCTCAGGGAACCCTGGGAATTGTAGTTCTGTGATGGGAATCTGGGGGCCTCCTGATAGCTCTCAGCACTCATAACAGACTATAGTTCCCAGAATTCTTTTGGGGGAAGAAGCCATGACTGTTTAAAGTGGTGCCATAGTGTTTTAAATGTATTGTGTGACTGTGGCCTCACACCTTTCTCTAATCAAAAGCAATGGGTAGGCTTCAAATGTGTTTTCTGATATGCAGTCTAAGGTACTATTTTATTCAGTCAGCTTTGCTATCGATAGTTGTCCCAGTGCACATTTATGTTGCAAATGCCTCTGCTGTTCTGCATGAACATGGTTACAGTAAATAGTATCAGAGATTAAAACATCAGTCATAAAAAACTTCCCTAAACAGGGCTGCCTTCAGATGTCTTCTAAACGTCAGATAGTTGTTTATTTCTTTGACATCTGATGGGAGGAAAGACTCAAGAAAGACTGGCGTGGAAAGCTACTCAGAGGTATTTCAGAAAGGGAAGTGTTGGAATAATAGAGAGGGGAGTAAGATTGTTTCAAAAGGATGTTGAAATACCAGAGAGTAAACACTGGTGGAACAACGTTTAAAGTTGCCTCCCACCTGTTTTTGTTTTTCTAAAAATGTGTGTCTTTCTCTTTGCAGTTTGTGCTCTGAGGCAACACTGCTGATCACCCTAGTGAGAGAAGATAAACCTCAAAAGATCCTGAGGTAATTATTTGAACATTATTCTACTCCCCTTGCGAAATGGAGCAAGACAGTCTTTACAGCAGGGGTGTGGAGAATCTTTTTCAGCCCAAAGTCTACATTCTATGGAGAGCTTTTCAGGGGCCACATGTCAGTGGCGGTCAGGGGCCAGAGGCATGACTGAACTGCTAGCCTGCAGTGAAAAGTAAGTTAATGAACTCCCGTAAGCCCAAAGCATCCATGGAAGAGGGAGCATGCTGCTTCTCTGCGTGGTTTGCTTGTTTTGCCTTCCTTCCTACCAATGAAGTTCTGCTTTGGTTGAGTAATTGACTGTATCCTTGCATCAGATGTGTTTCAATAACCCAGTCACTTCTGATGCAGACACACAGTGGAGGTTAACTCAGATGAGGTTGCCTGTTGCCACCCTCTGTGAGTTGCTCCTCTCAGCTTTCTGCCTTACTAGCAGCAGTCGTGCTCAGAAAAGAAACATGACTGACAGACAAACCAGCAAAAACAAGGGTGGGGGAGGCTTCTCTGAAGGCAGACCATGCTAACTCTTACACACATAATAACAGAGCATGAATCCAATTTTATTTTTATTTATAAATGCTTCCCTCACCTGTCAGGTGCACTGTGCTATGAAGTAAAGAATCTACCATAGAAGGGAAAGGGCTAGCTAATGCTAGATATAGAACCTGGAACTAAGGGTGGGAGGACCTGCCTATTTTGGTTCTCTCTGTTTCTCATTTTTCCAATCTTAAATTCAGTTCTTCAAATTTATGAAGCAATCTGCAAATTATTATTATTATTTTAAATCATGAAAATTCTTCAGCATTTATGGGCAATTTTTTCCTAATACAGAGGTACTTCAAGTTACAAACGTCTCAGGTTATAAACGCTTCAGGTTACAAACTCCGCTAACCTGGAAGAGTTACCTCGAGTTGAGAACTTTGCCCCAGGATGAGAACGGAAATCGTGTGCTGGCGGCGCAGCAGCAGCAAGAGGCCCCATTAGCGAAAGCACGCCTCTAGTTAAGAACAGTTTCAGGTTAAGAACGGACCTCCGGAACGAATTAAGTTTCTTACTAGAGGTTCCACTGTAATCACCTTTTTGTATGCAACTTCTCAAAGCAATTTCTCCCAATAAAGTTCATATCTGTATATTTCCACCAATATATTCATTTTTATGCACACACCCCCCCCTGATCTATGCATTTTTGCAAACATTGTTTGATTGGAGAAGTGCATAGCAAAATTAGGCCGAGTGCAAATTTTCAAACATGGCAGTGTTTTGCTTTTCACATTGTTTTAGAAAGTGCAAATTAGATCAATTTGCTTTTAACTGTGAGTTGGATTTCTCCCCTTCCCATGCCTAGGACCTTCTGTATGCAAAGCAGATACTCTTAGTGAGCTTTGGCCCTCCTTCCAAGTCATCTAGAGGATCTCTTTAGAAACATTGTGTTTCTAAAGATGGACTGCCTTTAGAAATCACTGTAAGTTCTTGACCTACCCCAAAGGAGCTCACTTGACATGATTCCTCTTTTCTTCCAGCATGAAGCAGTGCTGTTTCCAAGCAAAACATCTGGCGGTGCTGTCCTCTTCTCTGGGCAAGTGCCTTGCTCTGAGCGACTTCACGTGAGTTTTGCTACTTCTGTCATAAACACTAGTCCCATTTTGATTGACGTGAAACACTACTCTGGTTCCTTTAAGAACAGAGTTATAATAAGACACCCTCAAAAGATTTGCTCTCTTTGCTCTTAGGTCAGCTAATAATGGCATGATGCTCAGCAGTGCAGAAGATCTACTCAGAGCCTTAAGGAAATCGGAGGGCATGCTAAGAATAGGGTAAGCATTTCTTTTCTGTCATCCAGTTGAATTCAATCTGTCAGAGATTCCACTCTGCTTCTAGTCTTTTGCTTAGGGTGTATCTAACAGTTACATGGGGTGCACAGCCGCTGCAGCCCCTTGTCTCCCTAGTAACCTCTTGAAAACATGATCTAAGATGTTGTATTTGGAAGTTGCTCTTGCAAATGTGGGTCATAAAAACATCAAAAATGTCCTGCTACATCCCATAATTCAGCCAACACAGGTTCTCCTCTGCAGATCAGCAGACATAGTCCATTCTTCTGCATGCATTCTTAAAAGAATTCCCATTCAGGGGGATTTGCTCCCATGCAACTGTAAGGACACCAGAAGAACCTGCTGGATCAGGCCAGGGGCCCATCTGGTCCAGCATCTTGTTCTCACAGTGACCAACCAGGAAGTCCATGAGTGGAAGCCTGAGCGCAACAGCATTCTGCCCACCTGGTATTTAGAACCACTACTGCCTTTGGCAGGGAAGACGGAATGTAGCTGTAGTGATTGGTAGCCATTGATAGCTTTTTTTCCTTCCATGAATTTCTCTAATGCACTTTTAAAGCCACCAAGCTGGTGGGTGTCATTGCATCTTGTGTTTCTCTGGGTCTTGGAGACCTAACTCAAATCTTAGCTGGGGGCCAAATTCCACCTTATGGGTGAGGATGAAGCACCCACCAAAACCCAATAGCTTTTGCCTTTCTCCACATTTATTGTCACATCTGTGACTAAACTTCCCAGTACTTACCTGGGAATAAGAATGGTCAGGCCAATCTCTTTCCAGCCTTCAACGTTCACATTATTTTTGTATGAATATTTCCCACAAAACACACACTTTTATATGCATTTTAACCTAATTATGCCATTTTATATGCACTGTTGTACATTTTGGGGGCCAAGAACTATATTGCAAAATTCAGAAAATGGAAGGAAAGCTGTTTTGGGTCCATTTATTAGTCTGGGTAGTGCAAACCTAGTTGGTTTTGCTTCTAAATGCATATAAAACAAAACCCTCTGGCATCCCTGCTTGGGAATAAGCCCCACCAAACTCAGCAGGATTCACTTCTGAGTGAGTGTACATAGAACTTTGCACTGTATTTAAACAAAAAACAAGCAAACAAAACCAGGTGAGGCCTCACATGGGCCAATCTTCTAACAAAGCAACATATGTGTGTCCTTTGCATTGCAGCATCGAAGAGCCTTGGGTGAAAGATGAAAGCATCATTATCCTTCTGAAGCTGGCTGCAGAAGTCCAGGGAAACATCACAGCCATCACGTAATTAGTTCCTCTGTGTGCCTGCCTTCTTGACTTGTTGTTTTAGGAATAAAATACATGGTTGGCAGAAAAAGATGGTGAACAAACCCTGTGAAAGCCTTAAAGGGAGATCATTTTCTCCCTAAGAACATGTTTCTGTATTTCAACAGAGCTGGCCATGGATTTCAGAGCAAAGTCTGGATCAGGGATGGGGGACGTGTGGCTCCCCAGATCTGGTTGGACTCTTAACACCCAGCATCCCTGAGCACTGACCATGTTGACTGAGGCTGATGACAGCTGTGGTCCAAAACAGGTTAGGCTGAGGTGGGGAACTTGTCGGCTGGGGCTGACGAGAGTCCAACAACATCTGGAGGGTCCTCAGGCTCCCTGTTACTTTGCTAGGAGCAGCCACTGTGGCATACGCTCCTCTGTGGTTGTGGTTGTGCTGGCTGGGCTCTATAGTTCAAAACCTCTGGAGATGCCGGGCTGTCCTATGGGAAATGAATCCAGATCAAAAGGCCACAAAGTGTGTTGAAAAGGTCTCCCTGGAGAAGATGGAGCTGGGTCATACCTCTTGTCTTACCTTTAGTCTTTGCCAGTGATTACTGGATTGCAGGGGGTTGGACTAGATGGCCCATGGAGCCCCATCCAACTCTACAGTTCTATGATTCCTTGCATTCAAGCCCACACAATGCAAAGATGTCAGAGGGAGGGGGAACCTAGGTATCCAACGTTGGAGGTGGGTGAAAGGCCGCATTCCACCTTCTCCACACATTTCCACTTTCTTCTGCCGTACCCACAAGTAAAGCACGAATAGCACTTTGTTCTTCAGTTTCTGTTGGGCAGCCTGTACGAGGCAGGGCAAACTTGTTTCAGCTTTCTTGATTTTTCCTTCCATTTTTGGCTAGGCTAAGGAGAGACCAGGCCCTCTTCGTAGTGGAACAGGAATTTCCTCGTCAGGAGGAGAAAGTGGAGTCCGTGGTCAGCCGGTGAGGAAGTCATTGTTCTTTGGCTGGTGTGATGGTTGTCCATTGTACTATACCATGATCCCAGCGCTCATGACATAGTTAAACTTTCATTCATTCCAATGCACTAAAGTGGCCAAAGGACTACAAAGAAACCCTACACGAGGGTGGCGGTGGTGGAAATCAATTTTCAGCTTAATTTGAAAATCAGGGGTCCTCCCGGTTTCCACGCCCTTTGTCCATGCATAGGCAACTTCTGCTTAAGCTGCCCTTCTGTGTTCTCTTTGTGTGTTATGTGTGTGTGAGGTCTGCAGGTTGCATCAGTGTGAACTGGAAGCCAAAGGAGTCTGCTTTCTACCCAAGCTCATTGAGAAATGTAGACAACTCTGGGCATTAAAGTGAGTGTGTGGAGGGGAGGGGGTGTCTCTCCCACAGTGGGGTTTGTTTGCTTTTTGTTTTGATCACAGAGAGCTGCTTGCTGTGCTGCTGGCTGCAGCCAGACTTGAAATCACCAGACATTGGAAGTCTCCATGGGGTCTCTCTAGGGATGGGTGGCATGGGAGGGTGTGAGGCATTGCCTTGCCTTAGCACTTAACCCCTCATAGGAGAGCTTTAAAGGGGTGACAATATGAGACCATTTTGATGTTGGATGGCTTCCCTTTATATGGCTTCCCACTTTAAAAATATTGTTCTACGTAGGCCCCCAATGACACATGCCTTTATGTAACAAGGCTGCCTTATTGATATATAGCTTTCTGCTTTCCCCAGCGACTACTTGTGAATGTATCACACCTGTCCTTTTGTCATTCCAGCTGGTCTCAGGTACAGTTCACTGATGCTGAAGCAGAAACCATCTCTGACACACTGCCACATTTTCCATCACTGAAGAAACTTGGGTAGGTGTGAATCGCTGTGTGCTCTGGATTGTGTATCTGTTGTGTGTCTCTGAGTGGCACCTTCCAGGATTTGAACCTCTCTAGCGTCACACTCATCCCCTCTTTATTGTGAAATGGTTTCATTTTCCATGCTGGGCTTCTCATACACACCTTTCTTCTGTGATCCAGAAACGCTTGAATACAGGTTTTTAGAGTTAAATACCAGTAGTGTAAATTTATGCAAAGTCTCTCCAGCTTGGCAATTTAAAACGGGTGGAGTTATGTATTATTATGACTTTAAAACTATCATGTAGGCACTAAATAATATATTTAAACAGAAACCTATTTATGAAAAATGGTTCAGTGTCTCTAAGGGAGGGGAATGACACAAGTCCAAAACGGTGGGTGTAATTTACTATGCACATGCTAACCTTTGCAGCATATCTTAAAGTTTAGCAGATTTATCAGCACCCTCATCAAACTACGTTTCCCAATATTCTTTTGGTGAAGCCATGATAGTTAAACTGATATAAAACTGGTTTAATCCAGACTCAGAGAATGAATGAGTTTCTAACAGTATATAGGAGGGGGCTGGGAACTTACGACTCACAAGTGTGGGGGACAGAAATCTGTTCAGTTTGTATTTTAATGTAAACCAGTCAAAATTGTACTTCTTGAACCATAATGTGAACCAAAACACAGTTCTCCAATTTGTGCAGGGGTTGCATTCCTGGCACTTGCACGTGTCAACAGAGCATGCATAAGCCCACCCTGCCCCACCCCTGTTCCACCCTCTTCCAGGTCGAAAGCGACCCATGCATTGGCGGCCGCACGTCAGTTGGACATGCACAAAATGGTCACCGCCTGTACTCTGCATTAAGATTGAGTGTTTATGTTTGTTTATGCCATGGCCTCTTGACATTTTATAGCCACATGGTGACATCTTACATTTATGTCTCATTTGCCACCCTGTGGTTGCAAATGACTGGGCCAGGTTACATTCAGTGGACAGAAAGCTGCTGACTACCCTAAACCTGCAATGGTTTTGAATTTCCAGGTTAACCTGTTGCAGTTTCCTTCCCCCCGGAATGGAGCACCTGGCTGAAGCATTGCATCAGTGCCACACGATTGAAGACATTGAGTAAGTTTGATATCCAGTATGTGAGTGACTGTGATGGGCATCTCTTTTTACCCTTGGTTAAAATAAATCACAGGCCTTCTGAAAACTGTCTCTGGAAAGACGGGGGCAAAGGGGTCAACAAGCAGACTAACACACCCACACCCATAAAATGAAGGAACAAAATCAGTTTTGGCTAACACCTTGGCAACCACGGAAATCTTAACCTGATACCAAAAAGATGGCAATGTCAGTGTCAGATGCATCTCCTTAAAGAGACCATGCCAAAGTCAGGGCACCACCATAGAAAAGGCCCTCCCCTTGGTGCCTACACTAACCTGCCCCTGCTTCTAAAGGGGCTTGGAGAATGGCCTCTACAGTAATCCTTGACACACTGGAAGACTGGTATCTGGGCCCCAGGCTCTTATTGCATTACTTTGGGTTGCCATTTCCTCTCCCTCCTGCACAGTTAGCTGCAAACTGAATATGTAACTCTGCTCCTTTCTAGCTTTTCCAAAAGTGAACTTGGCATGGATATCGGTGCTCTGATGAACGCTCTGGAGGGAAAACTTCACCTGAAGAGCATAAAGTAAGTGGCCTTTCAGTTGGCCTTAGGTTAGGACTAGAAGTGATGTGCAATGCGATCCTGTATTCTCTGCGGATCAGGAGCTCTCCCCAGACCCAGCCTCCTTCAGTAGTTTTGCATAGCTGGAGTAGGTTCTTGAACTCTGGTTGAAGGATAGAGAGGGGTGTGTGTAGAAACTAGCCTGTTCTACCAAGGTTTGCCTATAGCTCAGCCCACCAGTTACACATGGCTCTCAGAAGGCTGCCCAGGTGGGACTGTATCCTTCATTCTCCACTTCATTGGGTATCCTACTTGCATGTGACGTTACAGTGTGGCATAATGCCGCGTGGATAGAGAAAAGTTTTTCTCCCTCTCTTATAACACCTGGGACTCATGGACATCCAATGAAGCTGAATATTGGAAGAATCAGGCCAGATCAGGCCAGGTCTTCTTCACACAGTAGAGAGTTAAATTATGGAACTCACTCCCGCAGGATGGCCACCAACCTTGATGACTTTAAAAGAGGATTAGACAAATTCAGGGAGGAGTGGGCTGTCCATAGCTACTAACCATGATGGCTATACTCTGCCTGCATGGTTGGAGGCAGTAATGCTTCTGAAGATCAGTTGCTGGGATCCACAGGAAGGGAGAGTGCTCTTGTGCTCAAATCCTGCTTTCCGGTTTCCCAGAGGCACCTGTTCTGCCACTGTGGAATATGTAGGCCATTGGCCTGTTCCAGCAGACTCATCTTATATTCTTAATGTTCTTGGAGTAAAAGGTCCAGGCATAAACTGGAATAGAAGGCAAGTTCTGGACCTTGAACAAAGACCAGGGTGTAGATTCAGGACCACAGACAGTGGTCCAGCAGGTGAGGCAGAAAATCTCACTGCAGTGCTTTGGAGCAACTTTATAGCCTGGGCCAGGTAGTCAAGATGAAAGCTCTGCCCTCTGAGTGCTGCACCTGGCCAGTTAAAGAGCCAGTACTCCTTTTCTGCTGCCATTGGATTTTTCTTGGCATTGAGGATCCAAGGACTCCCTTGGGAAAAGCCACTCCTGGGCAATAGGCTCTAATTCCAATTGATTTGCATGGAAAGGAATGAATGATGGCTCTATCTCCTCATTGGGGAGGGCTGTGCACTGAAGGATTCCTGGGCTGGGGCTGGCACCATTCTCACAAAGTCAGTCCCTTTGTTGCCTGAGATGACAAAGGTCGAGTTAGGAGCATATATTATTTTCCAACACTACTCCGTATTTGGATGATGCTGAAACAGTATGTGGCTTATACATGGATCGGGTTCCTACTTGCGAGTTTCCAGGTTTGCCAGATTTTTTTTAATGATCTAACTTCCTCCCAGGATAGTTCCTGTGTTTCCAGCTGGGCTGCCCAAATAGCAGAGCTGCTGCCAGAGGAGTTCAGATATGTCATTTCTAGCACTTCCTATTCCTATACAAGACATTTGCCACGAGTCCTGCAAGGTCTGCTCCTCTGGCCTCTTTCCACCTGGCCTAGGAGGGCTGGGGGTGGGACCCTGACTGACTGTAGCCACAAGAGCTGTTGCCAGAGGGTCCAGAAGCCACCTTAGATGTGGGTCCTTGCAGGACCTGCTGCTCAGGATGCCTAGAGACTCTTGGGCTGGGGTTTTGTTTAGGAGTTTATATTGCAGTCAAGATTTAACTGTGGATGTGCTTGGTTTTTGCTGCTGTTGGTATTATGCTTTTGCATTTTTATTAGGCATTATGTGGAGGTTCTTTTATTGTATGCTTATTGAGATGTTTTCATTTCTTGTTTGTAACTTATTGAGTTTTGTTAAGTTTTTGTAATTATGTAAGTTTTTTGAGCATGGTTTGACTATGCAAAGGTGGCATACAAATAAATAATTTGTATCATTTGTATCAACAGGGACTAGCCACAAAGGCTATGTTCCATCTCCACAGTTGGATGCATTATGCAATATCAGTTGCTGGGAACTTTAGGTGGGCAGAGTTCTGTTGCACTTCTGTGGGCCTTGCAGAGGCACCTGGCTGGCCACTGGGAGAACCAGATGCTGGACTAGACGGGCCATTGGGCTGATTCAGAGGGCTGTTCTAATGTTCTGACAATGATATTCTTATTTACCGCTTAGCCTTGGCTCTCTGAATCTCAGTGATGCAGATATCCTCAATCTGACCTCCAGACTGTCTTCAATGCCTCTCCTGAAAAGACTTATGTAAGTATGGCTATGAGTAGAGGTTCGATGCAACAACAAAATATATTTATTTTGTCACTGTTCAGACCTGCCAGTTTCAGTGGCTGGCAATATGCAAGAGAACTTTAATTTGCCCAGACCAAGGAATCAGGTAGCTTCTTACCTGCAGCTGGAGCAAGTGCTGGGCCAGAATCCATCATCCAATTTTTCAAAAGTTTTCTTCCCCTGTGAAAGGGGCTTCTGTTTACTGATCTCATTCTTAGGTTGCTTTAGAATTTATTTAGATTAAAAAATAATAATTTTGGAAGGCATGGGGTTGGGCTAAGGAATGAACACAGAAGAAATTGATGTGGATAGGACATTGATGTGCACCCGTCCATTCCTGCTGTGAAGGCCACTGTTACGCAGCATGAAACAAGTGTTCTGAGAAGCTTTTGCCTTTTGGGACCATTCAGAATAATTGACTCATGTTTCATATTTTATGACTGTTTTCCAGTTTGAATAAAAACCATCTTGGTGGTGAGTCCTGTTCACACCTTGCACAAGTTTTGAAGAATGCCATTCACATGGAAAAAATTGAGTAAGTTCATGTTTTCCGCTCATGTCTGCCACTTTAACACATCTCCTCCCAACATCCAGCTTCATTGTCAGAATTAATAACCAAAGGAGAACATGTCTTAATTAATTTTTTCTCTTTTTTCCAAAGCAGTGGGTGGCAGAGGGGCACTGGGATTACCTAGGCAGCTGCTAAGAGGCAAGGGGGTGGCAGTGGGGCACTGGAGGGGCAAGTGACTATCAGATGTTGAAAAGCAGGTATCACTAGATCACGTTACTCAGTTTTGTTGCACTAATTAAACTAAATAGATTTAATTGGGTTTTGAAACAGTGAAATGTTCTCTGAAGCTTGACATTCATGAGCCAGAACACAATGTCATGAACACGGTGGATGTTTTCTTTAATCTTATGAGTTGTCGGGTTTCTTTCAAAGTTTGAGCCACAACAAGATTGAAGATGCTGGCATAAAAGAAATCGCTATGGCCATTCCAGAAATGCAGAGCGTGAAGCAAATCGAGTGAGTTTCTTGTGTCTGTATCAACCCAGTGAGGGACTACAGATTGTAGTCTGGGCGGAGGAGGAATTCCTGGTCCTCTGCCCATCCCACCAAATCCAGCTATCACAGATTAGCTACCGTTCTGTGATATGAAGCAGCTTCCTCTGTTGTTGTTCCTCTTTCAGCCTCTCTAGCAACAGCATTGGCTCTGCCGGTGGACAGTGTTTCGTGGAGGCTCTGAAGCACAGCGAGAACCTGGAGGTGCTCAAGTAAGCTCAGACCTTCTCCTGGGGATTTCATCAATTCCCTTTCAAAATAACTAGGTTCCTCCGAAAAGCATTTCCCCAGGCTGTTCATTATGGGGGGCTGGCTGTTGAAGAATCCATGTCCACACCCATGAATATTCTGTGAAATGGTGCGCTCCTTTCTCCTACGAATGCAGCTGGTGCCAGCTCCAGGTTTGTGGGTTGGATTTGGGCAAGGAGCCTTCAGTGGGTTCCCTCCTCCTCCTCCCACCCATCCCCAGCTCATGTGTGCTGTCCTCCTCTGGGCCGGAGTGCCTGAACCCCAGCGATGGTGCACAGAAGAGCTTGCAGGACCAGAAACCGCACTATCAAAATGTTTCCTCGGGCTGATAATCCTCAATTTGATAATCTGATAATGCTGATATTCTTTAATTGGATTTGGGGGTTTTTTTTAACCCATGTGCAACTGTTACTCACGCTACGTGGCTATTTTATAGTTCAGTTTCAGTTTTTCAACTTTTAATTTTAATATAATTGTTCATTGTTATCATTGTTCTCTCTGTTTCATATACATTATACAACTATTTTGTTTAAAAAAAAAAGAGTTCTCAATAATGTTTCACATTGCACTTCTTTTCAGACTATCTGGGAACAATATTGGAAACGAGACGCTGGAAAAACTGGCTCCGGTTCTGCCCAGCTTGCACTGCCTGAAGGTCCTTCAGTAAGTATCCTGGTTCAGGATGGACAGATTGGTCCAGTTTTCACCTGTGTCAGAGTTTGGGGAGTTTTTTCCTGCCTTCCCTCATTTGATCTGCTCCATCCAGGATGTTCTCCACACTCATCATTCAGCAAATGTACAACCTGTGGGCCTGTGTACACAAATAGTTGAGCTGTACAAATCAACGTGTGTTCACCCTTTTCACACAAACGCTAGGCAAGGGCCTTCCCCACTTAACCATCCTCTTCTTTCCTCAGCCTGGCATCCTGTGGCTTTGACTCGGAGGGAGTGGTTTGTTTGGCCAGAGTCCTCTTCCATTGTCCACAAATAGAGGAAATCAGGTGAGTGCATCTCGTAGGGAAATGAAAATAGGAAGGAAAAACTAGTAACATATGGGCTCTTGACATAGAATCATAGAACTGTAGAATTGGAAGGGATTCCCAAGAATCATCTAGTCCAACCCCTGTGCAATGCAGGACTCATAGCTAAAGGATCCCTGACAGATGGCTGTCCAACATCTGTTTTAAAAACTTCCAACGATGGAGAGCCCACTATCTTCCAAGGGAGTCCATTCCACTGTCAAACAGCTCTTACCATCAGAAAACATTTCCTAATTTTTGGTTGGGATCTCCTTCTTTGTCGTTTGAATCCATTGGTTCGGATCCTGCCCTCCAGAGCAGCAGAAAACAAGCTTGCTTTGTCTCCCATGTGACATGTTTTGGAAGTCATCTGCCAGTCAAAAAGCAATTGTGAATGTTATCCTCCAAGTATTATGTTCTTAAAACAAGCAGCATGATTTTAAAATAAAAATAATAAGATAGTTCAATCTGGTCACCTGTCCTGTTTTTTACCTTGCAGTTTGTCCGAAAACAGCATTGGGCACAAGGGTGCCATGGCACTCGCAGAACACCTGCCACAGCCCTCCTCACAACTCAGGAAGATTGAGTAGGTCCACACCTGTTTTCATTTGGCTTAAATCTAACTAAGCTATCGGCATTGTGTTTGTGTGTGTGTGTGTGTAAGCTTTTTGTACACTGTAGTTTTGTGGGTCTTTGGCTGAAAAGCAACAGATAAATAAATAGCACCATAGTGAAGGAAGCTGACTTTATATCAGGTTAGGCCATTTATCCATCTAGCCAAGTAGTATATATTCTAAGAAGCCAAGCCTTTTAATTGGAGATCCTGCCAGGGATTGAACCAGAGACCAGGGATTGAACCAGAGTGCCCCGTTTCCTATTCAGGTTTCAAATCCATCTTTAATATGTCCTGTTTTTTCTTTCTTTCTAAATCTTTATTGACATTTGTTGCCGAGTATACAAAAAATAAAATATAAAAACCAATCAGAACACTCATAGTCCACCAAGCCAAATCAAAATGGAGACTGGGCGTCACCCCACAAACTCTGGCATTACAACAAAAGGAAGAGAGTTGGACATCATTTTAGAGACTCAAAATAAAAATTAGTAGCACCGTCGAAGTTTAATGTGCTGTTTTTGCCTTGGTGTTTATAGTTTTCAGGCCAGCAACCAACAATGCTGGGGATCGTATCCAGCCGTATAGATTTCTGAGAGGCAGGTGGATCACAAAGTTTATGAGACGGCACCATCAAATTTACTTTTCAGTTTGAATCCCCTCAAACGTCTGGTGTCCCCCCACCCCGGTTAACTTTCAGCCAAACTTTGGTCCACCTGCCTTTGAAAGAAGCTGCCCTGTTTATGAATACAAAGTTGTGTTCAGTGTGAACTGAGGAGCAAAGCTGATCTGTTTTAAAATAATAAGGAAGGGTGGACCCTAAGAGAAGTTTTCCCCTCTCACAAATCTGCTCTTTTGAGCATTTCACCTGGGAAAGCCACAACTCTAAAATTAGTGTGGGAACTGGTTTCCATTTTGCAATGTGTTCTTTCTAGACTGAAGGTCTGCGGCCTCATCGACTGCACTTCTAAGAGTCTCATCCTTGGTGTCAGCCAGTGCCCCCTTCTGGAAGAGATTATGTGAGTACTAGGGGCTGCTGCCCCTGCTTCCTCCACTTACAAGCCACACCTGCCCTCCAATCCCTTTGCCAGCCCTCTTTCCCCCACACCTGGCCAAGCCCTTCTCCCTTTGCACCTCACCCTGTTTGCCTATCCCCTCCCAGGTTGTCCCAAGCTCCTCTTCATCCCTTGCAGCTTGCCACAACCACCCCCTTTTTAAAAGAGGGGGGAGGTGCTTCAGATAATGGTTTTCTGAAGTGTCTCCCCCTTTGTTAAATCTCCCTGCAACCACATTAAAAAGATATTTAGCGTCTCCCCCCTCCCATCTCAGCCCACGTGGGCCATCTGCCACAGTGTCGTTATACTGGAGTTGTTGTGCCCACCTATCTACAACCATGCAAACTGCAGTGTGACAACAGCCTTACCTTTTTTTGTATATGGAAAGATAAACAGACTTGTGGCTATGGCTCGTGGCCCAGAGCTAATCTGCCCATTGCTGACATGGATGCTCCTTTCCATGTTCAGTAGTATCTAGATCAGGCGTGAAGAACCCCAGGCCATGCCTGAATTAAACCCAAACAGATCCACCTCCGGAGGACTTCATTCACTGCTTCTCTTTGTGCCCCCTAATTGCCTAATTGATATTCACCAGGAATATCACAAAGAAAACATTTGTTTGACACAGTCTTGCCAAAACAATCAGAGAACGTATTAAACAAAGGCGCTTGATTCAGGCCTTGTCTAGAGAAGAAAATATTCAACCAAATGATTAAAATTACATGTTTCAATTTAAAAATGCATCAGAAATTGATATGAGGCACGGGCAGAGCAGTGGCTCGTGCAGAGACAAACAGGCAGCTACCTCTGTGGGTAGATTATTCTCCTGTGCTTTGGGAGTGGTAGAATGATCTGGCCACACCCAATTCAGACACATGGCGGAATGACCCACTTCTAGCAGGAGCTGACTAAAATAAGGCAAAGATCAGAGCAGTAAATCATGCAGAGAAGCAGCAGGCAACTCTGTGATTCAGTGAACTCACGGAGAGCCTGTGTTTACTTTATTTCTCTTGCAGTGTGCTCATGTGCTGCTGCTGCATCTTCAATGTGCTTGATCTTCAGGTCCCCACTGACTCAAACACCTATTGAATTCATGCCTAGTTGGGTTTTCAGCCGTTAATCATTTTCCTCATCTTTAGCCTGTCCTGGAACAAACTTGGTGATGAAAGTGCTTTGGAGCTGGCCAGGGTTCTCCCTCGGATGGCAAAGTTGAAAGTACTGGAGTGAGTACAAGGAAACATCAACCCAGAGTCCTTCACCAAAAACCAATTAGAGCCTAGCTGAGCTTTCTTTCTTTTGTGGGGGGGATGTTGATAGTGGGATGAAAGCTTAGGAGGAGAGATTTTCCCAGGGGGCAGGAAGAAAATATTGGGTGTGGCAGTGTTCTCCAGGAGAGCAGCAGTATTCTTTTTTCATTCTCTTGAAAGTTTTTTCTTTAACTCAGTTTTCTTTAACTCAGTTCTTCAACTCTCACCTGCCAGAGGCAGAACAGCACGTGCAAGAAATCTTTTAGCATGACAGTAAATAATCTCAGGAACTCCCTGCCCCTTGATAGTTTGTTGGATAGTTTTTGACATCTGCTGGAAATGTTTTTGTATGTGCAGGTCTATCCAGATGTGTACTTTTATTATGTGCATTTGTTTTTAAAATTCATGGATTTTATCTACATTCTGATCATTTTTATTGTCTGCTGTTTAAAATATTTTTTACTGTTTTTTATTTTAAAAAATCAAATATTTTCTCGAAATCACTTAGAGATTCTTTCACTTGAGCAGTATATAAATATTGCTAAATAAGGAAATAAATGGTGCCCATTCCTCCACCAGTCAAAGCACTTAGTCCCTAAGTGCATTCCATATACTTTGGTACCTTAGGCACCCCTCAAAAAAATACCCTTGTCCTCTTCCCTGGCAGTAAAATACAACAATAATAAATGAAACAACTCACACTTGGCTGCCTTTTCATGGCACCCCAAATCTACTTCCTGGTGCAGCTGCCTCACTCCGCCCTATGAGAGTGACCTGCTGTTTTCCTGGTAAACTGAGAATGAGCTTTATTAACCACCAACCCCCAAATTTGGGATCCTCTCCAAACTGGTATCAAAGTTTTGTACTCATTTTGTGCCATTTTGTACTGCAAACCCTCCATTTTGTACCGCCCACCCCCACCCCCAAACTGAGTGATCAATACTTACAAATCTAACATGTTGGATTTTGGGGTATTACCAGGGTTCATAGTTAACACTCAAAAATCCAACATTGTCAGATTCATAAAGCTCTGAGAATGGGCACCTGGTTGACTCGAGTGCTGGACCAGATGGACCTTTGGCCTGATCCAGCTACAGGCCTCTTCCTATGGAGGAGGAGGAAAGAGAAAGAGCACCCTTTTGGTCCTGAAAGATGGGGATGCGCCTTGAGGTATATACTTTGTATAGGACAATGGCTTGAATGTTTTTTTCCAAGCCAAATTGCTGGAGATGGAGAGAGTGAGCGTGTGTGTGTGTATATATATGTGTGGGGTTCTGAGTGGGTGGCACACCCACTTTGACCACGCACACTTTGGTCTCGGCCATCCCAGGAACTGGCCAAGAGTAAGGATGGTGAACCTGTGGCGCTCAGGATGTTGTTGGATTCCAGCTCCCACCATCCTGCCCACTGGGAATGCTGACAGAGTCTAACAATGTCTGGAGAGCCAAAGGTTCCCCATATCTGGCTAAGAAGGGATACAGGCATTGGGCCCAGAGGGGTTCCCCATTCCTGCCCTTAAGCGGGAACTAAATAATTTCTGGCTTTTTTGTTCTGTTCAGGAGAGGCAGCGATCAGTTTCGCATACCGTATTTTTCGCTCTATTGGACGCAGTTTTTCCTCTCCAAAAATTGAGGGAAAATGTGTGTGCGTCCTATAGAGCGAATGCAGGCTTGTGCCATAGCCACGCGCAACCCCTCCGGCAGGGAGAGGCTGCACGGGGCTATGGCTTCTTTAGCCCTGCGCAGCGTCTCCCGGCAAGGAAAGGCTGCACGGGGCTAAAGGGGAAGCCAAAACAGCGAGCTGGATGGATCCCGCTCGCTGCCTTGCCTTCTTCCATAGCTGCGCGCAACCCCTCGGGCAAGGAGAGGCTGCACGGGGCTATGGATTCTTTAGCCTCACGCAGCCTCTCCCAGGAGGTAGAGGCTGCACGGGGCTAAAGGGGAAGCCAAAACAGCGAGCGGGATCCATCCCACTCGCTGCCTTGCCTTCTTCCATAGCTGCGCGCAACCCCTCCGGCAAGGAGAGGCTGCACGGGGCTAAAGGGGAAGCCAAAACAGCGAGCGGGATCCATCCCGCTCGCTGCCTTGCCTTCTTCCATAGCTGCGCACAACCCCTCTGGCAGGGAGAGGTTGTGTGCAGCCTGTACGCTGCTCTTTGGGGCTGGGGGGGAAAAATATTTTTTTCCTTGATTTCCCCCCCTAAAAACTGGGTGCGCCCTATGGTCCGGTGCGCCCTATGGTGCGAAAAATACGGTAATACTTAGCCTAGTTATATATTTGCCTTTCTTTGGCTTCTTTTAAACAGTCTGGACAACAACTACATCACTGCTTGTGGGGCCAGAAGGCTCACAAAGGCACTTGCACAGTGTCGAGGAATCCAGATAATACGGTGAGTCCTCTGTGAAAGTTACATCAGTTTCCTAACCACTAGGAGGTGCCGTGTTTATTTATAGTGAGCAAGACTAGTAGGCTCCCTGGATTAACTACTTAAAGCTCATAGTTGGACCTGGAGACCCACCTTTAGTCCAAACAGGATTATTACTAGTGCTAGTATTGTTTTGATTTATTATCCACCTTCACCCTAAGGTGTCAGGGCAGCTGGCAATGATTTATCTCACTGGAAAGCTGCCGGAAATTGGAGAAGTGTCCAACTTTTTATTAAGTAACATTTTTATTTAACAGAATTTATCTACGGGTTAGGGAAAGACCTCTAAGCAGTTTACAACACTAAAATATTTGTTTAAAATACACATAAAAACAAACATTAAAAAACCAACTACATTTAAAAAAAATAAGTGGAAATGCTAAAATTACATGTTGGTAGGGCAGCTTGCTGAAACAAAAAAGCTTTTATCAGGTGCCAACAGCATTCCAGCAAAGGTTCCTGCCTCCTGTCAATGGGCAGGGAGTTCCATACTTTCTCTCTCTTTGTCTTTTCTAGTCTGTGGCACAATCAGATACCGAGCGATGTTGAACAAAAGCTGAGGAAGGAAGAGCCACGGCTGCATTTTGCCTTCTTTTGATGAACCAGCAAGGAGGGAATCTGGCTCCTGCCAGGCACGGTTTTGCTGCTGGCCAAGGAAAAGAAGGAAACTGAGCAGGATTCTGGGCTAGCACATAGGTACTGCAACTTCTAAAGAGAAACAGAAGCTGCATGATTATACTTCATCCTCGTGGCCAGAAATGAGCAGCTTCTGCTTCCTCTGCTTCTTTGGTGACCACTCGTAGCCGAGTAAAGTTGTCTTCCATGAACACGGTATTAACAGTGAGTCCGTAAGTGACTGTGGAGGCCAATTCAGGATCCACACGTCCTTCCACAGTGGGGACATAGGTTTCCGGGCGGGAGTTGGTCATGGTGAGGGTTTGCCAAACGTAAGCAACAGCTTACAAAAGAGTAGAATGCTCACTTAGAGAAGCAGGATCTTTGCCTTGGCCTGATTGATGGGAGCATCTTGCAAGAAATCCCAAAGTTCATCTGTGGCAAGGCTGAGTCTGGGCTATGCTTGTTTGGCACTGAAAATACCACTGTCTTCCATCAAGGTGAATACTGATTAAGAAAAACTGGATCCTGCAACATGTATTGTGGACTCTTGTTTGCTTTTGCTTTATTTATTTCACTGATACTTACTTTGCTTGCGTGGAAGAAAGCTGTGCAGGTGTGGGGACGGGACTGCACCTGCAGCCAACCTTCTGACTTTGGAGACTTCACCAGGATGAACCCTGTTTGATGACTGCTGTCACAAACATAAGGACTAGAAACTTGCAGGGCATTTAAAAAATGAAAATAAAAACAGAGATCGCCAGGAAGCTGGATTCTGTACCTAGTATCACCTTTTACACTTTTCCTGCACGTGTGTAGAATTCCACACCTTCTTAGTTTCCAGGACGAATAGGGAAGAAATTCAGTTCTCTGCATTTTGCAGTGCAGTTCTCCAGCCAAGCAAGTTGTACGGAAATGAATATGATTATGGTAAAGTGTGCATGAAAATGCATATATTGGTGACAATGCATTTTGGCTTTGCAAAATTGTGTATATTAGGCAAAATTGTGTTTGAACATGTATGTTAGGGAGAAACTGTTGATGAATTTTCATGAAGACTTTTTTTTAAAAAAATTCAAATGGATTTAGAAATGTGGAGAACCAAATTTAATATTGGAAAACTGAGAGAAACCAGAATGGACAGATATGCCCATCCTTAGTTTTCACATATCACAACCATGACCATTCATTACTGTGGTTCTTCAACCGCTTGGCTTGGATACAGTAAAATCTCGGAATGGACACCTTCCTGTTTTAAAGATCTTGCAAGCGGGGTTGATAGTGAGCAGAAATCTACAGATTCCTTCAGTTTCTTGACTGATTAACTTGATATCCCCACTAGAGGGCACTGTGTCCTTATGGAAATGCCAGAGTTTTTCCAGTTAAAAGGTAGGTGTGGTCTAGAGAAGAAAACCTCAGAACTTGATGCAGCCTCACTCAAAATCAGCGCTGATGCTGGTGTCACTTCTTCTCAGGAAGTGGAGGTGGGAGGGCAGGTGGGGGCAACAATAAGGCAGCACTTCCTGTTTCGCCTCAAGTGGCAAAACGGGACACACCGCCCCCAATTCCGGTGGGTTTTAGTTCATTTCCAGCCTATCAGGTTTTGTCTGTAGTGCCTTATCTGATGTGAGCCCACCCACAGCAGGTTATGCAACACCTGAACCTCAGATGCTCTAAAACAGGGGTGGCTAACCTGTGGCTCTCTAGATGTTGTTGGACTCCAACCCACCTGCCCCAGTGGTCAGGGATGGTGGCAGGAGCTGTGGTCCACCCCGTGTCTGAAAAGCCACAGCTTTCCCACCCTGCTCTAAAACCTTTGACATGCAGGTTTCCTATAGATGCAGCTTGGGATGTGTGAGAAAACCCTAAATTCCCAGCAATGCAATTGAATCCCTGTTGTGAAATGCCAACAGCCAATAGGTGTCAGATGTATCCTGTGCCTTCTTTCCTTTTGCCCTTTCTACTGGCCACTGGGCTACAATTCTGTACCAGTTGCTATTCTTAGTCTCCACTTTTGCCCTTTTCCTACACAAACATCAAACACAGGCTGGATGCTTGGACATTGCCTACAGACAGGCAAAGAGCATTGTAGGTTCTGGCCTTTTAGCCTCTCCTTTGTTTCTGATTTGCTTAGGCAAATGCTGGAACTGAACTTTGCAATACAAAGAGTTGGAGCACTGTTAGAAGATGCGGCTACTTGAGGTAGACAGGCAGGCACCAAGGACATGGCAGGTGGAAGCATCATCTCTCTCTCTCTGTTGAGCTGGGAAATTACATTACAAACACTTGTTTGCATTTGTGGCCAGGATGGTGCTGCTTCTGTTCAAATGTTTCATGCCAAGGAAAGTGGTAATCAGCACTAGAATCTTGTGCCACAATTCCCTGCAAGAATTTCCAGATAAGTCTATTGCTTTGAATAGGTTTGGTGGAAAGATAAAAGGAGGAAATGCATCACCCTCTGGAAAGTTTACAAAGAACTGAGCTAATGCATTTGCTGAACAAATACAGTCAAACCTTGGTTCTCAAACAGCTCCATTTTCGAAAGTTTTGGCTCCTGGATGCCAAAAACCTGGAAGTAAATGTTCTGGTTTTTGAACCATTTTTCAGACCCTGAACGTCTGACGCTGCTTCTGCTTGAGTGCAAGAAGCTCTTGCAACCAATCGGAAGCCGTGTCTTGGTTGTTGAACGTTTTGGAAGTCAAACTGTCTTCCTGAACGGATTATGTTTGACAACTGAGGTTTGATTGTAGACATTTTTGGTGGGACTCGCTTGCTGCTGTTGTTTGCATCTATCTTGAGAGACAATGGAGTGTGCCTCTGGGTGGGGAGTGAAGTTAAACAGCTACATTAGCAGCACTGAAGTGACCTCCCTGGGGCACAAGCCTGGGTAGTTTGCATGGAGGTCCTTGGCTGCCCAGATGACAAGACCCCACTCTGGGACCCTCTGACGTAGTCCAAAAGAAGGCAGAGCAATACGTTTGCCATCAGCTTGGCTACAGGAGTTGCCGGAAGCTGCCCTCCAACCGTGTTAGGTACTCCACTCTGGATTTGAATAGCGTTTACTCCTTAGAATTTTCTTCTCCCAAAGATATCCCGCAAGGCAGCAGAGGTTTAGGATCAGAGTTTTCCTTCTCCCGTATGGGCTGCCTTCCCAGGTTGACAAGCCCCATCTGCCCCTCACCTCTCTACAGCATGTGCAGAAACAGCCTTCTTGACCCTTGGCCCCACTGTTGGTCTCGTCCACTGGAGCCTGTCTTCGCATGCAGGGTAAGTCCCTAACTCACCGAGAGTTTGAGACCCTCATCTGGTTTAGCGGTTTCCTGGGATGAAGCCTGAAACTCAATGAATTGAATTGATTGAGCCTGAAACTCAACGAATCTTAAAGGGAGTCGGTGTGCTATTGTGGAAAAAGACCAGGACGAGGGAGAAACCAGGGAAAGAGGACCTGAGGGCAAGAGCAACTCTCCTCTCCTGTGTTTCCCAGCTACTGGTATTTAGACGCATTTCTCGACAGCTCCCTCCTCCACGAATTTGTTTAACCCTCTAAGTTGCCGGCCATCGCCGCCTCCTGTGGGAGGGAGTTCCGCTGCTTAACTGCATAGTTAAGCAAACGGGGCTCTGCGCCGAAGCTACGCGGCCTTCTGTACTCGGGAAAAGTCCACGTCTGTTGCGCCATCAGAGGAGACGTCCCGCTCCGCTAGGAAGGAAGCCTCCCCCTGCCGGACTTTCCTTCCGAGTCCCGTTCCAGTCGGGCTCCGGATGGTGACTACGAGCTTTCCTTGCGCCGCCCCGAGGGGCTGCCTGCCTGGGGCCTTGATCGGCGCAGAAGGGGAGTATCCCGAGCGGCGGAGGGAGGCGGGACGGGCGGCACGAGATTCCGGAGATTTTGGCGCCTCCGCCCCCCGGGAGGGGCCGAGCTCCCGCCCGCCAGCCCGCCCCTTGCTCGCCCGCCCGCTTTCCGGGTGGGCGCCGTCGACGCCGCCGCCTGGTGCACTCGGGGCTGACCGGAGCGCAGCGCCTGCACAGGGACGCGCCTCCACCTCCTACCGCCGCCGCTGCTCACCGACGGCTCTTTCCCGAGGGCTCCTCCGCCCAGGCGAGGCTGGGCGAGGCGGGCGCCCAACTGGGAGGAGCCGCCGATTCCGCTGTTGCTGCTGGTGGTTGGCGCTCGGAGAAGACGACAGGCAGCGGGCGAGGGAGCGATCTGCCGGGCAGCGGCGCTGCTCTCCGCCGGGAGACTCCGCTGAAGCGCGCTCGGCTCCCTGCGCCGAGGCAAACGACCGCTTGGGCTCGCCCTGCCCGCGGTGAGGAGCGCCCGAGCGGTGAGTACCAGGCAAGGGACGAGGGGTGCGTGTGGGACTGGGGACCCCCTCCCTGTTCCATTGCGCCGCGATCCCTTCCCAAGGCTTGGATTTTGCGCGCGCGCTCTCTCTCCAGCTTGCAGGCTGCCTCTTTTTGCTTCTGGGAGTCCTGTTCACACGTGCCGCCGTACCAGACGCGAGTTTGCCACGGAACGGGCGCTCGTGGAGCCCCCTCCCCATGCCATATCTAGATGACACACGTGTTCGGCGAACACAAGTTTGCCCCCACCTGTTGATCTCGTGTTTCCAAGGCCAGTGTTTTAAAACACAGCTTACTGGGTTCGTTTGTTTTCTGAAGAATGGGTTGCGTGTGCGCCGATACTCGAGAGCCGCCTGTTTTGGTTCGGGGTGAGCTGCAATTCTGCATGCTTCTGCCTTGGGGGATGCTGATGAGAATGGCTGAAAAATGGGAGACAAACGTTGGAGACAACGAAGCAGAACCCTTTAGCAGAGACACGTTGGAGACAGAGAGGCAGGAATCCTAAAAAGGGTATTTCTGTGTGAGTGCAGAGTGCCTTAAACACAGCCAGCCCACACATCGCTGGGGGCAGGGAGAATGGGCTTCCAGGTTAACGAGAAGCAAGCAGACTGAGGAGCTGGCATCTGCCATTTTTAAAGTGGGATTTTGGGTGACCCCCCCCCTTCTCTGGTTGGTTGGTTTAATTTTGCAGGGAAGGGGGTGCTCTCTTGACAGACTGTGGAAGGCTGCGGTGTCTTGGGGAAACGAAAGGCAGGATAGAAATGCAATAAATACTTCAAAGAAAAATATTTCAATAATTTGTATGCCACTTAGTTACAGTACTAATTAATTACAGAAGTTAAAATCAGCCTTCTAAAAAGCAATTAAAAACTCCCAGTAGCAATTGCCTACTCTCAAACAGTTTCAGTGTCGCTGCCAGAATGCAGGAACACCCTGCAACGTCCCAGATGTGGGGACCACCAGCCCCTAGTATTTTCTTTCTTTCCAGGGCTGAAGCTCAGTCTAACCCAAGACTATGGCTTCAGGTGTTGTCGCTGGATTTGGTTCCAACAGTGCATGGAAGGCCACAGGTTTGCCCCTTCCCACTTTACGACCTGATGTTGTGGCACCCTGAAGCACCTGTGCACAGTTTGCTCATTCACACCTGCTAACAGGTCTCCAGCAGGGTGGAGAGGTGCAGAGCTTCAAATCAGTCTGCCCCCATCTAGTTTTCTCTGCATGTTTTGGACTACAACTCCCACCAGTCCCTGTAGCCAGCAGCACCAGTGGTCAGGGATGATGGGAATTGTAGTCCAACGGCACCCAAAGGGCCTAACCCAAAAAGGTTGTTGGGCAACCCTAAAATGCACTTTCCCTCCACTTCCCTAGGCCCTCTCACCACAAGAACAACGGCTGCTGGCCTGAGGCCCCTCTTCCATTGGGGCCCCTCATTCCCTTTTTATTGGTATGGCGTCCTGTCTATGGGATGTAGTCACCAGTGCCACTTGTGATTCCCCCCCCTTAAAAAAAAAAAAGATACTCCCTACACCTGTGCCAGCAGGTGGTTTTCAGTACAGTATTTAGAACTATATCTGCTGTTACTCATTGCTCTTTGGTTTTGTAGTATTGGGGGTTTGAAAACTAACTTTAGAGAGACTTTGCATTGTGGGGTTAAAAAAAATTATATAAAGTGGCTTACATAAGGCAAGATAGCTCTTTTAAATTAAGGAATATACAATTCAGTGTTGACTGCTTCATTGAGTAACTGCAGCCGAAATATAAATGGAAACTAGTGTTTCAACCTCCCAACGGCTGCAGTTGTTACTTGCTTGTGTGAAACTGTTCTAATTCATCTCCTTAGAGCACTACTTCATCTTTTCCTTCGCTGGAGGTTTATTATTGAAGGTCTATTCTTCTTCTTCTTCTTCTTCTTCTTCTTCTTCTTCTTCTTCAATGGAATGATAGCAAATATAGTAACTCTGTATGTCCAGAAATGTCCCAATCGGGGAGCTTCGCACAGGTGTCTGGTGGGTCACAGTGAGAACAGGATGCTGGATGAGAGGGGACCCCTGTGTCCTGACCCGGCAAGTCTTTTTTTGTAGGTTCTTATGAAGAGCGTATTATATTCCTTTAAAAAGGGGGAAAGATTGGGGTGGCAGGGGAGTGTAGAAACAGCATTCACCACAAAGAAACAAAGCGGGGAGAGGAGGTCTACATGAGAGGAGGGGGAAAATATCATAGTGTATAAAGATAAATGGTGTTCTGTTTTAATTAACTGGTTAACTGAATTATTAGGAAGAACTTTCTGGCAGTAAGAGCTGTTTGACGGTGGAACAGACTCCCTCCAAAGATGGTGGACTCTTCTCCATTGGAGGTTTTTCAACAGAGGTTGGGATGCTCCTTCTGTCAGGGATGCTTTAGATGTGATTCCCGTGTTGCAGGGAGTTGGGCTAGATAACACTTAGGGACCTTTCCAAATGTACATGGAATGTTTGTCCCACCCTAACTCCTAAAGGAGCCCAGGGTGGCAAAAAGATGGAATTAAATATAAAATGAAAACAACTTGAAATATTTAAAGCAACGAAAAGAAATCTCAAACCATTAAGAGCATCCAAAAGCACTTAAGAACAGTCCCATATCCCCATTATCCTATGGCCGTGCTGGCCTGGGCTGATGGGAATTTTAGTCTCAAACACCCAGAGGGCACGAGACTTGGGAAGGCTGTTCTCAGCCATTAATGTCCAACCTGTGTGCCTTGAAAGAGCTGCCCATGTGCTTTGGTACAGTAGGTGAAACTCCAGTGAACTCCAAAGAGTTCATCCAGAAATGAGGATCCCCACTGCATCTCTGCATGAGTCATTGCCCTGGTAGTTTTGCTGCATCTCGGAAGAGGTTTTGTGTGTGTGTGTGTGTCACTGCATGAACTCCTGCTTGGGGCTTGTCTCTTTTAAATGAAGAGGCCCAGCCAAATCAGCAGTCCCAACAGAAGCACAATAGCATGGGACTCCTCTGAGCATACAAAGCCGCCACATACCAAGGCAGTTCATTGCACTTGTCTGCACTGGTTTCAGAGTTTGAAGCCAGAGTCGTGGCTGGATGGCCAGGGATTGAGCCTTCTGTGTGCAGAACAGATGCTCTACTACCTTCCCTGATGGCTTCTCAGAGGACCTGTGACTTACACCTTTGGAAACATGAAGGTGAACCATAGCTATCAGAAGTTGGGACGTGCTGTTGCAGAGGTTGGGGTCCCAGTCTTCCTTGGCACTTGGCTTGGTTCTGGGAAGTCCACACACACACTGTTCTCCTCTGTGAGAACTCCCCCTGCTTTGTTCTTCTTGTTAAGCTCTGCCTGATACTGCATTGATGTTTTGCCTGTATAAACTCAAGTTCCTGTCTTCACCTGTTCTGGGTGTATGTGTGTGGGAATCTCCTTTCAACCTTCGCAAAAGCCATGGCAGGGAGATGGAGGCTGGCTCTGTTTGCAGCAGGTTATGCCCTGGTGCAACTCAGTGGCACTTGCGCTATCGAATCAGGGACTAAATGAGATCTCGTAACCCCATTAATCCATCCCGATTTTGCATTTGGTTCTGGAAAATTGCTGTAATTACTGTGTCCTACTTGTTTCACTCTCTCTCTCTCTCCTGCTATTGAATAGATGGTGACTCGCTCTCTGCAGCAGTTATCTGAACAATATATTGGCACTTCCCCAAGATAAGTGGCTGGATCTCTCAAAATGTAGCTGTATAGAGAAAGTTCATTGCTTACAATTAAGCTGCCTGTTCCTTTTTCTTTTTCATGCCTTCATTCAAATCAGATTCCATCCTCCCTGTCAGAATGCACTTGATCTCTACTAGCTTCTGTGGCTTACAGTACCCAGTTCAGACATTACACTTACCTAGATAAGGTTAAGGAAACCTTGGTTTGGCATGGTGTCTGGATGGGGAAACTGTGGTTACTGCCCTTATTTCATTTCAAGGGAACCCTGCAGTGGAGCACTGAGCAGCGCCATAAGACAAAAGATTACTCTAAAGCTGCAGGTCTGGAAGCTCAACCCATTGTTTGTGTTGTTAACCATGGTTAGCCCAAACTGTGGCTTGGGATAATGTTGACCTGGTGTAGCGTGGTTGATGTTCCTTGCACTCACCCACTGTCAAAGGAAGGCTGGAAAGGGCTCAGAGGTCAGCTGATCCAAGCTCTGGTCTTGGGGGAAGGCAAAAAGGTCTAAGGGTTAGAGACTTTTGCCTGTCCAGGCCCATTGTGAAATGAGATCACGTCCACCAGTGAGATTTAAATACTTCACTCCATTAAGTGGGTAGTTCTTCTGCTTGCTTGTGTCTTGAGCTGGGCGTGTTCCCTTGGCCTCTGTTTCCCCTCTGCCCTTGGAGGCAGGCTCAGGCAGAGAAGGGAGGCATCACTCAAGGAGCCACTGAGCCCCCTCCCCCAGCCCAACTCCAGGTAGAAAGTCTCAGGTTCAACCCCCACCAGCCGCATCTCCAGGTACGGCTGCAAATGTCCCTTGCCTGAAACCCTGGAGAGCCCCTCCCAGACAGTGCAGGCAGTTCTGACATAGAGGGACTCGTGGTCTGATTTGGTATAAGGCAGCTTCCCCTATCTTTCTTTGAAGGAAGAACAAAGGTGATCATTTGAGCCTTAGAGGTCCTTTTAATGAGCAGGCATTGAACTCAGGAAGACAGCACTTGGAGCTTCTGAAAGGCCAGCTCTTTCTAACAGTTCTAGGTCAGAGGGGCAGCTTCCAGCTTGAGCGCTGGTTCTCAGGTGTGCTGGAGACAACGTTTCCAATTCATTGGACCCACAAGACTTTAAAGCACATTCAAATCTGCTTTCTGCATCCTTATTACAACGAGGTTATCCAAACTCTGTAATAACAACTGCCATTCAAAACACAAACTTAAGAGAGAGGTCGACCCTTCTGACATCTGGTTTGCATGTTAACACTAGATCTTCACATATTTACGCTTCCCTAGAATATAACCACATGACTTTCGAAATTGAGAAAATTGTCAGATGTCATTGGCATATTCTTAAGGACATCCCTGGGTGTGATAATACCCCCCTTTTTGCCAAACGACGCACCAAGTCACTAAAAGATATATTGGTGCATATGGATTTAAAATCAACACCCATACAACGTACGTTGGCAGGTCCTCCACGTGGTTTCTTTAAACGTGGGCATTGTACCTCCTGCAAATACGCTCTGCAGGTAAAAGAGTTTAACAACAAAGAAGGTTTTAAGTTCGTTTTACAGGCATTTGCCACATGTGCTACTGCACGTGTAATTTACATGATTAGATGTCCCTGTGGATTGTTGTATGTAGGTCATACTCTCAGACCTATCAAAGTAAGAATATCAGAACACCGATCTAGGATCAGGAACAATGTAATAGATGCTCCTTTAGTACAACATTTTATTGAAGCGTCTCATTCTAATGAGGACTTGACATTTATTGTAATTTGGACGTTTTCAGGTCCTGTAGAACGAGCTAAAAAAATCCTTATGCAGAAAGAAACTAGGTTTATTTTCTTATTCAATTCCTTACATGCCTCAGGTCAGAATACTGAAATTGATTATAGTTGTTTTTTGTGAATTTGTACTAATGTTTACATGTAGAACACCTTAGCATGGACTAAGTTTGTTTCACCTCTGTGGGCCAAGTGGATTATTTTGAGTACTTAATTGTGCATCTGTGGATTGCTATTAACTTTAGATCCAAAAATTGTTTACATTAATGTATGAGTTTGTATTAATGTATATATGTATATCATCTGAACATGGATTAAGTTTGTTTTATTTTTGCTGTGCTATATGGGTCACTTTAAGAAAGATATTCTGTATCTGTGGATTGCCAACACCTGTAACCCAATCAATAGACTCTGTGAAAGGATTTTGTGGAACTGTAACAACCTTTCATGTGGCTTGTTTGGACTTTATGAACAGACAGGTGGAATAGACACCATTACACGGATGGACCTTGTGCATGAACTGACTAGAGAATGATCTGATCCACTGGGTCTTCTGCTTTGTTTGTTTGTTGAACTTTATGAGTTACTTCTGTTGAAATTTGATACAATGAATAGTATACCTTATTTATCTAAGAACACAGCTGGTTAAGTCTCGTGTGTTTATTGAGGAGACAACGTTTGGGCAGATCTGACATTCTGTTGCTACCATGTTTGTGGGAGGCTATAAAAGTTGTTATATGCTCAAGATTCTCTTGGCCCCTGAGAGATCTGGTAGGGGTGTGACAGGCTCCAAACCAACCCAGAACTACAGCTTGCTCCTCTGGAACTTCTGGGCTTCTGTGGTTGCAATGCAAAAGGCCTTGTAGCAACTGGTAGTTCCCAGTTCCTCCACTGTGCTCTCTGTCTTTCAAGAATGAGTAAGCTCTTCACTTTCAAAAGCTGTTTTTGGCTAGTTGCCCTCAATTCTTGTGGGTGAGGTTGTTGTTGTTTTTTTTACAGCAGTAAGCAGACTTCTTCCAAATGTCAGAAGTTGTCAGACTGCTTATCCTTCCAACCTGGCAGAAGCTTTTGAGGCCTGGGCAAAGAGGAGAGCTTCTCCTGCCCTCTCATCCTTTCAACTAGAGACCCTGAGGGTTGACTCTGGGACCTTTGCATGCCAAGCGGGTGCCCTGCCACTGAACTTGAGATGTTGGCCAAGGCACAAAAGATGAATCCTTATTAAATGATGTCTGATAAAGGTTGCTAGAGCCTCTAAGGCTCAGACCATGAGACAGGTGGAATACAGCTTGGTGGGTCTGGCTGCGCTTGGCGGCTGAGGGGGTGGAGCTTGAGCTGGGGGCGGAGCTAATAGCAAAAGCTCTCAAACTAAGCAGAACACAGCCTGCTGTGTGTAAACAAAGAATCATTTCCCAGCAGGAAATAGTCTTCAGCTTATTTGGCAATAATGTGGGTCAGGAAGGTGTAACACCTTTCTAGCAAATGGATCTGTTGAACAGAGAGAAAGACCTCACCTCAGATCTGCACACCAACCTCTTATGCCCAAGTGCTGCAAGACGACTCAGTTGGACAGAAGCTCTCTCTCCTGGGGACTGACTGGGCTGGGCATATGTGTGCTGCCTTTTTACTGGCAGGCTGTTAAACATGGCCCTGCAAGCAGAAATCTAGCAGGAAAGGCTTCTTCCATCACTGTGTGATGCCAGTAAGAAGCTTTGCTTGCACTCCCAGGGACATGTGTGGATGGTGTAGATTTGGCTGAGGCTCCTGGATGTGCCTGAGGCATGTTGCCAGGCACCCGGGTGACTCTCAATCATTACAGGGGAGACTCATGTTGAAAACACAGGATGGTTTCCCCTCCTCTTTCTTTGGCCGCCTCGTGTGACGCAGCACTGCCCCCTCTCCTCAAGCCATAGGCTGTGTTCTTAATGTTGGAATTGGATTTGTTTGTGAGCTGGATTCGATTTTGCACTCACGGCTGTAATTATAAAGGTTGCCTGCTGCCACAGGAGAGAGAAGTGGGCGTGCTTGTGTATGTTTCATTCATTGATTCCCATTGAGTATTAGAGGATACACAAAGGTACAGCTGATTGCCACTGCCAAACGGTGTTGTGAGCTGTGTGAGAACAGCGGTGCCATGTTGGAGGGGGTTGTCTTTCAGCATGGCCAATCATATTATTGCTAGTCAGACATAATGGGTTATACTTCCATTCCTGGGGGGTCTTTTCAAGTAAGGATCAAAAGCGCCTTGCAGAAAAAAACATTGTTGGAGGGAATAAAACTGCACCATCGAGATCCGGATACCAATTCTGGGGAAGAGGATGGCACATCAGATACCGCCTTCTGTGCCAGACCATTGATCGTCCAACTCAGTATTGGCAGTGACTCTTCAGGGTCGCTGGCAGGGACCTCTCCCAACACTACCTGCCAGGACCTTCTGCATGCAAGGCTGAGGCTCCGCCATTGAGCTACAGCCCTTCCTGTAGTTGATCCATTATTTTGGATTATCCCATTTTCTGGAAAGACAAGATGGCGCCTTCTCAGTTCCAGGCACAGAAGCCAACCAAGACTGGCAGCCAAATCTGACTCCAGCAAGGGGAGTGCTGGCGAGGGGACAGGCCCAGAGTGGTTTAACTGCCCATTCCTCTTCCAGGGAACATTGGGAATTACAGCTGTGGGAGGGGAATAGGGATCTCCTGACAACTCTCAGCGCCGTTAACAAACTACATCTCTCAGAATTCTTTGGGGAAAAATCATGATGGTTTCAAGTGGCATAACGGTTCTTTAAATGTATGGTGTAAATGTGGCCTTGGATCATTTACTCTTTGTTTAGAGAACTTATATGGTCTCTTTCATTCATTGAAAAGTGTAAGCAAACTGGAACTCACTTCCAGGGTGGCTGGTAGCATTAGCAGCACTTTAGTAGTCATTTTAAAATGATTATTTAAGGTTCAAGAAGAATTTTTATCAGAGTAGATGAGCCATGCCAGGACACTTTTTTCCTACCCCCCCCCACTAATCTGAGCTGTTTGACAGGCCTGGCTGCGCATTTAAGCTCTGAGCAGGATTTATTTTAGTTGTATGTTAATATTTTAATACATTTTAAAATGCATTGGCATCTTTCTTGAGGTTCCAGGGATGGGAATAGCAATAAGTTTGATAAATCGTTCATGCATCCTCTTCATTTTGCGGTCCACCCCATTGGCTCATAGCAGATAACACGTTTGCTGCAAAACTCCATATTGCCTTGCTTAAACCCCCAGCTTGCTTTTTCCATGGCCACCAGGAGTCAATATGAATTGTGGTCAAAGTTCGCTTTGCTTCTGGAAGAACCCTGTCCTTGTTCTAGGCATGCTTTGGAATAAGCCGGCAGAGTCCTGACCGTACCACCTGACACTGGACTGCACCACCTCAGAATGCGGATGAGCGGGGGAATCACATTTTTAAAGCACTATCTGTGAAAACCCCTCTCTGAATATCACCCCTGTGCCACAGGTCCAAAACAAAGACCTCCTTCCTAGTCTGCTAAAACAACAACAACAACCTTCCAAGCTCCTTGCAAATAAAAAAGTAGTGCAACAAAGGTCTGGGATGGATCCCCCCCCCTCCTATTTTACTTTTGGGGAATCATGGCTGATTTTTTGTTTTGTTTTAAGCATAGGGAATCTGTACTTCCCAGTCTGCAGTGGTAACATTCATTCTGCCGCTGCAAGACTCTCCCATCTGACTCTCCTGCCCCAAAGCCTTGCATGGCCTCTCCCCATCATCTGCATGTTGCTTGTGACAGGACCCTCTTGGGGACTGGATCTCCAAAAGAATGGGCACTCTGGGATCGTGCAGAGCCTGTATGTGTAGATTCCCCTTTTCACCTGTCTCACTGAATGTGAAGATCTCAGAGGTAGGGCTCATAGAGACTGGGGGAGGCGGTTCTCTTATCCTCTCCATGCGCTGTATGTTCACAGGGAGTGGCCCAAGTAAACATCCTTCTAGAACTTGTGCTTCAATGAGTTTCCAGGTAATGCCCTCCTGTATCCCCTTGTGGCCCCAGTTTGAAGCACCAGTTACAAGTATGGCCAGGAGTGGTCTCTTAATCTCCACTTGCATGAGCTGACATAACGATGTAGGCAATCTCTTAGACCTGCTGGGTCCAGGGTTTGTGTGTTGTGTGTGTTTGTGTTTGTGTATACACATACAATCTCTGTAATGCATACATCAATAAGAGACTGGAGCCTGCTCTGGCTGGCCAGTGTCCTTTCCCCCCTTTCTCTGGTCCTATCTGCCACAAACTGCCTTGTGGACGGGAACATCGGAGGTTGACCCCTCTTCCAGGAGGTCTAGCTGCTTGATCTTCCTTTTCAGTGTATATCCATTGTATCTTATCAATGTTTTGGCATCAAGCCAACAAACAAGATGCAGAATGACTAAATATATGACACAGGTAAAGTATTTATTTTTATTTATTTTTTTGCACTTCATATATATGCACATATGAATGGTATCCCCATCTTTCCTCCAAGCAGCTTGTGGCAGCCGGGCCCCTCCCACTTCATTCTTTCCCCTCCCAACATCCCTGGGAGGTTGGTTAGGCTGTGACCAAAATCATCTAGTGAGCATCATGGCCAAGTATAAATTTGGAGCCAGGTCTCCCTGGTCCTCCTGTGGTGTTCTAGCCCATGGGGGTGGGGAGCTGGTGCTCATCAAATGCTATTGGGTTCCCAACTCCCATCAACCCCACAGCATGGCCAGTGGACTCAGGGATGGTGGGAGTTGTAGTCCTCCAGCAACACGCGGAGGGCTAGAGGTCCCTTTCCCCTATGCTAGTCCTGACCCCAGTCCTGGCTCTAAAGTAGACCTGGAGCTCTTTTGTCTTCAGTGCTGGCTCCAGGGGATCTTTGGCAGGATGCCCTCAAAGGATTCCTTCCACCGCCATTGGTGCCAGCTGTTGCTTGCTAGGCAGAGCCAAGGAAGAAGCAGATGGTGAGCCTGCCCCTCTCTCTTGACACTCCTGCTGCTGTTTTCTTGCTCTTACCCTCTGGGCCAGAGGGAGCAGGTTGCAGTCTCGAAGGGGAGGAGGAGGAGCTGGTCCAGGGGGCTCAGGTCAATGGGCTCCTCTGCTGGGGTGTGGGGCCATTGACAGATGCCTGAGTATGCCAGTACTTGGCACCAGCACTGTTCACCTTGACCAAACAAGCATCAAATTCACTCTGGGCATCCGCCCTATGGCAGTGCCTTGTTGCAGTTTTGTGAAGTAGGCTTCTTAAGGCCTTTGCTGGGTTCCCTCCTTGCTTTAGATTGGGGCTGTTCTTAATTAGCTTCACTCATTAGCTTTGTTTGGCTTGCTGCCTTGCATAATGGCAAAAGGTGGAAAGGAGCAATGCAAGAAGCATCCCAGTAGAACAAGATTCCCATCCGCTCTCCAGTCACCTGCTGAGGATGGGATGAAAATCAAGGGAGATGCTTTTTTTAATGGATCCCTTTAAGAAACAACCCCAAGCTCTTCACTTTGGTCTGGCTTTCATGAGCTGGGCTCTCTTGTTCCTGTTCTCGGACCCTTTTGTACGGACCATGTGCATGTGGAGCAAGCTTGTTTTCTGCTGGGGAGGACCTGAACCAATGGCCTCCAATGACAAGACAGGAGATAACAACTAAAGGTTAGGAAGAACTTTCTGAGGCTAAGAGCTGTTCGTGGACTGGACTGCCTTGGAAGGTGGTGGAGTCTCCTTCATTTGAGGCTTTTAAGCAGGGGTTGCGTGGCCATCTGCCAGGGGTTCTCAAAGGCAGTGGTAGTGAAGGCTCCATCTTCCAAGAACTAGGGAGCTTCACGGGTATCTTTTGCTCAATAACTAAGTGTGACCCAGCAGCTCTTCACCGCTTGACTGGTGGTTGGGTCATGTTCAACAGCTGAGGGAGATGCTCCATGATTCCGATTCTGTGCCCTCTAGTAACACTTGAAGTGGCACTTGCAGCTCTTCTCACCTGCAGCTTGATCAATGACCTCTGGAGGTTACCTGCAGCTGCCGGTGAGATTGGCAAGTGGCATTACTTGTGGGAATCAGAGGTGTGAGATCCTTCCTATAGAGATCACTGTGTCCCACTGGGTTTCTCCATTCCACCAGTATTCCACTATGCTCCCTGTATCAATGCCATCCTCTTGAGACAAAGCACTCCAGTCCACCATATTGTCTCAGAGGCTTCTAGCATTGGTGTATAAACACTTGTATATATTATCTCTCTCCAAGTGTCTTTGGCACTTGTGGCTTGACTTGTAGTGCTTTGGCCTCTCTCAATTGCTGTCCCGTGCGCCTGTAGCCAAAACGCCTAGTTCTCCTCCATCCCCATTTAATTTAATCATCTTCATTCATACCTGGGGGAGAGATTCATTCTGAACCTGATCCTCCTCAGCTCCTGATACTGAAGGAATCAGCCCTGCGTCCCTTCCTTCCTACCTCCCCTGCCTTGTGGAAATGTACAGCCAGTTTGAATGCATGCTGTGATGTCATTGCAGCTCCTTTACTCCACATTACCGGTTGTCGTTTGGAATTGGGGGTGGGAAGCACAAACTTTTGACACAATGATGTTATGTCTCGGGGAGTAGGCGGCAACCCTTTGATATTCATAAAAAACAACCAAGTGTCTTTTTACCCTTTAAAGATCAACAGATTTATTGTGGCATAACCTTTTCTGGGCTAGAGGCCACTTCCTCAGGCCCATGCCAGAACAAATCTACCGGGCTTTTTTGCTGCCACAAGACTGTGCTTGCTACCCCTCTATAAATAGTTACCACTCTGCATGTAGCATCTCACCTTTGCCGAAGCGAATCATCTCTGCCTGACCTTTGCTAAAGGAAGCATCTCTTTGGAGGCGGATAAGTGTGCTCAATGCACCTCTCTCTGCTGAGAAGAGATTCACTTCTCTTGGGTGAGCAAGTTCTTTCTTCCCAACTGTGAATAAACTCTACAGCACAGGGATAGGAATTAGCAACAGAGCAGTCCACATGCGGCTGGCTTGTGTGAGCTGGCAGTGGAGCCAGGAAAACTCTTACTAGCTGTTGCTTCTCACTGCTGAAATCACATGTCTCCCTTGTGGTATATTAAATTGAGCAAGAGAATTTGCAAAAGTGCTTGTAAGCATGGCATGCGGGGGATGGGAAATGGTCAGAGGTTCTGGATGAGTTCAGACATAACAGGAAGCTGTCATTTCCTACAGGGTGTGCCTTAGGCTTATGTGTTTTATACCCTGGAAGGAGGTATAGATGGATACGTGCTTCATAACCTTCATCTATGGCCGTTCCTCATGTGCCCCATCCAACAGAGGTGTGGGTGTGGGTGGGTGTGTGATGTGAGAGTGAGGCCTTTTCAGTGGTAGCTCCCCATTTGTCAAATTCTCTCTCCAGACCTCTTGAAATTAACACAAGAAGAGCCTGCTGGATCAGGTCAGTGGCCCATCGAGTCCATTTCTCACAGGGGCCACCCAGATACTTCTGGGAAACCAGCAAGCAGGGTTTGTCCACAAGAGGACTCCCCTCTTGCGGCTTCCAGCAACTATTAATCAGAAGCATTCCTGCCTCTGTCTAGTTAGTACAGTGGTACCTCGGGTTAAGTACTTAATTCGTTCTGGAGGTCCGTTCTTAACCTGAAACTGTTCTTAACCTGAAGCACCACTTAAGCTAATGGGGCCTGCTGCTGCCACTGTGCCACTGGAGCACGATTTCTGTTCTCATCCTGAAGCAAAGTTCTTAACCCGGGGTACTATTTCTGGGTTAGTGGAGTCTGTAACCTGAAGCGTATGTAACCCAAGATACCACTGTAGTCATTGACGGCCTTCTCCTCCGTGAATTTGTCTAATCCTGTTTTGAAGTTGTCTAGGTTGATGGCCATCACTGCCTCCTTTGGGAGCAAGTGCCATAGTTTTATCTCTGCACTGTGTAAATAAGTAGACTTTAATGGACCTAACTTAGCCATAATAAATTCATCAGGTCTACTCTGAGTAAAACATAGTTGAGAACACCCCCTCATTTTTAATTTGGAGGGTTGTCAGTGCCTTTTCTTGCACTCCTTGTTCAAGCTGGGTGAGCAGGACATGCTGTTCTAAAATATATTGTCAGATGAGTGTCTTAGTCTGATTTAAAGATAAAAAACCATGGGAAGGTAGGTGGGAGCCTTGAAGTTTTCACCAGCACCCAGTGAGCCGACCCACAGGTCACCTGGTTGCAGCCTCCCGTACTATACTGAGGTGCCCTGTAATTATAGCAATTGTTTCTAAATTTGGTTCTACACATATATTAATCAGCTTATGCAAATTTTATACAAATCTCTGTCCTCATTTCTCCTTTTTTATTTTGTGTGCATGTGATTTTTTTTCTTTTTGGCCCTAAGATACAAACTTTGACAGAGGTTTGTATATTAACCCAGGCAGCTGAATATAGCACAGTCCTAATTGTGTGACAGTGCCCAAGGCATCTCTGATCAGTAGCACAATTTCTTTCCCAAAGGTGATGCTCTTACTGACTTCAAAGGGAAAGTACTCTCCTGTGCATCCATGTACTTAAGGTATTGTCTATCAAAGTTGGTGAAGCTGTTTGTCACCTACAGCAGGGAAAACCCAACGTGGCTCTCCAGGGTCTCTCTATTTAGTGCTTGGCGAATTTCAAATGCTGCTGGAAAGTGTCCTGGAACTCTGACCTTGCCTCTTGCTTGTATGGGTGGTGGATAAAGACAGGCATGTGTGTAGAGGTAAAAGGAACATTTGTTGCTCTGCCCACCTTTCCTTCTAGCTCTGTCCCCTACTTGCCCATGGCCTTCGGAAAATTGCCCAGGTAGGAATGCAGCTCCTTGGGCTGGGGAAAGTTCGTTTCGCTGACCTCCAGAAATCCTGCTTCCATTTTTTTTTTTAATAATTTTTTATTAAGGTTTTAAACAAAGAAAAAAGAAAAACAACACACACACAAAAAAAAATACAAAATTTAACAATAAAAACACAAAACATAACAATTAAAAACAAACTCTCTTTTCCATTCCCAATTTTAAATTACTTATTTTCTGGACTTCCTCATACCTCCCTCTTTTGTATTCCAATCTGCATTATTTGTCCAGCAGTTTCTTTTCCACTTTAAACCCAATCTTTAATTTAATAAAATATTAAAATATATAACTTCAACTTTTTTAAACATAATCCTTGTTCTTAATGTCATATACCTTTAAATTTTTCCCTTTTATTATCAAATTTCCATTTCTTTAAACATCTTTAATCTTGATCTTTAATCTTAATCTATCCTTAACTTTAACCTGTACAGCTGGAAACCACTTATTTTCAATCCAACATCACTCTAACATTCCTTAATTTTGCAATGTTTCTGAAGATAGTCTTTGAATTTCTTCCAGTCTTCCTCCATCGACTCTTCTCCCTGGTCACGGATTCTGCCAGTCATTTCCGCCAATTCCATATAGTCCATAAGTTTCATCTGCCATTCCTCCAGCGTGGGAAGTTCTTGTGTCTTCCAATACTTTGCGATGAGTATTCTTGCTGCTGTTGTTGCATACATAAAGAAAGTTCTATCCTTTTTTAGCACCATTTGGCCCACTATGCCCAGGAGAAAGGCCTCTGGTTTCTTGGGGAAGGTATACTTAAATACCTTTTTTAATTCATTATATATCATTTCCCAGAAAGCCTTAATCTTTGGGCACGTCCACCAAAGGTGAAAAAATGTACCTTCAGTTTCTTTACATTTCCAACATTTGTTATCGGGCAAGTGATAGATTTTCGCAAGCTTGACTGGGGTTATGTACCACCTGTATATCATTTTCATAATATTCTCTCTTAAGGCATTACATGCCGTAAATTTCATACCAGTGGTCCATAACTGTTCCCAGTCAGCAAACATAATGTTGTGTCCTACGTCCTGTGCCCATTTAATCATAGCCGATTTTACCGTTTCATCTTGAGTATTCCATTTCAGCAGCAAGTTATACATTCTTGACAGATTCTTAGTATTGGGTTCTAACAATTCTGTTTCTAATTTTGATTTTTCCACCTGGAAGCCAATTTTCCTGTCTAATTTAAATGCCTCCATTATTTGATAATAATGAAGCCAGTCTCGCACTTTGTTTTTAGTTTTTCAAAACTCTGCAATTTCAGTCTATCTCCGTCTTGTTCCAAAATTTCCCAATATTTCGGCCATTTGACCTCCATATTGACCCTTTTCAAGGCTTTCGCTTCCATTGGTGACAGCCACCTTGGGGTTTTATTTTCTAGCAAATCCTTATATCTTATCCAAACATTAAATAGCGCTTTCCTGACAATGTGGTTTTTAAATGCTTTATGTGCTTTGACCTTATCATACCATAAATATGCATGCCATCCAAATACATTATTGAAACCTTCCAAATCCAAAATGTCAGTGTTTTCAAGAAGTAGCCATTCTTTCAACCAGCAAAAAGCTGCTGATTCATAATAAAGTTTGAGGTCTGGCAGGGCAAATCCACCTCTTTCCTTTGCATCTGTTAGTATTTTAAATTTTATTCTAGGTTTCTTGCCCTGCCAGACAAATTTAGAAATATCTTTCTGCCACCTCTTGAAACAGTCCATTTTGTCCACAATCTGCAAAGTTTGAAACAAAAACAACATTCTAGGCAATACATTCATTTTTATCGCAGCAATACGGCCTAGCAGTGAAAGCTTCAAGTTTGACCAAATTTCTAAATCTTTTTCACTTCTGACCAACATTTTTCATAATTATCTTTAAATAAATTCCCATTTTTTGCTGTCATGTTAATCCCCAGGTATTTAACTTTCTTAACCACTGTTAACCCTGTCTCATTCTGAAACCTCTCTCTTTCAAACGGTGTTAAATTTTTCTCTAAAACCTTGGTTTTTTAATTTGTTCAATTTAAATCCTGCCACTTGACCAAATTCTTGAATCAGTTCTAAAACCCTTTTTGTACTAGATTCTGGCTCCTGTAACGTCAATACTAAGTCATCTGCAAATGCTCTCAATTTATAGTGTTTAGTTCCGACCTGTATACCTTTAACCATCTGGTCCCTTCTAATCATATTCAGCAACACCTCCAGGACCGAAATAAAAAGAAGAGGGGAAATTGGGCAACCTTGTCGTGTCCCTTTTTCAATTTTAAGTTCTTCCGTCACAACATTATTTACAATTAGTTTAGCCTTTTGTTCTGAATAGATTGCACTTATACCATTCTCAAAACCTTGGCCTACCCCCATACCCTGAAGATTCTTCTTCATAAAATTCCAAGAAATATTGTCAAAGGCTTTCTCCGCGTCTACGAATATCAACACTGCTTTAGTGTTTATATTCACTTCTAGTTTTTCCAAAATATCAATTATATTCCTCAAATTATCAGACAAGTGTCTTCCTGGGAGAAAGCCCGCTTGGTCTTTATGAATCTCTTCCAACAGCACTTTTAAAAATCTCTTCGCCAAAATATCTGCAAAAATTTTGTAATCCACATTAAGTAATGATACTGGGCGGTAGTTCTTTAGTTGTGTCTTTTCAGCCTCTGTTTTTGGTACAAGTGTAATATATGCTTCTTTCCACGACTCTGGTGCCCTCCTCCCCTCCATTATTTCGTTGCAGACCTCTTTCAATGGTTGAATTAGCCATTCTTTTAAGGATCTGTAGTATCTAGAGGTCAAGCCGTCTGGGCCTGGAGATTTACCCAGTTGCATGTTTTGAATGGCACCTTCTATTTCCTGTTCTGTTATTCTGTCATTCAAAATTAGTCTTTTTTCTTGAGATATTTTTGTAATCCATTTGTTTTCAAAAATTGGTCTAAGTCTGTTTCTTTCACAGGCCCTTGAGTGTATAGTCTTTTAAAATACTTCTGGAAACAACTTCTTATCTCTGCAGGGTTCTGTATATTCCTTCCATCCACTTCTAAATTCGTATCAGAAATCCTGCTTCCAAGCCCTTCTCCAACAGCTTGAAGTAGTGCAGCCCAAGGAACGCTTTCCATTTGACCCTGCCGGTAGTCATGCGAACTGGCCCCAAGTGCACTCATGCTGGGGTTCTGTTCCAAGGGTTCTCCGTCTACGTGGAAATTGTGTCTATCCAAACCAGTAGAACAGCCTCGTGGCTAGCAGGTAAGGGAGAGAGAAAGAACTCTCCTGTTCTCCCAGGACCCATATGCTGAGCGGGCCTCGTTCCCCTACCCGCCCCCCCCCCACAAGCAAGGTAGGGAGCTTAAAATCTTGACACTGGAAAACCTTAAAAAGATCTGGCACAAAGAGAGTTTTTAAACTCTCTGTCATTCTTCATTTAAGTGGTGCAGTTTCAACCGGCCAGCCTTCAACTGCGTAAGTTCAAGACCTCGCAGGCTAAATGAGCATAAGATGCAATTGTACTGTAGTTGCAGGTAAATCTCAGCACCCCCTCCCTACATTGCTGCTGGATCCAGCTGAGCACATGACTTCTGGATATCCCCCCCCCCAAAAAAATCTGTCTTTAACCCTACCCTACGGTGTATTATTAGTACAGTTGGAAACTCCGTGTTGCCCGCCCGCAAGTGGTGATTATCTACTAGAGCTCTGCAACTCAGCGTTTCCACTCAGTGAGACTCGCTTTTCTTTTAATTGCACCTTTTGAATTGTCCTGCGAGTCTCCTTCCTCTTATCTTTCAGCCAGGCTCCTTAGCTTTGTGTTAGCCAGGCCTGGTGTCTCTTGCACTCCACCGACTCTCTTTCCGTTTTGTCGGCATAAACTGACCGAAAGAATCCCCACGCTTGCAGACGCACGCAAGATCACGATGTGTTCCATCTTTAGCTTGCAGAAGTCTATTGAGATTGAAGGTGAGTACTTGGGAGTCCCTTTGATTCTCTGCTCTGTCTCCAGATCTGCCCCCCCCCCCAGCTCAGGCTTCTTTTTTTAAAAAAATCCCACCTCATATCTTCCACCCAGAGGCAGACACCAAGGACTCAGTTCTAATCCCTGGTTAAGTCTACAGGTTCATCTTTCTACAAAGCAGACACTGTGGAACTTCTTCTGTGAGTCTGCTGTGCAATTTGATGTTATTTTTTGTTGGTGCATCTGTGTTTTTATCACTGGTGAGGATGGTGTGGAAAATGCTTGGTATTTAAGCTGCTTTCGAAAACTGCTTTGGAGAACTGTGCACCTTCCCTTTGAAACAGCATTGCTAAAGCCAGGGCTGTCTTAAGCATATGCAGCGCCAGGGTGAAAAGATCCACCCGGCGCCGCCCCCCCCCCCCAGGTTGCCCAGTCCCAGGCGTGCAGGAGGGTGGAGCCGGCCGGCCGGCCGCCTCAGCGTCTCGCTGGCTTGGTCACCCCCAAACTCACGGCGCAGAGCCGTCCACAGCAGAAGAGCCCACCGCGGTGCTCCGACTGATGGGCGGGCTCTTCCCCAGACTCAACTCTCGGGTCCCGGACTCTTGGCCTGGTGCCCCTGAGAGCCCAACGCCCGGGTGTCCCGCACCCCTGGTGCCTATGGGTAAGACGGCCCTGGCTAAAGTCCTGCTTGATGTCATTGTACATGACAAATCTTTGCTGGAAGATACAGTGGTACCTTGGTTTGCAACCGCTTTGGATTACAACCATTTTGGATTACAACCACGTCAAACCCGGAACTGCGTGTCCCTTTTTTTGGATTACAACCCATTTTGGGGGGGAGGCCCCATAGGTGAAAGCACGCCTTGGGTTAAAACCTGTTTTGGTTTACAGCCGGACCTCCGGAATGGATTATGGTTGTAAAGCAAGGTACCACTGTAGTAGAGAATCCACTCTAGTCAGTGACTGAAATCAATTCATTCTTGCTAGAGAATCTCCACTGGTAGGAACTTAACTCCTCTCATGTATATGAAGCTTCTTCACATGGAGTCTAACCATTGGTTCCTCCAGAGTAGACCTTCCCTATCCAGGTGCCTCCAGATCTTTTAGACTGCAACTCCCATCATTCCAAGCTGGCAAAGCTGAGGCTGGTGGGAGTTTTGTAGCCAAAATATATGAAGGGTAGCAGGATGCTTTGCCACCTGACAACTTCAGTCCTTTTTGTCCCTCGCAGGGTTCTGTACGTGTTCGTGCTGTAAACCTAGAGTGGGGAACATGCATCCATCCATGTGTTTTTGGACTACAACTCCCATCATCCTTGACCATTGGCCATACTCATTGAGGCTGATAGGAGCTGCAGTCCATGAGTAAGCCACCTTTGTGTTAGGATTGTAGGCCCTTAAAATTGGAACATGTTTGGTGTTGGCCCCACACCTGGCAGGTGCTGCTGGGTAGGGGGAATATTGTTGGCCTGAACCATGAATGAGGGAGAAATTCAATTTAGTATCCATTTAAAGATGAATTTAGCAAATGTGTGTTTTCCAAAACAATAAAGCCGGGGTTGTTTTGGAAAGCTATGTAAGCTGGGATAGCTCAGTCAGTAGTGGGTGAGACTCAGAGTCGTGGGTTTGAGCCCTACAATGGGTGAAAAATTCCTGCACTGCAGGGGTTAGGACTAAATGATCCTCGTAGTCCCTTCCAACTCTACGGTTTTGTGATTCTGCTATTCTGATTCTGTGGTAGAGTGCTCTAGCGTTTGAATCCTACTTGCTGGTTTCCTACAATTTTATGAGGACACTGTCATCCTTTGCAATTTGTGCTTATCTAAATTTGCAATGCACTTCTATAACCAAAATGCATTATGTTAGGGGGAAAGTGTACATAAGAATTAATTTATTGGTGAAACTAAAATTTTATTAGGAACAACTACTTACAAAAATGTTTTCATTAGCCAACACAGCATACAAAAAAAATCAATAAAATACAGAAGACTTTTCATTAAAATAATTTTAATAGCGAATTGTTGCAGATATGTGTACTGAATGTCAGCTTGGAAAAAGAAGAGTACCAAAATTGGCAAGGTCCTTACGTTTTTACAATAATTTTTATTAATTTTCCATTACAATCCAATAATAGCCTCATTATAACAATACCAAATTATAATACACTTGCTAATACCAATCATTCATATACCGAATTATATAATTTACGTGGCCACCCGCTTGCTAGATTTGATAGTTTTTTTATTTCTGCATTCCAAAATCTTATTAATTTCAATTACATTCCGGTCAAAATAATAATCCCTTATACAACAACTGCAATATTAATAACTTCTATTTGTGTTGACACGTTAAATGATTTATAGAACTACAAGTGAGGCACTCAGACTATATCCTTGTTCTTCCTGTGTGTGGCAGTTATTCTGTCTGTGGTGTTTCTTCCTGTCCTTGTAAAATGCTTTGTCTATCTTTTCCTGGTTGTTGCTGTTCTCCATCATGCCTTGGGTGGAGCTGATATCCCAGGCAAGGTCCTTTCTTCCCTGATTCTACAAGTAACTCATAAGGAGGGATGGTAGTTCAGTAGGAGAGCAGGTGTTTGTATGCAGAAAGTCCCACTATCAATTGGCAGGATAGAAAAGTGGTTCCCAAACTTTTTCACACCCCTGCCTTCTTGATTCCACAAACTCATCCCCCTTCCTATAAAAAACGTTATTCACACTAGCGGTTTGCACCACCCACTAAGGAAGATAACGGCACAATAAAATTCAAAAGAAGCAAAAATTAATTTCACAATATTTATTCAAAATCCAATTAACATTATTTCATTCAATCCGTCCAACAAAACTGATAAACTTGATCCAGTGATGCTAGCTTTTCAAAGTCTGCTAGTCATTTAGCAAGAACCTTAGATGCTATGTGTAGTAAATACACTTCACTGTTCAAGTAAATGCTTCATGCAATGTTTGGGCTTGAAGAAGTGATGCCAGTCTCCAAATTTCTGGCTTGAAGCCACTTAGCAGCAGTCTTAACTCACCACTTTCAGTGCCTCCCTTCCTCTTAGCACCCCCTAGGTAATCCCCTCTGCTGTGGGTGATACTGCCCCATTTGAGAATGGCAGGAATAGATCAGCATCTTGAGACTCTGGAGAGCCTCTGCCAGGCAGTGTGTGAATCTGAGGTGTGAAACCTTAGGCCTGGGGGGCTGTGTGTGGCTTTCCTGGCCTTTTCTATCCAGTCCTGAAGACCCACCCTGACCCACACCCCCTGCCTTGCCTCCACCCAGCTCATGACCCTCCCACCAACCCTGCTCTGTACCATCTTTGAAGGTTTTTATTGGCTGTATTGTGTCCTCAGATTCTGAACATGCTGTTAATTATTTATTGCATTTAATGTATATGCCACCTTTTTGTCCTCCACGGAGATCAAGGTGACGTACATGGTTCCTCTGCTCTCTCATTTTATCCTCACAACAACCCTGTAAAATAGGTTAGGCTGAGAGACAGTGACTGGCCCAAGTTCACCCAATGAGCTTCATGGCTGAGTGGGGATTTGAACCCTGACCTCTTCCAGGTCCTGGTCTGACAGACTAACCCCACTGGGATAGAGGGGTGTGTGTGTGTGTGTGTTGAAATTAGCCTACTGTACAAAGGTAAAATATTTATACTTTGCTCCCAGCATTTTTGCTTCTGGCCCTTCCCATCTCTAGCATGTGGCCCCCAGAAACTTCCCAAGGGACAAATGTGGCCCACCCATTTCTGGTGGAGGCACTGCTGGGTTTGATGGAGAAGATGGTCTGACTTTGCACTTCCTGTTTTCCCTGCGTACATCCAGAGAGCTATTTTTAAGTGTGCCTGGAGGACTCGCAGGCACCCAGCAAGACTTCCACAGCCGGCCTTCATGTGAAGCGTCACTGAATCAGTTGCTGCAGAGAATATACTCCAGATGGGGTTGGTTGCATTTCTCCATAGTACTCAAAAATAACACAAATGAAGTAAAAAAAATAGCAGCACTGGGCTGCCTGTGGAGGGGGCTGTTTTTGTTCCTTGTGCAAAATGGTCTCACGCTAGCATGGCCCAGGAAGGCTTATTATTATCATTATTATTTTCTTATATATATGCCACCCCTCTGACTGGGTTGCCCCAGCCAGTCTGGGCGGCTCCCAACAGAATATTAAAACCACAATAAAGCATCAAACATTGAAAACTGACCTCTCTTTCTCTCTCTGCCCCCCGTCCACAAACAACAGAGCCCAAACTGCTTTTGAAACTTCATGGCTTGCCATGCCTGGCCCTGGAGAATGCTGCAAGGCTTAAAGCCTTAGTGGCCTTGTGTACCTCAGAGTTTGGCTCACTGTGCCTACAGAGAAAGGGCATTAAATAAAGTAACAAAATGAGCTCATCTTTCTCCCATCAGAGCAGCGGGGTGGTTGGGGCCATGTGCGTGACTAATGGCAAGGGGCAAACCAGCAAGCTGCAAGTCTGTCATTAAAACCAGGTGCAAGTTGGAGAACCCGTCAAGCTGTGAATGGGGAAAACACTCTGCCTTGTTGTTAAAAAAAGATGATGAAGGAGCAGCAGCGCAGAAGCTTCCTGTGGCTTGCTCCTGGAAATCTGGGTGCCCCTGGAGCACCCTGGAGCAAACCCAGTGCAGATGGATGCAGGAGCGAGTGGGGGTATTGGTGCAAAACCCACAGATCTGGTGGGCACTGGAGACCTTGCTGAAATGGATTCCAGTGGAAAAGTAACAAAAATAGCATGGAACAGTGTAGATGAAGAAAGAGAAAGGGATCTAGGAATCTGCATCCTACACATGAAAAAAATGACTTTGGGCCAGTCCAGTGGACATTCCGTTTCAGCCATATTTGGAGCTCGTCTCCCAGCTTGGGAGCAATCAGTGTTATAGTTCAGGCTGCATTGCTAGTTTCCTGCTGTGCTCATGGGGCTGTTGTGGAGTGAAACATGCCTACCTTATCACCCTCCTGGTGTAAGGGTGAACTGCTATGGATGTGCCTCCTCTGCAGCCAGTGTCTAAATGTCTGCAGTCTGTTCTTGATCCTGCAGGTACAGGTTGAGCCATTCATTCATTTTATTTGTACGGCGCTTTTCCAGAAAAGAAATTGTTCTCCAAGCAGCTTAAAACAAAAGAACAGGAGTACATTGCAAACGAAAGCTATTTCATAATAACACAGCAAAACAACATAGCAACAGTTTCATAAAAACAGCAGGACAATAACATAGTAACTGTTTCATAATAAGATTTGCAAATTAATAGCAAATCTAATAGTACACAAAAAACAGATCTCAATGCTGTAAATGTAACAAGATTACATAAATAACATGCAGCATCCTCTAGCAAAAATAACAAGGAAGCTTCACGGTTTGACCGTAGCCCTAGGAACACCCCTCCCATGATGTTGCTCACAGTCCCTTTCCTGCAGCAGCTTCTTATAAGGCTTCCAAGAGCAAGTGGTGGGGTAGTGTTTCAGGTGTACATTTTGCACATCCGATGCCTGATGCAAGAGCATAGGGCCTGAAGGTTTATCCTAGCTTGTGTGCTTTGCTTGATTTTAAAATGCCAAGATGTCAGTATCTGTTTTTACAGAAATGCTCAGAATGTGCAGGTGTGCCAGTGGCATTATTTAGCTGTGATTCCTGCACAGCAGCTGGGTTGGGGTTCCTGCCAACTCTACAGTGCTATGATTCTAACTTAAACACAATTTTAAAGGCTTGTTGGTGCTGACCTTTAAAACCCTAAACTGCCTCGGTCCAGTATACCTGAAGGAGCGTCTCCACCCCCATCGTTCTGCCTGGACACTGAGGTCCAGTGCCAAGGGCCTTCTGGCGGTTCCTTCGCTGCGAGAAGCCAAGTTACAGGGAACCAGGCAGAGGGCCTTCTCGGTAGTGGCACCCACCCTGTGGAACGCCCTCCCACCAGATGTCAAAGAGAAAAACAACTACCAGACTTTTAGAAGACATCTGAAGGCAGCCCTGTTTAGGGATGCTTTTAATGTTTAATAGATTATTGTATTTTAATATTCTGTTGAAAGCCGCCCAAAGTGGCTGGAGAAACCCAGCCAAATGGGTGGGGTATAAATAATAAATTATTGTTGTTGTTTTCCCTCTGCCAGGCTTAGGCCATCTCAGCCAGCAGTAGCCCCACTCCTGAGCGGAGTTTGGATCTGGCGTAACTTTACACAGGTTTAATTTACTTCAGTTTCTTCCTTCCCCAGTGGATGGGCCTTTGAACCTAACTTTCATTTTCTTCCCTACTAGTCTATCCCTTCAGAGCTAAGGCCGGTGCCAACACAGCCGTTGCAAATTTGGTGTTGGTGTGGAAAAATGATGTAAATAGAACAAGCCTGCTTATTTTAAGGCTTTGGTTGCATGAAAAGTGTATTTAAAAAAATAATAATGGTAGGTGGAAACACTTCATTCTAGTCTGGACTTATTCTCTCTCTCTTTTTTAAAGGTTTTTTAACAGGCCTGTAAAAACAGAGTTCTGAAGGTTTATCTAAATTGGAGGGAAGTGGATGATTAATAACCCTGAAGTCTATGACCTCAGGACTTTCCCCCTTCCTGTAGACTTCCCTATATAGCTAGTTTTTGTTTGCTCCAAGTCACACTCTTTACAAACCAAAACACCTTGCAGCATGGAAAAACGTGAGGCTGGACTCTAAGGCTGCCTATGCCCTAGATCTTTAAGTGCATTCTCCACACGCACACCTCACTGATTTTGCATTATAACAATTCAAAACATGTATGCAGTGCAACAAATAAACATTAGTTAACATGAAATAACCATAATGTCTGCTTATATACAGTGGTACCTCAGGTTACAGGCGCTTCAGGTTACAGACTCCGTTAACCCAGAAAGAGTACCTCGGGTTAAGAACTTTGCTTCAGGATGAGAACAGAAATCATGAAGTGGCAGCGGGAGGCCCCATTAGCTAAAGTGGTACCTCAGGGTAAGAACAGTTTCAGGTTAAGAATGGACCTCCAGAACGAATTAAGTTTTTAACCCGAGGTACCATTGTATACACATTTAAAGTACCTTCTTTCCCTCAAATAATTCTAGGCACTATAATAATAAATTTATTATTTATACCCCACCCGTCAGGTTGGGTTTCCCCATCCACTCTGGGCGGCTTCCAACCGAGTATTAAAAACACAATACAGCATCAAACATTAAAAACTTCCCTAAACAGGGCTGCCTTCAGATGTCTTTTAAAAGTAAGTTTACTATAGTTTACTTCTCACAGAGTTACAATTTACAGCAACCCTTCACAAACTACAGTGCCCAGAATTCTTTGAGGGAAAGAATGTGCTTTAAAGGTATAGCATGTGCACAGCTTAAGGCTCAAGATATTAAGCCTTGGGTATTGGTATAATAGGGCCTGAGGCCTATGTTGTGATAGATTTCCATTCCCCTCCCTCCAACCTCTCCCTCTCTCCTCCTTGGGCACTCACATTTAGCCTAAGTGTTCTGCATAGCTCTAAGCCTCCTGGGTGGTTTTCTGCTTAATGCTTGTTTACTAGTATAGAAACCATAGCATCATTAAAATGATGTCCATTACTCTAACAGAGCTGTAGTTATACTAATGTGGAAACACCCAATTCATGCAAGCAGCTAAGACAAAGAATCGGCCTACCAAAACACAGGCATTAAAATAAAACACCCGCCATCAAAAAATACCACAGAGCAATCCCACTAAAACATTAAAATATAAACACCCAAAGTTAAAATGTAATCGTAAACGTAACTGGAAACCGTCATGTAACAGGAAATATAAAAACTTACAAATGTGCACGTTTATAAAATAATATTGAAGGATAATGAAGCACTGGGTGAATAGATAATGGTGTTTATTTAATTAGTGTCATCATCACCATTTAATTTCTAGCGTTTTATTATTTTTATATAATATGAATTGCTTCCTGTGAAACATCTCAAATGAGTTTAACAAAAATAAATAAAACAATTTCAGATATTAAAAATCATATATAAAAACAATTACAACAATTTCACATATAAAAACAGTTTCAAATCCAATACAGATACAAGTGAGGATAAAAAAATCTCCCCTCAAAAGGTTTGTTGAAAAAGGAAGGTATTGAATAGGTGCTGAAAAGACAACAGAGATAGTACTTGTTTCATGTATATTAGTATTTATGTAGTCAGTTTCAAAGTACTTAACACACATGATCTTAAACTACAGTCCTAAATACTTACTGAAGCATAAGCTCCACTCTGTGCAGTAAGACACACTTCAGAGCAAACATGCATATGATTGTGCTATGAATCTTTATGACAGTTCTGCAAGGCAGGATAGTATTAACTCCATGTTGCAGTTGGGAATAAAGCTGACTGTTCTTAGACCTCCTGGAAAGGAATCTGTGGCTAGGGCAACATTTGGATCATAGATTTTTGCTTACTCCTCCTAGTTTGCCCAAAACCCTTTTGAAATTGTGGTTCGGTTTCATGACGGGGATGAACATGAGGTATGGATGCTTTCCTACAAAAACGAAGTACAGTGGTACCTTGGGTTACAGACGCTTCAGGTTACAGATTCCGCTAACCCAGAAATAGTACCTCAGATTAAGAACCTTGCTTCAGGATAAGAACAGAAATTGTGCTCTGGTGGCGCAGCAGCAGTGGGAGGCCGCATTAGCTAAAGTGGTACCTCAGGTTAAGAACAGTTTCGGGTTAAGAATGGACCTCCAGAATGAATGTAAATCCGAGGTACCACTTTATGTCTTTTTTTTTGTCTTTCAGAACTATTGTTTTTCTTAACACGCAGTTTCATTTCAGTGCAATTGACTACCCCTTAATCTATAACTAAGCCAACAAAGATTTTTTTAACAGCCTGACCCTTATTTAAACAACTACAATTACTGCCTGAGCATGACACACGAGGGGCTGCAAGATTTCTCCCGCCTGTCCTTCAGAGAAATTCAAAAGACTACAGTGTTACCTCTGGTTACGTACTTAATTTGTTATGGAGGTCCGTTCTTAACCTGAAACTGTTCTTAACCTGAAGCACCACTTTAGCTAATGGGGCCTCCTCCTGCTGCTGCGCCGCCGCTGCACGATTTCTGTTCTCATCCTGAAGCAAAGTTCTTAACCCGAGGTACTATTTCTGGGTTAGCAGAGTCTGTAACCTGAAGTGTATGTAACCTGAAGCATATGTAACCCGAGGTAACAATGTAGCTGTTTTTGCTGCAGCGAATGGAGTAACAAAGCTACCTGATAAGTAATTTGCATAGGAATGTAGGCATGAGAGGCAGGATCTCTGCAAGGATCTGTAAGTTTGTGAAATAAAGACTCTGAAGTTTAACACACCCTAATACATGGTGTCCTCCAGATGTTTTGGACTAACAGCTTCCATCTGCTCCAACCAGCATGGCTTTTTTTTGGGGGGGGGGGAGACTCCTTAGAGAGATTCTGTTTCTGTAGCTGGTATCATTGATTCTCTCTGCATCTGCAAGCAACTTGGAGTAGAGGGGCCCCTGAAGCATGTGCAGAGCTCTTCCCAGCCAGCTGCTATACCTCTGTATTCAGGAGCAGTGACTGTAGAGCAAGCTGTCTTTCTGCAGATTGAGTCCTCCCTCCTAACCTGGCTGATGTTGTTCTGCCTCTCTTACGGACATGGCTGGCCTGCCACCTTCTGCCCAGGACTTGAAACTGTCAGGAAGATGTGACATCTCTGTTGGTGGAGAAATTGAGATGCAGCTGAAAGGGCCTGGGGCTGGAGGAGCTTGGAGAGATGGCTGACCCTGAACAGGATGAAGAGCACAGCTGTCAGCAGCTGCCCACAGGAAGAGACAGCAGAGCCGTCATCCGTGGGCAATCATGCCTTTTGTGAATTAAAAAAGAGAGGGCGGTGAATCAGGTTTTAATGCTCTCCCATAGGGATGCAGATGCGGTCCAGCGAACCGGGCAGAGGATGCTGAAGGTTTTGAGCTGGAGGGAGTGGCAGTTCCAAGGATGTTCACCTGGGTGGCCCTTGTTTCAGAAACGGAGATGTTGAAAGCAGCGTGTCAGTTGGGATTGGTCACTTGTTTGTCCAGATAGCTGCACAGCCAGGGCGGGAAAGTCTGTTCAGTCCAGGGATTAGGAACCTTCTGGGCACAAGAAGGAGCCAAGGATGGGACTTAACCTTTGTACAGCTGGCTGCATTGCAAATGTGCAAAAGCCAATTGTATATTTATCTCCACTGCATTATAGAATTGTAGAGTTGGAAGGAACCCAAAGGGTCACGTAGCCCATTGTGTGTGTGTATGTGTGTGTGTGTGTGTGTGTGTGTGTGTGTGTGTACAAGAGGCATTATCACAGTTCAGGGGCATGTTCCAGTTAGAACAAAGCACTCAAGGAAGGTGTGGAGCCATTGATGGGGTGCCTTGGGGAAGGTTCTGAGAGCCAGATAGAGATGCTTAGAGGGCCACATTTGTCCTCCTGTGTCATTGTGAGAGTCACACCCATCGTTCTGGCCACTTTTGCCTCTGGCCACAGCCACTGTTTCTCTCTCACCTCACCTGCCAGTGGCATGTGGCCCCTGGAAGACTCTGCATCTGTCATATAGATTCCATCACGCAGACAGAAAAATGGCAATAGAGCAAGCCAATAAAAATATTCAAAATAATATAGAAGCAATAAGAGAAGCAGTGAAATAGGGAATTAAGAGCAATGTGTGAATTAAGAGCAATACGAAAAGGAGTGAAATAGCAGCAAAACATATTAGCAATAAATAGCAACATCTAACTTGGCACCATATCATTGTACTGAATGAAATAACTCATCGCTAGATCAATGAACAGCAGTGAAATATACTTGCCAAGGGAAACCAATTTGGAGCAAACCTGTCTTAAATGTTTGTTTGAAGGGACTTATGGTCCTCACTTGAAATTGAGTTCCGTCAATGTGCATCTTGACACATCACCTCATTTTGTTTTATATTTTATTACACTTTATGTTGAATTTCTGAAATTATAGAAAAAACAAAACTTCAGTATCATTCTCACAATGACCCACATTGGGGACACAATGAAGATGCTAAGCATAAGCGATATTAATTTGAGCTTTCAGCGGTAAGGAAAATAAAGCAAAGACCCAAAACTACACCTCTGTTAGTTTGATGGAAGAATAAAGTTGTAACAAGTTGCAGTCTTAACCATAAACACAACCAAGTTAAAACTAAAAGCAATGGGGAGGGCAGCTGAAGCTGAGAAGAGGGAATCTGCAAGGGAGTGAGTACACAGGATTAATATGACATTTGAACTCAGAACTTGGCTCACGTGTTTGGCCACTATGTTACATGGGTGGTCAAAGCACCAGCAAGGCTCCTCTCTCCTTGTAGCAAATGCCTTTTTTATGGGGAATTTATGAGTTTCATCCCTCCCCTTGTACTAATAAACCTTTCTACCCTTGCAGATTGTCGGGAATTGTTGCTGCCTGAGCTGATGGCGTACACAACCAGCTCCAGCCCTTCCGTGCCAGTGGGGCCCCAGTACTGCGTTTGCAAAGTGGAACTGTCTGTGTGTGGCCAAAATCTTCTGGACAGAGATGTCACCTCTAAATCTGACCCCTTCTGTGTCTTATTTATGGAAGTCAATGGCAAGTGGACAGAGGTAAGGCCCAAAATGTTGCCCTGTGTCAGGAATGGCCATCCTCCATTGGCCAGTGGGTGCGAGTTACAAAATGGCTGCCACAGGAGCATGGCATAACACAAAATGGTGGTTGTGGCAGAGTGGTATAATGGATTCAGTGTTGGAGAGGCTGAGACAGATGATCAGTTAACAAGAATTTTGTCATGGACTGGTTGGATGCAGAAGAGTGATGGGAGGCACCGGCTGTGGAACCCCCAAGGGAAGAAGGCTCAGAGCCAGGGGATTGGTGGTGGGACGACACTGAGTGGTTGGAGAGAGAAGAGGGAGCAGACGGGGAGGAGGTGGTGTCAGAAGCTGAGGAGGCAAGAGGGTTTAGTTAGCAGGAAGAGTCTGTGGCAGAGAGAGGTCCAGAATCAGCGGCAGAAAAGGAGGCTGGAGAGGAGAGGGGCCAAGAGGCAATATGCTCCTGGCAATGATAAGAATATTAAAGTTCATTTAGATAGAGAACCAGATTTGACACACATTCAAGCATTTACAAACCTAATCCTGGGTAAGAATTCAAGAGGGTGAGGGCTGGCCAGCTACAGGCATGCTTGGAGGATACGGATTCTCTATTTAAATACTAATAATAATTTAGGTTTTCACATAATACATCTTAGGAACATGATATATTACAATTCTTATTTTTCTGTGACTTCCCATTTCACTCAATAATATCGCCACTCTCTGAACTGCCCATTTGTGAGGATGTGGATTCTCTCTATCCATCACAATCTGGCTTGAGGTCTGGGTACTGCTCTGAGGCTGCCTAGGTTGCCCTGAAGGACGCCCTTTGCTGGGGAAGAAGCAGAGGGAGTGGAGCACCGTTGAATCTCTCCACCATTCAAGCAGCGTTACGAGTTATAATCCAATATTTGTAAGCTGACCCATTGGCTTTTTTGTGTGATTCCTCCACCCTGGAAATAGTTGATTCTTGCAGTCCTGGGTGCGGTGGAAGGTGGTGGACTCTCCTTCATTGGAGGTTTTTAAGCAGAGGTTGGATGGCCAGGGATTCGCTAGCTGTGATTCCTGCATTGCAGGGGGTTGGTCTAGATGACTCTTTGGGTCCCTTCCAACTCCACAATTCTATGATTCTATGAAAGTTTGTGAATCTGTGGCCCAGGAATCAGTTATTCTCTGGGCAGAAACCTCAATGGCTTCCTGCTTGCTTTGGTCATACATTTCTGTTATCTCCTCTTTGCAGACGTCTGTTTTGATTAAATCTGCTGGCAAATTGTTCCCTTTCATAGACTTCTTAAAACATTGTTATAGCTTTATCAGGAAGTCCAAAGAGCAAGCAGTTAACCCAAGGAGCAACGGTCAGCAATCACTCTGCAGGGATTCCTTGTTGTCTGTTCAGCTTACTGGCAGTAGATTGTCCGCCACCCTCTTCTTGACTGGTGCCAACTTCCCACAAGCTCCTCCAAAAGGTGGAGACTGCAGGCAGACTGGCCAACAAGCCTGCATATGAACCCTGCTGCCTCCATCTCCATCCCTGGACAACCACTAGGTTCTAACCAGTGTCAGTTCTCCTCAGAGCAGACCCATGAGAAATAATCATTCCAGTCAGCCTACTTTGAGTATTTCTTGGATACAACCCATTGTCCAGAGTCTAAAACCACCCAACTGCCCCACTCTTAAGCAAGGTTTTCTATAGCAGTTGTTCACTATCCAAACAGATACTACTGTTGGCTTTCTTTGACAAGAAAACCGCATGCCGTGTGAAATGGAGTACGGACACACACACACACACACACTGACTTGAAAGATGGTTCCTCTCTTCTGCGCTAATATATTCAGAGAGAAGACACGTCGTACTGCCCAGCAGCTGGGATTTGCATGCTCTTGGGTTTATTTTGTGAATAACATTTTTTGCCCATAAGGAAGAATCAGCCCTGGTTTCTCAAAGCGGACGACGTTGTTGCTTTGGATGATATGGGGCGGGGGTAACAACTCTGTTGTGATGAGAGGCAGATGGACACAGGAAAACAGCTGTGTTGTAGAACTGCCCAAGGAAGGAATTGGAAGCTTGTTTACACAGCTTTGTTTACATGGTCAGAAGCTGCCAGAAGGTTCTGCTCTTTCCCCTTGTAGTCTGCACTGGAGTCATTTACTCTGCAATCACTTCTTCTGCCAAAATGGTATCTGACCTTTGGATGAAACAGTGTGGTAGGGCAAAAGCAAATCCACTGTGATGTTCGTGTGTATGCATTTACATGCATGCAAAACCAGATTGATCCACCCCTATGGAAGGGAACATAACTTATTTTGGCTGTGTACACATCATACATTTAAAGTACATGCCCCCCCACAAGAATAATGGAAACTGTAGTTTGCTAAGGGTGCTGGGAATTGTAGCTCTGTGAAAGGCTAAACTACAGTTCCCAGGATTTTATTTTGGGGTGGGTCGGGGAGGGGTGTTGTGTGCTTTGCATATATGGTGTTTTACGCAGCATGTTGAAGCGGTGAACTCTGAAGAATGGCAACTCTGCCGACCTAGTCTGAGCAAATTTTGAGTAGGCAAAAGGGGGAGATAGTGAATTTACCAAGAACCAGAAAATACAGTGCCTGTCTGGTGAAGGAGCGGGTAGCAACTCCTTAACTGATGTCAGTTTGCTATGTTCATGCTTGATCCAACCAAGCGGATTGTCTGGAGTTGAAGGGGGAGCCAAATACAGTATATTTGTGGTTCCATGTTTATCTTCAGCTGCAGGGGACAGCATGGTACAATTTCATGGTGAAGACTTTAGGTGCAGAAGTTTCCAGGTTCAGTCTGCAACATCTCCAGATGGGCTGGAAAAAGACCCTGGAGAGCCATTCCTGCCAATCACTGTAGACAATACTGAGCTAGCTGGAGCAGTGATTTGACTTGGTATAAAGCAGCTTCCTATGTTATTATGTTCTTCCAATGAACAGTATTGTGAGGTTCAGACTGCAGGGCAGGGGGGAAAGCAGATGGGAGTAAGAGAAGTGTTGGGGCAACTGATTTTGGAGCTAAGGAAACAGGGATGGCAAACCATGCTTAGTAACATAGGCAGTTTCAGGGCTGGGACTGACGGGGGTTGTAGTTCAAAACGTCTGGAGGGGACCAGGCTGGTGAAGGTTGGTGTAATAGGAAGTTTGTTCCTGAATGAAAAAGATTCCCTTTCCTCCTTTTTGTATTGTAAAGTTCCATTTTTCACTGCCCTGTTGCTCCGAGCTCCTTCTCTGTTCAGGGTTTTCATCAGAACTGAAGTGTATGTGTTTCTTTCTCTCCCTCCCTCTCTCTCTGTAATGCCAAGTTTTCAGATGTGTGGTTTTTATTTCTCCTGGGTTATTTTTGGACTATTGCTTCAGAAAAACATGCGGTGCGGAATGTGAGAGAGAGGAGTCTTCAATGGGCAGTCTGTGAGTTGCAGGCTGTTTCTTGCTGCTCTGATTCTGAAGGGAGGTCAGAGGATTGTCTGAGCTGGCAGCGGGTGTGGAAAAGGGGGAGAGGGCATATTTTCAGCCTTCCCACCAGAACATGGGCAGCCTCCAGAAAGATGTGAAAGAAAGAACAGACATTGACTCCTCCTGAATGTAAAAGTCTCCAGTAGGAAAGGTTTGCTGGCAGCAAGAAATCAAAATCGAGGCTGCATTTTTAAGTGTCGCTTGAAAAGTTCCCTTTCATCGGTCAGATAATAGTGGTTTGGGGGCAGAATCTGGCCCACTAGGGAACAAGAGGGAGGTAACAGCTTGCTGAGTGGGGACCCCCAAGGTTTCTGAAAGTACAAAAAACATCGACCTGCTACAAAGCCCCCATAGGGATGACTGTGCTCGGTAGCAGTGGAAAGCTGGGCATCAGCTGGAAAACAAAAATAGAAAACTGAGATGGGGTGTGGAATGGAGTTTCTGAGGTGCTCTAAGCAGAAACACATTGCAAAACTCTATCACAGGTCCCACTTGTTTGTGATCTGCAAGGAAAATATCACAACTTTGCGCTCTCTCTCTTTTCCACATTCCTTTGCATGCCGTACCATGGATGGTTCAATGAATCTATAAAGAAGGCAGTAAAAATGTTGTTAGGCAATAATTTCTTATTACTTTTTTTGCAGATGCGTATAAGCAGCCTTTTATGGGGCAGGACACACAAATGTGTGTGGATAAAAATGGGTTGTGGGTTTGTTTTTGCAACTTGCTACCTTTTCTTTTCTTTTTATATAATGAAACTTAAAACATTAAAAACTTCCCTCAACAGGGCTGCCTTCGGATGTCTTCAAAAAGTCAGATAGTTGTTTATTTCCTTGACCTCTGATGGGAGGGCGTTCCACAGGGCGGGTGCCACTACCAAGAAGGCCCTCTGTCTGGTTCCCTGTAAGCTAATTTTTTGCAGGGAGGGAATCACCAGAAGACCCTTGGTGCTGGACCTCAGTGTCTGAACTGAACGATGGGGTTGGAGATGCTCCTTCAGGTATACTGGGCTGAGGCCATTTAGGGCTTTTTTTTTTTTTTAATGATATTTATTGGAAATTTTTTTTTAGAGTTACAAAAGAAAACAAAGTAGAAAAAGAACAAAGAAAGAACAAAGAAAAACACAAACCACATCCCACAATACAAATTTTTAAAAAACACACAAAAATACACCGCAAACATTTAAAAACAAATCCATTATTCTCAAATCCTCAACTGTCATTACCTTCTTTCTTTGACCTCCTCTTCCTCCTCCCTTTTTTTGTATCCTAGTTGTTAATTGTTGCAGCAAATCCTTTCCATATTTCATAAAATTCTGTCATTACATTACCTTAAACTATTTTAATCTTATCTTACTATAAAAAACCTTGAAACTTAAAACTTAAATCTTATTTTTACCAACTTCTCATAACCATAATATTCTTACATAATTCTTTAAACATTTTTACTAAAGCCAAGTAATTTCATTCCAACATTTTTCTAACATTCATCAATTTTATAAAACAATCCTAGTAGTAGAAAAAGAAATAAAAACAATCCAATCTTCATCCAGCGTCCCTTCCTCCTGGTCCTGGGTTTTGTCAGTCCTTGTTATCCCATCGATCTAGCGCATTAACCTGGTAACCTTATATCTGAGGCCCTTAAGTCTCTTCCATGTCCCTTCCGCAGCTCTTCTTCATATTTGTAACTGTATTTTCCCTTGTCTCCTGCTCGTTTCACTCGTGGGAACTCCAGCTTAACAATATTTTTGACCCTTCTCGACAGATCAGCCCCTTTCCATAATCCACACTAAATTCCATGTGGTATTTAAGAACATGTTTCAAAATCCCTCCAAAATTAGGAGCCCCCACAATCCCAGACATCTCACGGCCCATTGCCAGACTTGAAAAGTCCAAACATCCCTGCATAGGGGGGTCTATCCAACCCCCCATTTCCAAACCAAACCAAACTTTTTCTTTCCAAATCTGGCTTTTTCCAAGTTCATTTGTCAAATCCGAAAGCTCATGTTCCTGTTGGGCCTGTTCTGTCAGGGCACACTCCTGATTTAATTCCTGGGTGGGCTCCACATATTTTCCCACTGCCTGTTCAAAATTTCCCACTGCCTGTTCAAAATTTCTAATCAAATCAGCCATTAAATTCGTCTTCTCATGTAGCTGTTCCAGTAGGGCATTTGTTTTATAGAAAGCACACAACAGAGCTTCTGAATACATTGTCCTGCAAGGTCAGATGTCTATTCCCACGATTGTAATCTGTAACAGCTGGCAGCTCCCGGAGTTGGTTACAGTTTCACAGTCTCCCTCTAGGGGGAAAACTTCTATTTGTTCTTTCTTTTAAAGACAAGTCTAGCAACAAAAGTTTCCTTTTTCAGATGTTTTGTCAATATTTGTTCCTTTAAGAAGCGAAGGGGAACAATGGAATCAAAGTTTCTGTTCTTATAGCTATCTGTCAAAAACGTTGTCTCTGGTCAATGAGCTTCAAAAAACGTCAGTCCTAACACCCCGCTCCAGGATCAGGACGGTGGAAAGTTACTTTACTTTACCCTCACTTCTGCAGGTTTAAACAGTCCAAAAAAAATCCCCCCTCTTCTCCTGCTTCCGAAGGGGGTTCAACAATTTTAAATGGTGAAAGTTAATCTTTTACAGGCGATTTTCTGAGCTCTAGTTTGCCATGTCTTTGCTTTAATCTATCTACAAAGAAACGGAAGGCTGACTTCCTGTTTAGACCTTCCCGTTTCAGCGCCAAATTAAGGTAAACTTTTAAGTCCAATTTTCCTTTCTGCTCACAAGTCCTTATTTAGAGTCCAATTATCCGAGTTTAGGTACTCACGGGTGATTATTTTAGAAGCCAGATTGTCCCAGGAAAAAGGCAGCGCTCTCCAGCAACGGCTGTGCAGCTTCGCTCCACGGAAGAAGCAGTTGACTCTCAGCACCGCGCCACTTCCCCCTCTTCGCTCCGGAGCCCATTAATGGGTTCTTTTCCGGGTTGGGGGGGGCGCTAAGGGTGCCCGCCAAGTCCCATGGTCACAGGCTTCATCCGCCTGTGATTTTTGAATGGGTCCCCGCTTCGCCGTAGTGGAAAAGACCCGATTCCCGTGGAGCTGGTCCCTCCAGTTCAGAGTGAATCCGTCATTGCCGATGGCGCCACCCCGGAAGTCTCCATTTAGGGCTTTAAAGGTCAGCACCAACACTTTGTATTGTGCTTGGAAATGTACTGAGAACCAATGTAGATCTTTCAGGACCAGTGTTATATGGTCTCAGCAGCCACTTCCATCCAAGGTGGTCAGCCACCATTTTTATTTACTCAAGATGCATGGCCCTGAATATAACAAACATTGTTCCTTGACCTTCCTTGGAGCACTTGGTGCCATATTTGGATCTGCAGTGCCAGCCTTTTTGTGAGTAATGACTAAAAGCTGGAACAAGAAGCAATTAACTCTGTAGCTATGCAAAGGATGTTCAATGAATTCCCTCTAGTTAATCAGTGTTGGTGTGTACAAATTAACTAGACATATTTCAAAAAGATTAAAAAGATCTGCTGAAATCTGCAGTTTCCTTTAAATCTGAGCCGGGCTGGGGGGTGGGAGAGTCCCATGGAAAATGAGCTCGGATCCTGAGTTTGAATCAGACCGAAGCCAAGAAATCACATCTTAGATGGGTGAATCATTCCCAGCCATACAGTCAAATGGACTTATTTGTACAACCTGCAGTTAAATGAGGTTAGTAGTACAGCTGCCCATTGTTATTTAGCAGAAATGTAGGTATAAATACAACTAAAATATAAAATAAATTTACAAATGAAACAAAAAATAAAGTGTGAAGCTGCAGCATACAGTGCCACAGTGAAACATATCATTCAGTGCAGAGAGAAACCACAATCTACAATCAATTTCAGAGTTTCAAGGTTGTGCTATGTAATTACTACTAATACGTAGCTGATTATTTGATTGCCATCCTCCCAAAAGATCGTGTAGGAAGCTGTTTTGAGAAGATAATATTCCTTTTCTGCTCTCTCTCCCCCCCCCACCCCCGACAGCTGGTCCACAGTAACTCGCTGTTCCATTTCCCTTCCAACCTCCCCTTGTATTTTTAGCAAAATTACCATATTGTTGATGTGCATTTCCAAACATTTCTCCCATTTTTAAAAATACATTTCAGCAGAACTTCTTTCCCTTTTTCCCTCTCCCACCCCGCTCACCATTTTTGACTCTCCCCCAACACACACGTTGCGTACCTATTTCTAGCTTTCAAATGTTCACAGGTTTTGTTAATATCCTTTTCCTGTTTGGCATCTATGCGCATTGGCAGGGTGGAATGGTGGTGTGCCTAAACGAAACACGAGGAGTGATGGCGGACAGTAATTTACATACCTCTAAAAATCTATGGTAAAGAAGTCTATCAATGGATACTAGTCATAATAGCCATATTATGAAGCTTAGGGTTGTGCAGCCCAAGAACTGTGGAATCCCTTCCCTTCACCTTCATGATACAGCCTTGCTGAAGTTGCACCTTTTAAGACCCTGGCTGTTTGAAACTTGTATGTTCATTTATTCTTTTATGTATTACATTTCTATACCGCCCTCCATCCATAGATCTCAGGGCAGCTGACAACATAAAATTACAATATTAAAAAAGCACAAAATACAGAATAAAAATAAGAACAAAAACAAAGCCCTCCCAGTTGAGAGAGATTTTAGGAATCACTGTGTTCTTGTGGTTGTAGTTTGCTTTGTAATGTTTTTATTGTTGCATTTTAAATTGTTGTGACAATTTAACCCTGATGATGAAAGGCGAGGGAGGAGAGCAGCAACAACATAAAAAGCCTGCTGAATCAGACCAATGGCTCATCTGGCCTAGCATCCTGTTCCCACAGTGGCCAACCAAATGCCCATTATGGGAAGCCAGCAAGCAGGTTTCAAGTTTAAGAGCACCTCCCCTCTTGCAATTCCTAGCAGCTGGTATTCAGAGGCATACTGCCTCCAACCAGGGAGGTAGAACATAGCCATTGTGACTAGAAGTTGTGGATAGCCTTATCCTCCATGAAAAGGCAGGTAAAAAGTGGTAGTAGTAGTAGTAGTAGTAGTAATAATAATAATAATAATAATAATAATAATAATAATAATTTTTATTTATACCCCACCCGCCCTGGCCAGAGCTGGGCTCAGGGTGGCTAACACAAGTAAAATTACAGTAGAACATAATAGGGAAAAATACCAATTTAAAATACAGGTTAAATGCAGCCTCATTTTAAAAGTAGCCCATAGATCAAAACCATAATGGGAGGGAAACATAAGGGTCAGACTGAGTCCAAACCAAAAGCCAGGCGGAACAGCTCTGTCTTGCCGGCGCTGTGGAAAGATGTCAAGTCCCGCAGGGCCCTAGTCTCTTGTGACAGAGCGTTCCACCAAGTCAGGGCCAGTACTAAAAAGGCCCTGGCCCTAGTTGATAAATAAATAGAAGCATACCCACTTGTGTGCGATCGACACGTGTGCGACCGTGTATATGTGCAGCACCAGGAAAGAAGTAAATCATTGAATTCATACCTAGAAATGGAGGGAGAATGCTGGAGAGTCCTTGTGGCTTGCGAGGAAACCCTCCCCGGAACCCAAAGAGGACTTCGGTGAGGGCAGAGAGGAGACTGGAGGTGCAGCGGGTCTTCGTTTAGGCTGCTTAGCCTCCCTGGCTAACAGCTGGTATGTGGGGTAGCACAGCCAACACTTTTCTGCCCGTCCTGCAGCCTCGTGTCAGCCCCAGAGCTTCAATACTAGTTGTGTATATTTTTGGTACAGTATTTTTGATTTTTGGAGAGGAGTATTTTGAAGAGAGAGTATGGTAGAGAGGGCATTTATGTGATTTTCACTTTTGCTTGTGGGGCGCCGGAACCTAACCCCCACACATAACCGGGGAGTCGCTTGCAGTCTGGAACAAGTTGGCAAATGCTAATACAGTGGTACCTCGGGTTACAGACACTTCAGGTTACATACACTTCAGGTTATAGACTCCGCTAACCCAGAAATATTACCTCAGGTTAAGAACTTTGCTTCAGGATGAGAACAGAAATCGCATGACGGTGGTGCGGAGGCAGCAGGAGGCCCCATTAGCTAAAGTGGTGCTTCAGGTTAAGAACTGAACTCCTCAATGCCTTCTTTGCCTCAGTCTTCTCCGATAAAGGAAACAATGCCCGACCTGAAGAATTTGGAGCAAATGATTCAGCAAAGGAAACACAGCCCGGAATAACTAAGGAGATAGTACAAGAATACTTGGCTAGTTTAGATGTATTCAAGTCTCCAGGGCCAGATGAACTGCATCCAAGAGTATTAAAAGAACTGGCAGATGTGATCTCAGAACCACTGGCAGTCATCTTTGAGAATTCCTGGAGAACAGGCGAAGTCCCGGCAGACTGGAGGAGGGCAAATGTTGTCCCTATTTTCAAAAAGGGAAAAGAGAGGACCCAAATAATTACCGCCCAGTCAGTCTGACATCAATACCAGGGAAGATTCTGGAGCAGATCATTAAGCAAACAGTCTGTGAGCACCTAGAAAGGAATGCTGTGATCACCAATAGTCAGCATAGATTTCTGAAAAATAAGTCATGTCAGACTAACCTGATCTCATTTTTTGACAGAATTACAAGCCTGGTAGATGAAGGGAACGCAGTGGATGTAGCCTACCTTGATTTCAGCAAGGCATTTGACAAGGTGCTCCACGATATTCTTGTAAAGAAGCTGGTAAAATGTGGTCTTGACTATGCTACCACTCAGTGGATTTGTAACTGGCTGACTGACCGAACCCAAAGGGTGCTCATCAATGGTTCCTCTTCATCCTGGAGAAGAGTGACTAGTGGGGTGCCACAGGGTTCTGTCTTGGGCCCGGTCTTATTCAACATCTTTATCAATGACTTGGATGATGGACTCAAGGGCATCCTGATCAAATTTGCAGATGACACCAAATTGGGAGGGGTGGCTAACACCCCAGAGGACAGGATCACACTTCAAAACAACCTTGACAGATTAGAGAACTGGGCCAAAACAAACAAGATGAATTTTAACAGGGAGAAATGTAAAGTATTGCACTTGGGCAAAAAAAGGAGAGGCACAAATACAAGATGGGTGACACCTGGCTTGAGAGCAGTACATGTGAAAAGGATCTAGGAGTCTTGGTTGACCACAAACTTGACATGAGCCAACAGTGTGATGCGGCAGCTAAAAAGCCAATGCAATTCTGGGCTGCATCAATAGGAGTATAGCATCTAGATCAAGGGAAGTAATAGTGCCACTGTATTCTGCTCTGGTCAGACCTCACCTGGAGTACTGTGTCCAGTTCTGGGCACCACAGTTCAAGAAGGACACTGACAAACTGGAACGTGTCCAGAGGAGGGCAACCAAAATGGTCAAAGGCCTGGAAACGATGCCTTATGAGGAACGGCTAAGGGAGCTGGGCATGTTTAGCCTGGAGAAGAGGAGGTTAAGGGGTGATATGATAGCCATGTTCAAATATATAAAAGGATGTCACATAGAGGAGGGAGAAAGGTTGTTTTCTGCTGCTCCAGAGAAGTGGACACGGAGCAATGGATGCAAACTACAAGAAAGAAGATTCCACCTAAACATTAGGAAGAACTTACTGACAGTAAGAGCTGTTCGACAGTGGAATTTGCTGCCAAGGAGTGTGGTGGAGTCTCCTTCTTTGGAGGTCTTTAAGCAGAGGCTTGACAACCATATGTCAGGAGTGCTCTGATGGTGTTTCCTGCTTGGCAGGGGGTTGGACTCGATGGCCCTTGTGGTCTCTTCCAACTCTATAATTCTATGATTCTATTCTATGATTCTAACAGTTTCAGGTTAAGAACAGACCTCCAGAACGAATTAAGTTCTTAACCCAAGGTACCACTGTATAAGCTCTCACCATCAGAGTTTATTGTGTGCAAACAAGTTAGTTTAAGCTACAATTTTTTCATGTGAAAACAATTTTTTATTATTCTTATTAGTTGTTGTAGTTGCAGCAGCAGTGCCCAACTAGTGAAAAGAATTATAAAATATATACAATATTAAAAACAACAATATGGATAAAAAAAATGGTTGAAACAGAACAAAGCTGTTACCGGGGGGCGGGGGGAAGCAGAATGAAATTTAAAGCCCATTAAAAATCAGGCAAGAGTTTTTACTAATGGCATGCCAAAATGTTCCACTGTGTTTTCATTGAACATTGTGCACTGATTGATGAGAAAAGGAACTGCATCTGAGAACTTTCAAATAGGAAAGAAATGTTTACCGGGAAGAAAAATAGACATAAGAAGAGCCTGCTGGATTAGGCCAAATGGGGCTCATCTAATCCAGCATTCTGTTCTCACAAGGGCCAAACAAATGCTCCAATGGGAAACCAGCAAGTAGGATTTGAGCGTAAGAGCAACTCTCCCCTCCTGTGGTTTCCAGCAACTGGTATTCAGAATCATTGCTGCCTCCAACTGCGGAGGCACAAAGCCCAGCCATCGTGGCTAGTAGCCATCGATAGCCGTCTCCTCCATGAATTGGTCTAATCCTCTTTTTAAGTCATCTGGATTGGTGTCCCTCACTACCTGCTGTGAGCGTGAGTTCCATAGTAAAACCATGCACTGTATCCTCTGCAACTTGACAACAATGGAATTGGCTCAAAACCAAACACCCACCAAAACACTCAAGGAATTCTCAGGTGCCCTGACAAATAGATGGGGAAAATGACCCTTTCGTAGGGGAAGCAAACTTCCACAAAACCATGCTAGTTTTCAGAGCTGTCTTTTCCATAGGGCTTAGTGGTGTTTTTGAATTATGGTGCTGGAGTTGATGCTTTTGAATTATGGTGCTGGAGGAGACTCTTGAGAGTCCCACAGACTGCAAGAAGATCAAACCTCTCCATTCTTAAGGAAATCAGCCCTGAGTGCTCACTGGAAGGACAGATCCTGAAGCTGAGGCTCCAATACTTTGGCCACCTCATGATAAGAGAAGACTTCCTGGAAAAGACCCTGATGTTGGGAAAGATTGAGGGCACAAGGAGAAGGGGACGACAGAGGACGAGATGGTTGGACAGTGTTCTTGAAGATACTAACATGAGTTTGACCAAACTGCGGGAGGCAGTGGAAGACAGGAGTGCCTGGTGTGCTCTGGTCCATGGGGTCACGAAGAGTCGGACACAACTAAACAACAACAACAGTGGTGCGTCACGCCAGGGCACCGGCCTCTCAGGGGCGTTCCAGCAAGTGGGGGAGCTGTGTGGCTTTGACAGTTGCCTCCCCTTTCGCTGCACGCCCGCCAGCTGTGCCCCGCCAACTTTAAGGCTGGCGGGCGTGAAGCTTCCCTCCCAAGCCTTCTCAGGAGGACAGCGATCCCCGCAGAGGCTTGGGAGGGAAGCTGCACGCCCGCCAGCCATATGGTTGGCGGAGCACAGCTTCCATCCTAAGCCTCTGTGGGGATCGCTCTCCTCCTGAGAAGGCTTGGGAGGGGCGCAACTTCACTCCCAAGCCTCTGCGGGGATTGCTCTCTCACAGCGGCATGGGGGAGAGTTGCGCCCCCTCCCCATGGCTGGCAGTGTGCAGCTACGGCCACCCCAACACTATCTGTGGTAATTTGGGGGTAATTTGCACCCCAGCGCCACATCTGCTAAAAACGGCCCTGCTAGTTTTATTCCTTCTAAGGCTTGGTAAAGATAGGGCCAACTGACCTCCTTAGCAAGGAAGGCCCACAATTGAGACTCCTGTGAGGAGGTTTCTAGGTGAGGAAGGGCGCCTGAGGTGACTGTGGCGGTCTGGTGAGAGGGCAGCCTCCTTGCCCCAAACCCCTTTCTGAGTTTCTGTTCTGACAGTCCCAACATTGTTTGCTGCTGAAGGCAAACCGATAGGTACAGAAGGGAAATTGTAGGGGAGGGGAGTTCTTCTTCTGGGAGGCGAGGTATGCATTTAAGGGCTTGCACTTACTCTCTCAGGAGTATAATTTTGCGGGAATGTGTTGCCAGGACAGCAGGCACCTCACGCCCGCCTGATTTCCATAATCCCTAACAGAAGCCCCTTTCAGAGTTAAGGAGGCATTAGCACATAAATGCTCCATTTGAGGTCAAGTGAGCCTCAGAAGTGTCAGCGTTTTCCAGGGCCTGTGGCCAAGAAAAGCGTGTTGGGGCTGGAGCCGGGCCCTGCGCACGTGCGGGCCCTGGGTTTCGGCTCCAAAGGCAGCGCCTTTAATCTGAGAAACATTGCAGGACACGCTGTGCGCCACTTGGCAGTGAATTCTCCCAAGACAACTTGTCTCTCTCCAGGTGTCTTTTAACGCTTGATACAATCACTCCTGCAATTTTGAGTGATTTTAAAGAGCTTTATCTTGGGATAATTGGAGCTGTGTGGAAACAGGGCCTTTCTGCGTCATTTTTTCCCTCGGAGCTTTTGCTCTGTCTTTTCCCCTCCTCCCTCCTTTTCCATGTAATTCAACAACAAGGCATGGAATTCAGGCTTAATTTGTAATTAGAAAGGCGCTGGGAAGGTGTGTTCCTCGTTGAGAGCTGTGCTCTTGGACCAAAAAGCACTGTGACTTAGGAGCAAAACCTCCCCCAGTGGTGGTATAGTGGTTAGAGTGTTAGACTTGGACCTGGGAGACCAGGGTTCAAATCTCTACTGGGCCATGGAGCTCCCAGGTGACCTTGAGCCAGTCACTCACTCTCAGCCTAACCTACCTCACATTGTTATGAGGATTAAATGGGACAGAGGAGAACTATGTAGGCCACTTTGCACTCCCTGGGGGAAAGGTGAGGAATAAATAAATAAATGGGTTGATAATTCAGAGATTCTCATCACTTCCACTATTTCCAATGTGCAGGCAGTGAGTGTCATAAACATCCCCACCCAGGTACAAGAGGAAAGTATCAGCTAGCTTTGGGAAAACACCAAAGTGTGCAGAAATAGAGGAATGTTCAGCAGTGGGAAGGGAGAGCTCAGCAACAGCCCCATGCTCTGTAGCCACTGAATTTGGACTTACTGTTGGGATGGGCCGGGGAGGTGGGGACAGACCAAAAACCATAAAAGGAATGTAAGAAGCTTCCTGATATTGGGTCAGGCCATTGGGTCCATCTAGCTCAGTATTGGGGTCTCTCCCAGCCCTGCCTTGTGTCATGGCCCTGTCAAGCAAGGAAAGTCGAGAGTGAAGAATTAACTCTTTATTATCAAAAGTACACTTACAAGTTAAGATAAGGCATGCCCATCAGTCCTGTGTTTCTCAGCTGCTCCCAGGTGTGAACCCAATGAGGCAGTGAACCCAGCAGAGAGGCCCCGTCCCCCACTTATGTATCTCCCCAACCTGAGCTGTGCACAAGCAAGTGAAAACTACACCTGCGTGTAACCTGTTTCTGCTCCTCCCACTTCAGTCCTCCTGGTCCAGGGAGACAGTGGAGCAAGATAGGTGGGGACACGAGGAGGAGGTGTGGAAGCCCGTGACTCTACACCAGCCTGACCTGCCTCTCCCTCCTGCTGCACCTGTTCTTCACTCTCCGATCCTGCAGCTTCTCTTGCCTCTCACTCTCATCTCCTGGCTGTCACAGGCTCCCCCAGTTCACTGGTTCCTTCTTCTAAGTCAGTCTCCAATCCCACTTCTCCCCACACCCAGTCCCTAACTCATCTGTATCCAGCCACCACTCCTCAGTGTCCAGCCAGTCCCTGGCCCCTGGAGATGCTGAAGATTGAACCTGGGACCCCCCCTTTCAGCCCTAAAGCAGGTGTACTGCTTCCGAGCTTCCCATGTTGCTTATGGGAGTGAAGATATCTTAAAGTTGTAGTTCAGGAGACTGTTTGGATTCTTTGTGAGATAAAGGGAGAATAGAAAGGAGAGGGGGAATTCGGTGAAGAGGGGTGTGGGCAGGGCTTTCACTTTCTGCTTCAGTGTGGCTACTGTTTTTTCTGTCAGGTTTCTGCACCCACACCCACAGATGTGGCCTTTTTTGAGGGGGTGTGGCCTGGGAGAGTTCTGGGGGCCAGATAGTGTGCCCTGCAGGGCCACATTCAGTCCTGTAGGCCTGGCATTCTACACCAATTTTGACTAGTACTGTTGGCGATCTGGAACAGGACCGGGAAGTGGCATGTGCCCTAGAGAGAGTCCTGAGGGCCACATAGAGAGCTCTGCAGGGCCATATTCAGCCTGCATGTCTGAGGCTCCCAACTCCCATGAAGAGTACCATTTTATGTGCGACTGCAGAGTCCTGCGTGTTGATTTAAAGCAGAGTCTCTGGTGCCCAGCGGAAGGATGAAGAATACGTGCTACATACTCTATATTGCTTTATTTACACTTCAAAGCTGGTATATTACAGAAAGACATCTTGCCTCTGCAGGAGCAGAGAAATGCATCCTCTCTCCTCAACAGCTCGGAGAGAATCACACAGTGAAAAACAGGAAACCAGTGTACGTCACATCCAGTCTCCCTTTCCCGTGAGAAACTCCAACAGTACAGACTGTGGAATGTAAAACAATGTCTTGTGACTGCAGTTGCTGCTCAGTGAGGGAAATCAGAAACCAACATCCTCCCCCTTTCTGTGAACATCACTGGGCAGCGTGTTCGTACAATATCAGTACAAACCCAACTTCTGCACATAGGTACAGTGTTGATCCCTTGATATAATCTTGGACAATACATCAGCAGGAATTTCATTACCTGGCATATAGGACACCGTTACGAGTCCTTTCTGAATACATTCCCTAGCATGCTGCAACTTTAATTGTAAGTGCTTTGTGCTTTGCTTACTACCTTCAGACTTCAGCAAAGCCAAACATGCTTTGTTGTCCTGGTAAACCTGGATTGGACATTTGACAGGAATTTTCATATCTTTGCACAATTGTACTAACCATTCACAATCCTTAAGTGAATAAGACAGTGCATTCAGTTCGGCTTCACAAGTACTTAAGCTAACTGTTGTTTGCTTCTTGCATGACCAATCAAACAGACTCTGATTGTACATATAGCAAACTCCAGACGTACTTTTCCTGTCTGTAGCGTCACTTCCAAAACTTGCATCTGCAAATATCTCAAGACCACCAGACTTCTGATTGTTAAATCTCAGTCTGTAATGCATAGTGCCTTTCAAATACCGCGCTATGCGTTTCAGAGCTTTCCAATCCTTGACACTAGGATTGTTGACTTGTCTGCTTAGCAAATTACAGCTAACAGCAATGTCTGGTCTTGAACATCTGGCAATGAAGTTTAGCTTGCCTAGCACACTCCTGTACAGTGTAGTGTCAGAAAATGCTTCGTCAGTGTCATCTACCTGATAACCTGTTGTCATCGGTGTGTCTACAGGGTTAGCATCCATCAGATTTAGTTTGCTTAACACATCAGCAATTTTCCGTGACTGGTGTACTAGAATGTTACCATCTTGATCTCTCTCTATTTCCAGAGATAGGTAGTTGTTTACCTCACCAAGATCTTTCATGTCAAAGTGCTCTTTCAGTTGAGCTAGGGCGCTATTGTACATTGCGACATCTTTCCAAAAGAATAATAAATCATCAACATAAAACAAACAGTACAGTTTCTTTTGCCCCTCCTCTTTGACAAATACACATGGATCAGCTTTCCCTTGCTGAAAACCTAGAGAAAACAATACTTCAGTGAGTTTTGTGTGCCAACACCGTGCACTTTGTTTGAGACCATAAAGGGATTTCTTCAGAGCACAAACAAATCCCTGTTTTACCTGTACGCCATCAGGTGGAAGCATATAAAGTGATTCATCTAGAGATCCGTACAGAAAAGCTGTATTAATATCATGGTGACTAATGTGTAGATTTTCCTCTGCAGCTAGCTTGAGCATAAGCCTAATGCTTTCATATCTCACTGTGGGTGAATAGGTCTCGTGATAGTCTTCACCTGGTACCTGTGCAAAACCTCTGGCTACCAATCTGGCTTTGTGTCTGACTATCTTGCCATTTTGATCTGTCTTCGCTTTGAAGACCCATTTGCTTCCAAGCAGTTTCATTCCTGGAACTACTGGAACTAGCTCCCATGTTTTGTTCCTTTCTAAGGAATCAAGCTCAGCCTTCATGGCATTTAACCATGGCTCAGCTTCCTTCGAATCCAAACCCTGGATTTCTTGGAAACTTGAAGGTTCAAATACCTTCTTGGAGCTTTTAACAGCTGTTACTGCTATCTTAGCAAACTCATCAGCAAATCTCTTTGGAGGTTTGCCTTTTGTGGCTCTTTGTGACCTACGAATTAGCCTTAAGTCTTCAACACTCTCCTCTTCCTTCTTAGGAGAAAAACGACCTATTGTGAACAATGGTTCCTCCGATTCTTGATCAGAGCTTTCAGAGGGTCGCATAGAGGCTTTCGCACTCTCGAAATCCTCTGAATCACTCGATTCAGTTTCAGATTCAGACTCAGAACCTTCATCAGTGGGTGTGGGTTGTTGTGGTTGCTTTTGACTATCCTCAGTCTCATCACCGTCATCAGGATAACATTGGAAAATTCCCACATTCTCCCCCCACTTTGCATTGTACTCAACACTTCTCGTGAGCTTAATTGTCTTAGAGTCAGTCATCATTATTCTGTAAGACCCTTTCTGATAACCTAGAAAGATACCATGCAATCCACGCTTGTCTAACTTGGAGTTTTGTGGTGAGTGAACCCACATGTCAGAACCAAAAATCTTCATGTGTTTGATGTATGGCTTCTTGCCAAACATCTTCTCATAGGGGGTACATCCAATCGCTGAAGATAATCTGCGATGGTAACTGTAAACAAAACACGAGAGAGATTCGGCCCAATAACTCTCTGGAAGATTGGCATCATGCAGCAAGGTTTTTAATCCTTGAAGCAAAGTCTGATTTGCCCGTTCCGCAAGTCCATTCTGCCATGGCGAGCGAGGACTAGACAAATCGTGTTGAATTCCTTTCTCAGTCAGAAAAGCTTCAAACTGCTGAGAAGTGAATTCCCCCCCGCGATCACTGAAAAGAGTCTTTATCTTCTTACCATGCACATTTTCCAACCAAGCACAGAATTCCTTGAACCTAGGAAAAGTCTCCGATTTCTGCTTGAGATTGTACACAAAAATATATCTAGAAAATGCATCAATGAGAACCATGAAGTATCTATTTCCACCCAAAGAGGGCGCGAGTGGTCCAACCAAATCAGCATGAACAACCTGGTATGGTTCTGTAGCTTTCCTACTAGACACCTTACCTTTCGCAGCCATTTTCACCTTGTTTGCTGCGCATGCTTTGCACTTCATGTGGTACCTGCAGGGTTTAATAGTCATACCTTCAACCAAGGCAGGCATTTTAGATACTGCCTCAAAATGCAAATGACCAAATTTTCGATGAAAATCGTGAATACATTCTGCATGCAAACTTTTGTTAGAACCTGCAATGCAACAAGTGTCATCCTGCACCACATCATCATAATACAAAACAAACAAATGATCAACATATTCTGCATGCAATACATAATCATTTTTCTTTGTGATGATGCACTTCTTGTTCTTGAAGGAAACGTCAATGTTCCGCTCATTCAGCTGTCCAACGCTGAGCAGATTATGTTTGGCGTCTGGCACGTAAAGCACATTCTGTATCGATAAGTCCAAACTGTGAAGAACAACAGTTCCGTAGCCTTTACTGGGAATAGTGTGGTCATCCGCCTGGTGAATCGCACCTTCCTGCGGTGTAAAAGACACAAACAGTTTCTTATCGTTGCACATGTGGTGGGTGGCCGCTGAATCAACAACGAAGAAAGATCTAGACGTCTTCTGGACCTCTGCAACCTTTGGAGTGAAGCGTGAAACCATAGCCTTGTGCTGCGTTGTCCTGGACACCGGACCTTTGCCTTTGCCTCGGCCTTTTCCGCGCGATGAGCTTCGCTGCGCTGCTCTGTCTTGGCCCTGGGATGTCTGCATTCCCTCTTCATATGGCCTAGACGTCCACATGAGTAGCATTTCACTGCCTTCAAAGCTTTGGCGCCATCTGGTGGTTCCACTGCACTATGGGATGACGTCTGTGAAGACTCCCCTTGCCCATGCAGCTAGCACCCCGGCGATCTGCTTCATTTAAAATCACGGCAGTAACAAAGTCCACTGTCAGCTGAGCAGTTGGTTGCACAGCAATCTGGGTTGCAACAGACTCCCAACCTGAACCCAAAGATTGTAGTATCATGAAAGAATACACAGCCTCTGGAAAGTTGAGTCCTCTCTGTTGCAGCTCATGTCTCAGATTTTGCATCTCCATTAGATGTAAACGTACATCTCCACCTTCAGCAAGAGCCATATTATGCAGCTTGTTAAAATAAAACATAGTGGATCCAGCTTCTGTCCTTAAGTGAGCCTCTCTCAGAGCGTCCCAAATTTCTCTGGCTGAGGTCTTATCACGCAATAGACAGAGCTCTTCTGGGGATACTATCAATGTAAGAGTTCCCCTTGCTTTGGAATCCTTAGCTTCCCATGCATCTGTAACTGGAACTGGGGGGGTTCCTGTAATCACTTCAAACAAACCCTCTTTCCGCAGAATTGCCTCTGCATACTGAACCCAGTCGCTGTAATTTTTCTTGTTGAGCTTAGGAATCCCACAAGCATCCTGAAGGGCCATCATGACTCTGGCATTAGCCTTCAGCGTCATATGCTGCTTTAAATCTTGCTGCGTCACTGCTGCAGCTGCCTTATCCAAAAGCGCACTTAAAAGTTACTTTCGATTTCCCCAGCATAGTGACTTTTGCCTGGGAGCCTTTTGCCTATTCCCGGCAAAACCGGCTTTAAAAGTTCAAAGTCCAGCCATAAAGCCATTAATTTGAAGCTGGCAGGCTGCCCGGAGCAGTAGCACATACCTCATCAATCACTTCTACGCGCAGAGCAGATTCCTTTCCGATCCGTCCCTCTGCATTCCGATCCTTTGCCGGCACTCCGATTCGACCTCTGGAGTCCATAACCACGTGTTGATTTAAAGCAGAGTCTCTGGTGCCCAGCGGAAGGATGAAGAATACGTGCTACATACTCTATATTGCTTTATTTACACTTCAAAGCTGGTATATTACAGAAAGACATCTTGCCTCTGCAGGAGCAGAGAAATGCATCCTCTCTCCTCAACAGCTCGGAGAGAATCACACAGTGAAAAACAGGAAACCAGTGTACGTCACATCCAGTCTCCCTTTCCCGTGAGAAACTCCAACAGTACAGACTGTGGAATGTAAAACAATGTCTTGTGACTGCAGTTGCTGCTCAGTGAGGGAAATCAGAAACCAACACTGCGGTCATCTGCTCCAGGCTTCTTGCAGCTGTCTAAACTCACGTTCCGATTTCCCCTTCCCTCCTTCCACATCGGTTCTGTCGTGCATTATGCCTTGAAGGCCTGCATTGGCACAGGAAGCACAGCCGAGAGAGCCAAAAACCTGCCATTCTCCTCACTTGGGCTTTTTCTAGGAATGCAGATTTCATTAAAGAGCACAGCCAATTATGTGAAAGTGAAAACTACACTGCCGCTTCCTTCACCCCTCATAAGCCTTGTGAGTTTGAATGGGTGCCAGCGAGGCAGATGGAGTAAGTTACATTGGTACCAGTCCCTAGGAAGGAGGAAAAGAGGCCCTGCTATTGATCCGTGCAAAATATGTTGCCATTTCAACATGGCAAGATGTGGGAGGTGTGAGGGAGTCTTTGCTCCTTCTCTTGCATCGGTTCAATTTAAAAGTGAGCATGCAAAAAAAAACAACAACCACAGAGCGGAAGAATTCAGTCTCTTTACTGAAGCAAAGAGAACTGATTTGTGTTGAAGCACGCATATATTGGCACCCAAAGCAGTGCTGGCACACCCACCCCCAAAACTGGGGAGCCTTTTTCAGCTCAAGGGCCATGTTCTCCTCATGGGCAACTTTCTGGGGGCCACACATCAGTGGCGGGTATGGCAGAAGTAGGTGTGCTCTCTCTCCCCCCCCCCCCATATTTCATCAAGGCAAGTGAGAGTAGTTATCACAGATCAAGGACACATCCAGCCAAGTAAAATCACCAGCAGAGGCCACAAAGCAAGGCCAGGGAAGGCTGTGGCTCAGGTGTGTGTGGCCTAAGCAGTCTCATGGGCCTGAGATTCTTCCACTCCTGTAGTGGATTATCTTGATGAATTCTGAGCTAATTTTTGTAATTGTGGGCTCATTACGCTGGCTCCAAAAACCTACAAAACTGCAGCACGATGCAGTAAAACAATAGGACCCCCCCAAACATGGAAGTCACAGTAATCACTATTATTATATATTAAATTTTTATACCGCCCTTTATCTGTAGATCTCAGGGCAGTTCACAACATAATGTCTGGGCTGCTGCATAAGCAGGTCAGCACTGCTGTGCTCTCAGTCTTGCCTGTGCTCGATGTTCTAGGTCAATAGGCCACAACGACTGAGTGGCCCCCGAATAAGGAGTCCCAGACTTCAGGCAGTGTTCTGTTGCCTGCACTGGTGTAAATCCATGTAGTTCCTCTTCACAGAAGTTGCTCCAGAACTGTATGGAGTGCGCCTTTCATTTTTCCCTTCGAGGCTGGTTGATATTTTGTGGGTTGGTAGGGGGAGAGGTCTTCCCTGTGCAACATGAATTTACCCATGGAAATCCTCTTGATTTTGCATTTTAAATATCTGGCGCCTGCCTTTTTAAGTGAACTGATGTATTGCACACTTCCTGGTCTAATCAGAGAGCATAATAATATTTTGGATGTTTCAATTCTTTGAAATTTATGATACAGAACATGGGCTTAAAAATGTACCATATGCATTAAAATACACATTTTCTGATTAAATATGTTTAGAGATGCATAAACATATTGAGTAAAATATGTACTAAATATTATTTTGTATTAAAATGCATATTTAAATATGTGTGCCATATTTTTATTTTTTTAATCACAGAATGGGTTGAAAGCAGAATGTAGCAGTATTATGGTTAAACACATGTAAAATTGATACGGAATTGCATCTGATGTTAGTCATACCCAGAGAAATGGACCTATGTTGGTCATGGCCATTAATTTCAATTGGTCTCCTTGTGACTATGGCTAACATTGGAAGCAGCAGATTGGCTGTAAATAGATGGATACCACCATCATTATTATGACCTTTATCAATACATTTTTGGAATGATTTTATTTTCTTTTTTTTAGTGCAAAACTGCCCTGGAGAGTAGAGGGTGGCAACATCTCAGGCTCTTGCCTGTCAGTGCTGCCCACAGGCTGCTTCTGCTGCAGCCTTGCAGAATTGCGCCTTTGTTTTCAGAACTCAACCATGGAGAGGAAAGATATATGTCTGGACTAAACATAGCAAGAGTGCTTTCAGATTGCCCCCAACACCCTAAAAATGTTCCACCTGTCTTCACTGTTACTTTTCAACAAAAACTGTACTACTGTCTAAAAGTTGATCGGCTCGTTGATCTAAACTCGTTGATCGGCTCACTTGTTCAACCTAATTCTTTATTTGCAGATCGACAGGACAGAAACAGCTGTGAACAACCTCAATCCAGCCTTCTCCAAGAAGTTTGTCATAGATTATCGCTTTGAGGAGGTTCAGAAGCTGAAATTTGCCTTGTTTGACCAAGACAAGTCAAGCATGCAGCTGTACGAACATGACTTCTTGGGAGAATTTTCCTGCACCCTGGGAACAGTGAGTGTTACTACCTGCTTAGTGGAGTCCCTAAGTTTCTGCTTCCAAAGCATTGCCGGTCATTGGCAAATTGTTGCTAGTTCTTCAGGCAGTGAAATAGATTAGAAGGCAGGACGAACAGGAGCATAAGCAGGACCCTCCTGAATTAGATCATAGCTCTGTCCCCTTTCCAGCTGTTATGCTTTTGGAAAGCCCGCAGCAAGACGTTAAAGGTAACAGCGCTCCACTGTTGCTTATTCCCATCTATTCTAGTTTACCACCATGGTATGTGAAGGTCCTGTTTCACTATCAAGCCTATTCTCCATTTAATAGACCAATCATTCGTGCACTGATTTATCTAATGCTTTAAAAAAAACCTCACCTAAGCCGGTGGCCATTACAACATCTCGTTGCTTAAATTACGTGCTCTGTAGAGCAGTGCCAGTCTTTGTTTACCATGCCAATATCTGAACCCCTGGGTGACCCCCTCCCAAAAAAAGCCTCTGTAGGCATCTTCCAAACATTTCCCCAAACATTTATGAGATTGCCTTTCAGATATAGGCAACCTCACAAAGCAATTTACACTTAACATTACAGCAAAACATCAGGGCAGCTTTGAAACAATGTGGTTAGACTAAAGAACTGAGAATTAGGATGGTGGGGGGAAATCTGCACCACAGAAAATGTGAAGAATTTGCCAGCCTTGCATAACCATGGGAAGAATTGCATTTCAGGAACAAATGTCCCAAGTACCATAAAGAAGCCATTTTGGGGTGACTGTGGTTCCTTGCTCTCAGTCATCTCTTGGATCCTCTTTCTTTTCTTCTTCTTCTTTCTCTCCTCTAGATGAAGATTCTTTCCATCACCTGCTCCAGTTAAAGCTAGTGATGCAAAGGGAGACTGGCACTCACAACAGGCCCCACTTTGAGTGCAGATCCCAGCTGGCTTTCTGTGAGCCCCACTCAGCCCCTCAGTACTTAGCAGTCTTCTCCTGAGCCCAACTTTTTATCCAAAGGCAAGAGCAGCCCATGAATAGCCTTGGGAAGGAGCTGCCTGAATGGCATCTGAGAATGCCATTCTCTCTCTCTTTAATTTCACTTTTACGTCAGGCTTCTGCTAGCTTAGTTCGGCTAGACTCTTGCAATGCACCTGATGAACCCTGTGGTCAGATTGAATGGAAAGACTCCTTCTTTTTGTCACCCCCTAGCAACCTCGTTGGCCACGTAAACTTGAAAACCAAGGAGATAAATCCCTTGGTTTTAGGCATGAGGTGCATGCATGCTGAGATCAGGAACACAAGTCAGATCCGCCTGCTGAGCCGCTCTCTGCAAATGCCCTCTCCTGTTGTGCTTCCGTCTCTTTCTCTCCTCAGCAGCGCTGAGTGTTTTCCGCAGGTCCAAGGCAGGATGTGAGCAAATATGAAATGTCACCATTCAGCACGTTGTGCAAGTGCATGTTTGAACAGGGATCTTAACTCTGTCCAGTATTGGGTTTTTGGTTTTAGTTTGTTTTGGGGTGAAGATTTTTTATTTCATTTTATAATATATATAAAATAGAGAGAACAATTATAACAACAGATGGAAATTAAAATAGGAAAAACAAACTATAAAATAGGCACGTAGAATGAGTACAGTCACACATGAGTTATAAGTCCAAGTAGAGGATATTAGCGTTATCTGATTATCAGCTATCATTCCAGATCTGTCCAGGCCTGTGACAAGGGTTGCCTTGAAAATGATGGCTCTGTTGTATATGTAAAAAGGAATGCCAAATCATATAAAACGTATCTGGAGCTTCTAGTCCTTGTCAGAATCTCAAATTATGCATCATTTTCTCCATTTTGGCTAGATTCCAGAATGAGTGGTACCAAGGGCCCAGTGTAAGGTTTTGGGCTGTTTTCCAATGAGTTTGCAATTAATGTTCCAAATGCCAAGATAATAAATGAGGCCGATTCTTTTGGCAAGTTGGCATCATCAAAAACATTAATTTTGGGCAACAAACAATAGTTTCTTTAGTAATTTGTCAAAATTAGTATCTGTCAAAATTAAATCCCTCAAATCTTGCAACAACTTAGCATTGCCACCATAAATAATAATGACTACATCCAGGATTGTACTCTGTCGGATCATTGCTACAGGCCTCCCTTTGTTTTCTGTTCTTCTCCCTTAGATTGTCTCAAGCAAGAAGATGACAAGAGCACTCCTCCTGGGGAACGGAAAGCCAGCTGGAAAAGGAATGATAATGGTATGGGGCACATGAAAGCAGTGGTATCAAGAGGGCGGGGACTTGGATTCTGAACTTAAATCCCAGTTCTGCATTTGGGATATAGCTGGAATCCTTTTTAAGCCCTTGGTTTTTTAGTGACTGCTGTGGGAGCCACCCTGGCTGGTCACTTCACTCCCCAAGATCTACACACTCCCCCCAAAAAAGGAAAACACACACAAAGTGTACTTTTCTAAGGAACTGGAGTAAAAGGTTGCTCCAGTAGAATTGATCTGAGCCCTGAAAAGAACATAGAACTGAAAGAAGTGGGAAATGGAGCCACTCTTCCAGATTCCTTCTTCAGCTCTTTATACTTTTCAAGAGAGAGAAAAAGTTAACCACCCTCTCATTTAAAACAGATTCCTCTTCCATCCCTCTGTTTTGCCTTATTTTTTATTAGAAGAGCAAAAATAACAACCAAAGGGACCAGAGCAGCCGAACTTCCAAGTCCCGATTCATTCATTTCCATAGCAAAGCTTAAGCAGAAATTTCAGTGCGTGCTTAAACCTCTCACCCTGGAAACAAAGCTTCACTTGGACTGGGTGGCATCCAGGTTTAAAAAAATGTTCAGACTTATGTCCATATGAAACCATTTGCATCAAAATGCATATGCCATGCACTCCTTTATTTCTTCTGCAAATTTGTGCGCAATCTGCAAACCCATAAGTGGCATGCAAGATAAATCGGGATAAAAGGTTTGGTTTATGGGGATGAGTAGTGTTAGTGGTAAGAGGAACAGGGCTTACTACTTAGCAACAGGTTTCTTAGCAACAGTTTTTCCTCTCTTGCACACTTGTGCACACAGAGCAATGCCTTTCCCATTGTAGACATGTCTGGCTAGTTTTGCAAATGAAAGGAAGTGATATTGGCTTGCATTAAAAGCGCGCACACACCGCCCTCCAATCCTACTCATCTATAATTATCAATTGGGATGAACTGTTTGCTGCACCCTTGGTGCCTATACATCATCATGATATATCAAATGCACCATGAGCCATGCTGTGCATATTAGCTCACTGGTCCTTACGTTGCAGCCTTGGGTTCACCGATGCTGCTTCCAGCTATGCTTTCAATGCCTTCAACCACTGTAAACCCACTACATATTGGTGTGTGTGTGTGTGTGTGTGGTTGCGTCTGAAGCCAAAACTGAGTATAGTCAAAACCCATTTGGTTCAATGGCAAGTGGATTTGCCAAAGTCATTTTTCCTGGAACCATTTTTCCCTTTCCACCCACTTTCTGCCCCCTTTTAATTTTTTTAAAAAAATATTTTGCCACATGCGGAAAGTTGAATGTGCAGAAGTTGTGGACTTATTATATGATTCCATATTGGAAACAGGAGAGAGAAATGGCAAAGAGCCAGAGGTGTTTTTGAAGGGTTTTTTCCAACTTACATTTTAAATGTAACCTGACAAGTAGCTCCCTCTACAATAGAAACCCACAAATTCTGTGCATGTTTCTTATCCCAGGAACCTTGTTCCTGCTGAGCAAAGTTGAATCTAAAGTGAACAATGGTGTTGCTTGAATTGCCTTCACTGCAGTAATCTTGGTGTATTGTCACCAGCTTGCTGAGATGTGTGGGCAGAGGAGGCTGGTCTATGATGTCAAATGGGGAATTGCCCTAAACCACCTCAGTCTGCCCACAGCCAGTCTCTGGATACCTGCCTTCTTCCTTACAATCAGTCCAAGCTGGAGCTAAACAAGAACAATCACACAAATTGCCCATGAATATATGGGAGAACATAAGAAGGTGCCTTCTACCAAATCAGACCATTGGTCCATCAGTACTGTTCACGGTGACTGGCACTGGTTCTCTGGGGTCGCAGACAGATGCTTCTCCTAACCTTACCTGGGGGATGCAAAGGGGTCAACTTGGGACCTTCTGCATGCAAAACAGATGCTCTGTCACTGAGGATTCTCTAGCTGTGATTCCTGCATTGCAGGGGATCAGTCTAGATGACCCTTGGGGTCCCTTCCAGTTCCACAGTTCTATGATTTCATGCATGTTGACCAAGAAGGCACTCACCAGAGAATATTTTCATCTTGAAATGGAAACAGCAGGATGCTCAGTTGTTGTGTTTCCTGAGCTTTGATGTATGCAATTGTGCATACATTTTTCTAGTGCAGGAGAGAAGGAAGAGCTTGGATAGGATTGGCCAAGCACACTTCGTTGCTTAAGGCAAAGGGCAAGATCACACACACAAACACATTCCACACACAAAAGCTAACTGGGCTAGCATTTGACTCTTATTTCAGCACTGGTGATGGGACAGCGTCCAAGTGAGGACAGCAGGTTAGTTCAAGAGGGTGCATACGGTCCACACAACCTCTGCCTTCCAAGCCCTCACTGCCACTCAGGATGTGCCACCTGAGGCAGCTGTCGCACTCAGTCCAATGGTAAGGCTGGCCCTGAGTTTGGCTGCTGAATCCCTGCATGGCAAAAATTGTGAGCAGCAATCCACATAATTAAGGCCCCATTAATATTGTCTGCCCAACAGAGATAGGAAAACAGACATCGTCCAGCTCCTTCAAATTAAAACAGCCAGATGGACCGTCATTAAAATGGAGAAAAAATAAAAATATCGCTATTTCCTGTGTTACAGGCTGCTTTAAGCATACTCATTGATGTGGGTGGTTCCTCCCGCCCCCCCAACCATAGGAACAAATATATATATATTTACATAGCTTGGCAAAATAGTTATTGGAGGAGATGTTGGACTAAATGGGCTACTAGCCTGATCCAGCAGGCTCATCTTATGTTCTTAGGAGCATTTGGCCATGCAGCTCCCACTGGTGTGGATGGGGTACATTGGATATCTGTACATAAAACTCAGAAATATCTAAAAGATGCCACACCAGCCCAGATTATGATTAAAGTGGAGTAAGAAGGAAAAGGTATTGGCAGCAGGCTTCCGTGTGGAGGCACCCTCCAGCCCAGCACCCTGGAGAGAGATCTCTAAGGACTTCCTAATTGTGAGACATTGACGCCCATTGATAAAATGTCTACCAGCTATCCTGGCCCCTGAGTCAGGAGCCTGTGGCCCTGCAGATGTTGATGGACTGCAACTCCCTTCAGCCTCAGCCAGCGGTCAGCAATGGTAGGAGCTATAGTCCAACAATATCTGGAGGTCATCAAGTTGGAGAAGGCTGTTCCTAGCACTCAAAACTGCCGTGGAGAAAGAGGTTGAGCTCAGGGCTTGCCTTTTCAGTTTGATGGGCTGGTGACAGCAGCTGCTTTATGATGCAAATTGCAGTCTCCTCTGATTTGGCTGCACCATGGTGGGCTATCACCTCCCTCTGCTGATCAGGTGTGCTTGATTTTAATGCCATGGGATCTGCTGAAAGCATCTTCATCTGTGCTTGCCCTCCCCATGCACTCAGCCAGTCACCAATCAAGCAGGAAATCTATGCAAGGAAACTGACAGTGGATTTAGAGAGGGGAACGGTGTAACTTGAACACTCCGTGTTCAAAACTGGCTGCTCGCAGGGCTGTTGTGAGGATAAAACAGGCAGGAAGAAAACTATGCAAACCATTTTGAGCTCCTTGGGAAAGGTGGGATATAAATGCAATGAACGAATAAATAAAATTGTTTTAAATGGTGCTTTGTGAGGAATTAAAAGGACAGGCCTCCAAGGGGCATACTAACTAGACACAGACCCAATATCTGTACCAGGCAGACTAGATTTTACAGGAAATGTGAGGGGCTTTTTTTAAAAAAAGCAGGGAAACAGCTGAGACCTACACAGAAGGCAGGAGGATGCAGCTGGGTCCCATTGGGCTGGTGGGCTGTGCCAGGAGAAAAGGTGGAGTGGGGGGGGGGAGGTTTAACCGTTTGAGGGCAGCAAAATGGCAAACTCCCTGGAGATGCTCCATGCTGGAATGAGGCAGTGGGGCTGACCGACTGCCAGCACGTGTAGGTGGCTCGAGTTGTGCATGAAGCAAGCGTCGCCGAGGCCAGCCGGATGAGGCTGGGAAGGCAGCCCCCTCCTCCTCCAGTGCAGGATGCGCTTTCTGTGCTGGCAGCCGCTTGCCTCTGCTCAGAGGGAGCTGTCTTCCTCCCACAGAATGAGAAACATAGTCTTTCTTTCTCTGTGCTGGGGGAGAAGGGGAGCCTGAGGCCTGAATGTGGGCCCTCCTGGCCTTAGGGGAGGCTCTTCCTCAGGCACTGCCCCTTCTCCCCAGCCCTGCCCTGCCCTCTTCCTGAGTGCTTTTGCCCAGCTGGACTGTGTGCTTGATCTGGGGATGATGCTTCTTGCCTGCCTGGATGGAGAACGTACGTGTGTGTGTGTGTGTGTGTGTGTGTGTTTTCTCACATAGAAACCTGCGAATTTTGTGTGTCTGGAACACAGAGCCGCAGCTATTTCTCTTCCCATTCTTGCCACTTCCATAAACCTGGAAGAGGAAAGTGACACTCTTTCCCACTTTCCTCTCTTGACTTCATGTGCTTTTCCAAGGTGCTTTTCCTACACTGCAGGGGATTGGACTCCATGTCCCTTGGGGTCCCTTCCAACTCTACAACTCTGCGATTCTATTATCTCAATTTTTTTCACTTTGCGGTTGGACCTGTGTTTTTAGAATTCTGTGCTCTAGCCTAGGCTAAATCTACTGAATTCCTGGACCAGAAATGCCAGTGATGGAAGCTATAATCCAGAACATGTGGAGGGCACCTGGTTTGATGAAATCCATGTTGCTGGGCCCTCAGCCCTTATTCAGTTGAAAATAAGGCTCCTGTGTGGAAAAATAAAAATGCTGGACTCAACCTCTGTTCTGGCTGCAAGCACTGACATCCAGCCATTGTGCTCAGGAGGAGAGAGAGAGAGAAAGAGTATGAAGAACATTTGCAAAAAAGAAAAAGAAAAAGCAGCCTTGGCATCTTCTTCTCTTCCACCCACAGTGCCTGGAACCGCCTCTCACTCCTATGTTCCTTTCAGCACCTATTCATGCAAAATAAACCCCAAAGCAGAGCAGCCGCAGGGAGGCCAGTGACAGACGTCTCTCAGCACCAGGCTCTGAGACAGGGATCCCCACTCGTCGCACATGGGCACCCTATTGCTCAGATTAGCAGAGCTGCTGGCTGGAGGATGGAACTGCAGGCAGTTCAAACCAGGATGCTCAACACTAGATCACGGTCCCAGGAATCTGGTGACTCTGGAAAGCCAGTCCCATGCCATCGACAGCAAGGCAGTTGGGCAACCTTGTTGCTCAACTTCAAAGCAACGTACATTTGGATTTTTGAGCAAGTGCTGTGGTCACTTCTCTGCTGGCTCTCCTGAATCAGCCTGCCAAAGATGCAGAAAGCACACACACACACTGCGCTTTCCCAAGAGATAGGGGTAAAAGCTGGACCGCATAGAATCATAGAATTGCAACTATAGAATCCTTGACAGATGGCCATCCAATCCCCATTTAAAAACCTCCAATGAAGGAGAGTCCTCCACCTTCTGAGGGAGTCTTTTCCATTGCCAAACAGCTCTTACTGATGGAAGGACGTTCCTAATGTTTAGTCGGAATCCCCTTTCTTGCCATTTGAATCCATTTGTTGGGGTCCTACCCTTTGAAGCAGCAGAAAACAAGCTTGCTCCATCTTCCATGAGACAGCTCTTTAGATATTTGAAGTTGACCATCACATCACTGCTCAGTCTTCTCTTCTCCAGGCTTAACATCCCCATCTCCCTCAGCCGTTCCTCAAAGGAAACTTTGAGGTCCTTGATCATCTTGGTCACCTGCTCTGCATGCATCCGTAGAAGACCAAGTTAAGATTTAAGGAGTCTGTAGACTTAGTCCTATCATATACTCCGGCCCCGTGCAGCTTTGCTTTTTCACTTCGGGGCCTGCATCCGCATGACACTAATGAGGAAAGAAGAGGCGCAATTAACCAACTCGCCTTGTGCTCTCTCCACCAACAAAGGCTCTTTCTGACTCACTGCTTTTTATTCAGATCATGCTGGAGAGTAAACAGCAGCCCAAAGGGAAGAGCTATTTCCAGTTGTGGTCAATGTCATTTCCCCCCCTAAGCAAGATCTGAGTGGGGGGACCAGAGGAGAGACACCCCCACTGACATGAGCAGCTGCAGGGGGGGGAGCAGTTGCCCCTCCTTGGATAATCACCAGGTCCCCAGTTTTCTTTCTTTCTTTTTTAAAAGTGCATTTCTAACATTTGTAGACCCTAAGGAAGCAAAATGTGCAAGCACTGTTTTCTTTCTCTCTTTTTTCAGAATCTACCCTCCAGATGTTTTGGACAATAGTTGGCATCAGCCTTTGCCAGCATGGCCAATGGTTAGGGCTGATGGGAATTCTAATACAAAATGTCTGCAAGGCACCAGTTTGTTCTGTTCCATTTCTCCTGCCTTCCAGTTTTCCAGGGTTTTTCTGCAACAGTCTGTCAGCATTCTGTGGACACTGAGCAAACTCACTCCACCTTAGGCTGTTCTTGGATTCCCAACCCCCCAAAAGTATTTCCCCCCCCCCTTTCAAATAAAAGAGATTTTAGCTTTGGTTCCCTCAATCCTGTCAGATACCTCTCTGCTCTGTATGGCTGTTGTTGTTTTGGCTACATAGGCGGCAGCAGCACTCACACCTGAACATTGGGAGTAGATGGAATGATTATTTAATTAAAGCATTTCCACACTGCTCTTCAGCCAGAAAAAAAGACTCTCAGAGCAGCTTGCAAATTCCAGTGATAAGACAGTCCTTATCCTCAGATTTAGAACCTAAAACATATGACACAAAAAGAAAAGGGATTGGGAGGGAGGAGGGAGGAGGAAAGAAAAAAAAACTCAGGCATGATTTCTTGGTTACAAAAATCCTATGATGAGCAGCTGGAATGGGGGAAAATATAAGGAACAGAAGAGCCAAAGTGTGCTGGTGTTTCAGCAGAGCAAATGAAATTCTGCCATCCCATCCCTCTCCCTTCCCTGTAGCTGTGTTTTTCCACAAGCTATGTTTTTCTTCATCTTTGGGGGCTCGAACATCTAATGTGTGAAGAATGACTGGAATTTTCTCTTGTCTTCCAGATAGCAGCTCAAGAGCTGTCGGACAACCGTGTGATCACTCTTAGCATGGCAGGCAGGAAGCTGGATAAAAAGGTGTGTGTTTGGGGTCCTGCTTCTCCCCACCCCCCCAAAAAAAAATTCATATGGATGCAACATGTAGCCAGTTAGGTGATGCTACAAATGCTTGTTTTGACATTGCACTGCACAGTGTTGAATGCAAGGCAGGAGCCCGGTCCTCCAGCGTTGTGCAGCAGAGACCACGCACAGACACGAAAGGGCTTTTCAACCAATGCTGAACAGTTGGCAACTGTGCTTGGGATGCAGTAGAGGTAGAGGAAAGGAGTGTAGGAGCCAGCAATTTTAATAAGGCACACAAATTCTCTCCTTTCCCAGACCTGTTCATTTGCCTTCTAACAGTCTACCCTGCCTGCATACCATGAGGTCTAGAAACTTGCCAAAGGAAATGGAAGCAAAGAGTCTCAAATAGGCTTTTCCTTTCTCTTGGAGGGCACAAATCCTCCTTTAGTTGATTAGCTCTGGTTCCTACCCAGCTCTCCTTTCAGTTGCCAGAAACAGCCTTTTATTTTCCTGAGCTTTACAGATACAACTTTAATCCTGCCGGCTGTTTTATGTTGCTGGTATGATTTCATAGCTTTTATTGTACATTTTTTTTAAAAAAGTATTTGCTTTTTAGGGTTTTATTTTTGTAAGCCTCCCTCAGATTGTGAGTGAAGGATGATATAAAAAAGACTTTGAATTAATGCATAAACGAAATAATCGGTCCCTGTACCAATAGAGATTCACACCCTGCATGGACTTCTGAGAAACCCCTGTGCATCTATAAATAAAGTATGTAAACGGACTGAAAACAGGCAGCCCTTGAAGAGGCAAAGCTCTGAAAGGCCTGTTGAAAGAGAGAGAGAGAGCCCTAGAACTCTGAGGAGAGACAGTTTGTTTTCAGGGTGGTGCAAGTCAAGGTCGATGGCTCCTTCCATAAGCGTACTGCCTGGTGCTTTTTTTGATCTGCATTGCATATTTTTTCCCTCTGAGATGCCTCTGCTCTTCCTGTATTCCCCCACCCTCTAGTTCCCTAGGATTTATCTTGTGAATGCTCATCGGTTCAAGAACACATCTCCAACTGAAGGCTGCCTGGGATGGCATTGCAGTTTCCCACAGACAATAGTAGTAAAAGTAGCAAAAGAAAAGGTTTTAATAGACCCTCTTGCCTGCTGCTCTTCTGTTCCTGACTGCAGCCTCCATTGCTGCTTTTCAGCAGCTTAAACTCTAAGAGATTAGTCATGTCCTCTCTAGTATCATTTAGTTTGGGCCATGGCTGTTGGGGAGCCCTTTAAACTCTTGGACTGGTTCCAAGAGTTGGCCTAGTTGGGGATCTGCTGGGGTGTGTCCACACACCAGTTGGGGAGCCCACTGACGAAACACGCGACAGTGAGGAGGTAGAGGGTGCAAGTCCAACCGCTACAGTCCCCGGCAACCCTGCCAAAGTTGTTGAGGATTTGCATTTCGGCGTGAGCACCAAGAGACCGTTTCGAGCCAATAATATTTGTTGCTTTGGGGAAATCAGACCATCTGTGGATGCTACTGTTTACCCTGTGCTTAGATGTTTTAAGATTTACAGGCATTCATTTCTTATTCATTCAAATTGTAGCACTGGGAGGACCCTGCAAGACACATTGGGTGCCTCTGATTTATAGCCTAAGGGGAAAGACTTCCTCTCTCCTCCTAATTCTACATTACCTGGTGCTGATTTGAGGCAGCTGAGCTGGGGTAATTGTATAACCGTTGTGATTATTTTCCCCTCTTTCATCCCCCTTGCAGGACTTGTTTGGAAAATCAGACCCATTTTTAGAGTTTTATAAACCAGGAGACGATGGGAAATGGATGCTAGTCCATAGGACAGAGGTAAGCAGGGTCATCTGTTAGCATCAATGAACTCCCCCTTTGAGAGATGCAAATATCAGTGTTTTGCAGCAAGATCACATGCTGTCCATGTCCCATGCTGCCAAGGACCAGATATTTTGGGTGATGTTTTTGAATAAAGTGAAGCTGAGGTGTCCCCAAACACCTCAAAAACCTTGAGTGGGTGTGTCTGTGTTGCAAGGGATAACAACTGGCTTTTGTGAGTTTGAAAAGCAGTTTCAAGGCAGAACTGGGGAACTATTATCAACCAGAGGTCCACATTCTCTTCTGGGCAACATTCTGAGGGCCATGTGCCAGAGGTGGGTGGGACCAGAGACAAAAATAAGTGGAAGATAGAATGTAAATGTTGTATACTGTAGCCTAGTTTCTGCACACAAACACACTTCAGCCCTTGATATGGACTAGCATCCAGTTCAAGGGCACCTTCCAGCCCAGAAAAATTATGTGGGGTACAGAGCAGGGCTGGTGGGGGATGTGGCTGGGGTGACTTCTGAGGGCCAGATAGGGAGGTTTGGATAGCCGCATTTGGCCCCTAGCTTGAGGTTCCCATCCCCAATGCAGAATGAGTTGCATTGCAAAGGCAAAAATCAATATGGCCCAAGAAGAATTATGCAGTGCTCTTTATACTGCAACGATTACGTCTAAATGGAGAGAATGGGGACTCTTTGCACTGGCTTTTGGTAACTGTGTCCAGGTAGTTATCTTGACTGTTTAAAAAAAACACTATACCACTAAAACATCAGCAATCAGTTCCAGGGGTGCCTCTCCAGTTTTGGGAGCTGCTGGAAAAGGCATAAATCATAAATGTTTTTGGAGTTTTTTGGTGAGAACTGGAGGTCTTGTCCCCCCATGGCCTAGCAGGACAGACTCCATGGGCTTCAGACCTTACAGCTGAACTGCTATTGTCATTAGTATTAACATTCCTGGCTGAATCCCTCTAGAGACTTTCTAAGACACCTCTTGCTTTCAAGTGCCTTTGGGAGCAATGAAAAAAACCTCTGTCCTCAAGTTTCAAAGTAAATGTCTTGGGTGCTCATTGACAGACCCATTCAGATACAGTGGTGCCCCGCAAGACTAATGCCTCGCAAGACGAAAAACTCGCTAGACGAAAGAGTTTTCCGTTTTTTGAGTCGTTCCGCAAGACGAATTTCCCTATGGGCTTGCTTCGCAAGACGAAACGTCTTGCGAGTTTGTTTCCTTTTTCTTAAAGCCGCTAAGCCGTTAATAGCCGCTAAGCTGCTAAGCCGTTAATAGCCGCTAAGCCGCTAATAGCCGGGCTTCGCAAGATGAAAGAACCGCAAGACGAAGAGACTCGCGGAACGGATTAATTTCGTCTTGCGAGGCACCACTGTATTAGTTTTTGAATGCAGCAAAAGCCTGGTTTGCCCACCCCTAAGCAAATTTTTCTCCCTCCAAGACTTCACTGATGTTAGTAGTGACAAAAAGAAAAAGACCCAAAGCAGATACAGTTCCTGTGTGTGAAAAGAGCAGGCAGAAAGCAGTTTCTTAAAAAATATAGCTCAGTCGGTAAACACTGAGACTCTTAATCTCAGGGATGTGGGTTAGAGTCCCACATTGGGCAAAAGATTCCTGCCTTGTAAGGGATTGGACTGGATGATCCTCGGGTCCCTTCCAACTTTACAGTTCTTTGATTCTACCCAAGCCCGAGCTTTTACAAACCACTGCCTTCCTCTTTTGCAGGCCAGAAAAGAGACAGACACTCTCCAAGGAGACAATTATCAATACATTTGTTTTCTTCTTCTGTGCCAATCCTAAATACATTATGCAGAAACCAGTGTCATTGATTTATGAGTTCCTTAATGCTGATTTCCCTTCTTATATGATCCTTGAAATATTAAAGAGCTCTTGGCATGAAGGCAGAAAATGGCTCATTTTGGATATAATGCCCCATTTAGCATTACATAAGTGACCATAAACTAGCCTTGGGTTCACATATTCCCTGCTCCGCCTCCCCTTCTCTGGAGGGGCCACAAGGAAGAGATGGGAAGCTTTCACTTTCTGCAGGTTTTTGCTACATCTGAAATAGGGGTGGAGGAGGGAGGGAAGCGGGTCACCTTAAAGCACAGTTTCTTGACACAAGCCAGGACCAGCATTAGAAGTGTTACACGGTGTGGGGTTCAGAAGTCCACTTTGCACCAATGGCGGTGCAGTTGTGCAGGGAGGGACAGTGTTGTGTGGAAGAGCCCTATCCTTCCCAGTTGATTTGTGCTATTGTTGACTGACACATTGTGTGATTTTTCTCCCATGTTGGGTTGTAAGTGTGCATCCTTTGAGACTCCCACACAGTGCTCCAGTGTCTGACAGTTCTGCACAGGGAAGTCTCAGTTTTACATCACAGTTTCTCTTTGATCCTTTCCACTCCTTTGCAGGGAAGCGTTTACAGTCATTTTAACATTAACACTTAATCCGTGCTCTAACTGGCAATGCCTTCCTCTTGACAAGAGGCCAATCCTGCCTCACTCTTCAATGCAAAGCCGATCCTCTCTTACTGATGTGAGTTCAGAGACAAGGCTACCTTTTTTTACATCAAAAAAGCAATTATATTTGTAAATCATTTAGGCTTTGCAGGTTGAATGGGGAGCACGTTGCAGTCATTGCAGGGGTAGAAATAGGGGAAGGTAGAATAAATGCATTTGTAAGTGAACCAATTTCTGGTACACATTTTGAATAACCCATGCTGGTGGGGTGGTAGTCTCCTCCACCTGATGAGAGGCAATAGGACAAAGCAAGGGTCCCAGGACTTGGGAGGAAGGCCCGGGAACTGCTGCTTCCCACTGGCATCTACCACCTTGAGGCCGTTGCCTTGCTCTGCCCAATAGTAGGGCCGGCCCTGGTGTCTAGCTTGGCCCTTGGTGTGTTGGCCTTGATTGTGAAATGATCTCCCCCTGTGCTTCTCCCGTCTCTCCAAATTGCAGGTGATTAAATACACGCTGGATCCTGTGTGGAAGCCGTTCACTGTGCCTTTAATATCTCTGTGTGACGGAGACGTCGAAAGGCAGATAAAGGTACCAAGAGCCCAAGTCTCCCTCTGTTTCAGTGGTTGCCAACAGTTTGGGGTGCAGGAGGGCATTTTGGAATTTTGAGATAGTGCCGAAGGTACCAGTCATAGAATGGCTGCTTCCAGGCTTGTAAACTAGCAGAAAATGTTAGGTCTTTTTGTTTGAAAACCTTCCTTTGTTTCCAGACATTGTGAAGTTGGGTATGCACAGCATGTTCTGGTGATTATGAAATCATGGACTCCACTCCTCCACAGAGTAATTTACAACATTTTAAAAATCGTTTTCTTTTTCTTTTAAGGTCTTCAAATGGGAATTTCTTGGAAGTTTCTGGAAATAGCAATATTTGGTACCATAACCTTCATCTTTATCCATTAATTGGATCTGTTCCTCTGTAATTACTATTTCTAGACAGCATCTCATTATTTCTGACACCTAGTTCTAATTCTTGGAAAAAAATTAACGATCCCATTTCCGAGAAAGATGAGTTTCTTTGTCACAAAAAATGTGCAGCTCAGTTTCAGGCTTCTTTAATGGGCAGCCCAGCAATAGGCAACATGAGGACACCTGTTTGCTTCTTTAAAGAAAACAAAAAACCCCACTCACTGCTCTGCTTCTCCCTTTTCTCCCACCAGATCATATGTCATGATTACGACAACGACGGAGGCCACGATTTCATCGGGGAGTTCCAGACTTCCGTTGCCAAGATGTGCGAAGCCCAAGATGCCTTTTCGGTAAGCTCTAGAGAACCACTTTGGATGTGAAGAATAGGAAAATGTTCTGGCCTGAAGGCATTGTAGCTGCAGGTAGGGCTGGGAGAGATTCCCTGCCTGAAACCTTGCAGAACTGCTGCCACAGTGTAGACAAGACTGAGATAGACAGACATTACAAGGCAGATTCCTAAATTCACCTTGCTAAGCAGATTTGGGGCTTGTCAGTCCCTGCATGGGAGACCACCTGAGAATTACATGTTGAGTTCTGTGATGTAAGAAACATGGCGGGATATATGTGTTGTAATAGTAGTCATAAGAAGAAGAATGACAATAGAAGAAGAAGTCTCTTTATGCTGAGCCATTGGTCCACCTAGCACAGTAATGCCTTGTCTTGTAGTGGTTTTCTGATGTGTCAGCAGAGAGTCCTCTCCTAGAAGGACCGCCTCTCCCCATATAAACCAACATGGACGTTGCCTTCATCATCCAAGGCTGATGGAGGTGACCTTGCTGTCTCCCTGCTCAGAGGCAGGGTGGTGGTTGTGCAGGCCTGCAACAAGGTTTCAGGAAGGGCCATAGCGCAGCGATGGAGCATACATGCGCACACAATTTATTTGTATGGCGCTTTTCCATGGTTCAAACCATGCACAATGCGGTTTACAGCATGAACAAATGTACATCATTACAGATATAACAAAAGTAGCCATAAACAGTAAGTAAGACACATCAAAAAGTGCACAACCAAATAGCCAAAAATGTCACTAAAGGCACCCCCCAACAACAACAACAACCCCTCACGGGAGTCTGTTCAGCATCTTCAGCTTTTGCAGCTGGAGTCAATCACAGCCCTCCCCTCCTAGGCCAGGTGGATAAAGGCCTGCAAGGCAAGAAGCAGGTCTTCACATGCAGAAGGCTCCATCTCCAGGCAGATGCCTGAAACTCTGGAAAGTCGCTGCTGCCAGTCAGTGTAGCCAGTACTGAGCTAGATGCAATGGTTTGACTCAGTACAGTGGTACCTCGGGTTACAAATGCTTCAGGTTACAGACTCCGCTAACCTGGAAGTAGTACCTTGGGTTAAGAACTTTACCTCAGGATGAGAACAGAAATCGCACGGCGGCAGTGGGAGGCCCCATTAGGTAAAGTGGTACCTCAGGTTAAGAACAGTTTCAGGTTAAGAACAGACCTCCGGAACGAATTAAGTTTTTAACCCAAGGTACCACTGTACAAGGCCACTCCCCCCTTTATTGGTTTTGTACTGCTGTCTGTGTGGATGAGTAGCAAAAATCCAACTGGATCATTAAAAAACAAAACACAACCTGTTGCTGCCTCCATAACTCACGTTCCCCTACGCTGCTGCATTGCCAGGGAGGTTGGACTAGACGACCCTTCGGGTCCCTTCTGGTTCTATGATTCCATGATTCTGCTTTGTCTGGATCGATGTGCCATCTTCGTTCCTTTACTTGCATTCTCTTGGTTTGTTATTTTCAGTTCTCTCCAACCTCTCGCTCATTAGCAAGCCTTTACGTTGACGGTCAAAGAAAGTACTTCTTTTCCACACAGTCATTTAACTAATGGAATTTGCTCCCACGTGAGGTAGTGTTGGGCACCCATGTGGATTGTTTTAAGAGAGGATTAATGAAGGAGCAGGCTATCAATGGCCATGTCAGTATGCACCTGAATATTAGTCACTAGGACTCACAAGTGGGGTGCCCAGGCCCTGCTCGGGGCTCCCCATCAGGGCATCTGGTTGGCCACTGTGAGAACAGGATTATGGGCTCTGCTATTATAATTTCTCCTACCTATGGCACACCCAGTTATATAAGGGATTGGATGGATGTTAAACTAAGATGCTAAACTAAGAACAGTTTTTTTTCAAAGGCCCAAACATTTTACCCTTTGCAGAATGGGAGAGCCAGATTAAAGGGTATCCCTAGAAGTCAAGCTGGATTTTGTAATTCTCAGACCCTTGAAGGTCTTATTCACTTGATATGTGAATGTGAAGGGCATGCAGATTTCATTTTTTTAAAAACCTACCCATTGCTACTTTTGAAGACGGATTTTCCGAGATAAGTTGCTCTTCCTGTCAGAGACTCTGATAAATATGCTACATTTAGAGCAGCAAAAATCCTCACTCCGGCACCGCATGATCGATGGAAATTCTGCTGATTATCATAGGGATGGCAGCTTTCTTCTGCGTCAGATTGTGATATTTTAAAAGGTTTTTTAAAATTTTATTTGTATCAGTCTCTCAAATGTTATTAAATGCATAAGGTTTGCTTAGTTGATACCTGGCCAAATGCTTGTAATGGCAAGTAATTATATTACAGTTTTTTTAAAAAAACACCTCATCTGACCTGTTTATCAACCTTGTGGGATTTATTCAAATGTTTGTGAACATTCTCATAGCTCAGAGCATGTTTTGCATGGGAAAAGTGCCTTCTTCAATCGCTGGCAGGTTCAGGCAGGGTCTAAGAAAGCCCTTAAGAGCTGCTGCCAGTCAGTGTAGACAGTACTGAGTTAGATGGACCAATTGTCTGTCCTGGCATAAGGCAGCTTTTTAAATCTCAGAGGATGTCTATAAAAGTTCAATAAAGTGCCAGTTTTTCCCTATTATGTTCAGAGACCTTTTATATTGAAGGATGTTAGAGAATTCTCTTCCGTTTCAGGTAGATCAGACTACCGTATTTTTCGCTCTATGAGACACACCGGACCATAAGACACACCTTGTTTTAGAGGGGGAGAACAAGAAAAAAAATATTCTCTCCCTCTCTGCGCAGTGCCCCTTCAGCGAAGCAGCAGGAGAAACGGAGCCCCTTCCATTTCTCCTCCTGCTTCGCTGAAGGGGCGCTGCACAGAGAGGGAAAGCTGCGCAGCGCCTCTCCAGTGAAGCGAAGCCAAGAGGGCAAGAAGGATCGGTGCGCACCAACCCCTCTTGCTCTCCTGGCTTCAGTGAAAGCAATGCGAAGCCTCCGGAGCGCAGCGGGAGCGCTCCCGCTGTGCTCCGCAGGCTTCACGTTGCTTTAGCTGAAGCCATGGAGCCTGCATTCGCTCCATAAGACGCACACACATTTCCCCTTACTTTTTAGGAGGGGAAAAGTGCTTCTTATAGAGCAAAAAAATACGGTATCTAGTGGTCTAAAGGTTATGTCACTGGTGTCACCCAGAGCAAAGTGAGCAGTAGAGGTCGATCTGTGAATTGATAAAGTCCCAGTAGGTCAGGTTCACAATTGTTCACAATCATTACATATTGACTTCAGACCTTCCTTTTTGCCTCCTACGAATGTGTGCATTTCTATCGACATGCTCCAGGTGGAAAGAAAAGGTTCTTTCAGAGAGACAGCTGGGGTGCTTCTACATAAAAGCTTAAAAATAAAATGGGAACACACGTTTGTTTACTTAATGAGTAATCAACATCCTTCACCCCCCAAAAGACACATTCACATAAAAAAGGACTTGGAATACTGCTGTGTTCATCTGCCATTTCCGCTTTTGTTTCTGTCAAGTGCTGAGTGCTTCTAAATGGAGTTACCTGCTGTCAGTAACCCAGGCAGCTCTTTTATTCAAAACACCAGGCTCTAAAGACCAGAAGGGAATGGCTTTCTCAGCTCCATCGTCTGGGGTACATCCATAGCTGGTTGAGAAATTCAATTAAGGGAGCATTTTAATGCAGAACCTACTAGGAGACACTTCCTTGCTCTAAATCCTGGAGAGCTGCTGCCATTCAAGGTAGACAATGCTGAACTAGGTGGATCAGTGGTCGGTCTCGGGCAACGTCCCGTGTTCTGATGTAGTTTGCAGTTTCCAAACTGGCAAGCAGACCCAGATGCAGCTAACCTTCCAAAGGTGCACTTTTCTGTATTGAGTGGTGCAGTTCCCCAACCTAACAAATCGTGGCTCATTGTGGCATTTTGCTGGCATTGAGAGAATGAGAACCAGTTGTGTGCAGGATTTCTGCATGGCAGGGACCCTTGTGGTCCCTTCCAACTCTACAGTTCTATAATTCTATGATTCAGGATCTCTTGTGTTTATTGTGACCTGTCTTCCTTCCATTTCCTTTTTAAATAGGTAGAATTTGAATGCATTAACCCCAAAAAACAGAAGAAGAAAAGGAGCTACAAGAACTCAGGAATCATCATTGTGAAATCCTGCAAAGTGAGTACTTCACACAAAGCATCTGTCACCAACCATGGTGCCCTCCAGATGTTTTGGACTACAACTCCCATTGCCCCCCACTGAGACTGAAGGGAGAGGTATCCTATGGGCACCCCCAGACTGTTGCTTTTGTGGGGGTAGGATTCTATCACATACCAGCAAATCCGGGTCTTGCAGTTGTAACAGACTGGGAGGTCATGTGCAACAAACCCACTTCCTCAAGAAGATCAGTTTTTCCCCAATAAGGCATGTGACCGGGAGGGATGGGAAAATGCTGGAAAACATTGGACAGTGCTTTGATACAGCATTGTCCAGCCTCCCTCAAGCAAATCAGGGGAAGGCTCATTAAACAGGTAATCTGGAAGCGATTCCAAACATCTGGAGGGCGCTGGGTAGGGTGAGGCTGTTGCGAAATGTGTTGCTGCTCAAAAAACATGTATGAAAACTCTTGCAGCTGCTTCTTGGAAGGAAACGTCGGTGGCATTATTTTCTTCAGAGGCGGTGAATTGGAATGGTGGTGGTTCTTTTCTCCCACAGATTTGTAAGCAAGGCAGGGGGAAGATTAAGCTCTCCTCCCCCCCCCCGGGGTGCTTTTCCCTAGAAGAAATGTATTATTGTATAATCTTTAAAGTTGCAGTTATGGTTAGTTCATCCTAACTTTAAAAACAACCGTTACTGGATTTGCATAATGTTGTGACCTCAGGAAAGGGAAGCTATCAACGCTGAGCTTGAAGGGGAGTAGAAGGGATGAGAGAGGACGGGGAGGAGGGAAGCCATTGAGATTCTTGTGAGCTTCTAGAGATGCTACAAAAAGGGGAACCAGATGGTTGGTGCTTCTAGTTCAGCATTGTCTACACTGACTGCCAACAGCTCTCCAGGGTTTCAGGAAGTGGGACATTCTTAGCCCGGCTTAGAGACTGAACCCGTGACCTTCTGTATGCAAAGCAAATGCTCTAATATGACTCCCTCCCCTTCCGTCCGGTAGGAATGCCCAATGTGGTGCCCTCTAGGCATTGTAGGACTACAACTCTCTTCATCCATAACTATTTGCCATGCTCGCTGGGGCTGATGGGAGTTGTAGTTTTACAGCAACAAGTGGACATCCCCTTGGCACCCTCTTCTGTAGGTTGCTATTGGCCGTGGCTTCTGGTGGATGCATCTTTGCTTCACACTGTGTGCTGCTTCAGGTATTCTACGCAAATGTTATCATAGAAGCAGCAAACATTCTTGCCAGGATGGTCCTGATGCAGGAGGTATGGTGTATGTATGCATACATGCTCAGTATTCTTCTTGATGACTGCAGTGTTCAGCAATCTTTTGCATTTCTAATTGGACTCGCCACAGATAGAACTTTGAACACAATGGAGCTAGTTTTTGCAGTGCACACATGGGCAGTTTCTCTTTGATACTACCAGCCATCATATTGCTTCTGAAATTTTGATGGTCAACAGGACCTTAGTTCCATAGAGGCAAACGGTCAAAAGTGCCTTATAATTTCAAAAGTTTTTCTTTCTGCTTACAAATGTTTAGGGATTTCTGAAAATGCACTTATATTGCTTCCCTTCTACCCCCCTTCCTAACCATTTGAATTCCCTTTTCAGATCACCAGAGATTACACCTTCCTGGACTATATCCTTGGGGGCTGCCAGTTAATGTTTACGGTAAGGATCTTTGCCTCTTTGTGCACAAAGCGCTATAATAAGCATGAGGTGAAGTGAATTCGTTTGGGAACGTGCCATTCTGCATCCTCTCCTCCCTTGGACTTAATCAAATGACAGGCCTAAAAAGATCCCAGGAAATCAGGGTAGCCTTGAGGAGTCTCCAACTCCAGTGTAAGTGCTGTGGATCTGAGCCAAGCTGCCTGTATCAGCCCCTGGCTGTGATCGCAAACGAGGCATGAGGTGCAGCAGAACGAATGACATCAAGCCAGCTCAACGGGGCATAAGGAAAGCAACATTGCAAAGCAATGAACACATTTCATTTGGCCAAAAAACCCCAATGCCGGGTGAATTTTGCAGCACACACCATCAGTTTTTGCCTCAGTTAGAATCTGTATTGGATCTGAAGTTGTTACTGCTGATTTATTTATTTATTTATTTATTTATTTTTAAATCGTTGATTGCTTCAAGATGCCTTCATGGGAAGAGATTCAAAAATTTAATTTAATTAATCATCAATTTCCCCATGAATCCAAGTTCATTTAGGGCCACTTTCTGCCTGGGCTCATTTTGCAGGCTTGCTTAGTAACCTCATTTCTTAATCAAATGAAGACTGATGCCTCAGTCAGACAGGTCTGACCCAAGACATATTGCCTCTGGAGGCAGGATATCTGAAATCTCAGTTTAAATACATGCATCTGCACACAGATATTCATTAATGTTGGCCACAACCTGCCAGGAAGGTCATCAAAATGTCTAGGAGCTGCCTTTCAATGTGGATCCCACAGAACAACCTCTTGGTCAAGCCTGTAGCCAGAAAGCTTCTGGTAATTGGGCCAAAACTAGGGCTGAGCCAAATTCACCACCCGTTTTCACAGATTATTATTATTATTTTGCTGGAGGAGGGGGATTTGGGAGTTGAAATTACTCAAATGGATTGGGGACGTATTGTGCTACTGGTCTCTTCCTCTCTTTTTCTTATAAGCTGTTTATAAATTTTTCTAAAAGAAATGATTAAAAATAAACAACTTACACATAACTCTCTAAGCAGCATACACTCTAAAATTGTTAATAAAGCACAGCTAAGATCAACCAAAAAACCCCACAACCATAATGTAGTCATAGATAAAAACACAGCTAAAACCAGTAAAACCTTTAGAGCAAGCCTAGAAAGCTGAATCATATGTTTACTGGAATAAAAATTTGTCTCTAGCAGATGCAGAAAAAAATGAGGTGCGGGTCTCTGTCCATTTGTGAGTGGGATTTTTTAGAACTCATGCTCTGCTGGCAGTGGCTGTAGAACAGCTCCATCTTTTCTGCCCAGGATGCCCCTGGGGTTTTGTACCAATTAGCATCTGGACTCAGTTCCAAGTGTTGGTTTTGTCCTATAAAACCTTATGCAGCTCAAGACCACCCCAGTACCTCAAAGGCCACCTCATCCCACATTAGCCTGTTAGCAAATGCATGTATAAGCTGCAAATTTGTGCAAATGTCTCTATTGGCACACTTGAAGATTTGGCAGATGTAGCTTTGGGCATGCCAAATGATAGAATCATAGAAATGTAGAGTTGGAAGGGACCCAGAGGGCAATCTAGTCCAACCCCTCCACTGCAGGAATATCAACTAGATCATACATGACAAATGGCCACCCAACTTCTGCAAGGAAAGGAGAGTCCACCACCTCCCAGGGGAGTCCATTCCGCTGTCGAACAGCTCTTACTCTCAGAAAGCCCTTCCTGATGTTTCGTTGGCATCTCCTTTCTTGTAACTTGAATTGCTGCTCGCTTTAATCCAAGAAGCAGATCCTAGCTTTGGTTTGTTATCTAGCAGAATTTCCAATGCTTTCCCACTGTTCTGACCTGTATCAACGTTCCTGAGACCTCTGGGTTAAATGTTCTGTGTTTCTTCACCTTAGACATTTGCTGGTGTATATGCAATGAGAGATTTTTCATTCATTCTGCACAGGTGCGTTTGTGGAATCTTTACTTCAGGAAGAGTGGAGGGCCTTTAAATTCCACTGTATTGAACACGTATCCCCGCCCCCTGCTGCTTCAAACTTATTTTTCCGAGTACAGTGTCCAAGAATGTTGTGTCTATGCACACAAACACACAAATGCAGGCTGTATTCTTTTTCCCCGTATTTGTTGTTTTGGTCTAAAGAGACATAAAGAGAAAGGGAGGAGGCGTTGCCATAGGAACGGGAATGAGTACAAGCATGTTACGCACACAGCTGAACTATTGCATAAAGGTTTGCTGGCACAAAGGAGGAAATGGTTCATTTGGAAGCCAAATAAACCAGCACAGAGGGCTGGAATCATCTGTTCAGAACTTGACTAGCTGGACGGGCTTCTGGATTTCTCCTGATGCTTGTCTAGCAGGTCTTGAGTTGTGGAATGGCACCGTCAGGATCCACTGAGTAACATTGGATGCCATGGACCAGCGATTGGTTGTTATTCAGATAGTGCCACCAATGCACACAGTGCTTTGCAAAGTAGTAGCAGAGAGGTCTGTGCCCCAATGATCTTACAATTTAAAATGCAGCATAGTGGAGACAACGGAGGAAGCTGAGGGAGGCAGAGGAGAGGATGGATGGGGAGAATGTGGCCTTGTTCAGATGTAACGCTAAATCATGAGGATCTTAGGGTCTTGGAAGGTTCATATCAGGAGAGGCATTGAGGGACCTGTGCGATGAAGAACCAATACTAAGAAATAGTATTGACAAAGTCTACTTTTTGCCCTGACCAGTTAGCTGTGGATGGACCCAAAAGCCCTTTGAGGAAGAGGTGGCCACTCTGTTGAAGTGGAGCCAAGCTACACCTTAGGCTTTCCAGGTGTGGTGAACCAGTGGCCCTCCAGATGTTGTTGGATTCCAACTCCCATCAGCCCCTGTCAGCATGGACAGTGGTCAGGGATTCTGGGGGTTGGAGTCCAGAAACATTGGGAGAGCCCCAGTTTCCCTGTTGTAGAAAGGGGGGGGGGATAAATAACTGTTGCCCCCAGGGAACACCACTTTCCTGGTCTGTTTTTTGGAACCCGTGGAGTCCAGCCCCTGTGGCCACTACTACAAGAGGGCATTGCTATAGTAAAGGTGGTGCTGATCTTTCCTTGCAGGTCGGGATTGATTTCACAGCCTCCAACGGGAATCCTCGGGACCCCACGTCTTTGCACTACATCAACCCCATGGGAACAAATGAATACCTCTCAGCTATTTGGGCAGTGGGGCAGATAATACAAGATTATGACACGTAAGTGCCGCTTCCCTCACAAGCCTCTGTCTGGAAGGGATGATCTAAATATTGCTTCAGATGTTTTATGTATTTTAAAACAAAATTCATGGAGAATAAGTCAATCAAGAGCTGTTAGCCATGACAGCTAGGTGGAACCTCCAGATACAGAAGCAGTACACCTGGGAAACCCAACCAGATGGGTGGGGTATAAATAATAAATTATTACTATTATTAGCCAAAAGATGCACACAGAGGGAAAACAGCAGAGATCTATCAACACATGGGCCACCAATCAGTGGTAGAGCAACTGTTTTGCATGCAAGGGGTCCCTGGTTCAATTCCAATGGCAGGTAAAAGACTTTTTAAGTATGCCATAATGGCAGCGAGAATGTTACTAGCCCAGAGATGGAATGAAGGAGAAATGCCAATGAAAGAAGAATGGCAGATGAAACTGATGGAATATGCGGAAATGGCGGAACTGATCGGAAAGATCCAAAACCAGGAAGATCAAGTATTTTCTAAAGACTGGAATAAATTCGTAATTTAATTAAAAGACCACTGTAAACAGTTAAAATCTTTGGCAGGGATGTAAAGACACTTGTAATGTGGAATTGATTTAATGATAATTATGGTTATAGAATAGCTAGATAAGGGTGAAAGATGCAGTAAATTTAATCTTAAAGATGGAAGGAGGTCTAAGAGTTCGAAAGAACTCTGTATTTTAATGTTTGAAATTGCTATGTTTTATATGTATAATTTTCCCCCGAAAACTACGCACGCACGTGCACACATACACGAATACCAATGGCAACTCCACATAGGGCTATGCAAGACTCTGCCTGAAACCCCAAAGAGCCACTGGCAGTAAGTGTAGACATTAGTGAGCTAGACAAACCAATATAACTAACTCGGCAAAATGCAGCTTTTTACAGCCTTATCTTCCTGTGCCACCTTCATGCCTTGCTTGTGATCTTCCAGATTCCCCTGGCTGGCCATTTGGGAAATGGGATGTTGGATTAGATCAACCTTGTCCTACCTCGAAGTGTTCCAGATGTTTTAGATTATGGCTCTCAGCAGCCCAAAGCATCTGGATGGTGACAGGATACGGAAGACGGGACGGGGAGCTTGCTTTGAATCATCCGGGCTCTTCTTAAATTCCCCCTGGAATTCTGCAGATTGTCTCAAGCCAGGGACAGATTGCCAGCATGGGGCAAAGTGCCCTTTCCAAAACAATGTGTTTCTTGGCTTATGTATTTATATTCCACTTATTAGACATGTTTGGTTCCCAAAGGAGCTAACAATTTAAAATTGTTTAAAAGGGAGAGGATTAATGCCTGCATGCATCCCTTCCATGTGGCTTGTGTAATTCTCTAAAAGTTTGTAGTCCTCATGATGGTAGAGAAACACATTGATCTGGCAGTGAAGTTTGACCACACGCATCTTGCAAAGCTGGTTGTGAGGCCTTGCAAACACATCACCTTCTGGAACTCTTTGCATAGGGCTTTGCAGGCTGATCAGCAGTGCCTGCAACCTCCCCCTTTGACTGAGCCAGGTTTTTACCTGTCCCATACGTGGGCAGGTGTGTGTGGCTTGGCCAAATGGGGTGGCCAGGTAGGCCTAATTTGGCCCATAAGCAGGAGGTTCCTCTCCATTCCTGATTAACAGAAAGGCATATAACCACTGCAGAAAGGAACTTGGGATGGATGCACCTTCTTGTGTAACTTCCCAGCAAACAAGTCAGAAGGAATGCACAATAAAAGACTGAATATAATCTCACCTCTGCATAAGCTTTGTGTGAATAAATCAGGGTGAGTACTCAGGGAGCAGGAATCTCTCCTAAGTAGTTTTCTGCATATCGTGTTGAACCGATAATGTTTATTTGGGTTACAGAACCGTGCTGGAGATGTGCAGCCTTGGCTAAGTCCATACTTACTTTCTCCCTTGCTTCCCCCTCTCCCCCCTTTTTCTGATTATTTTGCAGAGATAAAATGTTTCCTGCTTTGGGATTTGGTGCCCAGCTCCCCCCAGACTGGAAGGTAAATCTGATCCTGTTGTTGTAGACGTTTCCATGCTTACAGTGTGTGTATATATCATTAGGTGAAACAAAGCTTTCAGGGTTTCCTTCTTGATTCTAACAGTGCAGTTCTATACTTAGAAGTACATCCCATTGAGTTCAGTGGGGCAGACTCCTACATAAGCGTAGGAATGGCCCCTCAGTCAAACAGCTGGCCCCATGGCAAGCATTCAGAGCATCCTGGGGAACAGGGTCTGAAATGGGGATTCTAAGGCAGGAGTGAAAAGAAAGGGGGATAAGGAGATAGGAAGGTGTGTTTGCTTGTTCAGAAGTTTAGGCTAGGCTAGAGAATCCATCAGCTAAAACTACAATTCTGCCTCAGCCCTCCAAGCTTGGATGGGTGAGGAACAGTCCATGCCATTCACTGCTACAGGTCTGTACAGTTGGATATCAACTTAAGCTGATATCCAGAGTTTCTGCAAGATTTCCCTCTTTCTCATCTCCCCCCTGTAGCTCCTGACACCTTCCCCACCTGCTCTTGATGGACCCCCTAACCTTTTGAAACGTATTTGAGGGTGTTCCCAGGGGGTGGGGAAGAAGAATCCCATTACATGAATGAAAGTCCATTCTGCTAGTGGATGGGCAGCGGCGTAGCGTGGGTTGTCAGCACCCGGGGCAAGGCAAGTAATTTGCGCCCCCTAACCCCTAACCTGCTGCCGCTGCCAGCTTCTTCTTGCTGCTGCCTGGGCTGGTCTGGTGTGGTTCTCTCCCGCGCTCAGCACTGCGCTGGGCGGCCGCTGCACTGTCCCTCCCCCAGATAGTCCCTCGCTCTCTCTCCGCACCGCACGCCTGGCACCCAACCCCTCCACAGTGGGCGGCGACCCAGCGGCTCGGATCGGATTCGCACAGCCAGCACTGCAGTGAGAGAGAGTGAGCGAGCCAGGTAGGGGCAGAGAGCTGCGAGTGCGAGCGCGCCCCCCAGATGTTGCGCCCGGTGCGGCCGGCCCCCCCTGCACCCCCCACGCTACGCCACTGCGGATGGGCACAACTGGGTGTCACTCATGTGGTTGGGAATGACTGCAATGGCTGTCAAACATTAGGAGTCACTGCCAAGCCTAATAAGAAGGGCATGAGTGTCCCGGTTGTCCACACAACAACTCCAAGACAGAGGAGGTAATCCACAACCAGCCAAAAAGGAAACCTGTGCCATAAAATGCGGGTTAGGAACCAAAATATTTTCTCTGAAAGCCAGACTACAAAATGTTAAAGACTGCAAGAGCAGTAATAGTGCGCTTTGCTTTATAAGATGCTCTGAGGGCATTTTATTGCTGGAATGTAAAAACAGATTAATGAAATAAATACATGGCTACATAAATTTTATGACAGTGCTATTAGATGTTTATGTATATGGATTTTTGTTGTGTGGAATCTAATACTTTTACCTGCAATATTGATAAACAGGAATCTGCCCTGCCCATAGAGGCATCTATGCTGCACCTCCACAGTTGGTGTGAATCCTGCATGCCCTGTTGGTGTCCAGGCATGGTGCTGATTCTTGGAGCCTCTTCACTTGGTCTCAAGTGCTACCTTAATGATTAAATATTCCAGTAACTCTCCCACTGTGCACATTATTCTTGCTATTAATACAGTGGTGCACACCCTGTATCAAGGTGCCAGTGACATTAAGTGCAGGATCAGGCACTCGATGTGCTGCTTGAGAGTGAGTCATCCCCCTTCTTCACCATTAAACATTACATTTGTCTGTCATTTCCCCCATTACAATGAATGCAGTAAACATCTTTCGGTTCTGAAGGTGACCAATTTGTTGTTCCTGAGAGCAGGAGGAGGAATCAAATGCTGACATTTTAATGGGAGGAATTAGGATGGGTGACGTGCAACTTTGCTTCTGAGATGAATTTTTTTTAGATGAAGTAAGTTAAAATGGCAGTCTAAAGGTTTGCATTTTGGGGTGGTTTTTTTTTCACCCCTGAGCAGAGTGTTGGGTGAGTCTCTACTTTCTAGGACTGCAAGCTTCAGTATTATGTCTGAATAATCACTGAAAGCTTTAATAAACATTTGCCAGCCATTTAACTGGAGAGACCGAAAATAAAAACGCCAGGTCTCTGAACACTCAAAAGGTCCACCGCTGTGATGAATACATGAGTGGGCAGCTTCCTTTGTCTTGCACCACATCACATGTGGGATCTGTTGTCTAATGATTTAGAAAAAGGGAAAGTGATCTGTTGGAACCCAATTAATGAAGTAAAATAAGAAGTAAACAGTCTAGCAGACATAAAATTTCTTTCAGTACAAAAAACTCCATCCTTAAATATCTAAATTCATAGTAGCATATAACTAGACTACGTCTTTGGTAAAAGCCAAAACACCTTTGCAGACACTTGCTTTGGTTTTTGCATTATTCAGTGTCCTAAGGACTGACTAAATGTAACAACAAAAACAAAATGCCACCCATTGAGTGGGTTGCCCCAGCCACTCTGTGCAGCTTACAGCAAAATATAAGCACCCCAGGCTGTGGGGTCCCAGATCTGTGCTCTGTGATGTGGCCTGAATGGAGCCACTGGAAACATTAATTGACAGGCCTAATTGTCATCTATTTGGATATTGCAGTTAAAACTCCCAACCCTGCATATTAGATCTGGCAAGCGCAGTAGCTCTGTGAAACTAGGCCTAAAATTTATGCTCAGAACCTGTCAATAGGACACATAACTTCCATTTGTTCCTCATGTTTCAGGTGGGTCCAGTGATTGATACACTTTTCTAGGTGTTTTTCCCACCCACCAAACAAAAAACAACACCTGTTTGCTTTTCAGAGAGGCAGGTCTATTTTATCTAAATAGCCTATAAGCCTGATTTAGTTTCCAGCCAAAGAACAGGATGACTCAATACCTTTTCCATGCAGGAAACCAGACCACCATTCAGGAAGTTTAGGTTTGTTTTAGCTTCGGAAATCTCTCACATATAACAACGCTTGTGACTTTGTGGGGGATCTGGCCAGGGATGGTGTGTAAACCTACCTCACAATACACAAACTGAAACACAGCTACATTTCAGAGTTCGCATTTCTCAAAATTTTGCATTGCAGTTCTCTTAGCCAAGTAATGTGTGCAGAAATACATAGGCTGAGGTGAAGTGTGCATAGAAACACATTTATTAGTGAAAAGAACATACAAAAAAAAATAGGTACATGTTGGCTGCTTTTGAGAATGCCTGCTCTTAATTTCCACCATATCTATAACCTCGTGGATGGCTATCTGCATTTTCTATGGACTGCAGATAACAAATTGCAAACATGGCTATTGTTACAGTGAGGACCAGAGCAGGAAGCAGAGATGACTATTAAAGATAAGAGACATAGAAATCATGCTTTGTTCTCCCGATGCTCTTGTTGCCATGGTGCCACAGGATGCTTTCAAAGGACTGATATGAATAAGATATTCAGCACATAAAAAAAAAAAACCATGTTGGAAATGTCAGAGAACATCTTGAAATGCAAAGGCCTCTGCGAAGGGGACCTCAAGAAGTCTCCTCTGTAGGGGCTGTGAGAGGGAACAAATTCAAATCCCAAAGCACTGGGGGGGAGGGAGGCTGTGGCTGCAGCCATCTGTCAAGGTCCCTCCCATGTGCAAACTTTTGGGGGTGGTGGGAAGACTATGTCAAATTATTCATTGTTTGCTCATGGGGAGAAAGGGCCCTGAGCCTGCAAGTCTGGGAAAAGAAAGTGTCGTCTATGGAAATCACGATGCTTTGTATTGTGTCACCTGAGGACCTGTCCCCAGCCCTCTTGCTGGTCTGAAACAGGATCTCTATGCTGTTGACTGGGACTTGCAAGGTGAGGGGGAACCAAAAAGAACACTTTTTTGGGTTGTTGTTTACACATTCATGAAGCTTTTTCCTACTATGCTATATGGAAAAAAAGGGCTCAGTCCTTAGACCTTTTTTTGCTATATGTAGGGGAGGGGGTTCTAGAGAGTGGGGAAGGGGGTGATCCCCCTCCGAAAAAAACCCCTCTGTGCATTGTTGGAATGGGTGTTTTTAACTTAATGGATCATATCTCCTTGGCCCCAATGCCCACTCTTAGGATACAGCTTTAATAAATGCTCAAAGACAGACACTAAAAGTTCAATACTGACTGTTTGTTTGTTTGAGAGTTATCTCTCTCTTCCCCAAAATTGGGAGCCAAGCACAGTGCATGGTGTACTTGAAAAAGTAATCACAAAGTAACCTTCACAGCATAATTTCCATTGTCGGAGACAGTGATGCTTCTGAATGTCAGTCGCTGGGAATCTCAAGTGGGGAGAGTTGCTACTGTTCCTCTTACACAGGATGCCTGGCTGGATGGGCCTCCTTGGGCCTGATCCAGCAGGGCTTTTCTTACGTCCTTACAACCAAAGAATGAAAAGACATAAGCCCTGCAATTGCCTTCTCTTTTCTCTTCCTTTCTTTGGCACTGACCCACTCAGTGCTCACCTGCCCTCCACATTCCATAGATGCCACAAAGGGACAAATTTGTGCCTATTTGGTTCATTCATTCATTCATTCATTCATTTCCATCTCATTCATAAGCTAGTCTTCGGGATACCTGAGAAGCCCCCTGAGTATGCAGGAGCCAGACCTTGCTTTGGGGTGGCCCATTTTACTTCCAAACAGAGAGGCACAGGACCATGCGAGTTTGGCGTGGGAGGGAACGGCAATGATGGTTACGGGCCGAAATGTAATGCAGTGCAATGTGATGACAGCTGCCTTCGGGGGACAGTGCAGGGGTGTTTGCGTGGCGGCTTTTGCAACTAAAGTTTAGTCCCATGAAAAAGAAAGGTGATGCATTTATTTGGAGCAATTGTGCCTTCCTGCTCTTCAGCCAGAAAGGTTCCCAGAGCAGTTTGTGTGCAGACAGTTGAACCAGGCATTCCCTGCCCTGCAGGCTCGCAATCAAAAAGGCATGATGATGATGACACAAAAGGGACAGGGAGGGGAAAGTGGGAAACAAAGGCCAGGTGCTTGTGCTTAAAGTTTTTGGTCCTTTCAGTGACTTGCTGGAATGGAAGCTGCTCAAGGGCTGGAGGCCCAGCCTGATGGAAGGAGCTCCTCTTCTCACCTCTCCCACTGAAGCAAAAGAAGAGGCTTGGTGGAGCTAGCCCTGGGTTACATGAATTGCTTGCTAGCTCCATCATTACATACATTCAGTGGACAAGCAGATGTGCAAAAATGGGTGTGGTGTCCTTGTGGCACAAGGCAGTCTTTGGGGAAGGGTGGAGAGAATGGGTTCTCCTAGTTTTAATGCTCAGGTGAATCTTGGAGGAAACACATCCTGAAACTTGGGTATCAGCCACATTTTGCAATATGTTTGGGTGGAAAGAGGAGTAAAATTAATCCCCACTGCTTCTTTTTCAACCTTCGTCTTCCAGGTTTCGCACGAATTTGCCATTAACTTCAATCCCACAAACCCCTTTTGCCTCGGTAAGTGCACAGTTCATTTTATTTCTGCTGTCTTTAATTCACTGGCTTTTAAATTTTAATGCTGTTTTAAAATCTGTACTATGTTTTATATCTTATTTCTCTACATGCAGGGCAATATATACATTCTGTCTTAAATGCAGGGGGTGCAAAGCTGAGAGGTTTTTTGGGGGGGGGGCGGCACGCCTTCTGAAAAGACACAGAAACTTCCTCTAAGTAGCTTCCACCACAGAAGTATCCAGACTAAAATAGCTCTATATGTGGGGTGTACAAAATGCTTAGAGAAAAGCCCCAGTTCAAATCTTTTAATGATATAAGGCCTTGGCTGGCAGGGGCTGATGGGAGTTGTAGTCCAACAACTTCTGGAGGACACCAGGGAAAGCTGCCTTAGGTGTTCCAACTAGGGATGAGGAAGAGATTTGATTCTGTTTGCATTTCCCTAAGAAGCCACCCAATTCGCACTTCCCCAAACAATATGCATATCCAAACATAACTATCCTTCAAAATCAAAAGGCACTCTCCTCAAAATTCTGTGAGGCCATTGACCAACCAAATAATGTGTACCAAAATGCACATATTAGTGAAAATTACATACAGAATGCATTATGGTAGGGAAAGTTGCTTACAAAATGTGTGTATATTAGTAAAAAAAAAGGTGTATATATTAGGAGAAATCCATGTTAAATGTTGGCACATTTTCACTGGGAACAAATCACTGCAGACTGGAAAAATGAGAAAGGGAAATCGACAGATTCCTTCCTCTCTAGTTCCAATTGCCTTTTTGGATTAGTGTGAAGCCTCCTGCTTCCGATACCAACTAGCCAGATGCCTCTTGGCAGATGTTGCCTCTGAGTTTATCCTGCCTCTGAGCATAGAGGTTTTGTTCTAGTTAGCAGCACTTGTTGGGAGTCGTCTGTGAATCCTCTGGGAAATGCAACCAAAGCAGCCTCCACCTCTCACAGAGACATGAAGCAGCCTGGAAGCGTTAGTAGGTGTTCGTACACGTTGCTTGAGTGATAGGTTAAAGGGTCACCTGAGTTAACGGGGCGAGGAATAAATAGCTGGGATGCAGAGACAGAAAACCCCACACACTTCCGGATGGAGCCGAGCAGGAGGCCCCCTGCAAGCAGCTTGACAAGAAGCTTGAAAAGGTTGTTTCTTTTATAAGATTCTTTCCCACCGCCACCCAACGATGAGGATGAGACTGTCTCAAGTCATTAATTAATTACCTATATTTAGGGCTACCCCCCAATTAGAGAAGTCTTCGTCATTTGGGTGAGTTTTAGGCCAGGATCCTCTATGCACTTACCTGGGGATGAGTCTCAACTGGACTTTCTTCTGAGTAGACACATGCATGACAGGATTGTGCTGCAAGGCTATTTCAGGAACACAAAGGTTGCTAAATCAAAACTTTGGGACAGGAATTGGGGTTCACACCTGGATTTGTGTGCATTTGGGGGCCTGAAGCACTGACCACCCGTTCTCTTACTTTGCTCTAAAGGTGTAGAAGGCATCGTCCAAGCCTACTCCACCTGCCTGCCTCACATACGCTTCTATGGACCAACTAACTTCTCCCCCATCATCAACCACGTGGCTCGGTTTGCAGCCCAGGCCACCCAGCAACAGTCTGCGACTGTGAGTTCAGGCACCTTTGCCATTTGTCTTTGGATAAAGTGTGTTTGGTGGGGGCACTGCTGGATCTGCAAGAGGGCAGAGGCTGCAAGGAGGAGAACTATTAGATCAGTGGTTCCCAAACTTTTCAGGCCACCACCTTCTTGGTTCCATAAACTCGTCCCCAGTGCCTCCTACCATATAGAAAGCATTTAGCGGTTTGCAGAACCCAGTATGGAAGAAAATAACACAATAAAACTCAAAACAGTAAGAATCAATTGCACCTTTATTTAAAATCCAGTTAAAACTATTTCAATTAATTAACTGATGAACTTGATTGAGTGATACCAGCTTTTTGAAGTCTGAGAGTCATTTACACCTCTAGTGCGCCCTGCCACCCCCACTGTCTCCTAACACCCCCTTAGGTAATCCCACTGCCAGAGCATACCTTTACCTTTTTACCCTAGATCATAGAATTGGAAGGGACCACGAGTCATCTAGTCCAATCTTCTGCAATGCAGGAATCTTTTGCCCAACGTGGGGTTTGAACCCACAACCCTGAGATTAAGTGTCTCATGCTCTACCAACTGGTACTGCCCACTTTGGGAACCACTGCATTAGATCCTGCACGTACATGATAATGCTACTGCAGAATTGAGCCCCTGGATGACATCCAATGCACTGCTAGCTCACTCTGCTCTGAAAGCTCATGGATTGGATCACCCGCCATTAAAGACTTGCAGAAATAAATGTGTGCTTCGGAGAGAATGTTTGTGTTGCTATTTTGGTTCCACAGTTTGAGCTGCAGAACAGGAGAAGGATTAATTTTATAACTCCAGTGTGTTGGTTGAAAATACACGGGAAGAGATGTACCCCAACTGTCCTCATATACCAGGAACATTTGGTAGAGGTAGCCGATCTGGTGCTACTCTCCGGATGGTGTTGGATTATAACCCCCATCATCCCCAGCCAGTGTGGACAATGGTCAGGATGATGGAAATTGTAGTCCAATAGCCTCGATCGTCTACCCCTTCCATCCCCTGCTGTGGTCCTGATGAAAATCGCCCTGCAAACCCTCACACCCCAGAAAAAGTTTCCATTGATACTATTTCTTAATGTAGATAGGCCCTCTTTTAGGAAAATGTCGAGAACTCTGATGGGGGCTTAGCACAAACTTCTCCTTCTCCTGCACTATTCGGTTGAGACGTCCTCCTGTATTAAGGCAATGTTGTCCTGCACCTTGTCTGAGGACAAGGGATCATCCTGCAGGTTTCACCAAGGACCAAGGAGCGCTAATCAGGTGTCAGTTGTGTCTGTGCTTTGGCACTAATCATCAGGAAATTTTAATAGATAACATGCCAGAAGAGAATAGATCTTCCATGAGGAAGCCTAAGCTAGAGCCAGTCACATTCCCCAATCTAGTTTCTCCTGGTTTGGAGAGAGAGCAGGGTGCCCTTTGGATGTGAGCCATCTCCATCTTCCCCTGCCAATCCACTGAATCACCCCAACACACAACTCTTTTGGCCTTACTGAGACCAATGTTCCAGTGTCAGGCCAGGTGCCCCTCCCTCCTTGCAACTGAGCAGGACTGTCCCAGCTCCTGGCTCATCATCTCAAACTGCTCAACCCATGTCCCCATACCATGGAACGTGTCTGACTTTTCGCTTTTTCGCCCTGCTTCTTCAGCAATACTTCATCCTCTTGATAATCACTGACGGCGTCATCAGTGACATGGACGAGACGCGGCATGCCGTTGTGCAAGCCTCCAAGCTGCCCATGTCCATCATCATCGTGGGAGTGGGGAACGCGGACTTCGCAGCCATGGAGTTCCTGGATGGAGACAGCCGCGTGGTCCGGTCTTACACAGGAGAGGAGGCTGTGCGTGACATTGTCCAGTTTGTGCCCTTCCGGGAATTCCGTAGTGTGAGTGTGAAAGGCTTTGCCAGCCCTAAGTGCTATTATTTTTATTTATTTGTTACCCGCCCTTCACCATAAGCTGTGGACTTTTTGGGATGCTGGCTTAGGTTAACGTTTGTTTCAGTCCAGAAAAGCTTGTCTTCTGTTCTTAAATCACCACTGAGACATACTGCCTGTCTTAGGGTCACTAAACAGATATATGAAGCTGCTTTCTGCTCAGTCAGACTGCAACTCCCATATCGGCCAGGGTTGATGGGAATTGTGGTCCAAAACATCTGGAAGGCTGGCCTAACCCTACCAACTCCACTGACCACGACTCTGTGGTGGATGCCTTCAGGATACAGAAAACAGGCATAGTTATACGTTGCTTTGATAGCGCAGCAGCGGCTGAATGTGTGAAGTGGCTTCAGGGAAAAGCCTGAAACTGTATCTACTTACCGTATTTTTCGCTTTATAGGACGCACTTTTTCCCCTCCAAAAATTAAGGGGAAATGTGTGTGCGTCCTATGGAGCGAATGCAGGCTTCTTGACTTCAGCGATAGCAACACGAAGCCTCCAAAGCGCAGAGGGAGCAAGACTCTCCTGGCTTCAGCGAAAGGAGCCCGAAGCCTTTGGAGCGCAGCGCGAGTTCCCACTGCGCTCCAAAAGCTTCAGGCGGCTATCCCTGAAGCCTTTGGAGCGCAGCGGGAACTTGCGCTGCGCTCCAAAGGCTTCGCAACCTTGCCGCCGCTCCCGGACCTGTTCTGGGGGCTGGAGAAGCTCGGGCTTCCCCCGCCCCAGTCCCGCGGCTAAATATGAAGCCGCGCACAGCCTCTCCTGGCTGGAGAGGTTGTGTGCGGCTAAAGAGGAAGCCAAGACAGCGAGCGGGATGGATCCTGCTCGCTGTCTTGTCTTCTTTGCTCTTTGGGGGGGGGGGAGAGTTTGTTCTTGATTCCCCCCCCCAAAAAAAGCTAGGTGTGCCTTATGGTCCGGTGCGCCTTGTGGAGCGAAAAATACAGTATTTATTTTATTTCATGGTGGAGAAGCTTGAACTGCACTGGCTTTCTTCTTTCAGGCACCGAAGGAAACCCTGGCCAAAGCTGTCCTGGCGGAGCTGCCGCAACAAGTGGTACAGTATTTCAAGCACCAGAACTTGCCGCCCATCAATTCAGAACCTGCCTAGGGCCCAGCCTGCAAACTGTTCTTTGCCTGCATGTGCCCCAAACGTGTCGATGGCAGACGGTTGCATGTCTTATGTGGTTTCAAACAATTTGTACTTTTTGATTTAAGATGATTTAATTTAAGAGACTCAACAAAGAGCCCTGACCACCCCAAAAGTGCAACATGGGAAGCCACCAGGCCTGAGATTCCTGGGCCAAGGAAACTTGTCAATGCAGGACATTTTCCCTTCCCAGCCCTGAGAATCAACTTTTAAGTATTTGAATGTACTTTGTATGATTTTTTTTTTGTGGAATGAGAGGAAAATTTTTACGCCAAGAACTTTCCAAGCCGTGAAGTTCTTGATATCCCATTGCCCAAAGAAATGTGGACAGTTCATGGATGTGTCATACTTCTCATGCTCAATGTTCATTTTTATACTGTGTACATGTTATATTTGTTATACTCAGGTTAATAAACAACCATGGACTCTTTGCAGCTTCATGAAACCCTGGTGTGGTCAGTTTGGAGCTCTGCAACTCAGGTTTGACAGGTGAGACAGCAATAGGAACCTGTAGCCAGTGGCCTAGAACAGGGATGACAAACTCGAGGACCATAACCTCTTGGCCAGTCCTTGTGTGTGTATGCTAGTGGCAAGTGTGGCCAGTATGTGCATAGCACACACAGGCATATACATACACACACTTAATTTTTTCAAACCTGTCTCCCAAACCTCCCTGCTTCCTGGAAGCAACTTCTGCTTCATCCCACACCATTCCTGGGCTTTGCTGCTTGCTTCCTCCTCCTCCACTTTCTCTCTGGCTCTACACCATTCTGCTCTCTGTCATTTTAAGTGGTATATAACAAAAATCCACAATATCCGAATCTCAAATTTGCCACAGCACAAGCTTCCCATATTATATAATCCTATCCTGTGTTTAGGAAGAATCTTCACTTTCTTAACTGCTCATAGCAACAGTGAGGAAAAAGTACTGGGGAAAATAAAGTGTGATGGAGTCATGCTTCTAAGCCCAAGCACACAGCATTGGCAGGTAGCAGCTTTTAATTCTATTCTCCATCATTTCCTTGAATGATGGCTTAGGTTCAAGTTGCTGACACCCTGCAGTATCCCATAAAATACATGCAATTTGCAGAAATTGAGTACAGTCAAGCTTCCAAGTTTGCTCAAGTGCTTTTGCCAACCTGGTGCCCTAGCTTACAGCTCCCAACACTGATGTGAGCTGTGGTTGAAAGCATATGGCGGGCACTAGGTTGGCAAAGGCTGCCCTGAAGATGCCCACACACATACTGCTTGACAAGGAATTTGGGCACCTGAGATACACCTGGCCAGGAGCCTGCACTGAAGAGAAAACAGCTAAGTAAGGCATAAGAAGTGAATACAGATGGCAAGCTCCAAGGTAAAAATAATAATGCATTGAGGAGTTCTTTAATCAGATGCAACACTAAAACGTCGTTACAGTGTCATGACAATCCACATTACCATCTGCTCAATTTTGCACTCTCCCCACAACAAAACCAATACTTAAAAACTAAAGAGAGAGAGCCAGCCAACCCATATGTCAGCACCTGCCAGACAGCTACACCCTAAAAATGCTTCTTTGTAAAACCAACTTGGAACACACCCCCAGCAAACAACCTTTTCATTCATGGAATCTTTTTAAAAATACAAGGAATTTCCTGTCCTCATCTGTAAACCTCAGAAGCCTCAAGTCTTTTGTTGCTGTTGGTACAATGGATGCTTTTCTGGATTTTCTGGATATTGAAGATTTGTGTCTCCCCCAATCTGTACTCCCTTCCCAAACTGAACACATGTCTTAGAGCGGAGAGAAGGACAGGGGATATGAAGAGAGACACGCACAAAGACTGATTCAGTACATTATTTTGGTATTCTCTGGAAAATAAGAGACAGGAGAACAGAAGTTGCAAGTCTAGGGGATGGTTGGGATGGAAACAGAGAAATGACGAGCATCCCTACCCATGCTTCTAAGGGGCTGGGGAGACGCCTACAGTGGAGCATCAAAGAAGTTGCTTCCCCGAAACACGGAGGAGACGATCTTCCCGGTGGAGTTGATGGTCCCTTCGCTGTCCGAGCTGGACTCTGAGTCGCTGCTCCCAGAGTAAGCCCCGAGGCCCGGCAGGATCCCAATGCAGACGGCAGCCGAGGGACAGTGGAGGGCAGAGCCGCTCATGGAGCCGCTGCTCAGAGGAACACAGGGCGGCTTTTCTGGAAGAGAGCCGTGGAGGGGGGTTGGGAGAGGAAGATTGGAAAATAAAGCTGCCAATACAAATCTATGGAGCGACCACATTTGGAATACTGTGTATGGTATTGGTCTCCTCACCTCAAAAGGTTCAGAAAAGGGGAACCAATACGACCACAGGGATGTAGAGATTCCACTATGGGGAAAGGCTTTTGGAACTTCTTAGTTTAGAGGAAAGGTGAGTAAGAGGCGGCATGATAGAAGTTTATAAAGTTATGCATGGCATGGAAAGTGTGGCCAGAGGAAAGGTTTTCAGGACAGATTTTAAAAAGCACTTATTCACAGTGTATAGTTAAATTATGGCACTCACTTTCGCAATGAAACTAACAGGGAAGGGGAATAAACCGCCATGTGAATACAGCCTCGGTGAGCAAAGCTGATGCTGCTGGCCTTTCAGCTACAGATCTGCTTCATTACTTTCCTTCAGTTACCTTCAAACATTACAGACCAAGGACCCCCATCAGAACAGAAGAACCCTGCTGGTCAGACCAAAGTCCCTGTTAATCCAACATCCTGTTCCCATAGCTACTACCCAGCTGTGGATGGGAAGCCAGCAAGCGGGACAGTGGTGAAGTTTCATTATCTTGCTTGTATTCCCCCACAACTGAGGTTCAGAGGGAAGTGAGCGTCCCAGATACTGGAGATGATTCCCAGCCATCATGACCAGTTGCCACTGAGAGCCTTATCCTCCATGAATTTGTCATAGCCCCATGAAGATATATGCCCTTTAACCCAAGCCCTCTCAACATGGGGCTGAGCTTTCATTTACATACATATACATCTGCTACCCATGAGGTGTCCAGACACAATCCACTTGCGAGCCTGAACCTGTCAGCTTAAGACCATTGCTCTAGGACAGAGGTCACTGAATTATCAGCTCATGACATCACCATTGCTTTGAGAAGACAAGTGATATGCACTCCACAGTCAGAGGCGGTAATGCTTACAAGCATATGGTTGGCCACTGTGAGAATGGGATGCTGAACGGGATGGGCCACTGGCCTGATCCAGCAGGCTCGTCTTAGGTTCACTGCAATATCACTTTTCCCCAGGAAAGCCGCCTCATGGGTTTTGCCCAATATTCTGCAACAGGATGCATCCCTTCCTTCACTCCCCCCCCCCCCAACTGACTGATCAGCTGTTCATGAAGGCAACATGACCAATGCACAGCAGGCGATACGAGGCCTAGCGTAACCCACCATGCAAACACACCTACCTGGAGTCTTGTCATGGTCAGGATCCGGATCGAGTTTCAGTCTTTTCACGCTGTTGGCACCTTCTGAACTGAAAGGAAACAATGCAAAGTCAAAAAAGAGGACTGGAACCACGGGGGGGGGGGGCACTGCAAGTTGTTCTGTAGGTCACTGAGTTGCCATGGCAAAAAAGCACTAATATCATATTTACTTGAGTCTAATGCGCCATTGAATCTAAAGCACACCACAATTTTCAAAACCCTGAAACCATTTGCTGGCAAATGTAAATGTGCCATAGAATCTTATGCACACCTTGATTTTCGCAGTGTAAATTGGCCAAAAAAGGTGAGCATTAGATTCGAGTAAATACAGTAAATTTAAAAAATAACAATGGGCTTTACATCTCCTATTCAGATGGGAAAGCCTGGTATATTTCTGCCTGGGAGATTTTAAACTCCAGAATCTACCCCACTTCACACCCCACACTGCGATGGTCAATTTTAAGCCTCAAAAGGTTAGCTTGTTTACTTTCCATCAACAAGGGCCCTTCATTCATCTGGGAACTTACCTCCGATGTTTCACAGCTCCAGCCAACAGCTTTGCCTGTGAGAACTTGCTCTTGTTTTCTGCTGATTTCGCCGGCAGTTTCTTGTCTGCTTCCTTCTTCAGGTCAGCACTGACCCCCACCTTTGACAAAGTGCTGTGGACTCAAAGGTTAAGGATCAAGTGGAATCTGAGGACTGACGGGTGTACAGGAAATCCAGAGCAGCCAAACCCGCCCTTACATTGGTGCCTGTAGTCCCAGTCCTGCCAGGCTGCAAGGGTACCAGTAACCCCAATACCTTAGAAGAGGCAGTGTGTGTACACTTATTAAAACCTGCACAGGAGGAGAAGGAAACCAATCTTTGTGGATTTGTTTTCCATCAGGACTCTAAACCTTTCCATCAGGAACACCAGTGAATCAATCATTTGAATTATTTGAGTAATTATTTACTCAAATAAAATCAGTTATCAAATGCATTAAGCACCAGTGGATTTTATAGTAATTGGCATCATTCAGCTGCCCAGATAAAAATCTAACCACCCCGTCACATTCCTGAAGCACCTTCCCCGCATTTACATAGGGCCACGCTAGATGTGACATCCAATGCATCCAATCCGAGTCCTACTCAGAGTAGACCCACTGAAGTTAATGGACTTTGAGAACTTGCACTTCCCAGTTTCAATGTTTACTCTGAGTAGAACTTTGTTGGATACAACTTTCCATTTAAAATGCATGCTTTTTTAAAGTGCAGATAATAATCTCCCTCCAAACAAGCTAATGCTATCTATATTTTTAAAAATATGTATATTACTGGCTTTGTTGTTTTTTTGAGATGCTCAACAGTACTGCTAAAGGAAGCTCTCTGGCACCATCTGGTGGAGAGCCTCAAATACCAAACATGCCTCTTGAAATATTAGGTGGGTGGGTGGGTGAGCGTTAACACTCACACAACCCCACCCTATTCCAACAGGGCTTGGGGTGAAATTCACACTATTCAAGCACAGAATGAGTCACTCTGACCAACTTTACCCATTAAAGAACTCAGTAAAAGTTACAAACTGGTAGTTCATGCTTAGCAGCACACAATATGAAAGGTTCAATTTCCAGCATCTCCAGGTGGGGCTGGGGAAGGACCTGCAGCTGAGGCCTTGGAAAGCCCCTGTCTGCCAGTGTGGGGAATACCGAGCTAGGTGGGTCACTGGCTTCACTCCACATAAGGCAGTGCAGTCAACATTTGAGTTTCTGAGATGGTTCCCAGGTCAAGACCAGAGAAGTTCAGTGAAGAAACTGATGGGTTCAAATGTGGAGGGGGGTGCTGGGAAAGATATGGAAGAAAGGGGTGGTGTGAGGGAAGGCTCTGGAGCAGAGCCTGGGAAAAGTACTATGGACAGGGCAACACACAGATCAGCAAGGCCTAGAGCCTCCCAGGCTATCAGCCCAAGCCAGCACAGCCAGTGGCAAGGGATGATGGGAGTTGTAGTCCCTAGCACCTGGAGGCTGTCCACCCCTGATATCCACACTTAGAAGAATCGGCCCAGCTACCAGAGCCACAAGAGCTTCAAGCCCAGATGAAAAATTCTGTTCCAGAAGTCTACAAATCTGGTCACCAACAATGCTTACCCATTCCCTGGATGCCAAGCACAAAAAGATTCCTTTCTGATCTGTGAATAAACTCACAAAAGGGATGTGGAGGGGTCAGGTGACCCCAAATGTTGTGGGGGCCCTGGTGCTAGTCACCAACCTGTTGCCACATCTCCAAGAGTCCTCTTGTTTTCATTCACAGCCAGATCAAATTATTGAAGTTTAACACATCCTGAATAACAAACCCACAAGCTCTGTTCTCAAATTCATCCATAGCAAAGCGAGAATACAGCTCTAGCAAAAAAATGAAATGGGCTGTGGAAATTAAGCTCCAGCTCTTCAGATCGCCACGGCACCCCAAACCGCACCCGAGTGCTAAACAAGCCACCTGCCCCTTCTTACTTCCAACTTTACAATAGGAAGTGCTTCAATGCAAAGGATATTCTGTACTCATTCAGCTCTTTGAGATCCTCTTCTCGCCGCTGCTTCTCTATTAGCGCTTGCTGCCGAGAAACCTCATCGAGGAACTTGGTCTCCTCTTCGTCTAGGCCTCTGACCATGTTTTCTGAAAGAGGAGGCGACAGGAGAACAGACTTGAATAAGCCATTTAGCTGCAAAGCCAGCACCATCTTGCCCTTCCTCTGCAGCATGTTCCTATTCTGATCCACATGACACTGCAGTGCTTTAACAGGAGGTCTTTCTGCCCTAGACTCTGGAGCTGGGAACACATGATCTCTTCTAGCCTCTAGAGACAAGTGCAGAGATAGGCAGCCATGCTAGCAATGGCTCAGCTATGTTACGGGAACCAGGACATCCCCTCTTCTGCCAGTACTTTGGCAGACAGGCTCCTGTTCCTTTTCCTTGTCCCCCAGAAATTGTTCTCAGAATTCTTCAAGGAGCTCAGAGATATAGGGGCCTGCTTTGCTCAGGACAGGATTTTCACAAAAAGTACTGAAGCCGTTCAGTGCGGCTCCCCTGTGTCAGGATTCACAAAGATGCTTACTGGAACTTACTGAACTTGAACTGCTCCTCAAACTCCTGCTGCTTCTTGTCCTTCTGCTCCTGGAGCCTTTCGTAGAGCGAGCGGGGGTCGTACACCTCCTCGGGGCATTCTGGGAGATGGAGAAGAAAGAAGTTGTACAGGTGGCCACTATGAAATAAAACTTGCTCCCAGTACAGTCTCTGACAGCCTTGCCAATAATCTCAGAGACATTCCAGGTCTACTAGCCTTGATGCTACCCGCTAGCCGCTTTTGGACTAAAAGGAAATGAGAAGCAACTTCTGTGAAGATCCATTTGTTTGTCACCTGAAAGGGATTCTGACTATAGCCAATAGGCAAGTGGCTCTTTACAAGCCAGGTTTATCAGACTTTGCTGATAGTTTCATCAACAGTTTATTTGTTTGACTCTCATGGTAAGCCATGCTCAAGGTGGCTCCAACTTCAGAAAAGTTTATACAATAAAATACAGCAAAGTAACTCACAATTACAAGACATAAGAAAATTTCTGTAATCATACAAATAAGGGTAAGGAAAACATTGTATAAATATGCATGCAGATTAAACAACTCATTCATAGCAAGGCCAATAATATAAATGCAGAAGCTTAACCCAAATGGGAGTAACAATAATGTATCTTCTCCAAATCAAAATGTTGCCCCAAGAACAAACACTCAACAAGAACTTGCCCTGATGAACTTTTCCTGAATCACAGGGGGAGCAAAATGCAGCCACTTCTCCATCCCTTATGCTCTGCTGTTTTCAAGAGATTGCTTTGTGCAAGGCTGCCCCTCTCAGCATATCCAACCGATTTTGCTTCCTTATTAGCACAGAAGCCTAGGAAGCTATCAGACCATTGGCCCATCAGCTCAGTATTGTCAACACTGACTGGCTGTTGCTCTCCAGGATTTCAAGAAGGGGCTGTTGTGAGTCCTATGTGGAAATGCCTCTAGAAGTTGAACCAGGGACCTTCTGCTTGTGAAATAGATGCTCTAACCACACAACCTCCAAAACATTGCTCCCTAATACCCCAGCAAGCTGCTGCAGTAACGTGACTGTGAAGCTGAACAGCAGAGCAAGAACCCTGGATTCAAATCTCACATCTGCTATGAACTCACTTGGTGGCTTTAGGCTATGGAAGCTTAAACAAAAAGCAGCCAGGAAGGGGCATATACTGGAGGTGGGACCCACCACCACCACCTAACACCATTCCCCCTTCCTTCCCTGCAATCTCAGTGAAGGTCCGCCTCATATTGCTACAACACTTTTCCTCAAATTAAATCGCAGTGTCCAAGATTGGCATTGGAATGAGGGAGTGGGAAAGTAAACCCAACCACCCCTCCCTGATACTACCCATCTGATTGGTGGAGAAGAGAGGGCAGCCGTGCTACTTCCACCATTCCCCATTGCTCTGATGCTCCTGCCAATCAGGAATGCAACAGATCTCTTCAGCCAAAGGAGGAGGGGAGGAACTTGGAGAAGGGGTCAGGCTAGATGGAAAGGCAACCTATGGCTCCCTATCCTTGCTTCAGGCAAAAGGCTCTTAACCAGTTTCAATGTCCCATTCCACCACCCCCACTGCATTAATAAAATAGTGCTGACCTGCTTCACAGAGCTGTTCCTTTAATATTTACATAACAAAATATTAAATGCTTCAAAAATTGCAACACATTCCTCATCATTACTGTGCTAAAAAGTAACAACTGAGTGTTTGAATCATGCCTAAACAGTCTTTAGTCTCTGTTTGATCCTACTCTGTCCCACTAAGTCCTTAGAAGCTCTTGCAATTTGTTTTTGTACAAGCTTCAGGTGACAGACTCCGCTAACCCAGAAATAGTACCTCGTGTTAAGAATTTTGCTTCAGGATGAGAACAGAAAAGTGTGGTGGCGGCGCGGCAGGCCCCATTAGCTAAAGTTGTACCTCAGGTTAAGAACAGTTTCAGGTTAAGAATGAACTTCCAGAATGAATTAAGTTCTTAACCCAAGGTACCCCTGTACAGGGGTACCTTGCTTCTCAAACTTAATCCGTTCCAGAAGTCCATTCAAAAACCAAGGCACACTTTCCCATAGAAAGTAATGCAAAATGGATTAATCCATTCCAGACTTTTAAAAACAACCCCTAAAACAGCAATTTAACATGAATTTTACTATCTAACAAGACCACTGATCCATATAATGAAAGCAATAAACAATGTACTACAGTCACACAATCAATCAATTAGTAGTTGAACTGGGTTTCACGCAGTCCCAAAAACAAAACAAAAAAGTCCCAAAAACAAAAACGCAAAATAGCAAAAACAGGCAGACCTCAGCGTAACACTCAAAGTGGAAGTGTGGCACTCAAATCAGAAGCGTAACACTCAAAACAGAGCACGTTTGGCTTCCGAAAAAGGTTTGCAAACCGGAACACTTACTTCCAGGTTTGCAGTGTTTGGGTTCCAAGTTGTTTGAGTACCAAGGCGTTTGAGAACCAAGGTACCACTGTACTACGGACTGTTGAAAAAGGTTTGTCTCCCAGAACCCTAGGATGTTCTGGCCCCATTTCACTAGAGGTAAAATATCCTACGACAACAGGTAAGCTACCTGTGGCTAGATAGGAAAAGGTGAAGATGGATAACTTCCAACTTCCAACAATCTCTCATGTGGAGGAGTTTCAGGTAGAGCAGGCTTTGAGGGATTGATCGGTATTGTAACGGTAGTCTGAGCTCTCCTACTACCTCTCTATTCAGCGATTCCCCAATCAACAGTCAAATACCTTCAGGGTCTTCGGGTTTCCGAACCTTCTCCCATTCTTCCTGCCTTCGCTTGCGCCGTTCTTCTATCTCCGCTTCAGACACAAACCTTTTGTTAATCACGAGGTCGGCACTACCTTCTCCTCCATCCATTGTGGAGCAGCCTGTGCAGAGAAGAGAATTAGGAGCAGGACAGTTTCTATTCCCTACATATAGAGACACACTGAACTCTCTGGCATAGAACTGGCCATGCAGTGCACTGCCATGCAAATAATTCTTAACCCAATCCACGCATATAGGAAACCAGTTTTCAGGTAGAAGACTAGGCTAGATCTCCTTGACACACAGTTTTCTAGAGGGAGGTACATTTCACACAGAAGTATTCAGTAAGGTAAATTCCCACCCTGCAATGGTGCAGTCCAAATACACTGTGTAGACCATCTCAGTGAGAAATAAATTATAGAGTCAGAAGCATGCCTACAATATCCCTGCCTACATCTACTATGCTGTACCACCGCTAATTCCCCCTACCTCAGAAGATCAGAGGCAAAGCACAATGAATTGCAGGAAGGAGGCAGTTTATGCCCTATAGCAAGCACTAAGGTGGTACTGTCTCCTACTTGGACTTGACATGTGGAGCATTTGCCACAAATGGATTGTGGAAGAAGTGACCCCACAATGCTGCTAAGTTTCCAGACATCTGCTGCCTTTAATAGATATGGAAAAGAGAATGTGTCCTGGGGGAAGTTTTGTAGAGGACCTGATACATTCCCTCTCTGTTCTATGGACTGAAATGTTAAATTCAGTCTCCCACTTTCCCCATTAATCAGAAACAGGAGTTCCTTCTTAACAGAAAAGTCAGGACTATCACCTGTAAAATTCCACCATTTGCTGTACACAGCAACAAAACAGGACGACATGTTTGTCAAAAACAGATATCATTTAGTCTCTTACAGGGTCTGCATAGTAGCCATCTCCATGCCATGTTTTTTTTTTTTATGCATATTATATGAATTGCATTAAAAAGCCTTGCAATATAAGACTAAAGTCATATCTAGTCCAGCATCCCATCGTCCACAATGGCCAACACGACGATGCCTCTGGAAAGTCAATAAGCAGGATATTGGAACAAATGCTATCTCCTGCTGTTGCTCCCCAGTAACCGTTGAGAGACACACCCATCACAAATCTTGGCAGCAGTATATAGTCATGACTTGTCGTTATTGACAAACCTCATGTTTTCTACTGAATTGTCTAATCCCCCTTTTAAAAAAGTGGCCTTCACCTCTCACTTCCATGAGTAGCAATAGAATTTTATTCTCCATTATGTGAAAATGGAAGCTGAGCTAAATTACACATATATTGAACAAAACAGCACTGCTTACATCATTTATTTTTCAGTGCAGAATTTATTTTATCTTACATAGACCTTGGAGTTTCAGCAATGGATCTGCAGGTGTTGCACACAGGATAAAACAGCTTTGTAATGAAAGGAAGAAGCTGAGCCAGCATGCAGTTTTTAATGTCAGGATGCAGCTGCTCTGAGCAAGCAGGTGACTCCAATCATGAATTAAGTCAACCAGTGCTTGCACCTGAGAAAAGGCTGGCCTACTGGCTCCTTACAGATCCCTTAGCTAGAATACCTCTCATCAATGTGAATTATTTCACTCAAATTCCTTCACACTTAAAAAGGTTCCTCCAGTTAGAAAAAAAAGACTGCAATGAGTGCAATTACTTGCCCCCTTACTGTTCACAACCTGAGGAAGGTACAGATGTCACAACCGTTCCCTCTTAAACAAACAAGGTGCCTTACATATGTAACACTCCTTGCTTGCAAGCTTTAAAAACCTTTCTATATCAATCTGCTTTTAACTGAAATTGGAAGCTGGATTTTAAACTACTCCCCATCTGAAATAGTAATATGACTTTTTATAGGAGTGCAAAAGGCTTTAAAGTTAAATCCTGTTTTTAAGTTGAAAATAACTGCAGATGTTGCTTCTTAAATGCATATCCCATTAACTAGAGGCCACCTTGAGAAAACTTATTTTTAAAGAAATTTTATATATTGCTTTAAATAAATTTTTAAAGTACAGTCGTAGCTTTAATAAACAATGGTATTGCTATCAACAGCATTTCATCGGTATTATATCAATAATATTCATCCTCATTGTGTGGGTCCAGACATTCGATTTTAAGAAAACTGTAAGGACGAGGGTCCATCCATAAGTTGCTTTTAAATTGTGTTTTAACGCTGTAACCCGCCTTGTGGCCTAAGGGTGAGTGGCGGGCAATAAATAAATAACAGCACTACTACTATTACTACTACTAGGATAGAATATCTTGTTAATAACTTATTTTAATTATCATTCATTATTAATAAATAATTTCGCTATTCCTGTTACCATCCCCGCACTCCCCCCAGTCTCAACGGCCTCCTAGAGCCGGAAGGCGGCCCGCGACACCCACCTCTCCGCCATGGACCCCTCCAGCGGGGCCTTCCTTCCTCTTCCTCCCGAGCCCACCTTTGTGGACGGAGTCCCGGCCGCACCAATGACAGCCCCGCCCCCTTTACCCCCACGGTCTCCCCGCCTCTTCCGCCTCCGAGTCACCCAATCGGACGCCGCGTTCCTTTTCCTCACCCATCGATCCAGCCAACCGAGGCTTCCGTCGCAAACAAACCAGCGAGTCCTGAAAGCGGCGTCTGCGACTGGGTTGGTTAAAAAAATAATAGGGGTGGGAAGGGACAGGCGGGCGCTTAGGATTGGCCAGCCTCCCTTCCGAGCGGCGTGGGCGGAGCTTCGCTTCTAGCAATTTGAGAATGGGCCGCGTGAGTGGAAAGCGACGAAGAGGAGGGGGCGTGGCTAGTTGCCTTGGGGATACGGAGCGAGGAGCGGCGGCGGCCTGGCGGGGAGGTGGGCGGAGCCGCGGCGCGCTCGCTCTCGGAACGGGGAGGGTCCGCGGAGGCCTCTTGCTCCGCCGCCGCCGCCGCCTTTCCTTCCCGCCGCTGGCTGAGGAGAAATAGGCGCGCGGTGGCACAAAGAGGCCGCCCCGCCACTGCCCGCCGCCAGCACGGCGCTTCTTCTCTGGCCTTGACGGGCTGAATGGAAGGCGGCAGCCAGCGTGGAGCGGCTGAGGTGAGTTGAGAGGAGGGGCGCCTGGCGGGGAAGGAGAGGGAGGGGAGGGGGCCGGGGGAGGAAGTGGAGGGGCGGGGGGAGGACAGGGCCTGATCCTGATCTTGAAGTAGGAGCGAAGAAAGGGCCCTGCGGGTGGATGGGCGAGTGGGGAGAAGCCCAGCGCACAGGAGGATGATAATTTCTCTTATTTTTTTTTTTTAATAGTGTCTTAACGCTGTAACCCGCCCCAAGCTTTAATTCATTAATTGTGACAATGATGAAAGTCCTGGCAGTGGGGCCGAGGGTGGGAAGGAGACCGCATGTGTACAATGCCTTTGTGCGTGTGTGATCTATTTAATCTCTCTCGCTCTCTCTATGATAACAAATGTGCATAACTGGATCCACACATATGTACGTATGCATATACATATATACACAGGTGATAGTGACACAAGTGTGTGTATACATATGCATGGTCTTACATCATTTTAGTATCTAATACATGGCTTGCATTATGGGTGGCTAGCCCTCAGATTGGGGGCCTGATCTGCTCTCCCCACCACCACCACACTCAGCAGTTTTTTCTCTCCCTTCCCTCCCCACAAGATTTTGCTAATTTGGGTGGTGACAGCAAAAAGAAAACTGGAACTAAAGTAGATGCAGCACTAAAGTGGGTTGAGCCTGGTGTGCCTGCAAATCCTCAGAGTTTTCCTCAGATGTCAGATTGATGGGTGTAGAAATGGACAGTTGTTTGGTATGGATTACCTGAGGTGTGGCTGTGTGTGTGAAGAGTGCACACACTTAAAAGAGTGTGGGGTGGCCACACCCACCACTGCCATGCAGCCCTCAGAGGGTTGGCCGAGGGTGAATGTGGCCCTCAGGCCAAGAAAGTTGAGCCACATCTGACTTCCATGATAACCCACATGCATGCAATTAATACACAGTATTGTTGTTATTGCTTACATTAGCATAACAGCTTTCTGAAGGGTAGTGGGGTTGGACCGTTGCAGAAAGAAAAGAGCCTTGTGGTACCTTTAAAGACTAACAAATAGTGTTGCTGCAGCACAGTGCTACCCTCTAAGGTGTCGTTTGCGATGATAACGGTAATCATAATTATGTCATTAATAACAGTGACGAAAGCTACTGTTTTAAGTGCAGCTCTTCGGGGCACTTTGCATGCATTTCTCTCAGTAGGCAGGTAGCATTTGACAGCTCAGAGACCTCCAGGATAGCAGCCCAGAAGGTTAGAAAAGCTGGCATTGACACAGCTGTTATTTAACAGCACCCAGATAAATGTTTTGAGGGAGGGCGAGTCCCCTTTCAAAGAATGCATTGAAATTTGGTCTTTGGAGGGCAGGGTATAACACACAGGGTAAAATATCTCTTCTTACAAATAGACTCCCTTCTGTTAAATATGGCTTTCTAGTGCATACACATTCATACTCTTTATCCTAGCACATTTACCTGGGTTCTGCTTCATAGTAGCAGTGTTAATACTAGCATTTCTTGCCTCTGGGTTGCTGTGGTATAGGATTGTGAGCTGCCCAGTTTCCTCCTTGTGAAGGACTGCCTACTTTGCTTTGCTAAGAAAAAATTATGTGAAGTGGTTTGAATGCTCTAAAGCATTAAAGTAGCAGCATTGTAATGATGTAGCTATGGACATTGGTGCTGCTTATTTAGGCAATGATAATGGTCTTTGTCCTTTTTGTGCCTGAGGTTTAAGAAACCAGAATCTTTGAATGTGTAGTATCTGCCATGGGAGGGTATGAAGCAATGTCTTCCAGCACGATGTAGCTGTGGCTTACCCTTTGCTAGTTCAGCACACCTGCTTAGTTCTCCTTTCATGCATGTGGAAGAAGCAAACCACGAACCCAGGCTGCATGGTTTGTTTCACTCACAGCAAATCGCCATCTGTAGCCAAGGTTTGTTCTTGGCTTGCTTGGTATGTTTTGTTGGAGCAAAGTAAATCACAGTGATAACTGTTTTTTTATATAATACTAAACCAGGGATCATGGTATAGTTCCTCTGCATGCTGGTAGGAAGAAGATAAACAACATTCCACATGGACCTGCTCTTTATTATGGTCGGTGAGCTGGGCCAAGCTTAAATCTGTGGTGATTACAATTTTCTTCTCAGTTTCTTCCCCCAGTATGAAACAATACTAAGCTCACTTTCACCACTCCTCTGTCCTAGTGATAGGTGCAGCTAAATGAGTGAGGCTGATTGTTGCTCCTCAAGGAATAACTACTCTGGCCACTTTTCTGTTGCCAAACATAATAGTGTGTTGAGTACGGAGGGGGAAATAGCTTGACTTTTACTAGCCCTTAACCCTCTTTGCTAATATTGATTTGTTTGTTTGTTCACTTGCTGAGCTGTATTTTTAAAGTTTTAATTATGGTTTTAAATTTGTTGCATTCTTTTGGAAGTGCTTTAAAATAGAGGGTTTTGTTTGTAATCATGTTGAATGGTGACTTTAAATTTGAATGAATGAATACATGGATTGGTAACATAGTGTGTAACAAGGATGGGAGAGTATGTGGTCCTCCAACCATTTGCCTTGCTGGCTAGAGCTGATGGGTGTTGGCAGCCACCATAATCTGGAGGGCCACAGGTTCCCTATTCCTGCTATATAATCTTGAATATGTCTTGTCTAGAAAATGAGATTTCCTTAGAGTTTAAAATAGTAGGTTGGAGACCTGGGGATGTACTGGCGATGAGTAAGAGATTCCTGGGGACTAGGGCAAACTTGAAATGAAATGAGGAATGGCATATGAGAAAGCCTGAGGACAAGAATCTTCCTGTGGAGATAAGATGGTACTGGTAAGCTATGTGGAGGTTGTCTGCTAAAATAGGGATGAGGGAGGACGACAGGCACTTCAGGTTGGAGTGAGTGTTCTGCTGTGTGATGAGCCAGGCAGTTTCTAGGGGAGACTAGCAGCTGATTTCCTCTTGCTTTTAAGATTAGTAATTCCCAAATTGTATGTGTTCTTTCATAATTATAGAAACCTTTTTGAGAGCCCAGAGTGCCCGCCCACAGAAGGCAGTCTGCATGATCCATTGAAGGGAGGCCTCTGGCTTTCTTTTTTCCACCTTCTATGGAGGTGGGTAATTCTGCCTTGTCTTTGTTTGGATCATTCAGCCATTTCTGACGCTACAGAATTATCTACCTCCAAGGATTGCAGGAAGAGGTTGCCTGTTGCATCCCTCCACCAGTCAGTGCCCTGAGTTTTCCGCCTGACAAAAAGCAAGCCCAGAGGCACAATTCTTGCAGGAATATGCTGGGCTACAGGTAGTGTAATTCTTACTCTTGCACGCTCTAAACCTTTTGAAGTTTGACGAAGTGCATTTCTTCATTTTAAACTCAGTAAAAAAATGTACTTCTATCATCAAGAGTTTAGAAATTCATACTTTAGATGAGCAAGGCTATTTCTGAGGGAGATTAGTGGCTGGCTGCCTAGGTGGTAGGGGCAGAACTGTGTTCTGCTCCCACATTTTATGAGACGGAAGACATGCTGCTCAGAGTTTTGAATGGTGCCTCACTCTGCGCATGATGCTAAGCTTCATGCTAAACCATGGCTTCACATCAATGCATGGGTTCCCAGGGTGCTCTGCCTCTAGTGCTACTGTGAGCTAAGCCATGTTTTGGCTTGGCAAGTCATCTGAACTGGGATGGTGGTTTGTCTTACTCCAAACAAAATAGTTTAGTGAGATTTGTTCTTAGTTTGTCTAGAGCCTGCCTTCTGCCCCTCACGTTGGGTGTCCTGTTCCTTGTAGGCAGGAACCCCCTCATTCAAGTGTGATGTGTGAACAGAGTATGCAGAGAGACACTGCATCCTTCCTCATGGATTCTTCAACTATTCACATCCTTGCTCCAAACGCACTTTTCACCTATAGTGATATATCATGGGAAAACATCATCTTTGTTAATTAGTCTGAGGGATGCTCTCTGCTGATGGTTATGAATAAAGTGGGGTGGGGTTGGTAGTACAGTGGGGAGAGTCCAGGATATGGGCCCAAATGAGCAATATTTGTATAAATAAGGTTTCCAGTCTGTATGCTCTTGAGTCACAGGAACAACTTTTTAGTCATGCCTGCTAGTTTGTGTGACTAAATCCAACACACAGTTTGGTTTAGTTATTTGACCAAGAATTTTTGTACAGTACTGTGGGACAGAAGCGTTAGGGCTTCCCCTGCCATTACTTGAATAAATAAGAACTTAACAATTGCTCAGACAGAAGCATTTTTGCCATAGGGACTGGGTGGTCCATTGGTGTGGGCACAATTGATCAGTTCAGTATGCAAATAGATTCATAACCCATGACGCTCATACTGTGTAGTTGGTTTTGTAGCCTGTGGAGCTACTACACCTTAAATGACTAGGGGGAAGGGTAGGAAATCCATCTTCCTGCCCCAACCAGGATCCCAACCAGGATTAGCATTGAACAAAGCTGTAGTGGTGAAGCTTGGCCTCCTTGGCTGCTGCCTGTACCTCGTGAGTCTAGCCTTTGCCCAAGTGAGTCAGTCACTTGGCTAGAACCTCTCCCTTACATTGAGGAGGCTATCACCTGAACTCTCTTTCCTGGTCTGTTTCAGCTCCTAGCAGTTGGTGCAGTGCAGGAGATTGTGTGCTCTACCCCTTTGTATCAGCTGCCGACATTGAGGATAAGTGAGGTAACTTATTTTTCACCAATGCATCGCTTCTTTCTAGTCAACTTTCCAGCACCATTCAGATACATAGAAGTGTGTGATGACCCATAACAGACCAGTGCTTGGAGGCTAGATGTGGACCAGTAAATTGAAGGTGAATCCTGAGACGACAAAGATGTTGTGTGTTCTGAATTGCTGAGTCTAGGAGGTTGGAGATTACCTGTTCTGGATGTGGCTTCACTCCCCTGGAAGTAGCCGGTTCATAGCTTGGCGGTGCTCCTAGATCCACTACTGCCCCTGGAGGTTTAGGTAGCCTTGGTGACCTGAAGTGCCTTTTTTCCAGCTATGGCCCCTTTTGGAAAGACCAGTGTACTCTACGCCCTGATACTGTTCAGACTGGACTATTGCATTGTGCTCTGTGTGTGGAATCCCTTGAAGACTATTTGAATACTTCCACTGGTCAGAAATGCAGGTCCAGAAGAGGGCTCTCTCTGTGGCAGGCCCTAAATTATGGAGTTTCCTCCCTGCAGAAATGTGTCTGGAATATTTATCGTACAGGTGAAGATTCACCTCTTAAACCGAAGTTTTAATTCTGCTTTGTGGGACCCACCTCTTTTGTTGAATTTATATCATTCTGCCCTGTTTTTTAAAAAATGGTTTTACTAGTTTTATAATTATAGCAATTTTATCCATTTTTATAATTGTATATTACCAGTATATTGTTTTAACTCTCCCTGAGACCTTATGGTGAAGACTAGGTAAGAAATTAAATCAACCAATTAATTAATTTCCCCACCTTTTCTTAAAAGTATGTCATATGATTGTGACCCAAACTTGAGAATTGGCTTCCATGGGAGATTTAATGAAATTATAATCTTCTAAACCTTTTAGCTCAGTTTCATGTTAATGTGTGCCTGGTAACGTGGAATGATTTGCATAAGGAAATTTTCTAATGCCCTAGACTAGAGATTGTAATTCTCTTGCTTATTTGACTTCATTTAGAAAACAAAGTTGAAGAAATAGCCAAGCTTTCTTTGCATTGTGTTTGCTGTACTTGTACTTCCCACTTCCAAGCCAAGCACTGCAGAAATATTTCTCCGTTTAAGAAACACCTCTGCAGTTATGACCTACACGTCAGCAAACCCTAAGTTTGGATTGTGGATAAAACTGATGTCAATCATACATGAAAAATGATTTGCAATGTTTGCTTACCATATGTGCCCCATTTCTAGGAAGTAGGATTTGAAGAGAGTAACCCCAAATATAATCTAAGATTTAGACTGCACCATTCTTGGTCATAAAGCAAATGAATAGTTGGTGTTTTGTTAGTAGGGCTAATCTTTGTTTTAAATGGAGGGTCTGGGGAAGCTTGTACATGGGGACCATTGAGTCTCCAAAACAGAAACTTCTCAGGTGCCAATTGCAAATTTACACTTAGAAAACCAAAAATAAGGTTCTTATAATTGTATATTACTGTTTGGTTTTTAAACAGTAATTTTTACACTTCAGAAAATTGCCAAGCTCTTTCTGATTCAGGCAAGTTTAATTACAGAATGCGAAGAAATTTCTGGCATAGTATGATAGGGAGGTTTAACCAGACCCAAAATCCAGTTTGCACATGGCCATTCTTGTTTTCATTGCAGAAACAGTCAAGCCACATTTTCTCTCTTTGAAATGCAAACAGTATCTCTGTGTTAACTTTTTGTGAGTTGATTCTCTTAGAGCTATGGGTTTTATGTATTTACGATGGGTGAGGGGAAAATCCAGCTATTACTGAGTTAAGACTGGAAACTGAAAGGTTGAAGTCATCCCTGTATTCAACTTTGGCTTCTTGGCAAGAATTCAGAGTGGGCAGGGTTTTTCCACAATGAGGTGATTATGGTTGAGTGTAAGGAAACACTTGAGGCTGTGAATCATTGATTCCTTCCCTCCTTACTCTAGAGGCGCCTGCGCTCAAAACCATTTCCAGCCAAGTTCTTAGCTGACCACTTCTGCTGAGTTGTTTGGACCAGGAAAATTTGGTGGGATGATCATATAGATGTTGTATGTTACATTGGATAACATGTTAAAATTACGAGCGTGGATGTCTTTTTATTGGAGACCTTCCCATAGAAATAGTGCCTGTGGAGCAAGCCTGTTCAGCTTTTTGTTTCAGGCAGAGCACAAGGGGAAATGTGCATTCTACAGTTAGAATTGTTCAGTAAATTAAGGAACCAAATTTGCATGCTTCATATTCTGTTGCAAGTGGTATACCCCTGTGTTTGCAGAAGCTAGATTTATGCAGTTTTTAATATTACAAATTGGAATATAGGGGGAGGAGACCAGCTTTTTTCACAAAGGGTGGCAGTTCATTCCTAGAGTTTCTGAGAAATTAAGTATTGTGTAGAAAAATCAAGTGTTCTTTTAAGTCTTTATTTTGTTACGCTGGCTCATAGTAGGCATTCTGTGTGTGTGTGTGTGTGTGTGTGTGTGTGTGTGTGTGTTGTGTGTACGCGCTAAGAAAAGGAGAGTATCAGGTGTCAAAAGGTATTTATTTCTAGTGTTGTGCCTGGAGCCCACAAAAATAGAACTCTTGCTGGAAGAATTTGTGTCTGATGCAATCAGTTGGCAAACATGTTGCTAAAAATACATGTACTGTAGTAGTTAACAGAGCAGCTGAAAGAGGCTGGTATTTGGGAGTCCTCGTGCTGCTTCCTTGATTCACAGAACTAGCAGTAGCCAAGTCTAGTTTTCATCAGTACTATATTAGCACTTCCCAATGTGTGTGTTCCTCTGATAAGCAGAGGTGACCAAAAGCATGCTGGCTATTTGAAGGGAGTTCTTGAACTGTCTGACAGGCAGACCACGCAAGGCCTGCTGATAGTAGGGCCAAAAACCCTTGCTTGGAAGTTGTTGTTTTTCTAAGTTGTACTGTGCAATGCTTTCCAGACCTGTGAATGATACCCTTGGTTCCCAATGCATTTCTTGGCCGCTAACACACTGGTTTGTGCATACAGCAAGTTACTGCAACTTTGTAGGGCTGTGAATTTTATTGGATGATGGTTTGGAAATTATTTGTTTGAGCAAAATTAAGGCTGCTATATTTCAAAATTTCATAAATATATAGAACAGCACAATTTTATGTGGTAAGTTATACATAATGGGTTGTATCCATCATAGCGCTACATGAACAAAATGCATTGGATGGACGGTGTTTAACTACTTTGTCTCATCAGTGCAAGGATTTCTGCTTGCGCAACAGAACATTATGCCCCCCTCCTTCCACTATGTGTCACCTAAGTCTGTTCTAGGGTTTCCCCTAACACTCCTGAGCAGATTTGGCAAAGGCACAGAGCACACGAGGGGGAGGAGGCGGGGAAGTCATGTTATGCAAACAGAAATCCTTGTGGTGATCAGACAAGGTAGTTGAACTTCATGCTATACATTTTGTTCTCTTACAGAGGTAGAGTAAGTTGAGAGCTGATAAGGAGAGGTGTTGCATACACTTAAGTTTCTCCCCCTCCCCCCCCCCCTTGTCTTTTCACAAGGGACTGACTCATAGCTTCCACGTTGCCAGAAATGTTCTGTCTCTGTTAGGGGTAGAGGGGTATGTGGCATATGTGAGACAAAGCTTAAACAAACGAGAAGCTAGAAATTGGCTGGCAGTGTTTTTTATAGGTTGATGTACTTAAGTGAAAAATATAGGAAAATACAGACTTCAATCAAATTAGCTGTTATACCTGTATATATCTAAAGTGCATTAAGGTGGGGTGGCAGCTGAGGGTTACATAGACTGTTTACTGTGAGCTGTAAGATGGCTGGTGCACAGATAACTTGTTTATGTATTGAGTGTCCAACAGAGCAGTTTTGCTTTCTGTAAGGGCTACTTAACTTCGCATTTGCAGCTTATCTTTGTCTTTGCAGCATGTGTAGAACTTCTTTTTCAGGAAACTGGCAAACTGAGGAGAGTAATAAGCTCCCCCTTGTTAGTTGAGAGTCTCCATCCCAAGTACTGTGCTAATTCACTGGTTTTACACCATGGGTTGGCTCCTCATGATTTTAAGAGAAACTTGGACATTGTACTTTGAAACCAAATTATGCGTGCTGTTATATAGCCTGTATCAGTTTAGGAAAAAATAAGGCAGAGGAACAACTTAAATAGGTTTGCATCAGTGTACCTTAATCCTAGGTGCACAGTCATTTCATGGGTTGTTGTAAGTTATGACGTTTCAAGATGATTGACTTGATGCTTCAGCCTCTAGGAATCTGTGAAACTGAGTTCCTCCCCTTCTTCTGCCTTACACACTGATGTGCTGGATGATCTAAATATACTGACTTTCAGGCTGTGTGATTATATATATATCAGTCATACACAAGAATGGTATATCTCATGTATGATGGATCAATATGACTAATAATGACGAATAACATCACTTACTTTCTATATTTAATCAGTAGAGCACTTATTTTCTCCCAATAGAGAGTGGTAGAAATTCTAACTGTAATCAACAAGTGAAAAATTAGTTCTCATTCTCGTTTAGAAACAAGTTATTCTAAGAGTCTTAGATTTTATTTGCCAGGTCCAAATCACTCACAGTAATTCCTTAATAATTTGATATTAGAATAGCTTTACAGGTGGACAAAACAACAAGACAGGCGTTGAAGCTGCTGTCACATGTGTGTATTGTCAACAGGGCTGTGGCATGCAAAAGATCTCAGGTTCACTTCCCAGCATCTCCAGGTATCGCTGGGCGAGATTTTATCAGAAATTGTGAAGAGCTGCTGCCAGTTAATGTAAGCAATACTGAGCTATATGGACCAATGGTCTGACTTGGAATAAGACAGTTTCCTGTGGAAAGCTTGGGTTTTAGTCATCACTGGGCTAAATGTGAGTTTTCACATAGATTAGTACTTCCTACACCTTACTCGGGCTGGTTCAGGTAGGATTTTGGGTTGATAATCATCCAGGTAAATTGTACCTTGTTCCATTAAATTGTAGTTTTCATATTATGACTAAGCTTTTATAAGTGGTGGTTTCACAAAAGCAGCTTATTTTGATAGTTACAGCTATGCCACTCTCAATATAGTGGTGTGAATTGGTCTAAAGGAAGGAAGGACCAACCTATATGGAAAGTTCAGCTCTCAGTATCACTCTTCCCTGTTGTTGTTTTTTAAAGATTTACAAGCATCTTGCATTTTTTTTTAATTAAGCCAGTTGATGCATTCCAGTCATTCACTGTGGAGGGCCATGTGTCATGAAGTCATGAAGTTACATCTCTTCCTCCTTTCTCCTTTTGCCACCCCGTGCTCAGAAGAGCTTTATGGTTACCCAAATATGGCAGCCAACTTAGTGCCAGTGCCAGCATCTGGCTTGCTTTTGGGAGGCAAGTTCTGAGCCCTCCACCATCCCCATCACTCTCCTCCCTCCACTGGCCTGGTCTTACTTAAGGTATTTCTATGCTGGTTTTCAGACAGACATCACAAAGCAGTTTATATAAACATTATTACAATAATAAGAACTGATTTTTTTAAAACAACAACAACAACCAATGCAAAAGGCAACTGTTCGTTTAGAAGAAGCTGTGATGGTAACTTCTTTTCTGCTCTGCTGCAGAGTGGGTGGTTCTGCAAAGATTTCCTGGGTGACAGTTAGAGGAGGGAGGGGCCACCACTGGCAGCTGGACCTGGGCAGCTTACTAGGCTGTGGGTTTCGTTTCCACTCTCTTCAGAGCAAGATAATTCTTCATAGACCTTTATGTGCCATTTCCTCCATCAGTTGGCAAGTTGCCATTTGTTTCGGGGCATAATGCTAATGGAAACTGACTGGGCAACTTGAATTGTGTGGGGTTCTTTACCCTGCTTTTTGATAGTTAGATAACATTTTTATTCTTGGTAAGCTGGCTGGAATATCAGAATACACTTATTTTCAAATAAAGCATAGTAGAAGAGGCAACATGGTATATGGAGGGCTAGGCTGAAATCCATAGGTGTCTGGCTCCTTGATTTTTATTTTTATTTTAAATGCCCACCACTTAGTAAACTGATCTTTTTTTTCAACTTGAGGCTGGCTCCTGGAGAAACAGAAATATTTTTCAAGCTCTATACTGGCTGCACACTCTACCTGCATTTCCCAGTGACCCAACTCCCTTGCGGCTGGCTTTGGACTCACACAAAGGAGTGGGAAGGACTTTACTACTGGCTGCCTCAAGAAACCTCGCATTGATCATTTGTTTTAGGATGGCGGGGATCTGGATGCAGTTTGAGCCTCCCCCAGGAACTGTGTATACGTGCATTTCCCTCTCCCGCTTCAGTTTACTTTGTGAACAGCATGTTAGAATGCTTCAGGGTGGGGATAAATTGGAGGGAATTGAGGTTGATTAGCATTTTTGTAGCCCTGGGTATCTGAACGGGACAGAATTGCAGTACTGGGTGCCTTAGCAGGTTTGAGGATAAGAAGCAAGTTTTCCCTCTTTGTAGCATCAGCTGTTGGGTTTAAGGCAGGGTTGGGGAACTGGGCTGGGACTGATGGGAGTTGGGAGTCCACCAGCATCTGGAGGGTACAGGTTCCCTTTCTGGTGCAGGGCACAAAGGTATGCCAAAGGGGAAATTAGGATTGTTTGCCTGCTTGCAAAGGAACTTGTTTGCTAGTCACATTATTTTACAATTTCAATCCAAGTTGATGGGCTTGTATTTTTTCTTACCCTCCAGGCCTCCTTTTGGATGACCAATGTGTATCTTCAGTGATGATGTCAGACACTTACCCAGCCATTCCCTGCCCATTCCAGTTGTTACAGACTCATATGATGCAAAAGCTGCAATTCAGGATCCCAAAAACATTGCTTTTAAAACTGTCTAGATGATTGTCGTTGCTTTGGTTGTGTTCTATGCGAGCAGGAGCCTTCTCCAAGGTTTACGGCTGACCCTTGAACAGCACATTCCCTGTTTGCTGCAAACCTTGGGGGCTAGCAGCATGGGCAACTCCTGTGTTTGTCGGGAAGACAGTGGGGTAGAAGACAATGCAGAATCCAGAAGTCGCCAGACAGAGAACAGCAGAGTGCCTGTATCAGACTCCAGGAGCCACTCGAGGGACCCAGTGAGGCCCCCCCGGCGGGGACGGGGGCCACATGAACCAAGAAGGAAAAAACATAACGTGGATGGATTAGTACTTGACACGCTAGCAGTAATTCGGACGTTGGTAGACAAGTAAGTACTTCCTGAAGAGAAATATTGCCATGGATGTACCTTCCTTCTCTTGTAAATTGCTATGCTGCAATCTGTGGAGACTGCTCTAATGTCCCCCTCCAGTGGCATAAAAGTGGACAACTTTATGTTGGAATTGGAAATGTCTACAGATGTTTCAGGAACAATCCATGAATAAGATAGTAGATTCGTCTTGGCTTCTCCTCGCAACACTTGCGCTTTTTGAATACCCCTCCAGCAGTTCATTTTGATGTCCAAAGTTTCTTTCAGTGAAATCCTACCCGGCCCTGTAACCTTACACTGCCTGATTCCGTTGAGTGGCAGCCACTGCAATGCCTACACCAGTCGTGGGAGGAGAGCCAAATGGCAAACTGTCTTTGTGTCATGTTGAGACTTCTACAGTTTCAACAGACACAAAAGCAATATACAAGATGCTGCCTAAGGTCTTTGGAGGCCAGAGGTAGTTCTGCCACCTTTGATGGCAGAAGAAAGGTTTCCTTTGGAACGGAAGGGGACACTCTGATAGTGCTAGTAAGTGCTGTTGGGATTTGTTAGCCAGTTTGACTTCCTTCAACCAAATTCCCTTTGTGTGTGTGCAGTGCATTGTAAGATTGGGCAGCGCATGCTAAGGAGGCAGTTATTTAGGGAAGCTTTCCTCTGATCCCTTTCCTAACTCAGCAGTTGAAGATGTCTTCGTGGATAGGTGGGGGGCAGCAACTTGTGCTTGTCCCCTTTCTTTGAGTTGACTTGCTTCTGCAGAAGCATGTATTGGAGTGGTCTGTTGGTCTGCCCCTTCTAAAACTCCAGATTGAAAGGAGTTAAATTAGGAATAGACATGAAGAGCAGTATAGAAATTTAATTATTGTTAACAATAATATTAATAGATAATAAGGCTCCCAGGGGCTACCAGTCATGATGATACTTTCAGAATCAAATAAAGCCCATTGCTTGGAATAATAGCCAGAAATGACTGATTCCCTTATCCTGCTTGTGGACTTTCCATAAGCATCTGGCTGAGCACTTTGGGAAACAGGAATCTGGGCTTGGTCTGGTCCAGCAGGGCTGCTCCGGTGATATATGTGTTGTGCCAATTCTTACAAATGTTTACATAGTGGTTAATGATAAGTGGAAAGATTCTGAGTAGGGTAAAGCAATAAAGCCACTTTCAAAGAAGTGATGCCTGGGTGCGTTCTCTGGTGGCACAGCTTGTGATGTTTGAATTGGATCTGAATAACCCTGTTGAACCATGAGCACATTGGGAGTGGTTGGGGACAGGGGGCTACAGACAGGCAAAGGAAGGAATATCCCAGGCAAGCAAAGTTTATGTGAGGAGGGAGAGAGACATGATCACACCCTTCCAATGGCAGAGGAGCTACTGCTACATATCATAGCAACAGCACCAACAAAATTGTCCTTAATGCTTTCTTTCCTGATTAAAATTGTCATTATTCGTTGTCAGTTTGAGTTATCTTTGTAGTATCTTAAACATCAACAAGGTGTTGACAGTTTCCTTCCTGCTTTATTATCTGAGCTGCTGTCAAAAATGCTCTTTCATAACTCCTTAAATAATCACTTCATTCTTTGCTACCTGCCAGCTCCAAGTGTCTGAGGCCCTTTCTGGCACACTGGAGCTTCTGTTTGTCCTAGGCCACAGTCTGAAGGCGCGTGATGCCCCCACCTTGTTGAAGCAAAGAGGGTCTGGGTCTGATTAGGGTTTGACTTCAAGACTGGGTGGGAATCCTTTGTGAACAGCCTTGCGTTTTGTGGTGGAGGGAAAGACTGGGTATAAATGTAATAAACAGAAGCTTCTGGGCACAATGGAATGCATTTCCACCTCTCTTCTCAAGCATTATAGTTTACTTGGATTGAACCTCAGCAGTACAATGCTTCTCCTATGCCACTTCTTTCAAGTTAATGACGTCTGTTTTCACCCGCCTTGTGCTGAGAACAAAATGAATGACTCTCCCACTTGCGCAGAATACAACAGTGTGGGGCAGTGGGATGGGTTCAGTTGCTTTCAGGACTGTCTTGTTCAAGCATTATTGGCTATAAACATTGTATTGCTTTAACTTGGGGGGGGGGATGCTGACCTGAATAAACTAACAGACAGTTTTCTACAAAAAGAGTAGACTGTTTGGGGGGATTTTCTAGCAATAGTAAAAATTCATCCTGCTTGGATCCTATTTTTCCTTTAAGGGGCTCAAAGTAGCATCCAGGGGTTATCAACTGGCCCAAGGCTACCCAGTGTGCTCAATGGCTGGGCAGGGTTTTGAACCCAGGTCTCTCTAGGCTAAGTCCCAAACTCTGTTTCTACTCCCTCACCTGGGCACTGGAAGGGGCATGTCTACTAACAAGTTACTAGGGAAAGCACTCGGTAGAATTCTTAGCCAGTGGGAATTCAGTCCTGTGATAGAACATATTGCCAAGCACAAATGGTCACATTATAAGTGGAAAATAGTTTTGTGATTCTCCTCCCCAGCCCAACCCCCCAAGATTGGATCGCAAGCGTTCTGTTGCTTCCTTCCATGCCCTCTGTCATTCAGCACTCCACAACTTCCATTCCCTTTCATGTTGTGTTCCGTTAACACTTGGTGTGTAGCAGCTGGCCTTGAGCCAGAGGTGCTCTGTCTTCTGTTCTGAATGGAGGACTCTGCCCCTCTTCCCTCTTGTACCTTTAATGGTCCTGCCTTTTATATTTTAGACCTTGGGTGTGGACCTCTGTGTTTTTATACTTTCATAAAAGCACTTGGTATACCTTTAGGAACTGTGGCAATAATGAAAAGATTCTACATTAATGTGTTGACAGTGTCTCATTATCCTAAGAATTTGGATTATTGCAGTATCCTCTGAGGCAGTGAGAGTGTGAGCGGATGCTCATCAAATTTTCACAACAGCTGATTGCACTGGTTGCCAGTTTATTTCCAGGCAGAAATCAGTGTGCTGATGATTACCTTTAAATCCCTAAATGGTTTGGGCTCAGTCACTTTCCTTACCAACCTGCCTGCTCCATTAGATTTGCTGGGGAGGCTGTTTTTCTTCTTCCAAGGGTGGCTGAGATGCAGCTGGCTGGGATGTGGCTTTTTCTATGGATAACGGAATTCCCCATCTTGGGAGGTCCATTTGGCCTCTATATTTTCCACCACATGACCAAGAATGTTGTTCGTTCCAATAGATGTTTGGCCTGCCAGGTTCTAGTTTTAATGGCAAACCTCCATATCAGCTTTCTTGTTTCTTCTTAATAGGCAAAGGAGTGCCTTTTGCTGGAAGGCTTCCAACAGTCTCTTAAATTAATGATACAAATGAAGGTTTCTGGCCATTGAATCCTGGGGTATGGTGCTGATTATGGCAATTGTCTAGAGAAGCCCTGTTGCGTGCAATAAGAGTTTTTGTATGCCAAGTCAGGGTCTCTGTTTTCACGTTCACTCTAGATGACTGCACCACCACAAAGCCATTGTGTTCCCCACATTGGATAAAGTTCTACTTCCAGTTTGTTGTAGGGCTGATAAATATCCTTCAGGCACATCTGTACATGTAGATCCCTGGATTTCATTCCCATGGTTCTGTACTTGATGATGCTACACCAGTATGGGGAAGTAGTGAAGAGAGAAGGTTCAAAGTCCTTATCAGCCACGGTTTGGCTCAGGGTTACCATGACAATCACTGGCTCTCAGCCTAACCTGCCTCACAAGGTTGTTAAGAAGATAAACAGGTGGCCATGTATGCCCCTCTGAGTTCCTTAGAGGAAGGGTGGCATAAAAACCTATTCAGTAAACAAATATGATAGTTATTCTTCTTCATTATAGATATGAGACTATATCCAACCAGATTCTACTCAGAATAGACTTATTGAATTTCATGGACCTGTTAGTCATGTCCAGTCATTTCATTGGTTCTACTCTGAATAAAATTAACATTGGATAGGAACCATGGGAACTTAGCTGGCCGTTAAACAGTCATGGATCTTCTGCATTGCTCTTCATTGTAAGCTGGTATGAGTGTGCCAACTTTGATAATGATTAACGTAAGCTTTTTGTCTTGTGTTTTCTTCCAGTGATCAGGAACCTCCTTATTCAATGATGACTTTGCATGAAATGGCTGAAACAGGTACCTCCCTGCTCTAGTGTGGCACTCCAGTTGCAATCTACTAAGAAACCGTTTAGCTCTGTAAAGAAGCTTAAGAGTCGCACTGCATGTTTATTTCCAAGGGTTGAGGCAATTTTACAGTGATTACCTAAATAATACTGCTACTTGACAATGAGCTTGGTAAATTTGTAATTAGCTTAATATGTGTACCTGTCTAATCTGGCTAAATTTATGAGGTATGCTGTTGCGAAATCAGCCTGCCAGCTGCCACGAGGCTCAAGCTAACAGGCTTATTTTGGTTTTACACTGAGCTAGTAAACAGGCCTTGGAGTAACTAGGGGAATAGTTTGCTTCCAAATTAAAAGGAAAATGTTAATTAAATACTGAGGAACCTTGCAGGATATGGGAAGAATGTCCCCAAATGTGTGTTGATATCTCTAGACCAGCCTTCACCAACCTAGTGCCCTCCAGATATTTTGGGCTAAAGTTCCTGTCATCCCCTTTCAGCATACCAGGTGGGTGAAGTTGGCTCTGGACCACTATACCTTTTAAGCATTTTTGCCTGGAGCAACTGTAGATGTCTGAATTCCTCGGTTCTGGAGCTGCTTAAAATACCACACCTGCTCATGCAGCTGTGGTTTTAAGGAGCACAATTCCTAAAGATGTAACTTGAAGACTTGAGAGTAGCTCTTTGGAACAGCTAGAGGCAGATCAATTTCATGTCTAATGCAGTGGATTTCCATGACACAAACAGTTTATCATCCTTTATTTCCTCATAAAAAATTATACCCCTTTAACTCTAAAAAGGACTCAAGATACATTTCCCCTCCTTTAAATTCAGTGTCCAAAGTCCTTTGGACTTTATTACATGTAATTCTTCTAAATTGGTGCTGTACTTAACATGTGGAAAATGAAAAAAGCATCTAGACAGTAATGTCAATTGTGGCTCTGATGACGACTTGCTCTGCAATGCAGCCTTTAGGCCTCAGTCACTTTGACTTTTCCCTTCCTTCCTTGGTGAGGTACTTGAAGAAAATGAGCCAGGGTAAGACAATGTCACTAACTGATCAATTAAAATGTTCTTCAAGAACAGAAACGTGAGAGTTCAGATTTTCCTGTTTCATTAGCAAGTTATAGATTATCTTCTTTATACATAAATGATAGGAAATATAACAGCCTATTCACAAATTCCTCTCTGTGTCCTGCTGTCGGAGAAGGAGACTGCTGGGAACCGGTTTGGGAAAGGCAGTGTGTTACCTTCGTTGCATTCCATCTCCTGTGTGCCTTTCTTAAACTTAAACCATAGTTTGAGAAGGAAGGGTGGTGTGTTTCTGATCTTTTGCCTCTTATAAAATAACTCTGGAGCTGGCTTTCCAAGAGATAATGTATTAGACCTCGTAGTATTCAGGGAATCCTTCCTAATTCACTAATCCTTACCCATAGAAGCCAGTTCCTACATTCTGTTACAAATCGCTGTTCATACCAAGGGATGGAGGTTATGCAGAGATAGATCTGGTTCAGTCATTAGTGGCTCCCATTAACTTAGTGGGACATGGTGAAGGAACTTCAGAGAGGGAGCAAAATCTCACCTTATTTCTATGCTGTAGAAACTCATGGCACTGATTGTACATAAACATCATGTTACAAAATGCAGCTGAATTTGTGACTTGCCTTCACTGAGAAGTGTTAATGCTCAGTGTTTGTGGTATTATTATTATTATTATTTGTACTTATGAGTCATCTCTAGGTATTGCAGTTGAGTAAGAAATATGCATGTGTGAACTTGTCCTAACATTAATCCCTGGAGCTATGAATATTTGCCCTATCTCCAGGAGCTGAGTTTGTCCGGCTATTGCAGTCTAGATTAGCAGCTGCTTGTTAACTGTGATGTGTGGTTCAGATGAATTGTTAAAATGCTATTGAAATCGTACTTGTGATTCATGTATGATTATTGTCTCCATCTATTGTTACCAGTCTAAGACAGTTGCCTCTGTTTTGTGATTGACAGATGAAGGCTGGCTGGAAGTTGTCCAATCCTTAATTAGAGTTATTCCATTAGAAGATCCCTTGGGACCAGCTGTTATAACTTTGCTTTTGGATGAGTGTCCATTGCCAACAAAAGTAAGTAAAATAAATGCATGTAGACTTGGTAACCTTATTACAACAGCATGTAGCATCCCCCACTGTCGAACTGATTATGACCAAACTTTTTAACAATGCACATCTTAAGAAACAATATTACAATGTGTCATTTTCACATCAACAATTTTCTGAACAAAAGTTTCAAAACACAACTGAAAGTCATTGGACGGAAAGCTTGTCCTGGTGAGCACACACAGAGACACATGCATAGAGTTGTATAAACTCTCTGTTATCTGAATCTGCTAATTGCTTGTCCAAACTGAGAATTAGGCTGTTGATGCCTTCAGAATTCATGTATGCTCCACCATTTTGTAAAGATACTGAATATATAGACTTCGTGCCCATAAATCTTTCTGTATGAACTATGAAATGCATTAGGATATCTATCACATGACTAGAGAAGTCAGTAAGAATTCTTTTTCCCCCTAGTGTGCATTGCTTAGTCAACTTTGTATAAGTGTACCATGAGACCAAAAACACTGCAAAACCCAGGCACTTTTAAGATTTCTCCTGGGCCCTCTCTCCTTCCAAAAATATGATTCATTGAGTCTCCTCTCATCATATGACTAAAGAAAGAGTTGAAGGGAAACAACACTTTGCAGAATGGCTGGTGTGCTTTCCTTTGGCCAAGGTTCTTAAATAGCTTATGCTGGATTTATCCCACAGGCTTCAGTGGCACAACTCCAGAGTGAGAGATTTTAGGATTGCAGCTATATATTGTTTTACAGTGAATTACTTTTTAAGAAGGAAGAAGTATTTCCTAACTTCTTAAAAACCTGTGACTACTAATTTAGTGTCTTGATAGTCCTTGAAGTTTTGTGGATGCGAGTTGCTGTTTTTCTAACAGAAGCTGTTAAACAAGAGGTTTTGCACATGCAAAAATAGGGAGCATATGTTTTGTTCCCCGGTGGTTACAAAGTACTGTGGAGATAATTGGAGTATCTTCTGGTTCTGTCTGGAGCTGAGATAAAGAGAAGGGACTGTGTCTCTCAGTGTTCTACTATTCAGTAGCATTTTAACTTGTCTTGTTTAGGATGCATTGCAGAAGTTAACAGAAATATTATGTTTAAGTGGAGCTGTTGCTTGCCAGGATGCCTGTCATCCTGCCAAACACCGGAACACAACAGCAGTACTAGGCTGTTTGGCAGAAAAACTTGCAGGTAAGAAGGATTTTTAATGTTTTTATGTAACTGTGGGGGTTATTAACAGGCACCCTGCTTTGTTTTGCTCTAGATTCTCCCCTCCAGTCTCTCTGCTCAGGTCACAGGTGATCTGGTGTAAATACGTTGCATGTAACTCCCATCATTATCAAGAGTACGCCCTCAATATCCTGGGGCAGTGCTTAGAACATTAACTCCCTAATTGAAATCAACGAGTCTGTAAAATGTTTTGTTCAGCTGCACCCAGGCACCCACAGCTGTGGTCTCCAGATCATCAATGATGCCCAGCAGGGTGTCTCCAATGTATTCCTCTACAGTAGGCAACATCTTTTTTAAAAAATGATGCTGGCAACACCAGAAAGCAAAGGGTTCCTCTTTGAAAGTAGTGTCAGGCTGTGTTGTTTTGTTGGAATGCACACTTACTGTTATCGGTTACAGTGGGAGGGGGGTTGCAATACACCTCCTGCTCCTCCATTTGAATGCCCCTTAACTAGGGGCAGTAAATACAAGGGGGGTGTACATCCTTTGTGTAGCTGGGTCTGGGAAGTGTCCAGTAGGAACAATACTTGGCTGTCACACCTAGCAAAAATTTGTGGGCTCCTGCCTGCATCCAATATACAGCTGACTGCTGGAGGTTAATACTAAAAACAAGGGGATGGATATTACCTTCATGCCATCTTGTGAACTTATCTGTGGAGTCTAGCTTTCTGAGATCCTTTTAAGCACAGTATGATTGTATGCTTACCCAAACCCTTGGAACTGCCCCTGTACAATCATCCCTTGCCTTCTGGAGCCAGCACACTGAGTAGGCTTTGCCACCTTTGGTTGAAATTGCACAAGTTACATGTGCTTAAGATGCAATATTACTGTATTTAAAAAACATTGGCTTTTCCTACTTAATTGTTGTTGTTTTTTAAAGCTAAACTAAATATACTTGATTTCTTTCTTTCTTGCACAATGCCTTATGCCTATAGAGCACAAGATATCAGGGAGGGCAGAGTTGTACATTAAGCTCTTTGGAATTGACTTTTAAAAAACGTAATGCAGCAGCTTCGATGCACGTGTTTCATTTTTAGTGTTCTTGCAGGCCCTGCAAGTGTAGGTTTACTCAGCCAAGGGATCTTGGAATACTTGCTGCAGAGCTTGGTGAGTATCACAGTTTAATCCTCCTCTAATGTTGTTCCTCTTTAAATGCTATTTCTCCTGTGTGTGAACATCAGAGGGATCAGGGCCTTGCATTTCATCCTGTTAAGTTTTGGGAGGAAACAGCTCCCAACATGGGGTCAAGCCTTCATCATTGCTGCTGCCGCCGCCACCATCCTCCTTTTTCAGTAGCGAGTGTGTGTTGAGGGGATGCATAGAAATGGGGAGGGGGCATTGCTGAGAGGTAGAGCACATGCCTTGAATGCAGAAGCCCCCCATATCAGAAGGCACAAGGCAGCTTCAGAAGTTGTTCATGTGGCGAAGAGTCATGTGCTCACCAGCACATTTTTTCCTCTGGGCAAGCAGAGAAGAGTAATGTTCCCATCCCACCATCTGTAGGTGGTGGTGTGGATTTGCCCCTTTAGGAGCATTTATAAACTTACAGGCAACTTATTTCTGTTTTTCAAGAAAAAAAGCAATGTATAAAAAGTCTTAAATTAAAACCAACATTGTAAAATCATTACATTGTTCTTTAGTACAATGGAAATTAATGAAAGAATAGAATTTAGAGGCCTCAAATTTGTCTGGAAAGCTTTGAAAGGTTAAAAGAAAGCTTTTTATAATGTGTTGACGGAAATGATAGGAGGTAGAACATGGCCTCCCCTGCCAGACTTAATAGGTGAGAAGAAATTGCTTAGAAATTTCATCCCCTCTGTGGCCCGGTTCAGATGCCACAGTCCTCCAAGCCATGGTTTGGAAGATCAGCAATACATCAGCACCAGCTCCACTCTCCTCAAGTCTCTCACACTCATTTCTTGCTGTGCTTTGGCCTCTAGTTATAGTTTGTTCAGATTCCTGAATCAAGCAGTCCATGATCAGCAGTAGCCTCCAAGCCACAGTTGCCAGATTTGAACATTACAGCAAACTACAGTTAGAGGAAGCCTGAAATGGAAGGAGGCAGTTTGTGGGAGTCAGTGGCTTGTTTTCCGATCCTCTGAGCCATGGATATTTCCCTAATCCAGAACAGCTTCCTTCTTCCTTCTGCGTAGGACTTTGTCTTGGTGCTTGGGTCTCTAAAAAAAGCCCTGTAATTAGACCGTTCCTCTTATGACAAGACATGAATGCTTTTGTCTTGAAAGTGCAATGTTTTTCCCTGTACAGTGGTGCCCCGCAAGACGAACGCCTCGCAAGACGAAAAACCCGCTAGACGAAAGGGTTTTCCGTTTTTCGATGCGCTTCGCAGGATGAATTTCCCTATGGGCTTGCTTCGCAAGACGAAAATGTCTTGCGAGTCTTGAGATTTTTTTCACTCCCCCCCCCTTTTTCTAAGCCGCTAAGCCGCTAATAGCCTTTTAGCCGCTAAGCCTTTAATAGCCGCTAAACCGCTAATAGTGCTAATCCGCTAAGCCGCTAATAGGGTTGCTTCGCAAGACGAAAAAACCGCTAGACGAAGAGACTCGCGGAACGGATTAATTTCGTCTTGCGAGGCACCACTGTATTTCACAAATCGGCTAAAGTTTGTTGTTTTCGGAGGTCAGTTTAAGGGAATACTGTATCCTTTAATTCTCTTGTTTATCTTAGGAGTTCCAGTCCCACCCAACCGTAATGCTTTTTGCACTAATAGCCCTGGAAAAGTTTGCACAAACAAGTAAGTGAGTTAGCTCAAAATCTATGGGGAAAACACAAGGTGGTTCCTAGTAGTCTGTGTGTTGGACTCCCCCCCCCCCCATACACACACTTTGTTCATAAGCATGCATGTGGCACTGACAAGATGGCTTAGGCTTGCTCCAAGTGCTATGGAGTTCTTTATTGTGAACCTTCAGAGCCTGACAACTACTCTCCCTCCTCTGCTCTCAGGCTCCACCTGAGATTTGGAGGGTGTTCTTAGTTGCCTGGAAACAGCTGAGCAGTATGTCTGCTGTTGCAGTTTCCTCTACAGAGAACACCAAATGACTGTGTGGTGTGGCAGGACTGTTTAGTTGTGCCTGTGGTTTTGCATATCTGCGCATGGTGCTGCCTACAGTCCCAATAGCCTGACAAGAGTTGCCTTGTTTTTAAGTGGAGGAACAGGCCCAAGTGATGCCCAACCAAAGGGCAGAGGGAGATCAAAACAAGTTTAGCCTTCAAACAGAGCCCTTTAGTGCTATAGAGTAGGGCTGGGGAGCCTCAGGCCTGGTGGCCAAACATAGTCCTCCAAGCCTCTCTATGTAGCCCTTGGGCCTCTCCCCAGACCATACCCCCTTTCTCCAGCCCTGTTTTCCACCCTCCTTGAGTGCTTTTGCTTGCCTGGGATGCATTTTTGAACTCTGATAAAGCCTGGGTGAAGAATGGAGAGGGGTGTGAGTGTGTGTAGGATGTTGCCTCCTTGTGCTGAAAAAGTTACCCACCCCTGCCAGATAGCAAGGGTATGGTGTTAGGAGGGCAGGGAAGAAGAAATGGTGTCTGCAAAGGCCCTCTTGGATGCTTGGAAAAGGTGCTTTGCTTAGCTAATCATCACATGGCCAGTGACGTAAGTTCCACTGACTGCTTAAATGTTGCCTGGTTCCTCTTTGAGAAAGAGAGAAGAGAAACTAATACTGCTTTTGGATACTTAGAAAATGATATGTTTAAGCATGAACAATCTTTGTTTCTGGTGAAGGTTTTTTTGACAATCATCATTTTGTGTTACCATTTTAGGTGAAAATAAAATGACAGTTTCTGAAACGTGCATCAGTGACCAGCTAGTCTTGTTAGAGAAATGGACAGATAATCCAGACTACTTAAAACGCCAAGTTGGATTCTGTGCCCAGTGGAGTTTAGACAATCTATGTAAGTAAGAATTTATCTGCGAGCTGGGGGCGTTGCTGGTGACATGCTCTGCATTCAAAGATGCAATGTTTTATTTGGTATTTAAGCAAACTTTGACTGCTATGGTGTAATGTAGCTTTCAGAATCCGAAAGCGAAAACTTCCTTGATAAAACCAGCAGTGTTATGTGCATGTACTGCTACTGAATTCAGGTCACTTAACCCAGAGGCAGGATAACTCAAAGGTGGAGAAAATTTGGGAAATGTCTTGGGGTAGCTGCCTAACCCTTTAGGGGACCTTTGAACACTCAGAGAACTGATTCTTCCTGCACTTCACTGTGTAGCAGTTTTGTGCATTTTAGCCTTGAGGTCAGACAAGTCTGTCAGAGCAATTTTCACAGAGGGAGCTAAGTGAGGTGTACAATTATTATGGGTGTAACTTGTCGTGACTTGCTGTGGAGAGTTTATGGCCCCAAGCAAACATCTGCCTTGCATTGTCCTCCTTCCAGCAGGAAGTGCACTGGTGAAAACTTTGTTGCCCAGACATTTTTTTAATCAGTTTAATTTAGCCATCCCTATAGAAAAGTAGTGGGAGACTGTGGCCCACTTCACAAGTTGACCTGAATGTGCTGTTATGCAACTCACCTTAAGCATGTGGGTGGAAGTTGCACAGGCCACCGGGAGTGATATGGAAGCATCCACAAGACAGCAGTAACCACATTGCTGTGGGTAATATATGAAGGAAATCCATGGTGATTATAGGCTTCTGCTTCTGCCACCATTGTGTTCTCTTTGGGTTGCAACTTCCCTTGAGTCTAGTCTCTGGCAAAAGCTTGGTTGCTGTTCAAAGTCTAAAAATAGGAATGCCTTTAAGGGGGGAAAGTCCATAAAATTAAAAGGGTGGGCATGGTTCGAGGAAACTGCCTTTCAGGCCAAATTGGATCCAGCCTAATTTGGACCTTGCACCCAAACTTTCACATGCCTGTACTAGAGGGTGGTCTGTCGGATAGTCCCTTTAATGAAGAAGAGGTACCGTATTTTTCGTCCCATAGGACGCACTTTTTCCCCTCCAAAAATGAAGGGGAAATGTGTGTGCGTCCTATGGGGCGAATGCAGGCTTTCGCTGAAGCCTGGAGAGCGAGAGGCATCAGTGCGCACCGACCCCTCTCGCTCTCCAGGCTTCAGGAAGCTATCCGCAAGCCTTGCAAGCCCGGTGGGAGTTCCCGCGGGCTCACAAGGCTTGCGGGCAGCAGCCTGCAGCCCCGGCGAGTGTCCGCAAGCCTTGCGCACCCGGCAGGAGGTCCCGCCGAGCGCGCGAGGCTTGGGGCGGCAGCCTGTCGCCCGAAGCACGGGGAGCCCTCCGGAGGGCTCCCCGTGCTTCAGGCGAGTGTCTGCAAGCCTTGCGCGCCCAGCAGGAGGTCCCGCCGAGCGTGCGAGGCTTGGGGCGGTAGCCTGCAGCCCGAAGCACGCGGAGCCCTCCGGAGGGTGCCCCGTGCTTCTTGCAGGTGTGCACAAGGCTTGGGGCGGCAGCCGCGGCGGGGGGGGGGATAATTTTTTTTATTCATTTCCCCCCCCAAAAAAACGAGGTGCGTCCTATGGGCCGGTGCGCCCTATAGAACGAAAAATACGGTACATAATTTTCCACAGTTCCCAGTTCCTGCCCATCACCCCTCCTCAGTGTTCTGAGAATTTCAATATTCCATCTTTGACAAGTGTAACAAAAATTCCATTTAATGAATGAAATATAGTGACAATTTAATTTATTATTTGTATAAATTTAACTTTATTCTAACTGGTAAAGTATCTAATGTGTTCCCTGATTGGGGACTTCCTTCTTGGTCAAATTCCAGACCATTTGATCAAATTGGTTAACTAACGCTCTGCAGTAAGAGTCGTATCAGGTGAGCAGGTACATTTGATTGCCAGGTCCATGTTTTGCAATATTAGGACTTCTACTACAGTTACAACTTCTAAATATGTATTTTTGCAGTTTTGAAAGAAGGCAGGCAGTTTACATACGAGAAAGTTGACTTGACCAACATAAATGCCATGCTGAATAGTAACGATGTCAGTGAATACCTTAAGATTTCACCACGTGGGTTGGAGGTAAGTTTTGGTACTTAATTCCATCATATTTTTATGTCTTCTACATTTCCCCAAACAGTAAGAAGTTTCAGAATAGCACTATTTGGGTTTCATTTCCCTTTGGAAGAGAGGACACTAGAGGCTTCACTCTCTTTGAGATAATAATATAGGCCGTAAGTCAAACCAAGCCATTTTTATATGTTTTGGTTTTTTTAATAAACCCAGCTGAAATAGCAGAAAGAGAGGAAGTTTAGCAAGAGGTTTTAATCAATGATTAATAAGGTTGTGACATCAAAGGGGATACAGTAAGACTTACAAATCCTGTTTCAGAATGTAGCTATTGGTGATCCTTGTGAACTTATTAAAATGGACTACAAAGCCTGCATTCAGGATCTGGAATATACATATCACAACTCTGTATCTCTTGCTATCAATTTGGGAAATAATTACTGGTTTGCATTATTTGCAAATATGCAAACAAAGCATAAGGGAAGGCAAGCAGGAGCCCCTCCTGCAAGGCAGCATTGGATTCCCAGAGAGTCATGTGCATAGCACACTCAAGGCTCCACCTGACTTTGTAGCAGACTCCAGACATAAATTCTCAGTGGTCTGTGTTTGCAGAACAAAACAACAAAACAAAACAAAAGCAAGCCTTTTTCAGACCACACCTGCAGGGCACTTAGTCTCACATCTTCACATCTGCGGGTGAGTTACCTATTCAGTATTAAGTGTAGAATTGGTTTCTTCTGAAATATGAGCCTGTTGCCTCAAAATGGAGCTGAGAACTTACAAGGATTTAAATTCCTCCTGCTAGGGCCAGGTAGCTGTTGTCTTTTGGAAGGCAAGCATTTATTTATTTTTCTTTTGGTTTGTTCATTAGGCCCGATGTGATGCGTCGTCTTTTGAAAGCGTTCGGTGTACTTTCTGTGTGGATTCTGGAGTTTGGTACTATGAAGTCACAGCCATTACTTCCGGGGTGATGCAGATAGGATGGGCTACCAAAGACAGCAAATTCCTCAATCATGTAAGTGCCACTTTCTGCCATAGGAACCTACTCATTAAGTTGGATCGGCCTTGGAGTCTCTTTTCTGGGTGCCTGTCACCTCTGGAAAAGAGGCAGATGGGAGCCAGATAGAAGGCCTTCACTGGGGCACTAAACTTGTGGAACCAACCTGCTTGGAGATGTTAACCTGGTTCCAACACTGACATCTTTGCAGAAGCCATGTGAAGATTCTGATTTTTCTTGCAACTTTTGGTTTAAATGGGCCCTCCAGATGTTTTCGGCTGCAGCTCCCATCAGCCCCAATCAGCACAGGTTGGCAAAAGTTGCAGTTTACAATTACAGGGAAGGTGTTTCACTGAAGTAAAAATGTTGTATAGGGTTAGATGCAAATACCTTGATATGGTGGGGAGAGTTGGCGTTGCTGCAGAAGGAGGTAGATGAGAGCCCCTCTTCACCTTCCCTAGCAGCACAACTGTACATTTAACTGTATTTTAGTTATCGGTTATTGCACAGCACTTTGATGCCAAAATGTGCACTGGTGTTTGGTGCAATGACTGGTGCAGATGGGAATTTCTTAACCTTAAGCAAGAGAGCCAGAATATCCCACCTGTTTGCATGCCCCCTCCTCTTCTCTCCTGCACAAATCCAGCATAAATTCAGTTGTAGCATTGCATTTGCACCAAATTTAGCTTTTGTCTAGGTTTTAAAGGTGATTTTGCAATTTCAGAAAGTGTCAGGGAGCTATACACAACCAGGAAGCCATAGCCTATGGATCTTTCCCCTTCTGGAATTCACCCAGGGTATGATCACACAGCAGGAAGCAACTCTTGAGAGAAGCCCTGAGTCTGTACTTGCAAGAGGGCATAAATGTGCCCAGTGTAGTCCAACAGTGGGCCACATATTCCAACCTGCATTCAGATCTCACCCTTGTTAAGAAAGAACATATTGATACCCCCCCATGTGCCCATAGTTAGCAAAATGGTTGAGAAGCTTTAAAAACAAGATTCCCACAAGTATTGTCATGTCTCAAGAAAATAAATGCTGTATTTTATCTTCCCTGAAGGAAGGTTACGGTATCGGGGACGATGAGTACTCCTGTGCATACGATGGCTGCCGGCAGCTGATCTGGTATAATGCCAGAAGTAAACCACATTCCCACCCGTGCTGGAAGGAAGGTACTCCACCCATCTTGTTGCAGTTGTTGCTGTTGTCGTCTTCATTTGCTGGGAAATTGTTCTAGCACTCCCCAGAGGGGAGCAAAGCTGCCAATTTAGTAGCCTAGAATCCCTTCTACCCTGTCTCCTACCATTGTAGGTCACTGTAAGTGAAGAGTCATTTTCATCCCTTCGCAGCAGTCTTCTGAGGGCCACATGCCATTGGTGGGTGGGACCAGAAGCAAAAGCGGGCAGAGCCTACCTTTGTGCAGTAGGCTAGCTTCTACACACACACTTCTCTCTGTCATCCATCCGGGCAGGCCAGAGTCCAAGGTTCACCAGAGTTCAAGGACACATTCCAGCTAGGCAGAAACACTAGGAGAGCGTGGAACAAAGCCAGTGAGGGCCATGGCCCAGGAAAAAGAAAATATGGCTGGCACACGTGTGTGGCCTGCAAAGAGTCCCAATAGACATGGAAGAGGGTCACATTTGGGCCTCCTAGGCCTGAGGTCCCGTCTTCTGTCAGATTGGAAAGGCTAGGCTGCAAACTTTTTTCAGTCCTCACTACATGCAGGAAAGGTTTTGTATGGGGGGAGCATTCAACTGTCCAGTTCTCCACCTATAACCAGAAGTGGTACAATCTAGGAAAAGGCTTTTATTGTTGGACTAGTTCTAAGTTGGGATCCTTCCATGCCACTGAAGGAGAAAAAGGTGTAGCCAGGAAAGGATCTTGATTGAAATTGAATTTTTGGACAATGGAACAGATGGCCCAGGGATCCAAGGGGTCTCTTTCCCCAAGGGGTGATTCTTTTGGGACATGTCCGTACATCAGCTTCCTGTGCTTTTAACTCAGTGCTTTAGTAGTAAACTAGAAGCACAGGAAGCCTTTCCTGGAAAAACCAAATGTCCCCTCTTCATTCAAATGTCCCCACAGACCCCACACAGACATTCTTATTGCTGCTCTCACTGCCAGTCATGCAGATTGCACATCCAGTATTGAGATCAACATGCTATCTGGGGTGAAGACTGCAGAGGAGCAGCATGATCTGTACATGTAGGTGCCTGCACTGCAAACTCAAGGCACAACTGCATTTTTCAGAGCATATTTACAACGTTTACTTTTGTTTCTGATGCGCATCCAGTCCCTGGGGTCAATGTTTTAATGTGCTTCTGTTCATCTTGATCTTCTCTGCATTATGTGGAATCTATGTAGCATCAATTCATCCTTCATTTGGGAAAAGAGGAGCACAAAGTTTCCTTCTAGTTACAAACTCTTACCTAGCTTCCTAATTACTTAAATTTGAGAAAATGCTGAAGATGACTCTGAGCAGGCGTAACGCTGGCTCCCTGCAAAATGCTATTTGTAAATCAGGAGTCAGCCTCCGGAACATATTTATTTTTTATTTCATAAAATGTTCACAAAACAAAAACTCAAAAGTAGTTTACAAAAATATTTTTTTAAAACCCAGTAACAATTTGCAACAATAGTTTAAAACTTACAAAAAGTTCAATGTCTGCTTCTTTTCCCTCTTGTGTGAATTTTCCCCTCTACAGCTTTAACCATAGTTTAGAACAGGGGTCAGCAAACTTTTTCAGCAGGGGGCCGATCCACTGTCCCTCAGACCTTGTGGGGGGCTGGATTATATTTTGGAGAAAAAATGAACGAATTCTTATGCCCCACAAATATCCCAGAAATGCATTTTAAATAAAAGCACACATACTACTCGTGTAAAAACACACTGATTCCCAGACTGTCCACAGGCCGGATTTAGAAAGCAGTTGGGCCGGATCTGGCCCCCGGGCCTTAGTTTGCCTACCCATGGTTTAGAGTTACAGGTGTTATAACCCTACTTGGTGCTAACCAGAGTTCTCTTCTTAACCATGGTTTGAAGACAGTTTACCAGCCCTGGTTAAGATTGAGCCTGGTTTTTTTAACCATTGTTATTGTAAACTGTAAACCATAGTTAAAGCTATTGAGGGAAGCAACATGGGATTCATGTCAGTGAGAAGCCTCCATTCCCAAAGTTGGTTTTCAGTTTGCAAACCACAGTGTGCAGAAATCAGTGCTATAGCCTCATCAGGCCTTTGAATACTTGCTGCAAGGTTTCAAGTTTAAAGACAACATAAAGGAGGAGAGGAGGCATTTAAACAGAGGTTGGATGGTCCTCTGTCAGGGATTCTTTAGCTGTGATTCCTGCATTGCAGGCAGTTGCATTAGATGACCCTTGGTGTACCTTCTAACTCTACAATTATATGAAAAGGGGGACTGGTATAAGTTTACTCACATGCAGTGGTTGTTCCCACCCACTGCATATACCAAGTCACTATTGTGGGGTGGGTTGTTAAACAGATCTCCAACAACCCTGTGTTTTTTCTTATATATGACTTCAGGTGATACAATAGGATTTTTGCTGGACCTACAAGACAAGAAAATGATCTTTTATTTAAATGGGAACCAGCTTCCTGCTGAGAAGCAAGTCTTTTCTTCTGCTGTGTAAGTATGTGGCCCTTGTGAAAGCAGTGAAAAATTAATAGCAAGTTTTAAGATCCAGATAACAATAAAATTAAGTCTAAAAGGCCAGGGGGACATAAAACCACACTTGCCAGATGCCATAAGAACAACAGAATAGGGTTCCAGATGGACCTCTTTGTAGAGAGCATTCCATAAGTGAGGTGCCACCATTGAGAAGACTTTCTCTCTGGGAGGCGCCTGCCTCACCTAAGATATGGGGTACCTGGGTAAGGCCCTCAATAGAACATATAGGTTAGATACAGAGACAGGTGGCTCTTCATATACCCTGGTATTAAGCCATAAACAGCTTTAAAGGTCAAAGCCAACATGTTGACTCGACGACTGGATGCCAGTTCAACTGGTGCAACACCTGTATAATAGTTGTCACTAGAACTTAGCATTTATGTATTGCATTTATATCCCACCTTTCCTCTAAGGAGCTTGTAGTGGCTTACACACGCCTCCCACTCTCCATTTTATCATCACAACAACTCTGAGGTAGGTTAGGCTGAGACAGAGTGGCTGACTCAAGGTCGCCCAGTGGGCTTCATGGCTGAGTAGAATATGAAAACTAGTCAATCACATCCTAGTCTAGTACTCTAACCACTACACTACTCTGGCTCCAGCATTGTTTCCAAAAAGTCTTCAAAGGGAGCACTGCAAGCAATGGGTTACAGTAGTCTTAAATTGTAGATTGTCAGAGCATGGATTATGGATGCTTTGCTATCTCTGTCCAGGTACAGCAGGCCCACCAGCCTAAGCTGATAAAAGCCACTCGGTGCCACAGGAGCAAACTCGTGGATCTCAAGCAACCTCCCCAAGCTGTCTAACCCTGTTGCTTCAGGGGGAGCACAGTCCTGTATATTACAAGATGAACATTGCTCCCCTGATTTGATATGATTTGATAATAGACCATTTGAAACTATTCCTCTTCCCATCCCCCAAGCATGTAGAACTGCTATAACCTTGGAGAATGCCCACAAACATTCTAATTGCTCAGGAGGAATGTGTTGACAAATCTGCAGCGGTGGGTTGACCATGCTGGAGACTAGAGTAAAACGCAGAAGCTGGATAGTTGAAAGAGTAGGGACAGCGTGAGCAGTGTGGTCATAAGCAGAGTTGTTATGTAAAGAGGTTTGAGAGGCAAATTACTCAGCGGACAAAGAAGTGGGAATCTGAGTGAGCAAAGAGTGGAATTCAGGCTGGGTATTGGAAGCAGGCAGGGAATAGATATGCAAGGGGCCTGTTTGAAGCTGCATGTTAAGGATCTAAGCAAACCTGGGAAGGGGGCAGTCTTCGGTCTGCAACCCATCTACTTGGGCTAGCCAGCCCTTCCTATCCCTAACTAGAAAACAAGCCATGACTTGTAGTAAAGACAGCATGGTGTAGGGGTTAGTGTGTTGGACTAGGATCTTGGAGACAAGGCTTCAAATCCCCACTTGGCCATGAAGCTCACTGGGTGACCTTGGACCAATCCGTTCTGCACACCTGGATGATTCTACAAGTCATGGGTATTTCTCAGTGTAATACAAAGTGCCACCGTGTGTCGGATGCTTTGCATGGTGGTGCTCTAATATTATTCTCCCTTGATTTTGCAGGTCTGGCTTCTTCCCTGCAGCTAGTTTCATGTCTTATCAACAGTGTGAGTTCAACTTTGGAGCAAAACCTTTCAAATATCCACCATCAGCTAAATTTAGCACCTTTAATGACTATGCCTTCTTGACAGCAGAAGAGAAAATCATTTTACCAAGGTAATATTTTCTACTTGTCAGTGCATGGAACTGAAGGCCGAGATTACAGTCTTGTTCTTTGTAGGTTTTGACCCATCTGGATATGATAAATAAAGGACATCCTGTGAAGTTTTATCAAAAGCCTGTAGTTTCACACACTGCAGCCTTTCACAATGGAAGAACCACTTAACCTCGGGACTGTTTTGTGTGTTGATTGTAGAAAATGCAGCTTGAAAATGTAATGTGGGAAATGCTGGATACCTGTCATTCTGAGAGTTGTATCTAAGGCAAACTTAAGGTAAAGGTACCCCTGCCCGTACGGGCCAGTCGTGTCCGACTCTAGGGTTGTGCACCCATCTCACTTAAGAGGCCGGGGGCCAGCGCTGTCTGGAGACACCTCCGGGTCACGTGGCCAGCGTGACGAAGCTGCTCTGGTGAGCCAGCACCAGCGCAGCACACGGAAACGCCGTTTACCTTTCCGCTATAAAGCGGTACCTATTTATCTACTTGCACTTAGGTGTGCTTTCGAACTGCTAGGTGGGCAGGAGCTGGGACCGAACGACAGGAGCTCACCCCGCCGTGGGAATTCGAACCGCCGACCATGCGATCGGCAAGCCCTAGGCACTGAGGTTTTACCCACAGCGCCACCCGCATCCCAAACTTAGGTGCAAACTTAGGTGCAGATTATTCCATGAGAATGAATCATGTAAACAAAAGCCAACTTTCATAGATTAGATTAGTTCTGTGCTATTTATCCAGTTTCTGTGATTCAGGTTTTTGACTAACATCTGAAGTTTTGTTGATTGGTTTATTAGGGGAACGAGAGAAAGGCTAGTTGGGAGGGGGAGCTTTCCATATTCTGCCTAGACCCTCCCCAACTATAAGGGGTAACAACTTCTTCCAGTGGTGGTAGCTTTAAACAAGAAGTTTAGATCTTCAAGATGCCCGATTTCATGCTTAGTATCAAATCTGTGTACTTGTTTGATAAACTAGTGGATATGCAGAGCATTAATTCTGCAGTGGCCTTAGTTAACAGAACTGAATAAATTGTTAATTGAATTTGTTTTTGTTGTTTTTGTTTCCATTGCTGCACATACTAATTCATAGATATTAAACTGAGATTCATTGTCGTGTAAGGTGATCATGTCCATAGTCAAATACATTTGATATGAGCAGGATCCCTTGAAACTGTTTCTTTGAACTGAATCCTGCTGATTTTTCCTCTTCAGACATAGACGACTGGCCTTGCTAAAACAAGTGAGCATTCGAGAGAATTGCTGCACTCTTTGCTGCGATGAAATAGCAGACACAGAACTCAGGCCATGTGGTCACAGGTATGGTGGATAATTATTCCTTTTATTTATCATGGTTTTGTAGCTTCCCCTGACTTACATGCCCTAGTATGATAAGCTGTAATTGGTCTTGGAGGGATTATTTATTTATTTATTAAATTTGTATACTGCCCTTCATCCAAGGTATACAGGGTGGTTCACAACATAAAAATTTAAAAATTTAAAATGAGAAAATATACAATAAAACAAAAACCAATAAACGCCCCCTCTCACAAACACATTTAAAAGACTATACAGGATATATATTCTAAAAGGTGGATTAAAAATACTATTATTAATTATTCATAACATTATTATTATTATTATTATTATTATTATTATTATTGATTTTCTATTTTGTAAAGCTTTGCAATCCAGGTTAGACCTGGTCTGCATATGTAGTAGGATGAGGTGGTAGAAGGGATTCTGCCAGTTCAGGCTGCAGGTGAGGAATGTCACTTTTGTTTTTTCTTCATCATCAAGAGGGGAAGCCTGCAAAGAACAACAAGCACAGCAAGGAGGAGATGTTCCAGATCAGCCTGTTTCTTGCTGTACTAGGTTTCTACTAGCAGGGATTTTGTTGCTGCTGCTGCTGCTGCTATACCTGCAGTATGATGTGGTACTGTCCACGCTTCTCCCTTAAGATTCTACTACCCACCTTATTCCCCCACTGCTTCATGTGTACATAAACCCTATAAGTCTTGAGGCAACAAAGAAGATGGATTTTACTGCTTAGAATATGTGCATTGTCTCTGTACTATTAACTGTCCACAACAAAATTAGCATTGGCAAATCATGTGAGTTGTGACACACCCACCTGCCCATTCGGTGTTCCCATGGAGAATTACATGACATAAGTTGCATCCATGCTCAGAGTAGTCCCATGAAATAAATAGGCACAACTAGCTTTGGTCCATTATTTTCAGTTGGTCTACCTGGATTAAAAGCTATTTGGATACAGCTCCATTCCCACAACAAAAATGAATGGATTTGTTTGTTTGTTTGTTTTTAAAAAAGAGCAAAGACATTTCTGTTGTTCCTGATGAAGAGTTCTGTGTAACTTAAATGTTTGCATACTATTGCCTGGACAGAAGTTGCCCTAGTAACCCATCTTATATCGTTGTCCTTCTTTTAGTGACTTGTGCATGGAGTGTGCCTTGCAACTAGAGACCTGCCCTTTGTGTCGACAAGAAATACAGACTCGGGTCCGACAGATCGCTCACATTTCATGACACGTGGGGAACTGTATCTCGTGAACTTCCCTCTGATCCATTCCATTCAGCGCTAGAAGGGAGAAAGGCAGCTCTGACCGAGCCACACACAAGCTGAGAGCCCCAACTGTGGCCCACTTTCACGCTGAACAGTAGACGGAAACCTGTTAAGTCGCCCTGCTGCCTCAGAGCTGTGGAATGTTCTTTTAGCAGAAATGAAAGTTGGCGGTGAGACTTGAGCTACCTGTTGGTTTGTCTCCTACCAAGGTGGCTGGAGAGTCTGCCTCTTAAGTTTGTCCCCTGTCCACTCTTCCCATTTCCTTTCTTCCGCTGCTCCTTCCACTTGCCCATCACATGTCAGCAGTTTTGCACTGGAAACATAAGGCTCATAATCTCCTCTAATGGGGGCATATCTGTCTTCTAAAGCCTTTATTTCAGCAGCCGTCACACATTTAAAAACAACACCAATATTTCTTGGTCAATGTAGCTTCCTGCTGGTCAGAGACCCTCTGTATTTTGGACTGTTGACCTGAAAATGTTCAGACTTGAATTCTACATGAAGAAACTGATTTGTAAAGGAGGTGTTGAGATTCTAGAAGAATCCAATTTTTTTTTGATAACTCTGTGATTCCAAAGAACATTGATTCTTCCACTACCACCACCTTATTTTTAAACTGCAGAAAACTGCATTTTCATTCATAGTGTTTCTAGTTCCTTCAATTTCAGTACCTACATTGTTGTCAAAAAAGAAGTGATTTTTCAGGAGGGATTCTTATAACTACAGTGCCAGACTGGAGATAGCTTGTTATTCTGGGTATTTTAAAAGGTACCATTGATTTCTCTCTCTCTCTCTTTTTAAATTCAGTATTTGTTCTTGCAAGTTCTGTACGTTTTGAAAGTATTGAGCTATAGAACTCAAGATCTGGAAAGAAAATGTGGAGAAACTCTTGTTAATATTGTTTTGAAAGAAATACATGTTGTTTGAATAGCAAGTCAGCCTAGGTTGACTAAACTACCATTTCATTTACATAGGCTCTAACAAACTTAGTCTGCCAAGCTCATGCCTATCCACTTGGCAAAACATGTGGGAAGGAGGGACACACAGTGCAACTTCTAGGGTTGCACAAACCCATATCAAAAAGCTCATGGGGCAATGTGCATATTGTGCCTCTGTGCAAGTGCAGAAAATTCACTGAAATCAGCTGTGTGAGAATCTCAGCCTTAAAAGAAAGTAAGTTTCTAGTTATGGTTGCAAGGTACCTTTGGAAGGATATGTGAATAATGTCTGTTGAATTCTTAAGATGTTTAGACATTGTTGAATCACATTTCCAGTGGTTCAGGATGGGGCTTCAGTTTCCCGTCTTAATTTATAGAGTGCTGAATCCAGCTTTTCTTGATTCATTAAAAACAAAAAGCAGTTGCAACAATTATTTATTTTATTAAAATTTCCTACCCGCTTTTCTTTATAAAGGAGTTCCAAAGCTGGGTACAATACCAATGAATAAAACCATAAACTGGGATAGCTCAGTTGGTCAAGCTTGAGACTCTTCTCAGGGCTGTGGGTTTGAGCCCCACGTTGAGCAAAAGATTCCTGCATTGCAGGGGGTCGGACTAGATGACCCTCATGGTCCCTTCTAGCTCTACAGTTCTTTGCTCAAACAAACAATAAAACAGTAACGTCAGCTGAGAGCACATAGACAGTTTAATAATACCTGTTTACAAAGTGTAGCAACACAGATAATCCAAAACCTGGGTGAACAGTAGATCTTCAGTAGTCACTGAAAGCTGACAACTCAGTGCCGGGCAAGTCCACATAGTCTTATCCATGGCCCTGCCCAGTTTTCAATTAGTAATTTGTACCCCTAAATATGTTTCTTTAGAAAGGAACCTTCAGTTGAACTTTCAGCTAATAGACTGGGGTCCTTGCAAGTGGTTCTGTCTTCTCAGATGGGTTTTGGTCTTTCACCTTCCTGAACTGAAACCCTTCTCATTAGGTATCAAAATACTATTGAACCTGCAAGGAGTTTTAAAAGCTATGACAGGAAATGCCAAGTTCTGATCTGTATTTTCCTGATGGACCATGATCATGAGGTGAGGAAGCGTAATTTCCTGAGCCCTGTGGAAGATTGAGTTCACCTTAGGCAAGAAGTCAGGGTTGGGTCATAGGACCATATTGCCCAGGTGGCAGATAGAGAGTTCCTTCCAGACCAAGAGGACCCTGAGTTTCCCCACTTTTGTTGCTGAGCTCCCGGCAGTAGATGGAGTGCAGTGGTTTGAAGGGTGAGGCCACAACAGCCTTGAAAACGAGGATAAGTTCAGCTCTGGAACCCAGGCGAAAGATGAGCAGAGCCTCTTGGAGGAAACATGCAACCTTTGAGCCTGCAAGGAGCCTCCATGTGCTGCCAATAACACTACCCAGAATGGTGCCTGCTGCTTGAGTGTGCTGGGGGCCAGGCCCTGGTCTAGCCCGTAGGAATTCAAGAACACTGGGTGCACATGCATCAGCAGAGTGGACTTGCTCTTGCATCAACTTGTTGAAGACTTTCTATGGCATCTTGTAAATTTGATTGGTGGAGACCCTTTGAGAGGCAAGGATAGTCTGTTTCACCCAGGGAAGAGCCACGCTTAGCAATTCAGCATCTGCTTTGCATTTAGAGGGTTCCAGGGTCAATCCCTGGCATATCAAGGTACGGCTGGAAGAGACACCTGCCTGAAACCTGGGGAGCCGCCACCACTCAGTGTAGACAATACTGAGTTAGAGGGACCAATGGTTTGGCCTGGTGTAAGGCAGCTTCTTATGTACCTTACCCAAGTACCCCCCATGTCTTGGCATGTGCCACTCGGCATCCAGATCCAGCATTTTCATCTCCATATTAATCCAGGAAAGTACCTCCAGGTGTATTGGGGGGGGCTGTTGCCCATGATAACCCTTCATTGGGCTACCGGCCTGACAGGCTTTGTTTGGACTGATGTCCCTGATTCAAGACCACTCTCCTTAACCCCTGCCCAAGCCCTCTGTTCTCCCTCTTCCCACATTCCTAGCAGGATGCAAAATGGTGCCATTTCAGAATCACTGCCTCCAACATGGTTCCTGCATAGTTACCCTCATAGTCATCCTTGGAAGAGGAGATAAGATGGTTGTACAAAGTTCAGGGCTTTAGAATCTGGTCTCACCTGAAAGGGCGAGGAAGGTGTATGAATCTTCTAGTGGCCTCTTTCCCCAACACCGTGGATCATTCACCACATCTTATGGCTGTGCATCTTCTGCTGGCTTACTGGGGCTTGGGACCATAAGCCTGCAAAGTATTCTACTGCTTTGTGTTTGAGGATGTGTTGCTGCCTTTCGCTCTTCTTGTCAAGCAAAGATGCTGAGTTATGTATAGGCAGTTCCTTAGGTGGGTGACAATTCCCTTCTGTACCAGACAAGCTGTACCTCCCACCCAGGGGTTTATTAGGTTGGCTGTAGTCAAAGGTGGCAGGCTGGGGGGGGGGGTGTTATGCACAAAAATCAGAGGTCTCCACTCTACCTAAGAGCTTGCCTGCTCCCTGGGCTGCTCCTCCACTCCCCTGGGCAGCCAGGCAAGGTGCAGAGGCTCCTCTGGGTGCCTTGGTGGAGTAATTCAGTTGCTGGTGTGGGGCATCACGGCAGCCCTGTGGGACCCTCTTCCCAGTCACCCTGTGACATTATTAGACACAAAGCAAAATTTGAGTTTCTTGTCCATTGTCTCGCTGGCTTCAGAGGCACTGATACAGCCGCTTGCCAAGGACACAAAGGACAGGGGGCACCGATACAGCTCCTTGCCACTTGCCCTGGCTATGGTCTTGGTGCCTAAACAGCCCCCCATTCCAAGAAGAGTAGAGTTGGGCAGTGCCCCTTGAACAATGGGTGTGTAGGGGGCTGCTGGGCTGAGGGTGGGTCAGAAAATCTTCCTTCTGTGTGATCTTAAATAAACTTGTTAATTCATTTTGAGATATTTCCACCTGTTCTTAAGGATACCTTTTCACGGGGGAATGGAGGGGAGTGGCAAAGTTTTATCTTGCAGTTCAAGTAAGCACTAAAGTCAGGATGCTGTCATATTAGCAAATCAACCAGAGATCAACAGCAATCTAATGGTTAAGTGTTCAAAGCAAGCCTTCCTCGCTGACCCTACCATAAAAATCACATGATTTTGTGTTATGCTTGTGTAACAAGCACATTATTGTGGGTCCTCAGTCTGTAACTACTAAGTCAACAATGTCAGCTGACATGTTTATTATGCTTCTGTCCTAGCTTGGCATGTGGCTCCTGACAGGTGGGTGGGTGGGTGTGAATGTTTTGCAAACAGGCAGGAAAGCCCTCCAATGTAAGAGACGTGTGTCATCCCATTTCACTGGAGAACATGAAAGCAAACAAGAATCTAGTCAGGATGACCCTCTCCCAACAGATTATAATCTCAAGCAAGATAAATAGTATACACATACACCCACAATGTGAAAACTGCTTTCCGGAGGGATTCGTCACTATACAACACCATTGCCCATGTTTGGTCAACCACGAAGCTAATTGGGTGGCCACTGCCTCTCAGTCTAACCTACCGCACAGGGTTGTTGGGAATTAAATGTCATGGGATAAAAAGGTGGGATGTAATTGCAATAAACAAAAGAAGAACCCACTGGTTTGGCCACTGACAGCAGGATGCTGGGCAAGCAGAGTCTTTAGCCTGCTCCGGGAGACAGGCCCGCCTATGTGAAGACACACTTCAGATACAGGCACCGAGCTCGGCGACTTTTAAACTCGACGCGTAGTTACCGTAAACACTGAAACTTTCGCAGGAGGCAAGATGGCCACCAACTTTAATACCGTTAAAAGAAGATTGAATAAATTAACGGAGGAGGGGGCTAGTATGCACAATGGCTATGGCAAGCTCTGCCTCCACTGTCAGAGGCAGCAATGCCTTCTGAATACCAGCTGCAGGAAACCACAAGAGGGTGAGAGGGTTAATATCCTCAAATCCTGCTTGGAGACGCCGCAGGCGTGGGTCGGCCACTGTAAAAATGATGCTGGACTAGGTGGGTCGCCTTTAGCAAGTTCCAGGAAGGATCTTAGCTGTTGCTGCTGCCGCCGCCGCCTACTTTGCTCGGCTCAGCCAAACTGGGCACCGCCACGTGGTCGGTGAGGCTGGAAGGGAGAGAACCGCCCCCCCCCCCGCTTGCGCTTGCGCTTGCGCGCTTCCTCTGATTGGTTCTCTCCTTCTACGTTTCTTATTGGTCGGGAGAGAAGTCCCGCCTAGCCTCCTGTGATTGGCTCAGTTCGTTCAGCCTCACAATGATTGGTCAGGTAGGTGTGCGTTACCGGAAGAGGCCGTTTCCTAGGCAGCAGGAGGAGGAGGAGGAGGAATAAGAAGAAAGAAAGAAGCGACGGCGGCGTTTGCAACGAACTCTATGGGGGAGGCCGAGGCCTTCGTCCCGCTCGTCGGTCTGCGGAGTGACGAGCTGGCGCTGCCTGCAGGAGGACAGGTAGGAGCCAAGACGGAAGGGGGTGGCTTTGACTAGGACTCCTGGGTCCCCTGTGGCCCTGAGAGGAGCCCTGCTAGGTAGGCCGGGGGTCCTGGCTCGCTCCTGGCCTTCAGAGGTAGACTGAGTCAGTATGTGGAGGCTCTATCTGCTGGCTAGGGACTTGGAACTGCTCTGCCAGGTCAGGCCAACCTTGGGTCCAGTAGGGCCCCTGCCCTTCCCGCCCCACACAATGGCAAACCAGAACCCCAGAAGCAGGTTATTTGATTGATTGTATTTATATCCGATTTTTTTCTCCAGTAAGCTAAATGTGTCATGTATGTAGTTCTCTTTTATGCTCCACAACAACCTTGTGAAGTAGTTTGGGCAGAGGTGAGAGAGTGGCCTCCAAGGTCACAGTGAACCCGGATTTGTCACGATTTGAACCCGACTCTCTCCCAGGTGCTGGTGCTTACAGCTTGGTCTGGGCGTGCAGCAGAATTAGGTGGTAGTAAAATGAACTGTCCCAACTACTTCTGGAGGATCACATTTTTAAAAAATAATTCTCATCAACAAAAACTCCCTGCAACAGGAAAGCTAGTACAGTAGAGAGTGGACTGATCTAGAACTTTCCCCCCTCACAGCCAAGAGAACCCAAAAGCTCCTGGACCGTATAACAGAGGCCCTTGATAATTGCAAACATGCAAGACTTCTTGTACGTCTGGCAAACCCTAGTTGTGATAAGTGGCACCCACAATGTATTTGTGAGTCTATAAATTTTGTGGATTTCTGCTGCCCGTTTCCAAATCCAAAGTCTTGGGATTCCATACCTTCAGATCCACCAATTCCAGTGCAATGGGATAAGTTGCTTTTGTTTCAGGCAAACCTATTCTGCTGCTTACTTGTATGTATAGTTCATTTGTTGCCCACTGTTTTCCAGGAAATAGAAAACAAGTCATAATCAATGGTTATTTCTAGATGTGGAGGTGGTGTAATATTTTCAGACAGGCTTGAGACCTGACATTGAAGACAGGATGACTGACAGCCAAGTATTACACCCTGAGGATTAAAGTATTTAAAGGTTTACATTATAAAACAGGTGACAAAGCCACAATGGAAACTTTAGAAGAAGAAAACTTTGGTGTGTCCATGTAAGTATATTTCTGTTTCTGCACTTTGAAATGTTAAAGCCAATAGGAAGTTTTAACAGTTAGGAGGTTTTTTTTTTATGGCATGTGCTTCTGTGGACTTGAGCCTAGATGATAGAATAGGCTCTCTAGTCCACAAAAGCTTATGATGCAATATTTCTGGTACTTTTTAAGGTGGGAACATTGCTTGGTGATATGTTATTTTCTAACTTTATTAATAGTTGGTTTCAGTGTTAATTTTTAAACTACAATCAAGACTGACTCATAAAGATTTTTCTTTCTCATGGATATAGATCAGTAATGGATCAATGATAGATCAATGCCTTCCAAATATTGTTACACTATAGCTTCCATCATTCCTGGCCAAATCTGTAGGGCCATAGGTTGCTCACCCCAGAAATTGATTTCCATCCTCCTTTTTAAAAGCCATCTAAGCTAGTGGCCATCATCACATCTTGAGGTGGTAAATCCCACAAGTTAATAAAGCATTGTGTGATGATTTAGTTAAGTGCTGTATATAGAAGTACTTTATTTGTCTGTTACAAATTTCCTGTCAGTTAAGTTCAGTGGATAACCCCAGCTCTTTTATGGACCCTGACTTTTAATATAATGCCTGAATCAAGCCAAAGCGATTCTGCTTTTGAATTGCAAAAACAACTATATTCTGATCTGGAGGGACTGCTGTTATCCCTTCTGTATGTGGCTAGATGGCAGCAAGTAGCAACAGTGTCTCCTCCACCAGGCTTGGGTTAGGAACAGCCTCTTCCTTGCTTCCATTAGGACAGGGATGTCCAACAGGTTGATCGCGATCTACTGGTAGATCCCCAGGAGGTTTTGGTAGATCGCGGTCGATCGCTGGGTCCCTTTGCTTAGCGTTGGTAAAATAGAATCCAGCCCCGCCCTCCATTGTTGCACGATCTGCAGAATGGAAGACGGAGTTTACTCAGTGAGGCTGTTTGTCTCCCCAGCGATCTGTTGGTGAGTGGCTGTTTCCCTTTCTCCCTAAAAATGGCCAACAGCTTAGCTTTGAACTCCCCCAAAACAGGGCTTTCCTCCTCCATAAAAAAAGTTCAACAATTGACATCACTGCCATTTTTTAATTCCGTGAGTAGATCACAGTCTCTTGGGAGTTGGCCACCCCTGCAGTAGAACATCAGCTGTTAGGCACATCACTCTTATTCCCACTTAGTGATGAGGGAGAAGAAACTGAAGGATGATGCCTTATCTAAAACCTTGCCTAGTTTCTTCATGGATAAAGTACAGGTTGAACCCAGTCCAAGTCTGAGATCAGACTTGGTTAAATCTTGTCTGCAATGCAGAAGAACGTCACCATAAAATAATTCTTTGAGTAACTTGTGTTTGAATAAACAACAGCTTCTCTCTGAATGTAGCGGAATCTGGGGAAGAGGACTCAGTTCAGGTAGAACAGAGCATTACTGCAGTGGCTTAGAGACTTAGAGCTGTAAGCCAGGAAGTCTCTGGTATGAAATCTCACTTTGACAGCAAATGCACTTAAGATAGCCATAGGCAAATGGTTCTTTCTCTTAGTTTGAAGTTATTCTCTGTAACAGGGGGGTGATAGTGTACCTCCACTTTACAGGACTGATGAAAACATTACTGAGTAATATATGTGCTGGAAGTATTTTGTATGCTCATGTGTGCCATAAAGGCAGTAAGGATTATTCTGTGTGCCCTGGATTGTTATGTTTATGTGTATTTCACCTTCCATAGTAACCTGAATCCAACTTGGCTGTCTCTCATTTTAGCTCTTCACCATCGGATGCTGAGTTTGATGCTGTTGTTGGCTATTTAGAAGATATAATAATGGGTATGTTTTTCTTAAGGTAGCACTGCTCAAAAGGGACTGCCAAGGTGCATCTCTTCTTATTGTTATTTGTGAACACACTGGGATATTTTAGAGGAATTGTTTTGATCTTATCTTCAGTTCTGATTCTGGGGTGGATTTTGTCAGCACTGGTTTTTATACAAATACATCATAGTCTAGCCCAGACCTTCCCCAACCTGAGATACGAACTATCTAAAAAGCACTACAGTGGTACCTCAGGTTACATACGCTTCAGGTTACATACACTTCAGGTTACATACGCTTCAGGTTACAGACTCCACTAACCCAGAAATAGTGCTTCAGGTTAAGAACTTTGCTTCAGGATGAGAACAGAAATTGTTCTCCAGCGGCGCGGCAGCAGCAGGAGGCCCCATTAGCTAAAGTGGTGCTTCAGGTTAAGAACAGTTTCAGGTTAAGTATGGACCTCCAGAACGAATTAAGTACTTAACCCGAGGTACCACTGTAGGTTGAGGGGAAGTCGGTCTAGATTATATTATTGTTTATGTATTTTGCAAGTTGCTTTGAGGGCTCCTGAGGTGCCAAAAGAAGAGATAGCGAACTAATAAATAAAATAGATACCCACCACTCTCTTCTTTGTGCAGTATCGGCACGTGGGAAAGTGTTCAGTGGTTGGCATTTGTGCCTGGCTGAAGGTGGAACTTGTATTCTTTTCCTTGGACATGGAAGCAGAGTTCTCATGTAAATTTTCTTCTTATTCTGCCTGCTTTTCCTTTCTTGCCTCCACCTACTGCATCAAGTTCTGAACAAGGTTCCTGCTCCTAAACAGCTGGACCCCATGATGAGAGCTCCTGTTGAGGGCTGGGGATGCACCACAATGTTTTATTGTGGGTCCACACTTGTTGATAGATACTTGCCTTTCAATGAAACATTCAATAAATCGGTGGTGCCTGAGGTACTGCCCAGTAGGTGGCTTGAAACAACCAGTCAATCCCTTTCATGGAGAAGTGCTTGACAGCCGTGTTGCAATTACAGTGGCAAAATTTATGCCTGATTAATTGATTCTGGATGAAGGATTGGAACTGTGTGTATGCTGACTTCTCCAGGGAACTGATGTTGCCTCATATGTTCATTATCCAGCTCTGTTCCCTGGGTGAAACTTGCCAAAAGTCTTTTAATCAGGCTCTGCCTTGTTTGTGTCAGTGAGAGAAACTCTTCATCCTGCCAGAGGCTTAGCGAGCTAGCAAGATAGAGAAGCTACTGCATGGATTGGGCCTCCGTCAGCTGCAGCTGTGCTGTCGTTGCAGCTATGAGGGTCACCATGTACTGGATCCTAAGCTGAGGACAGCACACCAATGAATGTAGTCACTGTCTTTCGACTGAATGCAACTGTGTTGTGATTTCAGATGATGACTTCCAGCTTATACAAAGGAACTTCATGGATAAATACTACCAAGAGTTTGATGATACGGAGGAAAATAAGCTCATCTACACTCCTATTTTTAATGAATATGTGAGTGCATATGTCCTGTTTTGATCGTTATCACTTGCATATGATGGTGGGCTTTGTCTTTTGAACATTTGCCACCCTGTGAAAGAAATTGGATTCTGTGTGTTTCTTGCTGCACACAGCAGCAAGTGTGACCTGTGAACCATAAGAGAGAGAGCAGCCCTGCTTCAGGATGTTGAGGCTCCGCTCACACCCTCAGAGGGACCTGAGACCTCAGTGCAGGTCTGAAGGCCAGCCTTCATCAACCTGGTGCCCCTTCACTGTTTGTTTGTTTTAAACTATAACTCCCATAAGCCCCGACCAGCATGGATGTGAGCTGTAGTCCAAAACATCTGGAGGGCACTAAGTTGGTGCTGCTGACCATCCAGTGTGCTTCTCTGGGCCGTACCATCACTTTGTTCACTGTGCCAGGAAGGTTTTCCTGCTACAAAGTTTGCGCAGTGACTAGAGGGGAGGGGCCCAGGCTGGTTGCTATCCCAACATGGCATCTTTTGTAACAGCTTAGCTTCTTGTGAAAGTTTTCATAATTGTTGCAGATTAAAGGGTTGTTAAGGGCACAGCTGCAAGAGCTGGTTTAAACGCTGGCAACACTGATTGCTGCTGAGGCACATGTGGTTTCTGAAAGATCCTTATGGTAGCTTGCAAGTCTCTAGTTGGGTTCTGAAATTTGGGGGTTATATCCAATGATGGTCAGGGTACTCCCATCATTAGTCGTGCTCATTGATTTCAGACATATAGTAATTTTGGTGGGTCTGCCCAGAGTAAGGACCCATAGTGTTCTTATAACTTGAGGGTAATGAACAGAACAAATTACTTCCTCAAGGCAGAGACTCAGCTCTACATATTTTAACTGGTTGTATCCTGTTGTTACCTGTAACATTTCTCATATTTGGATCCAAAATGTGGTCCAGCCATTGACAGTCTAGTAAGCTGCACCTGATCTGTCTAGATCAAAACACCTCTTTGTGAGATGGTAAGCTACAATATTTGCTCCCTGTCATCCTCAGCTGGAAAATAATAATACAGTGCTTCTCACTTCAGATATGCTTAGTTGAAAAATACATTGAAGAAAAGCTCTTGGACAGGATTCCTGGTTTCAGCATGTCTGCCTTCACCTTGTCATTACAGTAAGTTGGATCCTTTGCTTTCCATTTCTTTTTCATCTTCATTGCATTAACTTGTTCTTAAGGCTCCTTATTGAGTAGGGTTGGGCTTTGAATTTTGGGAGCATCTTCTCTCAGATGTGAATCCACCTATTTTAAGCTCTGCTGCAGACTCCTTGCCCCAGGGTCTGCCCTTCTCTGAAATGCAGTCATGTGGTCCTCTGAGCAGGGAGCTCTCTATAATGTCAGTACATCTGTGAAATAGCATCCCCTAAGAGTGTCCACAGAATGGCGCTGTGGGTTAAACCACAGAGCCTAGGACTTGCTGATTGGAAGGTCGGCGGTTCGAATCCCCGCGACGGGGTGAGCTCCCGTTGCTTGGTCCCAGCTCCTGCCAACCTAGCAGTTCGAAAGCACCTCAAAGTGCAAGTAGATAGATAGGGACCGCTCTCCGGCGGGAAGGTAAACGGCGTTTCCGTGTGCTGCGCTGGTTCGCCAGAAGCGGCTTAGTCATGCTGGCCACATGACCCGGAAGCTGTCTGCAGACAAGCGCCAGCTCCTGGCCTCTTGAGCGAGATGAGCGGGCAACCCCAGAGTCGGTCACGACTGGACCTGATGGTCAGGGGTCCCTTTACCTTTACCTTTGTGTCCAATGGACCTTACCCCCTTTTTCCCATTTAGATATAATGTAAAACAGGAAGAAGACCGCTGTACATCATTCATATATGTCATGCACTGAGGCCCAAATGTTCATGATATGCACAAATGCAAACAATGGGCTATTAAGTCACTTCCACGAAAAGAGAAGACTGTTCTATGCTTAGCCAGTGGTGCCCATCCCAGCCTCCTTTGCAGATCAAGGCCCATGCAATCCCATGCCATTTATAGAAACCTTCTTGAAGATTTCATATTGTTGATCATTCCTGAGGGCTGCATAATGAAAACTGATGTTAAATGGATATTCTGCTGCTTAGCGAGCAGATCCATCCCTTTGTTTAGTAACAGCTTAGAGCCTGTTTGCCCAGTATTCCCTCCATCACCACCCTTGGGCACACACAGCTGAGGAAAAGCTGTAAATCAGACATCCATGAATGCAGTTGGCAGAAGTGGCTGTGATTGCAGCAACAGCATTCCCACTCCCCTTCAGATTCTGAAGCTGCAGAAATTTCTGTGGGCTGCTATCTGTGCATTTTCAAAGGGGGGGGGGCGATGACGGAAGCACCCCCTGATGCAAGACAGAATAATGATTAAGCTTAAAATCTAAGATGTGTACAACTTTGAACTACATTTTCTTTGGATAATTTCTTGGTGACAGTGTGTGAAGCAGCCCTTAGTCCCATTATTTTCAGTACAAATTACTCTGTGCAAGTGGCTAATTTAAAGAGAAAATGCAACTTTTTTTGATAGGCATTTTCCTCTTTAGCTTTTGTAATGCATCTTTTCTCAATGCCTTTTAATATCTAGAATGTCTTGCTGTTTTAATGATGAATCTAAATCCTTCAATTACAGGCAGCACAAGGATGAAATTGCAGGGGATATTTTTGACATGCTTCTCACATTTACTGACTTCCTCGCATTTAAAGAAATGTTCCTGGATTACAGAGCTGTAAGTACTTCAAAGCTCAGAAAGCGCACACTGAATGGCCAGGCAAGTTGGTTTAATTGGGAGTGACTCTTGGGCATATTGAGCAGAGAGAGATCACTTTCCCAGTTCTGCTTCCTAAGAGCCTTTTAAGTGAGGAAACGAAAAACTGATTTTGGGGCTTTCTGCATGCAAAGTAATTGGGGCTCCTTCCCAGCTTCTGCGTGAGAAAGAGGACCTCAGTTCAGGAAGAGAGGGTTGGCCCTGGTTTTCGGTTTGGCCAAACTATAGCACTCTGGATGGGGTGGAGTGGTTTTCAAATGTAACTTGGGGTGGTGGTTCTTTTTTTATCAATGGGGAAACTGAGACTAAAAGTATTATGACCAAAAAGTTGCTCATTGACAGTTTGATAAGACACCATTTTTGTTAATTTGCATAGCTATCAAGATTCATGTCTTAAGTTGGTATAGGTTTTGGGGGTTGGGGGGGGTCTCAAAATGCTTTTAGTGAACCTCAGTGGTGAAATGTGTGTCCACTGCACAAGTTTCGCTCCAGAATTTTTTTTTTTTTGAAAATACTGGAAACCTGTGGTCCAAAACAAGTCAGTTTGAAGTAATGCATGTGAAACCCCAAAACCAGTTGCATTTAACAATTCAGAACTGTTGTTATTGTGAAATCTTAAACACTGATCTTTTAATATTTAGTCTTGATAAGGAGGGTTTGAAATAGCAAAGGGGCCAGTTTCAAAAGGTTGGTTAAGGCAGAAATTGTAAGGGAAAGACCAGGCCAGCTGCAAAAATAATTCTTACTTATTTTGGTAGTGGGGGTGTTCAATGCAGATGCACAGAATCTGAAACTCAACAAGGTTGAAACTCAACATTGTGTATATTGCTCTAAGAAAAATGTGTGCATATGCGCATAATGTGTGTATGTTTGTATGGAGATGGTGTGTAAATTTTTATATATGGCTATCTGTGCCCCTGGTTGTCATGAGGGTTTGCAAAGGCCAGAGCGGCAGAGGGCAAGATGGCAAGGGGAGGGCATGGATTACTAAGGTTACTTGGCATGGCAATAGAGGCTAGGTAGCATGGAGTAATAGTCAAAGGAGGTCTGGCAGCTGTACCAAGGATCAGAACTTGCCCTGGTCAGTAGAAACCCTGCCCAGTCTCCTCTGGCTTCACCCATGGCTACTGTCAGCAACCCAAAAGCTCGGGGGGGGGGGATCATTGCTTATTGATGATGAAAGTTATGATTCTCAGTTTCCATAGCAGGTGCCAGATTCCATGTGGAATTTCTTGCCCACAGCCTTGCAGAAAATAGAAGCCCTGTGTTTCATTACAAAAATGCTTCCTTTTCTGGCTGAAAGCCTGCCATTTAGAAATGCCACCAAACTGAAGTATTTTTGGCATCTCCGTTCTAGGAAAAAGAAGGCCGAGGCCTGGACTTAAGCAGCGGATTCGTGGTGACACCCTTGAGCAAGTCCTCCATGTCGCCTTCCGCAAACAGTCTACGACACTAGCTCTTGCCTCCAAAAGAGAGCTGTCTCCACTTGGGGTGCCCTGAATGCAAAAGCCAGCAGAAGAGATTAGTGTGATGCTGAGGCGTGCAACCCTTATTCCCTCTTGGCAGGCCAATTTTTCGTCTTAGCTGCTCGTTTGAATTGGGCATTTCCACTTGATCAGTGACTAGTATAACTCCAGCCCTGTCTTAGCACTTGGATTTGTTGCTGTGCCAGCCAAAAGGGACTTTATGCCATGGAGGTCAGTTAGTGCCATGGTCTGTTTGAGGGCTGCCGATTTCTTGGAAGGAAAACAAGCACTTCTTCATTGGACAGCAGTGATGGAAAATGAGTGTCAAACGTGGGATGGTTCTAACTGCACCACCTTTTTTGAAGTTCACAATCACAACAAATCGGGGGAAACATGTTAGCGTAGTTCTGAATGCCACATTTTGACTTTCGACAGTAGCACGTGTGTGTTTGATGCGAATATATATATTTAGCATGAAACTGTTATTTGTCAGTTCTCTAGTAATTGTGAATTTGTATCCTTTCCGATTCAGCAGGCTTAGTGGTGTTGCTCTTGTAAGGCCCCCACTTCAGCTGCAGAAGGAAACAGAAAACATGGGATTTCCAAAGTAACCTCTCTCCTAAGAAAAATCACACCCTGTTTCATTACTACCAGCAGTATGTGCTCTAGCACGGACAAAGCTTTCTGCAATGTCTTCATGGGGGATGGGGACTGTAAACCCAAATCCAAACTTGTATGGCTTTCAAGGAACTTTGGGAATTACAGTTCTGTGAGGTGCTGCAGTTCTTTAAAAACAAAAACAAAAGAGCTAAAGTTCCCCAGGTTCTGCAATATTAATTAGTTAAGCTGGTTTTAACTATAATGACCTCCCTCACAGCGAAGCTCAGGAAATGGTCTGAGAAGTCTAGGACTGACTCTACCAGGTGTTTTTTTTTTATCACAGCCCCCCACCCCCAAAATAAAATTACCAAGCTTCTTTCAGGAAAGCAATGACAGTTAAACCCTCTTTTAAAGTGGAGTGAATGTTTCCCAAGTGGCTTGATTATACCTGCAAGCTTTGGGATTTCATCAGTGTTGTGTTTTACTAAGGTTAAAAAAAGAAAACAGCATGGATAACATTGCCTGTGCCATTATCGGTCTGCATCTTTGCTAGAAACCTGGGAAGCCTCATGTGTGGTTCATGCTGATGGCTTCCTACCTCCATCCTGGCTTAGTGACATCAGCTAGTAATACGTGCCAGTAGTGTTGGATCCGCTCTGCTTGCCCCAGCCACATCTCTGTTTCTGGCTTACCTCCACATGGATATGTGGAGCTGAGAAAGATGTAGCTGCTGTTGCCATCTTGACTTGTGGAGGACCAGGCAACAGGAGCAGGGAATTCAAAACCCAAAAATTCCAGTTGTTCCCACTTTCCATACGTTGCCCGCCTTTACTCTTGGTTGGTAATTGAGTGCTCAAAGACTCTGCATGTACCTTCCATGTGCTGCTGTCACTCTGAGGCTTCTTCCAAAGTCACATATGGAAGAAAGGCTAGGATGACTGGCTGAGCCCTGGAAATTTACTATTGGAGCCTTTCAGGCTTCAAATCCTTTTGTCCAAGCAGGGGTAAGTGATTCTTGTAATGAGGCTGATCACAAGCATCTTATATGTTTCAGTTTTGGGTGACATATGGCACAGCACAGTACTTGCTTAGCTAAATCTTGGGAGATTGAGAAGGGGGTAACGTGGTATCTTTACATCAGCAAACTTTTGCTTTCACAGTGTTTTCTTTTACATACGTTTCCCTTTCAGGGTTGTGTTCTGTAATGTGTTTAGGCTGTACACTGATCTGAAACTTGATTGGCAAGATCCAGAAGCAAAATCTGCATTGTAAAGGATGTTTTTTGTAACTTGTTTTGGCAAGGTCCCATGTGTGTAAACAAGGAATAATCTTATCCCCATACTTTGAAGGTAATGCTCTGTTGGTATTTGAAATGTGCAAGAAGTGCATTTTCAAACAGTCACAGCAAGGCATATTGACAATATTAATGACAGTATTTATCTTGGTGCAGTTTGCTTTTAAAAATCCAGTCTTGGTCAGCAAATGGGTAACACGGACTGGAATGCATGATCAGATTCAAAGTTGGAAGTTTCTTGTTTCTCTCTTGCCATTTCAAAGACATTGTCTTTCAGTGCCCAATTTGTCAGAACTATGAGGAGAGACAAAAGTAAATGAATTTTCATTTTCTAATCTCACCCAAAACCGCTGAGGTACATGGGATTGATTTTTTGGTAAGGCTGAATGGAATTTTAGAAGATGTCATTACAGTATTGGATAGTCTAAGAAATCCTTGGAGAGGACTCTGAAGGAAATGTGTGCAATCGCTGGAGGAACACCTTCCATCAAGAGCTTCTCTTGGCATTTTTCAATGGTGTGTTAACAGTTTGATTCTTGGTATGAAGTGAACTTCAACAGGAGGCAGGCAATTTGTGTGCTGTTGGCAAACTAAGACTATATTGTTTTGTGTTTGATTAAACAACCAAGTAAATGATTATTCTCTCTGGGTATGTAAATCTGGGACACTGGGAGAAGCAAGTATGCGATACTATTTACTGGGGCAGAAATAAGGCCAATAATGTAACATTTAATTACCCTTAGCAAAATTGCACACCTGATTGTGTGTGTGTGTGTGTGTGTGTGTGTGTGTGTGTTTGTATTGTTTAGATTCCAAAGTAACTGCACCTTTTGACTGTTCCCCTGGTCATTTTTCAGATAACTGCTTAGTCTTGTCTGTATGCTGTTGCTTCTGGGTGGAAGGGAGGACAGAGATTTAAGTAGCAGCTACTCCCATTTTTTAAATAAAACCTTCTATCTACCCAACCATAAAAACAAAGGCAGAAGGAATGGTGGTAGGTGTAGCTGCAGGGGAAAGCAAAGCTGTCCATGGTGAAATGCCCCTTTCTCCGCAGCTATCAAAGGTGCAGTCATCCTGTCCCTTCTTTGCTTCCAGTAGACATTGGAAATAGCTCTTGTCATTGTCTTAAAGGGTAAGGTAGAGGGAGGAGAAGCAAGAGGGCATGATCATAACTCCAAACTCATGGAACAGTTAGGGTGATGCCCTGGTGCCTATTGCAGAGCATTGAGAGCTTGCTGTGGAAGTTAAGGAAGCCCAGGCCTAGTTTTCTGGATGGGAGATTGCCTGGAAAATCCATCAAGGAAGAAAGAAAGAGTCTCTAATAGAAGGTGAAAAGCTAGTTGGACCTGGTGTGCTTGGAACTCTTGGTCACAAAGCCCAACTCTGCCTTTTGGAATTTCTTCTGGCCCCCACTTCATAAGGACTGGAACCTTTTTTGCTTTTTGCTTAGCCATACAATGAAAGAGTTTATCAGGCTGCTGTGCTTGCATAATGCAGTCCAACACAGGACACCCACATGCCTTCCTGAATTGTCTAGACTATATCTGGCAACTAAGTAAGTGTTTAACAAGTAAAGACAGGCAGAGCCATTCCCCGTGGACTTGTACTACTGAAGGAAACGAATTAGGTGCCTCTCCAAGCAAAGTCGGTGCTGGAAAGCCCTCATTTGACAAGGGTGAAAGATTTATTTACTTTATTTAAAACAAAACCTTTTTTTAGAAATAAAATACCTGTGGTCTTGTACCAGAAGCATCCTTGCTACTATGGAACACACTGGGTTAATAATTATACATTATTTACATAATGGCTGAAAGTGGCTGGCATAAAGGGAGGCTGCTGGGTTTGCTTTTTTAGTGGGTTTAGTTTTTGGTGAGACGTGCTGGCTTGGCCGTCCCTGGAGATGGGCATCCTCTGGGCTGCTTCACAGGAGCGTGTCCATCCCTTGATGACAGTGTGTCTCAGTGGACCATCTTCCCACTTCAGAGCACTTTGATGTCCCTTTGAACCTGATGCTTGCTCAGTGTAGTCAGTTGACACATTCAGCTGCCGGTCATCAAGTGACGGCAAATACCTGTGTGCACCAGGCTTGTGGAGTGTCAAATCGCCGTCACAAATCTGACCCTGCAACTATGAATGGTCACCACATGCAGTGGCCTTTAGCAATAAGGACACATGCAGCCAAGGCACAGAAAGGCAGGTTCCCCCTTAATTTCAACCACTTGATTTCTGTTTGTACAGGGCAGTCCCTGCAGAAGCATTGGGTCAAAAGTGGCATGAGATGCTGAGATTACTAAATGGGGTGTTACCTGTGCTGACTCACTGCAAGCCACGAGTCTGTGTGTGTGTGTGTGTGAGAGAGAGAGAGAGAGAGAGAGAACCAGCCCTTGGGTTGTCTCTTGCTGGCTTTGCTCCATTGATTCAGCTGGCCCTTGACCAGTCTGAGGATTCTAATTAGTGCAAAGTATGGGGTGGGGTGGGGTGCTTTAACCAGCTATAGATGGCGTTAAAAACACATACAGCATACTTGGCAAAGGCCATGCTAAAGCTGGGACTGGGAATAGCATTCAGAGTACTAGGTCTGGAAGGGAAAAGGGCAGAGGGAAGACACCAAACACCCAAAGGCCCCAGTAGCCACTGTCACCCAGTCAAGTTGTGTTGATTAAAAATGGCCCACAGTTTTCAGGCGTGATTAGAAATGGTTGCTTGGCTGGTTGCTGCGTTACTCCCATATCCCCTCCAGGCTCGAATGCTGAGGCAGGCACTGACCCCGTAGCCAATCATCACCAGGCAAGCAAAAAACTGCAAAAGACAGGAGATGGGGGCATTAATGTCCCAGGAGCTTAGGTGAGTAAGCTGTAGGTCCATCCTGGGTCCCAAGTCATCGTATGATGATTAGATTGTGAATGTGCAGGCAAAGATTGCAGTGAGATCTACTGATCTACTGAGTTTATTGTAAGCCTCTGGGAGCCTTTTTGGCTGAAGAGGAATAAAAGAGCTTCAGTAGGAAAATGCTGATGAACCCAACATTTTCTGTGAAGATCTCCACTGCCTGCAGTAGAGACAATCCACTTTTCTGCTTAAAATCTCAATTAAAAGTAGCTTGCCTCTTCTGGCAGCTAGAGTAGCAGTTTTAAAGGGGGAGATGGGAACTGGTCTTGTGCACAAATCTGCTGGGCATTTATTGGATCATATGGACAAAGGCCAAATGCAGAAGCTGAGTTTCAGCACTGAAGCCTTTCAAAACATCCACTCTGGTAGCTGTTAATAATATAAGAAAAAGTAGCTTCCAGCCAAGGTGTAAGAGTATGTCAGTACTCAGCACAAAATTCAAGAACCCCATGGCCTTGAGTTCTTAAAATAGGGAATAAAGGTAAAGGTAAAGGGACCCCTGACCATTAGGTCCAGACGTGACCGACTCTGGGGTTGCGGCGCTCATCTCGCTTTATTGGCCAAGGGAGCCGGCATTTGTCCTCAGACAGCTGCCGGGTCATGTGGCCACCATGACTAAGCCGCTTCTGGCGAACCAGAGCAGCGCACGGAAACGCCGTTTACCTTCCCGCCGGAGTGGTACCTATTTATCTACTTGCACTTTGATGTGCTTTCAAACTGCTAGGTTGTCAGGAGCAGGGACCGGACAACGGGAGCTCACCCCGTCGCGGGGATTCGAACCGCCGACCTTCTGATCGGCAAGTCCTAGGCCCTGTGCTTTAACCCACAGCGCCACCCGCGTCCCTAAAATAGGGAGTAAGTGAGATGCAAAGAAGGATCTCCCTCTGAACTGTTAAAACCTCAGTCCTAAATGGATTTAACATAAATATGTCCATTTCAGCCTGCTGTGGATTTCAGTAAAAGCACAGTACAAAATGATAACCTGGAAATGGAGGGTGGTGTGCCAGCGTGCCCTTGCCTAGCCGAAACTGATTAACACAGCATTACACATCATCCGTCATGCTGGTGGCTGGCACTGGACTAAGGAGCTGAGTTACTCCAGGGAGGAGGACAAAACACATAATGTAGCTTCAGCTGGATTCCCAGTTACTGAACGTTACCTCATTGCTGGCACTGCAAGCTCTGGATGAGTACACAAAATGATGTACTGGCAAGCTAGCACCACATATTTACAGATGGCATTGCAGGGGGTGGGGGCTGAGTACTGGGGGCAATTGGGGTCATATAACTGTAGGTATGGTAAAAGGAAAAGGGGGGCCCCTCAGAGTCATCTGGAGGCTCCCTTCATATTCTGATGGGCAGGGATAGGTGAATCTGTCAATTTTGGGTTCTCTCAGATTCTCACTTTCCCCCTCATTCAGTTCTCCACATTTTCACACCATTGTGTTCTTTTAAACAAAAAGTCCTCATGAAAACTCAACATTTTAGTGTAACTTTTCTGTAAGTTACACATTTTTCTATCTATGCGATTCCATCTTTTTGGCAAAGCAGTTTTCCCTAAAGAATTTTTGTACGTTGTTTTCACCAATGTGTGCACTTTTAGGCACCCTTTACCTTAGCATATGCATTTCTGTGCACTCAACTTTGCTGGATTGCGAAATTCAGCAAACCGCATATTTCAGATGATGGCGTTTCTTCCCCCCTCCCCGCCCCCCGGCAACAAGTGCAACGGGGATGCAAGTGCAAAGGGTTAACTCACCGAGGCAGAGGCTCTTCTGTTGTAGTCTGGTGAGTGCGGCCAGGAGTACGGCTCAACAGAAGCAGCGCTTGTGATGAAAGCTGTTGCATACAAGACGGACGCAGCAACATTGAATACCACTAGCTGGAAGAAAAAGAAGACAGTTTTGGAGGACATTCCATGAGGTCTAAAGGCAAAGACCTACAGAACATTGGGGAAGGGCTGCAACTCAAAGAAAAGCATCTCCCTATGTTCCTAACATTCTTGACAATTCTCACAGCAGATTGTTCACTTGCAGGTGATCTGGATGCCATGACCTGCCTTATGCATACGAGCTGAATCTTGCTCTTGCCTCTTGCCCTCATGCTTCAGGTGGGGACTGACTACATCTTTATATTGTGTGCTTTTTCCTTTTATCTTACAAAAAGAAACTCCACACAAACATTTTAAATAAGTTGCAAAGCTGCTACAGGAACTGAAGCCTGTATGATCTCACAAGTGTTAGCCAATAAGATGCCCATTTTCTCCCCCGCACGAGGTTGTTCCAGGAGATGAACATGGGCATGTGTTTCCAATTGCCTCTCCCACACCCAATCTTCCTCCTAAGCAGCCAGGTGCATGAGTTTGCTGCCATGGCACTGCCCTCAGCGTTCCTCCAGGAATGAAGAGGTTTTACTTGTAGCATCCTGTGCTCAAGGAGAATGCAAACAAACTAGCACACTGGTGAAAATTCTAGGATACAAATCCTCAGAGATTGGATACAATAGTTTTGCTTATCCTAGTGAAAAGGATTCTGAGGATTGTTCTGATTCAGATATATAACACTAGGCAAATAATAGTGTTTATTGGGTAAAGACAGATGTAATAATTTTAGTTATGGGTTGGAAGCAGCTTTACTGTGTTTGGTTACAAACCTGAGCTAGACCATTGGTCCATCTAGACCAGGCATCCCCAAACTCAGCCCTCCAGCTCTTTTGGGACTACAACTCCCATCATCCCTAGCTAATGAGACCAGTGGTCAGGGATGATGGGAACTGTAGTCCCCAAACAGCCGGAGGGCCAACTTTGGGGATGCCTGATCTAGACCATTCATCTTTACTCTGAATGGCAGCAGCTTTCCTCAGGATCAGGTAGAGACTTTTCTCCATCACCTGCTACTTGATCCTTTTATGTGAAAATGGAAATTGAGCCTGGGTCTCCTGCATGCAATGTGTGTGTTTCACCAATGAGCTATAGCATCTTCCCTGTACAGCAATCATACATTTTTTTCAAGATCTAGGAAAAAAATCCTCTGGTTATGCAACTTTGCAGCAAAAGTCAAATGTCATCAGTACTGAATGGCTAGCGCCTGCGACCTCACAAATGCACATTCCCCTGAACAGTTCTGTATTTTTTTAAAAAGCAAGCAAACCAACTTGTTAAAAAAACAAAAACAAAGTGAATAATGGTCCTTTAACCACGGTAATGAAAATTAATTTTAGAAAAGACAAAGCAGTCCTCTTGAAGCACTGGCAGACAAGCAAGAGTAGCCTCCAATTTGATGGTATGTACTGTTCAAACTGTGAAGCTAGAAGCAGTCAACATGTTGCACCAGCCTTAATATTTATGTCTGGCTTCATCGTAGATGAAAAAAGCACATGCAATTCTCTAAGTGAGCTGTGTGGAGGGGACCCTTTCGTGGATCTGTTCCTGATTGATAAAGGTCACTTAGACTAGGATGTTCTGTGGCCAAAACAAGTGCGCACTTCGCTGATTTGCACAGGACCAACTGCAAGAGTCGCCCATTCAGTTTTGGAATTTTGGCAACAGTTTCTGCTTAGATGGCTGTAGGAATTCTAGTCATACTGGTTATGAAAGTGTAACAATGAGAGCACTGTTCCTTTCCTGTCTCTGCCTTCTGGACTGGCAGAATGGGGAGGTGGCACTTTGCTGTTCCACAGAAGAGAAGGGACTTGCTGAATTGCTGCAGAAATGGAGACTTAACTGTTTCCTGCAGGACTCATCTAAGCTGATGTCCCTGGTGCCAGGGGCAATCTTCACCTGCTGCTGTTAGAAAGCTGCAAATTCTGCATCACCTCCCTAAGGCCCATTTTGCATTTTTTAAAACAACAACAACAACAACAACCAACAATACTTACATTTAAACACAAGGTGAAATAAACCTATCATTTAATTCTACTAGATCAGCTGGTCCTGTGAACATCAGAACCTATCCTGAGCAAAAAAGGTTTATATGCCTTACAAATGCCTTTTCTCTTTCCTGCGATAGCTGCACGAATTACAATCAGGCATTAACAGCAGAAGAGAGGCACAAAGGCTGCTCTCTAAAGTATGTGCTCCCTAAAGTTCATATGTTGGTAACCCTGAGGCTGGATTACTGCGATGCACTCTATGGGGGGCTGCCCTGGGCCTCGCCCGAAAGCTCCAACTGGGGCAGCATGTGGCAGCCAGACTGCTGATGGGCGCACATAGCTGCCAACATGTGACACCCTGGTTAAGACAGTTGCACTGTCTACTACTGAGCCAGGTTTTAAGCTGAGTTCACCCGCTGGAGGCAAGTAGCTTTTGTGTCAATTTACAAAGCCATTTTTGCCCTTTACACGGCTTTCTGCCATTTTGATTGATTTCCTGGGGCCTCGTGTACACACGCTTGCGCATGAGCCAAATTGCATAAACGGAGAGTCGCCTATATACTGTTGCAAACTGCTTTGATTTTTTTAATGATGTAGCAGTGCATACATTAAAAATAAATAAATTGATAAATAGGGAGGCAGCTAGGCTTCCAGAACTTAACAGGAAAAGCCAGACTTCCTGCCACCCCCACTGCCCTCCTAGTGGTTTGATCTACAGTTCCCATCAGCCCTCAGGCAGGCACAGCTGAAAGCTGTAGCACAAACCATCTGGAGGACAGTGGGGGGGGGAGGGCTTGGGGTGAAGGGCCCCAGGCTGAAGAAGGGTATTGGATACTCACCACAATAGGCCAAGGAATCATGTAGAGCTTCGCCTGAAGTTGGAAGAGGTACATCCCAAAAAGGATGACCGTTACCAGCCAGAAGAAGATAGCGACAAACATCACCCACCCGTAGGAAGGGTACGGTTGGTAATATGTGTCTGCAATGAGGGCCCACACCAGGCATCCCAGCACCTGCACAACAGAAAAAAGGGCATTGACAACTTTTGCTAGTGAAGGATATTTTGCAGAATCGGAGCTGGAAGGAACCCCAAGGGTCATCTAGTCCAACCCCCTGCAATGCAGGAATCACAGCTAAAGCTTCCATGACAGGTGACCATCCAAGCTCTGCTTAAAAACCTCCAGTGAAAGTCCACCAGCTTCTGAGGGAGTCCATTCCACTGCCGGACATCTTTTCCTGTCAGAAAGTGCCTCTTTAGTCAGATCTTTAGTCAGAATCTCCTTTCTTGTCATTTGAATTCCTCAGTTCGGTTCCTACCTTCAGGAGCAGCAGAAAACAACTTGCTCCATCTTCCATGTGACAGCCCTTTAGATATTTGCAGAGAGCTATCATTTCACCTCTCCATCTCCTCCAGGCCCAACTCCCTAAACCATTCCAGACTCTTGCTCATCCTAGTCATCGTCCTCTGCCCACCTTTCAGCTTGTCAATACCCTTCTTAAACTGTGGTGCATGTTGTCTGAAAGAGGCGGTAGGTAAGCTCCAACCCCACCACACTACTTCACTCCCAAGGCAAACAGGCATTGCTGCAATATGGTACATTTCACTGTGGCACACAGTTCCACTGAATTTATTCCTAGTGACACAGATGTGCAGAATAGAGGCACCTGGCAACTTTGGCGCAAGCTCTTCATTCTCTCTCAAGTGCCAATGCAATGTACTTCAGGCGCCTGCAAACCGCCTCATGGTGTCTGTGTCCATGGTTACATAGGCACACTCTTGGCTTCTGCTCAGTCACTGGAAGCAATGTTATACCTCCCTAGGGGCTTGTTGCCCATTGTCTCTTTCCTGGCTCTGGGGCCTAGTGGGGCACAGCTCCTGTCTGCTCCTGCTGCCGCCTTGGCTAAGTCATCCAGCCCCTTGGCTGCTGGAGAGTAAACAAGCAAGCAATTTTCTGCCCACAACGCACTTGCAACCATAGAAAAAATTAAAAAACAAGAAGCAAAGATGCACATTGAAAACGTTGTCATAAATAAGATTAACAATAGGAAATGACTGTGCAGACTCCCAGCTTGCAGGGACTGGTTGGTTTCTGCACCCACAAAGAGAACATCGAGTTCACCAGCTGGAGGCAAGTAGCTTAGAAAGTGGAGGCATCAGGTTAAGGAAGAGGACACCTCACATCATCTCCAAAGTATTACTATCCCTCTGACAGGGAGGAGGTAGAGGAGGAGGAGAATGATGCAGTTAAAGCAGCTGGCCAGGGGCTTGATTTACCGCCGGTGACTCCACAAAAGTCTTTCATTGCTGGTGGCCATGAAAGAGGCGCTATGTGGCCAAAGAGACATTGTCTCCGGCATAAACACTCTGGCTCTCTCCTGTTGCTTCGGTCTGGACAATGCCTTCTCTTTCAGGCCTCTGCTTCCCTGCCTCCACAATAGCTATTAAGAAATATATTGATGATGATGTTGCGGTTGGTACAGGAGGTCGAACGCAGTTGAAATTCTACTCTGGGCTTTACTAGAGGCGGCCAGCCACAAATTTGGCATGTAATTGATGGCAAGTGAGGGGAAGGGGGTTCTGCTTTCAAGGAGGGAGGAGAACGGAGATGTTCCCATGGCAGCCAATTGCCCTCAGCAGCCTGGCTGCCGCTGACTTCCGTCGTTAGTCCTGCTATATTAACTTTAGCAAAAAGATAAAGCTGTTTTCAAATCCAGCTTGATAGTTATCAGATTGCCCATTCCTTGGGGCATCAAGCACAGCCATGCACGATCCAGCACAAAAGGCTATTGAAAGGCTGGCACTGGCAAGGCACTCTGTAGGACCCACATCAGACTGACTGCAAACCGAAGTGTGGAGGAGAGGACGACAGGGGTGGGCTAGGGGTGGGCCAATAAATCAACTTTGGTTTCTCTCAGCTTCTCTTTTCTTCTTTTTATCTGAAGTTTAGTTCTCCGGAAGTCCATATCAGTTTGTAAAAAAAAAAAGACAGGATGAAAGTCCGCATGAAAATTCATCAACAGCTTAGTGCAAATTTATCCTAATATATTTGCAGAGCAATTTCCCATAATAAAATGTGGTTTTTATAATATTGTCATCAATACATGCACGTTTGTGCACATTAAATGGCTGGAGAAATTACACTTCAAAATTCAGAGAAGTGTACATTTCAAAGGATGACTACTTTAGTTCACACTCTGTTTTGAAAAGTTAAAAGTAGGTAAGTCTGCCTTTAAAGAACAACACAATCAACTTTCCCCCCCATCTCTGGCTGGACGAAGCCCTGTTCAGCCCTGCAGGTTTGCAAACAAGTAGGAAAGTAATTGGTCTCTCACAGCCTTGCAGGCGGGACGGTTATCAGAGGCAGTGGCAGCTGGGCTTTGAAACCCCTCAGGCATCCTCCTCTGTTGTGTGCATCATATCTACAAGCATGGTGCAGCAGCAGTAAAGGATAATGCAATTATAACCTGCATCAACAGACATCTAGTGTCCAGATCAAGGGAAGTATGTAATAGTACCACTCTATTCTGCCTTAGTCAGACCCTTGGTCAGTCCTGTGTCCATTTGTGGACTCCATGGTTTAAGAAGACTATTGACAAGCTGCAGTGTGCGCAGAGGAGGGTGACCAAGATGATACAGGTTATGGAAATCAAGGATCAGTTTAAGGACTTGGGAATGTTCAGCCTGGAGAAGAGGAGACTGAGAGGAGAAATGATAGCCATCTTCAAATATCTGAAGGGCTGTCCCGGGGTAGATGGTGCAAGCTTGTTTTCCACTCTTCCTGAGGGGAGGACCTGAACTGATGGATTCGAGTAACAAGAAAGAAGATTCTAACTAAACATTAGGAAGAACCTTCTGACAATAAAAGCCATTTGACAGTGGAACAGACTCCTTTGGAAGGTGGTGGACTCTCCCTTCCCTGGAGGTTTTTAAACAGAAGTTGGATGGCCATTTGTCAGGAATTCTTGAGCAGTGATTCCTGCATCTCAGGGGGTTGGGCTAGATTACCCTCTCACAACTCTGATTCTATGAAGATTCATACCCATAATACTATCAGGGTGGTCATAGGCTTTCAGTAGTTTTTACATATGGAAAAGTTTGGGGGCAGATGTACTGCATGTCCAGTTAGTGCATGCCCCTGAAACTATATATGTTCTGGTTTGCCTGTTTTTTGTCTCACTTTCATTGCCCTCTAGTCCAGACGGCAATAATGCAGTGACATTGGGGAAGTGTCACAGAACATTTCCATTCACTGCCTCCTTCCCCACCCCCACCCCTCCTCTCTACCTACTGATCCAGCTCCCTTTGTTTCCTTCATGGATACATTCCAAAGAAGCACAAAACAAAACAAAAAGCAAACAAATTGTGGGCACGGCAGCTAATACCAGCCGTTTTCATTGTGCAAAGGAGAGGAGGATAGCTTGGGTGCCTGGTCAGTTGGGGAGGGCTTTGGGATATGAATACTTTTACAACTGTCACTTTGGGCAGAGATGGGTGAATCCCAGCTGTTTTCTCCCACCTTTGCCATGTCACTGTTTGCTGTTCTGTGCCATGCAGAGCTGGTCCTATCACTGAGCAGAGTGAGGCAACTGTTTCAGGCGTTCGGTTTGGCGCCACATAAAAAGGCACCCTTATTAACTATAAAAAACACAACTATTAAAGCGCCCAGAAACTGCTCAGGAGGAGGGAAAATGAGAGCGACTTAGCAATGAAATATAGCATGATAGAACTGGGGTGATGGCATGGATGTCATGTTGGTTTCCACCCCCAAACATAGAAGGAACGAGTCAGACCAGTCTGTTAAGTGGCCCTAGCCAAGTCCATTAAGCATCTTTTTTTACATGACTAAAGAGTTGGCCCAGGACAGGTGTGTTGTCATAGAAATTACTGGCTAGTGATGCTTCCAGAAGAAGGGGCCAGACTTTCCTCCCTCACCTGATTGGAGGCAATGTGATTCTGGGGGTAGGAGAAGAGTAGGCCAGTCTTTTCTAGTCTTGTCTGAAGCTGGGAAGACACAGGTGTGCACTAGCGCCTCCGAAGTCTCCCATTACTTGGGGAGTGGGGTGCATGTAACAATACGAATTAAGGACAGGGCAGGATAATGGAGCCTGCCTCTGTGGTGTGCAACCACAGCAAACCTAAGCTGAAAGACGTGTTCTTAAGCCCTTGGAGTTGTGTTTTTACCGTACACATTCCACGCACATGCTTAAAACAAAACAACGTGATATTGTGGAATATGATCAGAGAAATCTGAGAGACCATTCAACTATGAAGGCTCACCTTCTTGAGATAGTTTGTCAGTCTTTGGTTTCTCTCTCTCTTCTTAACCCCACAGAATTATTGTGAAAATAAAATGGGGATGAGAGAAACAGCCACGTGCGCTCTCCTGAGTTCCTTGGAGGAAGAGGCAGCGGCAAAGGTAAACATGAAAGAACAACAGCTGAAACTCCCACTAGGAGATAATGAAAGGGGCATCTGAAGGGGCACAAACTTACCCCAGAGCCCCACTCCTCCCCCCACATGCCTCTAAGGGCCAACCTGGGTGGTATTTTTTTGAGGAAGCATGAAGTCAATAGGTGCGGGCTGACCTTCATCTTGCCAGATCTACCTTAGGACCCTGAGGCCCAACAGCTGGGACCAGATGCAAAATCGTTGGGCTGCCGGCTGGGGTGTGGCAGTTGGGTGCTTATTTGGAGTACTGAAGAGAAGATTGCAGGACAGTGGAAAAATACAGGCTAAGCTTCCTTTCCAAGCCACAGCTTCATCCGGGATAGAGGCTTTAACATGACAACAGGTGTTGCCACCCCATCAAAGAGGAGTTTTGGGTCTAGGCAGCATTAGTGCCAATTCCCTGGAACCCTGGGTGCCCGAGCACCCACCAAATTCTCCTGGGTGCCAGGAACTCAAATTTTGGTTACAGGGCCATGCACACTGCATGGCAACCACGGCCCTGGACATCCATGGTCGCAGGGCCAAGTTGGCACTCCTGCTGGGCAGACAGAAGGTTGCCAGGGTCACTGGGTGGAAAGTGACAGGAAAAGAGTGTCTCAAGCAAGGTGTCCTGGGAAAAAGAAGGGAGAGGCTGGCTGAAGGCTGGCTGGGAGATGCCCAGGTTTGACTCCAGGGTTGCACTGCTGTGAGGAACAAGCCCATCTTGAAATGACCATGCTTTAAGTTCTGGATTCTCTCCATGTAAGCCGAAGATGTAAATAAACTATATTTCTTAAAGCTATGACAGTCTCAGCTGCATCATTTCTACTAATCATGGGTGAATGCCTGGAACCCTGGGAAACTTGCTATTGCTCAGCAGAGAGTGGGGGTGGCACCCAACTTTTGTAACAATAGCTTTATTCACTCTTTTTAATATGTAAAGCCAAAATCAGATGCTTTTGGTTCACACCTGATGTAACTTGTATTTTTTCCACATAAAAAGTTCAGTAAAATAATGGGAGGGGGAATGGAACAGGCAGAAGATCCTTAACGAGCTACTCATGGAGCCTTATGAAACAGCACCCCCAGTTTCAGCTCTTGTTAGAAACTGTTCTTCTCTGTCTGCTCAAACTCCTCGTTAGCCCAGCCTGTGCTGCTTTCTGCAGAGCACTGACCTCAGACTCTACTGCTGCTGCTGCTGCTGCAGGTGGGTTGCCAAGTCAGAAAATCATCCACAAAAGTTCTTTTGTCCGTCCCCAAGCTTCTGTGGTGGTGCCACCAGGGCAGGACTTGGGGGCAGAGGTCTGGGGCCCAAGTCAGCAGATCAAGCTGGGGGCAGGGGGGCAAAATGCAGAAGGGCAGATGCTCCACTTATTTCAAGAATGTGGCACAACACACATCACCATCTAAAATACCTCTCACCCCAGTAGGATCAGGAAGTCTAGAGCATGGAATTACATAACTGTACAAATATTGCACATTTCCAGTGACTGAACTGGGCAAAGTCCAGAGGCCCAGTTTGCAAATAATATGAAGCTAAACAATGACTTTTTGAATTATGGTGCTGGAGGAGACTCTTGAGAGTCCCATGGACTGCAAGAAGATCAAACCGCTCCATTCTTAAGGAAATCAGCCCTGAGTGCTCACTGGAAGGACAGATCCTGAAGCTGAGGCTCCAATACTTTGGCCACCTCATGAGAAGAGAAGACTCCCTGGAAAAGACCCTGATGTTGGGAAAGATGGAGGGCACAAGGAGAAGGGGACGACAGAGGACAAGATGGCTGGACAGTGTTCTTGAAGCTACAAACATGAATCTGACCAAACTGTGGGAGGCAGTGGAAGACAGGAGTGCCTGGTGTGCTCTGGTCCATGGGGTCATGAAGAGTCGGACATGACTGAACGACTAAACAACAATAACAAACGATGACAAAGTGTGAAGACACAGGAGTGTGGGGACTTAGCAAAAATAATGCTGCTTCATTACCCCCACTCCACCCCCGCTGTTGTACCATGGTTTAGCGTTACATCCCAACCCTGGTTCATGGTTCATCTCCCCCAGCCAAACCACAAGCAACAAGCCAAGAAGAAAACTTCCCCACAGATCATGGCTTGCATGCAGAGAGACACCAAAGCACCAGCCTGGGTTTGGACACAACGCTAAGCCAAACCATGGCTCAGATCTAGTTAGCGCAGCAGGAGGAGGAAGAGCAAGGTGGATTACGAACAGCCCAGCAGGCGGTACAGGGCGTCAGCTTCCTCCTCCTCTGACTCAGTGCTGCCATTAACAAATTCAACAGGGAGGAGGCAGAGACCAAACCAGAATTAGTTGGCACCACCACTTACTAGCTCTGGCGCCACCTACTGTTGTCCTCCCACCCTTCACCTCACCTTAGCTGCCACTGGGTTTGGCTTGGCGTTATTTCTGTAGGCTGTGATAATTACAAGAAAGGAGATTCTGAATCAACATTAGGAAGACCTTTCTGACTGTAAGAGCCATTTGACAAGGAAACTGACTCCCTCAGAAGGGGGCAGATACTCCTTCATTGGAGGTTTTTAAGCAGAGGTTGGGTGGCCATCTGTCAGGGATTATTGCGCTGTGATTCCTGCACTGCAGGGCGTAGGATTCGGTGACCCGTGGGGTCCCTTCCAATACTACAATTCTACAATTTCATGATTTCTCTCTGCTTCTGGAGAGACCTTTACACCAGGCAATTGCCCTTTTCCACTCAAGAGGTAGATGCCGCTATGCTGAAATCAAGTGAACCTTAGGTGCACACATATAATCGCACCTTTTAGCAGCCTGGAAGAAATGAACACACTCCTATTCTGTAGTCAAATTCATAGAATTGTAGAGTTGGAAGGGAGCCAAAGGGCCATCTAGTTGAACCCCCTGCAATCCAACTCAACAGGCATGTTTTACAACTCTCCAACCCAGCTGTGGACAATAGTTAATTTATTGAGGGGAAAGCAAAGAACAACCGCTTTATCCCCCTGACGTTTGCTATGACTGCGTGGCTAAAGTGTGAAAAGAGCCCATTAAGGCTGAATCTCTCTACATCCACCTTTGCCTACCTGTGCTCTCCATCCCTTTGGGGCCACAGGCCCCAACAGCCCCGGTCAGGAGAGTTGGGCTCCAAAACATCTGGATGGGTGCCAGACTGGCAAAGACTGGTCTACACACACACACAGCCACACACACACACACACCCCAGAACTAATTTGTGAATCTCCTCTTGCAAATTTCAAGGCAATTTAAAATAATGCAAGGAAAACAACTAAAATAGGTTTTAAAGGAACACAACAACCCCCCCCCAACCATTAAAGGTAGGTTTAAAAACAATACAAAGACTGACATCACACACACTGCAGCTGGGACAAAAATGTCTCCAATTGTTCCCAGAGAGCACAAATAGCAGGAACTTCTTGTATCTTAGCCAGCAGCCATGCTGTTCCTCAAAAGAGAATAAGGCTAGGGGGTCCAGAGGTGGTACAGGACCACCTTAACCACAGGAGGCAGAAGAAACAATTCTTCAAGGCTTCCCTTTTGCAAAAACAAACCACACCAAAACATCCTATCCAAGTCCTTTGTTCTCAGGCCATTTTGGAGGGTGATAAATAGAGGCTTTGCCCCACCCCCATCACCTTCCAAGACATGGATGGATAGATTGTCTGTAGAAAACCCTACATGATCTGCACTGGAGGTGTGTTGTGCTGTGTGGGTGGGTGGGTGGGTGATGATTTTATTATTTGTACCCCACCCATCTGGCTGGGTTTCCTGCCTGCCTACCTGCCCCCACCACCCCAATGAACCCCTCCTTTTCTGACACATATCTGTGCCCTGTGAAGCTGGGGAAAGGGAGACAAATTCTACCCAGCAGCCTTCCCCAACCTGGTGCCCTCCAGATGCTTAGGATGGCAATTCTGACATTCTATTCATTTAGGAAATTTCTTAAATTGCTTCATACTAAAAAAAAACCACCCTCAAAGGAATATACAAACAGAAGTTATATGCAATACATTCCTAACATGGGTGTAGCCAAAAGGAGGCAGGGAGGGGGAGCAGCCCTCCCTAAATCAATAAAAATAGCATAGCTAACTAAGGTTCTGCCCACCCCCCACAAAAATCCTGGCTACACCCATGAATCCTAATCAGACACACTCTCATTGTGCTGTCCCCAGAAAAATGGTGGCCAGGATTCGGTTATTCTTCTGAGAAGACAGTTTGCAATTAAAATACGTCTTCCAAAGTGTCGTTGCCTGTTGAATATCCACCAGAAAGGAGTTCCATAACAAGGAAAAGGTACTTTGCACATTCTTAGAAACACTTCTTGCTTTACACGTCTGCTATGGCTGCAAATATTGGTCCAAAACATCAGGACAACACCAGTTAGAAAAACCTACTGTACATTTTTAGAGTGTGGGGTGGGTTGCCTCTTATGACACAAGTTTGGGGAAAAGTTTGTCCCTCTTCTGGAGTCATTCCCATTTGGGTACTCTGTGGGACAGCCAGCCAGCCAGCCACAAACTTGGGGGGGGACGGGACGGAATTGAATAAACCCTCAGTCACCTTCTATCAGAACCAGAAGTCTCCTGAAAATGTGTAGAATGGTATTCCAAAGCAATGTTTGACCCACCCACAGCCCCCCAAACAATAGAGTCTGTGCTAGTTTTAATGAATCTTCTGTGTGTGGTTTTAGGAGAGGCTGGAGATGGTTTATTAGTGTGCACACAGACAGAGTGCCAATGTGCATAGCACTTTACAAAGAAGGAGATACCCTGTTCCAAGGGGCTTACAGTAAATAGTTAGAAAACAGAAGCAATGGAATCATAGAACTGCAGAGTTAGAAGGGACCGCAAGCGTCATCTAGTCCAACCCCCTGCAATCACGGGTGTCCTACTCTGTTCCTCTGTAAAGGTAAGAGCTGGCTTAGAGCCACAATCTGGAAATGTTTGCACACAAACAAGAGACCTGCGTGCACAACAGCTCTGAGCGCAGGTGTCTGCAAAGTCCCTTGTGAAATCAATGGCTATTATTGGAAGAAGGGAGCCCAGAAAATGAAATCATTTGGAAAGCCAACTTCCCTAGAATTCAAAAAAAGTCTTGAGATGACGCTAGTATATGCGGAGCGGAAAGCTCTCCTCCATCTCTTGGCTGGGAACTTGGCAGGGATGTTATTGTTACACAGGAGATAACTCCAGAATTCAGTTCTCCCACCTGTAGCCCAAAATTACGCAGGCGAAAAGGTATGCTGTACATACGGGTACTTAGGAGCACTCTTTGCTTTCCTAGCCCAAAGTATTTTCACAGCAAGCGCCAAGACATTGATGTGGAAGCCCGTTACCCCTACTCACCCTCCAATTTTACGCAGGTGAAATTATCTGCATTGGAGCAAGAACCAGTCCTACCTCCCTGGGGCACCCTGCACAGCCACCTCAAGGTGCTAGTCCCCGTTTTCAAGCCCTTTGCTGCTTGATGCAAAGCAGAAGAGGGCGAAGCAAAGCAGCAAGCAGGTGCAATTGACGCTGCTCTGCCCGACTTCATTCTGCATCTCGCTATCATCCCTCCACGCTGCCCACGATTCTTCTGCCCTGGGGTCAACCCACAAACCCCCAGCCTGGAGAGGGGGCTTCGTCCGGGAGTCTTTTCCAGCCCTCCTTGGAATCACAGAATCATAGGACATGGAAGGGACACCCCCCAACAAGGGTCATTAGTCCAACCAGCAGCAATGCATCACAGCCAAGGAATCCAACCTCTGCTTAAAAACCTCCTAGCAAGGAGAGTAGCCACCACCTTCCGAGGTAGCTGCTGAGGACCTTCTGCATGCCAAGCAGCTGCTCTGCCGCTGAGCTAGCGCCAATTCCCCAACCCCTTATGCTGCAGGGGGGACAAACAGACAAGCGATCTGCCTTAAGGGAAGGTCCCACCCCGTCCTCATAACAGTGCGGTGGGGTAGCTCAACTGGACTTCTGGAAACTCTCTTTCGACTGTAAGGGTTGTTATCAGATGACTTCCCTCCTTTCAGAAGTGGGGAGCCAGTTCTGCCGGATTTGGACGCCCCCCCCCCCCAGCGCTCCCGCCAACGAGCGAGGAAAAGAGAGCCTAGCCTGATGCGCCTGGCCGCTAAGGAGCCGCTGGGCGAGGGCGGCACTCTGCACGCGCTCAGAGACAACCTCTTCTCGGAAGACGCCTCTCTCGGCCGCAGGACCGGAGAGGAGGGATGGGAAAAGGAAGGAGCTTGCGGGGGGGGGGTCGACTCACGATTTCCACGATCATCAGGACCCCGAAGAGGGAGCGGAGGAATTCTAGGTCCACCGAGGAGGAGCGCAGCAGCCCGCCGCCCTGAGCCCCGGCGGGGGTGCTGGTCCGGGTGCTGACTTTGGCCGGGAACTCGGGCATCCTGAGGCTGCGGTCGGCGCCCCCCGGAGGGGGATCGGGCCACGAGAGGGGCCGGCGGAGCGGGGAGTCGGGCTGCTGCTGCTGCTGGGGCTGCCTCGGAACGCTGGTCCCGGTGCCTCGAAGGCGCGTCCGCCGAGCGCAAGCAGCAGGAGGAGGCGGCAGGCAGGGCAGGGCAGGGCCGCCGCCGCCGAGAGCCCAAGCCCCCGGAGGGCGAGCCCAGCCGCCGCCAGGCAGCCGGCTTAACCCTTTCCCGCCCTCGGGTTGCCACCTTCCTGGAACAAGCCCTGCGCCGCAGCTTTGGAGACCGCAGCTTTCTCAGCAGGGGATTCTTTCCTTGGCATCAGGACTCGTAGAATCATTGAATTGCACAGCTGGAAGGGACCCCCCAAAGGTCATCTAGTCCAACCCCCTGCAGCGCAGGAAGCACAGCTAAAGAATCCCAGGCAGACAGGAGTGCAACTTGGCCCCGCGACCGTGGGTGCCGGGCGGCGTGGGTCCCATGCAGTGTGCATGGCCCTGGCACCAAAGTTTGTGGGTGCCCGGCCCCTTCATGCAGAATTTTGTGGGCCCCAAGAAGTTGGCCCCCATGCTGGCAGATGGCCTTCCAACCACCTCCGTTTAAAAATTTCCAATGAATCGCAGAATTATTGTCTAATTGTAGAGTTGGAAGGCCCAACTCAACACAGGAGTCGCCTTTTCTTTCTTTCACACCCGCCGAGGACCTTTGCTATGTGCCACTCCTCAAAAGTCTCCCTTCTCCTCCTGACATAGCAAAGTGGGGGGGGGGGGGCAGGGAGGAAGCTGAGTCCCCAGAGATCCTTACTCAGGAGGAAACAGCTTTAACTGCGTGGGCCTTACTCCTGGACGACAAATTACCTTAATTATTGACATAGCAAGCTGCACTGTACTCTATCCAACTGATGGTCCATCTAGGTCAGTATTGTCAACACTGACTGGCAGCAGCTGTCCAGGGCTTCAGGCAAGGGACATTTCCAGCCTTACCTGGAGATGTTGCCCAGGATCAAACCTGAGACCTTCTGCATGCAAGGCAGATGTTCTAACCACTGAACTACCTAGCCTCCCAAGGAGGACTGCTCCTTCATTCTTTTTGATAATGAATTTCATCTTAGTAGAATATTCATGTATTTGTGTTGGTTTTCAATCCAGCCTACTCTGCCTGCAGAAAGGGCATGAAAGGAGCATAGAAATGCACATGCCTCACCTTTGACCTTTTCCCTGCTTCTGAAGAACCACCTGCCACATGAGCAAGGAAGGATGGAACCCTAAGCACACTTTCTGCAGAACATGTCCTGCTGAACTCAGATTTACTGAAGAAACATCTAGAGTTGGGTGTAGCTACAGTAAACTTTTCCAGCCTGGGGGCTGCATCCCACTGCTCAAGCCCTCCAGTCAAGTTCCTTTGTAAGGCAATGATCTTAGCTGGCCACTTCAGTGTCCTCATCAACATCCCAAAAGAATAAGCCAGGCTGCAAGAGCTACAACCAAGTACTGCTGCTTTCCAGGCTAATGTATGGGCCTTCCCACCCCCACCCCTAGCTGTTGGGTAAGAGAACAATAGCCAGAGGTTGTGTATGAGCTGAGCTGGAAGCAGGCTGGCAGCTGGAGACAGAGACATGCTTGCTCTGTGCTGCATCCAAAGATGAGACTAATGGAGATGCAAGATCTGTTGGGGCGTTCATGCTGCGAGCCCCGCTATCTTGTGCTCAGGTTGTGTAAAGTAAAGGTAAAGGGACCCCTGACCATTAGGTCCAGTCGTGACCGACTCTGGGGTTGTGGCACTCATCTCACTTTATTGGCCGAGGGAGCCGGTGTACAGCTTCTGAGTCATGTGGCCAGCATGACTAAGCCGCTTCTGGCGAACCAGAGCAGCGCACGGAAACGCCGTTTACCTTCCCGCCGGAGTGGTACCTATTTATCTACTTGCACTTTGACGTGCTTTCGAACTGCTAGGTTGGCAGGAGCAGGGACTAAGCAACGGGAGCTCACCCACTCACGGGGATTCGAGCTGCCGACCTTCTGATCAGCAAGTCCTAGGCTCTGTGGTTTAACCCACAGCACCACCCGCGTCCCTTTTCAGGTTGTGTATATGCGTAAATAAAACCATATAGCCTAAAGCAGGGATCAGCAAACTTTTTCAGCAGGGGGCCGGTCCACTGTCCCTCAGACCTTGGGGGGGGGGCGGACTATATTTTGGAAAAAAAATTGAACAGATTCCTATGCCCCACAAATAACCCAGAGATGCATTTTAAATAAAAGGACGCATTAATCTAAAATAATAACAAAATGATTTGGACTTCTTGACAGGTTTTGAATAAATATCCACAAATTTATTAGTAGAATATATGACAGATAAGGCAATGATATGTACAATTTTACAACATGCAGAGAATAATATGTGCAAACAAATCAGAGAGGGGAGCTGAGGGAAGTCCTTAGTGGGCAGGAGAGGGAGGGATGGAGGGAGATAAAAAAGGGGGGAATGTAATTGGTTATATTGATTGATAATTTGTTCTGTTAAAATTGTTTAATAAAAATATACTTTAAAAAAATAAAAGGACACATTCTACTCATGTAAAAACACACTGATTCCTGGACTGTCCATGGGCCAGATTTAGAAGGCGATTGGGCCAGATCCAGCCCCCGGGCCTTTGTTTGCCTACCCATGTCCTAAAGATACCATAGCCTCTACCAACCTTTATTCTAAGGAAACCAAACTCTGATCAAGCAGTGGAACCTCTCGATTTTCTCAGCACTTGGAGATTGGGGTGGTGAGTGTCATAGCCTCATTGCTGAGCAACAACACGCAGAGCTCAGTGGAGTGGAAGACCAGTCAACCAGAAGAGTCTCTGAGGTGTACTTACCTGGAGGCAGAGTCAGCATCCAAAGTCAGAGTCAGGCAAACAGCAATCCATGTGGTCAGATAGTCCAGGGGTCAGGGAATCCAATGATCAAGACTCACGAGGAGCAGGAAGTAGCACAGCAGAGCCAGGAACTACAAGCTTGGCTTCCCACATCTGACTACTGCTGGAAGCTCTGCTTAAGAAGCCCGAAGCCAGCTGATTCTCATCAGACCTTCTCCGTGTCCTTGAAGGCTGATCAGCTGCAGGTGGAGTCATTCCACCATCTCCCCCTTCAGGCTGCTATTCAGCTGGTAAAGCTGACTCCTGGCCCATGGCAGCAAGTAACAATATCTGCCGGAGGGGAGCCACAGGGATTATTTTATTCCATCATGTGAGCTGCTGTGCTTTTTGTGGTTGGACAAGGAAAATTATGTGACCTTACGTGTTTCTCTATTTGCATTGGCTGCCCAGGAAATTAAGAGCCAAAGTTGTGGATGTCTTTTTTTCTGTGGTTATGGCTTACAAATAAAATTGTTACTACTTCTACTTTGAGACAGGTTCCCATAAATGGTGGGTGGGGTGTCATCCTTATAGCAGAGTCTATCCCTCCCACTCATAAGGAAGCTGGCTTGTGCCAGCCCTCAAATCTCAAAGCAGACCTGGAAAGTACGCACGGACACTCTGCCCAGGGAACACAGAAACCATGGGAGTTTCATGCTGGAGACAAATAATTTTCAACAGAGCAGAAAATGGCCTGAGAAACACACCACTCTGTCCGGCATGCACAAACATTTCCTTTGTCCCAGGTTGCCTCTGATCAAACGGGTTTGGCAGGTCTCAGAAAATTATGCAACCCCCACTCCTTTAAAAGTACTACAGAGCCTTTTCTGATGATAGACTGCACTAGTCTGATGCCCTCTAGAGCAGGCATCCCCAAACTCGGCCCTCCAGATGTTTTGGGACTACAAGTCCCATCATCCCTGACCACTGGTCCTGTTAGCTAGGGATGGTGGGAGTTGTAGTCCCAAAACATCTGGAGGGCTGAGTTTGGGGGTGCCTGTTCTAGAGGTTTTGGGGTACCCAGTCCCAGTCAGCTTAGCACCATGTTGGGGAAGGCTCCTGTTGACCCTTGCCTTTCCCTTTGTCGAAATATATTAAAAAAATTGTCCAGTAGCACCTCAGAGACCAATTAAGTTTGTTCTTGGTATAAGCTTTTGTGTGCATGCACACTTCTTCAGATACCTTCAGATACTTTCCCTTTGTGACAGAGTTAGGGTGTGGTCCAAGCCCCCAGAAAATGCTGTAGTGTGTGGTGTCATGGTTAGAGTGTCTGACTATGGTCTGGTAGAGACCAGGGTTCAAATCTCCCCACTTGGCCATGAAGCTCACTGGGTGACCTTGCAGGGCAGTCGCTCCCTCTCTGCCTGACCTACCTCACAGGGTTGTTGTGGAGATTAAATAATGAGGGGGAGAAGAACCATTTATGTCACCTTGAGCTCCTTGGGCTATAAATACAGTACAGTAAATAAAACTAGGGGTGCAGATAATACCCAACTTGGCCATTCCTGGAATGCTGGATTTGCACCAGGTTCACAATGGTTTCAAATCCTCCCTGGGGGGCAGAGGAGATCTGTGACTAGATGATTTTATTGTTGTTATTATTATAATTTGAAAGTATTTATTATTTTATTAATTTATTAAAATACCACTCCAGCCATACATTAATTAATTAATTAAAAGACTTACAACCTTAACCCTATATTAAACTGATATTGGGGCAGGATATGAGATTACATTTGAAATTAATAAAACAAACAAATGAAAAGCAGATAAAATAGTTACTATAAGTGCCAGTACAGTGCAGTGGTTAGCCTAGGACCGGAGAGACCAGGGTTCAAATCCTGACTCAGCTATGGAGCTCACTGGGTGACCTTGGTCAGTCACTGCCTTTCAGTCTTATAGGGTTGTTATGAGGATATTAAACATTATTTTATTTCAACAACTAGAATAACATTAATAATAATTTATGAGGCACCATTTTAATAAGTCCCAAGGCAATTGACAAATTGGCAATAAAAGCAACTAAAAATTGTGGGATGAGGATATACATGTAAATGCAATAAAAGAAGAAGAAGAAGAAGAATCTAAACAAAATTGCTGACTTTGTATAGACAGGGCAGTGACATCTTCCAGCTACCAGCTGTTTGATGATGGATACAGTGGTACCTCGGGTTACATACGCTTCAGGTTACAGACTCCGCTAACCCAAAAATAGTGCTTCAGGTTAAGAACTTTGCTTCAGGATGAGAACAGAAATCGTGTTCCGGTGGCGTGGCAGCAGCAGGAGGCCCCATTAGCTAAAGTGGTGCTTCAGGTTAAGAACAGTTGCAGGTTAAGAACAGACCTCCGGAACGAATTAACTACTGAACCTGAGGTACCACTGTATTTGTCTGACTTGATGTGCCAATTCTGTTGGGTAAGTTTAGCCGGTAGAGTATGAGACGCTGAATCTCAGTGTTCTAGGTTCGAGTCCTACGTTGGGCAGAAGTCTCCTGCAATGCAGAGGGTTGAACTAAATGACCCTCGTTGTTCCTTCCAACTCTACAATTCTGTGCATCTATGATCAGATCCCATCAGCAGCCTTGCTGCGTTTCCTTTTCCAGTGCCTCTGCTAGCATTACTCAGTGCCTTCCACTAGGGGGCAGACTTCTGCTTCCACCCGCTGTTTGCAGCAGTGCCCACAACAACCCTGTGAAGCAAGTCGAAATTATTATTGGTGTTTAATGTATTGAACAAATTCGGATCTGCATTCCTGATGGAGGGTCTCTCCCTATACCAGACAGCTTGGGCTCTGGGATTGACGCGGGCGGGCACTACTTTCAATTCCACACCCTTTTAAAACATGGAGAGTGCTGGAGGCTTTAAAAGATGCGCGCTAAGAGGAATCAGAGATTCAGGAATTCTGCATCAAGAGTTCTTTGCAAAATAATATTGCACCCCTACATATTTCTTCGCAAAATAAGATTGCACTCCTACAGCTATCTGCACAAAAGTCGGAAGTGGTCAAAGACAAATAGCTCCCTTCCTGTGTTCCAGGACTTTTAAAGTCTCTGTGTTAGAATTCAGATCGAGAGGACGTTTACACAGGGCAGTGGTAATTCAGAGTCAAAGGGCACCTCCTATTTAGAGAAAAGTTAAGCATGGCTCCACGCTGCTGAATCTCCGTTGTGATTTACTTAAGGCAGACTTTGTTTGCAGGGGCAACGAGGTTAAATAATGTAAGTAATACAGTAGTATTAAAATGATTTTTTAAAAGGAAAAAAGAAAATACTGGAGCTCTTTGTCAGAAGTGGGATTCGAACCCACGCCTCCAGGGGAGACTGCGACCTGAACGCAGCGCCTTAGACCGCTCGGCCATCCTGACAAGCTGCCTGAAATACGTTCCCTCCCATAGAAGAGATTTCGAAAGAGGATTGGTGCGCGTACTGCTCCGCTACCCACAGGCTTGCGCAGGCGCAGTTGGACTGCCTTTCATCTTGCCTTCCTGTTGCCTTTCGCTCCTGATTCTCGCTTTCCTTTGTCAAGATCAAAGGCAGGATTTATTCCCGCAGGAAGGGCGCTCGGAGTCTTCGAGTCCTCTGTTTCCCAGAGGCGGAGGGAGCTAGAGAGGGGGTAATGGGTTTCAGAATCGCCGAGCCCCTTTTTAAGCGCGGGGGGAGCGAGTCACCACCAACCCGGGCAGGCGCTGGAAAGCGGGGCAGCAGAGAGGATCGGGCCCCTGAAACGCTGCAAGTCGGTTTCTGTGCAGCCTCTGATTCCAAGCGGGCTTCCTCCTCAAGTATGCACAGTCTCTATCCCAGCTCTTAGGCATGTTGACTCCTGTTGGGAAGCTGCTTGAAAAACATCCGGTGAAGGAAAGGCCATCACCTTCAGAGGGAGCCCGTTCCACTGTTGAACAACTGTCGGAAAGTCCTTCCTAATTTCCATAAGACGAACCCCACTGGATCAGGACAGGCCCTATCTCCTCCAGCACCCCACTCAATGCTGCATTTACGTACGTATAAGCTAAACAAGCTATAGCTTAAGGCCCCACTCTTTTGGGGGGCCACAAAAAATGTAAAGGGGAAAAAATCTGGATGTACATTTCCAAAATATAAGATAAAAAACAAAATAAAGTCTACATACAGAAACAGTGTTTTATGTTGTGTAGGCTCCTATGATGTAAGTAAATACGTATTTTGTTATGTGCGAATGGCTTTAGGTACCTATTAGGTCCATAAATTACCATATAGCATATACTCAACACAAAAAACAGCGACAATTTGTTGTTGACAAAGGACAGCTGGACATATAAAGGGCCCCATTACCTTCAGTAGCTTAGGGCCCCATCAAACCTAAATCCGGCCCTGATCCCGCTTCTTAGAGTCAGTGGGTTGGCTCTGGGAAGCTACCAAGGAGGGTGTGAAGGCAGCAGCCAACTTTCACCCCTCATGCTGCCCAGTGTCCAGAAAGGGCTCCATTTCATGGCTAATAGCTGACACAGTGGCCTGAAGACTGATTTGGTGGGTGAGGGGCGGGGTTCTGGCCTTGGCAGCCCACCAGCTGCATCCCAGGCTCATTGCCAAGCTGTGACCACTGACAGAAGAACAAAGGCCCCACTGAGCATCCCTCTCCCCCCTTGGTTCTTTCCATGACTGGACGTACACATAGGCTTAAGAGGAGGGCATCTCGTCTGGTCAAAACAGATTGGGTGAGAGTGCCCATTGGATAATGGCTCTCAGGGTGCCAAGCAGAGTTTCTCTCATCCAGCTGGCATTCAGCTGCCCAAATACAGAAGGACTGCAGGCAAGCGTTGCCAGATGATGAGGGAGGAAGAGCAAGAGCCATCATGGCTAGTAGCCATCAATAGCCTGCTCCTCCATGAATTTGTCGAATCCTCTTTGAAAGCCATCTTTAAAGCCTGTAGTTTAACTCGCTGCTGTGTGAAGAAGGACTTTCTGATGTCTCTCCTGAGCCCGCCAACATTCAGCTCGTGGCACTCCAGATGTTGCAGGACTCATAACGCCCATCAGCCCCTACTGGCAGGGGCAGGAGAAGCTGCAGTCCTGCAACATCCAGAGGGCCACAGGTTGCCCACCCTTTGTCAGGAGTGTGTGCAGGAGCCAGGCCCTGTGACCAGTAGGACTTTGCAGGACTGGGGCCTTCCTAAGTTTGTTCTGAAGAGGCAAGGCGTGGCCTCACAGGTGAGCCCGATTGGTAACTCACAGCACCTGGTGGTAAGATACGGGAAGGGATATAATGTCTGTATTTCCCTTCGGCTCTTTGCCACAGCAACACGTTTCCTGCCTTGCTGTGTTTGGCTCCTTGATCCTTGGACCCTTGACTTTGTGACTCCTTGCTTTCTGACCCTCGGATCCTTGATTTCCTGACTCCTGGCTTCTGGACTCCCGTTCCTGCTCCCACCCCGCCATCTTGCCCTGATGTCCCCAGCCAGGACTTGGATCACCCGTGACACCCTTGCTGCAGGGGGTAGGTTCTGCTTCACTCTAACACCAGATCTTTGAGGGTAAAAGAGCACTCCTGGGAGCAAGCTCTAACAGCTTCCTGGCACCAAAAAGGCCCAGACCATAGTTTTGCTGTTCCAAGATGACTGTAGCAACCCTCTCCTGCAGCCTTCACCAGATCATTTAGATTTCAATTTCTTTCGGACCCAGCTGGAACAGCCATTGTGGTCCACATGTCTGGAGGGCACCAAGTTGACCAAAGTCTGCTCCACTTGAAGCAGCTGAAAAAACTAACTCTTTGACCTTTGTATTTCCTCCTCCTCAAAAAAGGGGGAAACATCTTTACTTAGAAAGAACATTTAGTGAAATCTTCCATCCTTTCACTTCCTTTTCTTACTTGATCTTTTGACCTTCCTTTATTTACACCTCCCGATTCACTGAAGTGTCCATAGGAACACAAGAAGAACCTGGATCAGGCCAAAGGGGGCACATCTAGTCCAGCATCCTGTTCTCACAGTGACCAAATGGAGGTGCCATTATGGGGAGCCCATCAATGGGACCCAAGTGCAGCAGCAAGTTTCCCCACTTGTTAGTCCCAGCATGCTGCCTCTGACAGTAGAAGCGGAACATGGCCATCTCAGCCAGACCATTTTTAAAGCCATTCAAGTTGGTGGCTGTCAATCTTGTGGAAGTGAGTTCCACAGTTCAGCTATGCCCTGAGTTAAGAGCAGTATTTTCTTTTGGCTGCCCTTCTGAATCTTCCAGCATTCAACTTCATTGAGGCGCCCAACCTCTAGTATTATATGAAAGAAAAACATATCCCTATGCAATTTTCCCACACCATGATTTTATATCTTTCTATCATGTCACCTCCTTGCCTTTTCTCTAAACTAAGAAGTCCCAGATGTTGTAATCTTTTTTTCACAGGGGACTTTATCCAATCCCTTGATTATTCTGGTTGCCCTTTTCTGACCCTTTCCCAGCTTCATAGTATCTCGCCCAGGCAACCACTGCCTGCATCAGAAGCTGTGATCAGGTGCAGCCAACCCGATAAACTGCTGTTTGGCCTTATTCTGAAAGCACTTGCTTCTCTGCTCTGGTGTGGATTTTGCAGATTGTGCTGACTTTGGGGACACGAGAAACAAGCACTATCAGTTTGATGTATCAGTCGGCTGTCCTAACTGTTTGTCACACCCCACAGTGCTCAAGGAATGGGATGATATAACTTGACCCTCCCCCTACACACTTTTTTTTTTTAGTTTAAAAGTTATAAGTGCAAAACATTTCAAGTGCTGCTCTTTGTGTCCTGGGAGAATGTGGAGGAAGGGCCCAAAGTGGAATGTGAGTGGGCAAGACACACAGAGAGATATTGGTTATGGCCCTGATTGGCAGAGACTGGCCCTGTTGAAACTGGTAGCCAGACTCACAGCTTACAGGCAAATCCTTTGAACACAGCAGCTGACTTTTTCATTTGCCCCCGCAAATGAGAGGAAGCCCTACCTGAAAAAGCATCAAGGTGAGTAAAGCTGATGTGCAAGGAGAGGGTAATTATTAATTATCAAATTAAAACATCTCCAATGAATAATTCATATTATTATTGTTATTATTATTAGCCTTTAATGCCACCTTTTTCTCCAAAGAGTTCAAGGAAGTGTACATGCCCCCCCCCCCCAATTTAATCCCCACAATAAATTCAATTCATTGGCCTTGTGCAACAAACCTGCTTGTCCATTCAAACTGGACTTTTAGCAATAAGGAAAGTGGGGGGGGGGATGCAGTGAACAGTGTGGAGTAACAATTGTTTGATGTGGGGTTGTCCAGTCTCCCTATAAACAAATCAGAATGGATGCTTAATACGTAGCCAGTGTCATCTAGGCTCCCTGCAAAGAAATCTGGATGGATGTTCATTGAACAGGTCTTTTGTCTCTCAATGAACCTGCACCTAACACTGAGAATCTTCTCTTCTTCTTTGGTGATCGCTCATAGCTGAGTAAGATTGTCTTCCATAAACACACTATTAACAATGAGTCCGTAAGTGACT